CCCCCCCGATTTTGAATATTCAGCGTGACTGTGTCGTGGGGTCATCTCAATCACCCACATCTCATTGCTCAACCACATACAGCCAGACGTTTGCAAAGCGAAATGATGGTATTGTGAAGGTCCATGAGAAGTTGATGCCGCCGTGAAAGCGCAGGTGTGTCGCGCGCTGCCTAGCGAGCTGCCATCACGGTTGCATCAATGAGTGACAGCTGCCGGTCCATGATCAGACCGAGGGCCGAATGAAGGGACACACCCGTGCGGCTTCGCCCAAGCAGCAAGCTTTCATTGACCACATTTTTACCTCTCTTATCTCAAGAGGGGGAATCGGGGCAGCTAGATTTCGTGATTCCTCAGCATCCTGCATTTGGTTAGATGCTTAACAGCTACGATGCATGGTAGATTCCCAGGTGCTCAAGGCATCGTTGGTAGTACGCGTATCAGACGTCCCGCCTGGTCTGGACCTTGCCTCCTGGCCATCAGGTTATTATTCGTTTCCTGTCAAAATGAATCGGAGATAGTTACAAATCAAGAGGCCACTTCAAGCCTGGCTAAGCGAGGAGTGACACCCTCACCCTGGCCGACAATCTCGGGTGCGTGGGAAAGTCCAGGCCTTGCCCAAATAAGCACTCATACAGTGAAAACAATAGAAGGAGGCTCAGATAGGCTAACACAAATGGTCTACCAGTGTGGCCGTACCGTCGGGAGTAGCTTATAAAGTCTGCCATGCTGGTCCTTGATGGTGTTGAGCGAGTTCACAGAAGCGACAGCCGCCAGGCACGACATCGAGTAGGCGCACGACAAGAAGACGGCGGCCGATAGTAGGTACTTCGGTGGGCAAAGAAGGATCTGGTTCACTTCTTTAAGCAGGATACTAAACAAACGCCGCTGTTAGCGGCAAAGAGAAGCCGTTGGAGACAGCGGCTCCTGGCGTATGGAATACGGAGCTATCCGAGTGATTTTATCACTGAATACATGACACGAGCTAGCCAGGATGTCGGAGATAGGCAGCTTCAGCATCGTTATGTGCTGTTGTGCGTTGGAGTTCGTTGAAATTCATTGTAACTGCAAGGTATGGTTCATTTCTGTGGCCAATTACGCCAACTGACCTTCTCCCATCTCCCCAGCACCCTGTTCACTTCTCAATTCCGTATATCCATGCCCGTATCAAGTTGCTCGTTAGAGTCGCTAGAATTGCCTCAGTTGGCTAGCACACACCCAGAACCTGGCTTGCTCAGGCTGGTCTCTTGCCTACTTCCTAAGCCGGCATTAGTATCTGATTGCGAAATGTCCTAGCGTCGTGCCGAGCGAGCGAGCTGCCTGGCCCAACGGCCTCGGATAATTATTCCCTACAGACGAGGGGTCTCAAGCCTAGCGTGGGGTTGTCGAGTCCGTGCCTCAAGGCCAAGGAAGCCCTGGTTTAGTGCTGCGCAAGTTTCTGGTGATTAATAAAATATCCATCGTCGCGTCCGCTTCGTCCGACGGTCTCCCAGCGGTGTCCAAGGCCAGGGTTCTCGTTGGGCCGGGTTGTCTCCCCGCGACTATTAGGTGGGAGCCACTCACACCCTCTCTGACGGTTACGAATTAATTTATCGCGCGGCAAATAAGAAAAACTACTGACTGGCGGGTGGCCTAAGATCAGGGCCCAAGCTGGAGCGGGACCGGGTTCCTCAATGATTTTCTGACGGAGGCACGGGTAGGGATGAATTCCCCTGAGTCTGGGGGAGACAATATCCACTCGGCTGGGAGTCTTCATCACTTGGCAGCTGGATCAAAGCATTCAAAATCTGGCAATCTGGAATTGAGCCCTCCAGGATGATGATGATGTCGGCACATTGGCTTTCCATGCGACATTTCAGTTCTAAACGCGATGCCCAGCATCCTGGCCTTTGGGAATGTGACAAAAAGACAGGAAAAGGTGCAGGGGGGCTCCTGGCCCCCTGATTTCCCACGATGAGGCCCCGGTTGGTTCATCGACCAGTCCCACCTATCGGAGATATCACCATCCCCTGTAATATCTGGTTGGTTCATTACGGAGCCTTCCGTGGTCTGGCCTCTGTGCTGGACTTGGAGAAGCATGGGCGTTAAAATGACCTTGGGCCGAATCTTGAAGGAGCTGGGACTGGTCCTAGTAGAAAGAAAATGATTTATTATTGATTGATAATGGTCTATGGTCTATCATGTTCTCATCCGTACCCAATCAATCCTCCGCGTGGGTTCGAGGAGAGCCAGAATTAATTAGTAAATGCAAGTATAATTGTAAACTTTTTCAACGCAGCCTGGGCGAAGCGCAAAAGAAACGGCCCTACGCGCCGCCGTACTGTACAGTGAAACTCTTCGTCTGAAGGATAGCCTTCTCGCTATGGTCGTCGGGCTTTTGGTCGCCGCTTGTTCGGTCGGCGACCGATATCGTCACGGTCCGCTCGCCATTCTTCCCCCCGTTTGTGGCCAGAGTCTGCATCTCGTTGGACTCTCCGTCGGCCGGGAACTGCGAGTACGACTTGTGCTTGTTCCGGAGGCGCGTCATGACGGATCGGCTCTGGGCTTGACCGGATGTTCCTCCAGCCCCGTACTGGTAGCCGGAGGAGTTGCCGTAGCTGGATCCCAGGAGACGCGGCACGAAGTGCTTGAAGAATTTGCGGAGAGTCGGCATCGAACCGCAGATGACGAATAAGTTGCCCTCGATGAACCTGGTAACTACTTGTTAGCGACCGATAATTGGGGTGAATGGGAACGAGGTTGAACGGTTGCAACTCACGTCCAGATGTCTGCCGGCGCAGCATCCCACGAGGGGTCTGTACTTTGTAATAACGTAGGTAGATATACCAGTCGCACGACAGACGTCGCAATGGTGCTACATAATTGTCAACTAGTTGTCGTAGCGGCCATGAAGAATAACAACGTACATAGATCCAATCCCAAATACCACAATGGCACCAATCTTCATCTTCAGAGGCATGTGGAGGTTATAAATCATCGGAATCGGGAGAACAAACAACATCGTGTCGGTGATGATGTTGGATACGGCCGTTGCCATGTATAAGATACCGGCATTGATGCATTGGCCTGTCGTTTTGAACTGGAAAGCCTTTTGAGGCGGAGTGCAACCGAAGAACATGAGCAGGGTGATGACGATGGTGTAAACGGCCACAATAGCGAGAGAGGCCCAGACAGCGATCCGGAACCATTTCTGTGGCGATATGTGGAGATAGAACGTAAGTAGCGAGAGCTTGGTGAAACCGTTGCCTGTGAATCGAGACCCATTAGAGGCATGATTGCGAACATTTCAGCTGGGGAGACAAACAAAGCATGTAGATGGGCGCTGCCAAGTAGGTCATCTGGGGATCCAAACCGTGTTAGACTTTGCGTATTTCGTTTATGTCGAGGAGAACAACATACCAATGCATACCGCTCGAAGTTCTCCAGTGATTGCTCCCAACTATGGTGGCACATGCCACCTTGAAGGATTGAGGCTAGGCATTGGGGGTCAGAAGAGATGTTCAGCTGCGACGAAGGTGGCTCGGAGACATAAAGAAAGACGTCTCGGAGACTTATGCTCACCTATTAGTAGGGCTTGTGTCGCGACGGATGCCATCTGGGGAAATCGTCAGCACGGTGTATTATTCCTTCCGGTGAGATGCTACACACCCATCCCAAGAACATGAACACTGGTGAAGCTGGTCAGTAAGATGCTATTGAACGGCACAGAAGATCTGGGGGCCGCACTCACGGTCATCCAATTGCAGACCCTTGGAGAGGAACATCTTCGTGTAATATCGCTGCGCTAAGGCGATGAGGGCCAAAGGTCCCATCAGCCCAAAGATGAGGTAGTGTTCCATCACTTTTTGGGACTGGGGGTTTTCAAAGTCGACCACATATCCAGGTGGAGGCTCACGGAAGACCTCGACGCCGTTGACGATTGGAAACTGTGGCGCCGTCATCTTTTCTTTGGTGGCAATGGATAATGAGGGAGGGGTACGATCATCTAGGTAACACCAAATCCCTTCCAAATTGAGTAGTGGGAAGAAGTAGAAAGGAACACGCAGATCATCTAGAAGTAAAGTGAGACGTCGTAGCATCCACATATGTAGGAAAACACGTGTGTGCGTATGCGAGAAAGCGGAACCAGTCCCTTGGGCCGATGCTACGTATACAAATCTACGTGCTATGGCGTTGAGCATGAGAATGCAGGTGGCAGAACAAGCCGTGGCGATGACCAGGAACATCCGGCGTCCTGGCTAGTGCATTACTGCTTGCCCCGGGTTGATTAGTTCTGTGACCATTCCCCGTGGTGCGTTCGCTGAAGAAAACGCCTTTCTCGATGGAGGGGGCAAATCCCTGCCGGCTTTACCACCTTGGCACACGACGAGATGGGTGGCGGTACGCCTGGTCTGAGCTGTTTATGTACTCGGTTTCCCTCTTCCGTCTTCCGGCAATTCAGGTCGAATAGGGATGACCACCATTAGAACATTTGGAATCATGACTGACTCGATAATTGCAGATAGCCAATGCAACCTACATTCCTTCCCTTGGTCATCGAAGCGCCCAGCTCACGTATTGTCCGTATGTTCCATGCCTCAGCCCCAAAAGTACACCCCTACCTCATATTCAATGCAATGATTATTCCGGCCGGCTCTGTGTGTGTGTGTGTGCTCAAACTTGTATCAGTGAAACACAGGAGTGTCTCAGAACGTGCTAGTCTGAGAAAATCAGGGCAAGAAAAGGCGCCTTCGACGGTGTCTTCCTAACCATTGGCAGTCAGCAGTTACCAAAACACGAGAGCAGTCTGTAGCGACAGCCGACTCTTACGGCCGACAGGGTTCGACACTTGCCATGGTTGGTTAATAAACCCTTACGTGGAGAGCAAGCGTGCCAATAAAAGATAACCTTAGCGACCTAAATCATGAGGGCTGAGCACAGAGTACCCCTTAGGGCCCGACAAATTCCTCGGGGCCGGAAGGAAGGGGGTGTGGAGGGGGGAAGAGGAAGGGGGACGGCCACCCTGAGAGTCAATTGTTGATGCTTGTTCTTGTCTTTAGTATCTACTTCACCCTCGTCAACGGCTTCATTTTCCTATAACTGCAATTGTATCCTTGCCACGTGTGTAGCATCTCAACGGCGCCTGAGCCTGCTTAGATGTGATGCCGATCACTTTGCGATTTCATCTATCTACCGTGCTCTTGCCGCGCTGCCGATCGGATCGCTGTGTAGTGGTGATTCTTTCTCCCTCCGTCGTTTCTTTTTTGGCCCTGGCTGGGTCTTTGGCTTGGAACCAGGCTACCAGCTGGGAAAACCCGTGAACAGGGGATGAGAGATATGCCCACTTGCTCCACCCCTCCCCCATCCTGAATCTAGTCCAGGTCGCTTCGTGGCAAGCTATCCTTAAAAGAAGCGTATTCCAAGCGACGGATCCTCAGACGGCATCGTCCCGGCCCCAAATCCGTCGTAGGCGAGCCACGCGAAGTGGAACCTTCCCCTCGGGAGCTCAAAGCGCCCCCAAACTTCCCAGGACTCGAAAGGTTTTCTATGAGCAGAATACTAGACTCTTTGGGTGAAGCTTACACCTTGGCGCGCGAATGAATCGGCGGCTGGTGGAAGGTGGACGCAGAGGAGGAAAGGGTGGAGACTTGGAGATTGATCAGCGCCAAGATTGCAATTTACGACTTAGTACGACGATCTAGCGATCAGTTGCATGATTTTCCCGGCAGGGAACCCTTGAACTCTTGATACTGCATCGCTCTAAGATCTCATCAGCTCTCGCGGGGACTTTGCAGGGGATGCTCAGAACAAGGCCAGTCCAGGCCGCGAGGTGTGAGTGTGCATAAGCAAGGACCATGCCTTACGTGTTGGTACGAAAGGATGGGCGGCTGAGAGTTGAGTGGGCACTCACATCCTAGCCGTGCCGTTTTCCCTGAGCTGCAGGGAAACGCGAGCAAAGATGGCGGCCCAGGACAGAGCGAGGCGAGGTGATGAACTACTGTGCACTTGCGGGATAACCCCGATCTCTCGCTTGGAGATTACTGGACGGGCTGATTCTGGTGCCTGCGGTCAGACCCGCTCACCTTACTATCAGCGCTGTGAACAATCTCATTAAATAGAGAACCTAGCCCTCGTGGCTTCACGAACTAGCGGGTGTCAGAGATGCCATCAGCTCATTCTCTCCCTATCCCTTCTCCTCTTCCTCTCCACGTACCCCTCTGGTTTCTCTCATCTCTTCTGATTCTTTGTCGATCTTCATCTTCGAAGAGGCCTACGCTCTTTAAAGAAGTTCTGTCGTGAATATCCTATTCCAAACATGAAGGTCACCGCAATTGCCGCGGGAGCTGCTGCTCTCGCTCTTCCAGTACTTGCATCCCGGGACTGCACGAAATGCGTAAGCGTGCCCTTTCAGCTGCAGCCTCCGGCTCCCCCTTACTCCTTCTATCCCAGCCTCACATACCTAGCCGAGTCTCAGAGTATGTCACTGACAGCCACCCGTCATAGTGTTCCTCTCTGGCGAAGATCCCTTCCCTCAAGGGGAAGATATATCTGCCAAATACCAGTGCGTACGATGCGCGCTTGAAGACATACTACTCGGCCAATGCCGCCTTAGCACCCTACTGCATGGTGCTGCCCACTTCCACAGAGGATGTTTCTGCCATTGCCAAGGTCATCTCCGCGAAGGAGTGCCCCTTCGGTATTCGAAGTGGCGCCCACTCTGCCTTCAAAGGTTCCAACGGTGTTGCCGATGGTATCACCGTTGATTTCTGTATGTATATGCCAAAGGACAAAGCATACTTCGACTCGGCTGGTGTTTGACCAACTCTTTCCTACAGCCTATATGAACGCGACCACCTACCATCCGGATAAGAAGGTCGCTTCCATCCAGCCAGGATCCAACTGGGGTCAGGCTTTTGAAGCCCTTTCCGACTACGGCGTCACCGTTGTTGGTGGTCGTGCCTCTGTTGTCGGTGTTGGTGGTTTCACCACTGGCGGAGGAGTAAGTACACTCCTCGATGTGTTGCTCTCAGAGGATCTTTCAGGATAGTTATCAACTAACAGCCTTCTAGTACTCATTCCACACCAACACCAATGGATTCGCTTGCGATAATGTGGTCAATTTCGAGGTTGTTCTCGCTGATGGGTCCATTGTCAACGCCAATGCCAACGAGCACCGTGATCTTTGGAGGGCTCTCAAGGGCGGGTCTGGAAATTTTGGTTTTGTCACCCGCGTTGATACTCGTAAGAATTCGCCTATTCGCTGAATAATCCTTTTATTGATGTGTTAACGCCGTTAACCTTAGGCACCATTGATCACAACCAGCTCTGGGGTGGCTTCGCTATCTTTGACATCACAAAGCACCGAGATGCTGTCTTCGGGGCCTACATCGACTTCGTCAAGGAGATGGACAACGACCCTGCCTCACAGCTCATTGCTTCCGTCCAGTGGGATGGAAAGCAGCGATCCCTCGTTGCCGTCGTCTCCAACGTCGATGGCATTGCGAATGCTCCCATCTTCGACAGAATACTCTCTATCCCAGGTGTCTCTAATACCCTGAGCACCGGTGATATTGCCAAGCTTGTTCCTCAGTTCACTGGCCCTACTCCCCTTGGTCTCTAGTAAGTGCTGTTTTCTTCCTATATTCCAGTTCTCAGGTTTCTAACAAGAAAAATTGTAGTGCCAACTGGATGACTGGCCAGACCAAGAATGACGTCCGTATCATGAACTTCATCGAAGAGAAGCATGCCGAGTATGTCCAGAAGATGCAAGCCGCCGCACCCGGTGCCGTCTTCAGCATCTTGATCTCATACCAGCCCGTGACCAAACACCAAGTTTCTCACGGCGAGGCGAACGGCGGAAACTCCCTTGGCCTCGAGGAAGTCGTCAAGGATGGCGACACCCTCATGTGGCTGATTGCGGTCACTGTTGACACCGCCGCAAACCAGGAGAAGATCAACCACCTGACCATTGAATATCGCGACGCTGCCCTTGCGTACGCCAAGTCCATCGGCATCCACAAGGAGTGGAAGTACCTCAACTACGCTCTCGGTGACCAGGACCCTATCAAGAACTACGGTTCCGAAGTCGTTGACCACCTCAAAGCTACCGCGAAGAACTACGACCCCAAGGGAGTCTTCCAGAAGCTCCGCCACTCTGGCTTCAAGCTTCCCGCTTAAGCGGCTTATACTTTCATGATAATATACTTTCACAATTCCAATGCTTCGGGCTGTATATGTGGCAAGACATAGATGCCGTATATTTATAAGCAATAATTCATTTAGATACAGAGATAATACTACAGACTAAGATAGGAGATACCAAACTCGGACGTTGTTCCCTTGATATTCTACTTTCCTTTGATTTCGCTTCTTCTGTCGGTGGTAATTTCCTTCGCGCATACGGCGAAGCATAAGTTGACTCAAGTCATTCTTTTCGGTCTGTTTTATCGTCTGTATCTAAGCCAGTTGGCTCAATTGAAATCAATAATAGCATGTCATATTTGCCCACACTAATGGAGTGGGTAATCTTAACTTTATTCATACTCTCATATTACGAATATACTAAACATGGGTGGAATATCTTCACTATTTAGATAGATTCTATAGAATATACTAAATCAGGTTTCATGGAAACTATTATATTGTTTATTTTGATAATAAAGGCTTTGTAGGGTTTGCTCTAAAGAAGAAGAGAACGATATAGGGTAGGTTACTAGGGCTGGTTCATCCCAATGTCTATGTAGAGTAGGGTAGAGGTACCTTTGGGACTCGAGCTTGAATTGACCCTTGCAGCAGTTTCGGTTGCGATTGGCGATTACAGACTCGTGAATAATTCAAATTTTCTGCCTTATCGTATGGGATCGTTTGAATGCTGAGTAGACAAATCTGAGATGTGGGGTGATACCACCTCATTTACCCTTGTCGGAAAAGACGGGACCCCGCATCTGTTGATCGGGCGCCGATTCCGTTGTGAGATGTGACGCTCCCTTTATTCCCGCAATCTAATGTAAATGACCAGTTCGCCGAGCAATATCTAAAATGGTCGAAATGGAAGTTCGTTTGGTTGACATATGTCAATGTCCCCCACGATCCCCTTCTTCATCAAATAGGTCATTGGCTCGATATAAAAGCTGCCCTGTTCCGCTGGGTTCGATCTTTGGCTGATATTTTCTTTGAATTTTTTGCATCGCGATCTCTGTGGTATATCATCTTAGCGCAAGGTAGCTGATCATCGGTATTAATCATCAAAATGGCTGCTCGAGCTTTCAACGTCGGCATTGTTGGCTATGGGTGAGATGTGTAAGAGCCCAAGGCATCTATCTTCCGCGACTGGCAAGATTGGCTTCCTAGTTCCTCGGCCAAGTTATTCCATATCCCGTTTCTCACGCAGCTGCCTCAATTTAGGCTCTACGGCATTGTCCAGCGGTCGCCAAAACCCGGGAACTCCGCCCCCGCCGACTGCCCCAACATTAAGCACTACACTCACTACAAAGACCTTCTTGCCGACCCGGCCGTTGATCTGGTCGTTGTAGGCACACCTCCAGATAATCATTTCGAGTTGACGAAAGCAAGCTTGGAAGCAGGCAAGCATGTCCTCACAGAGAAGCCGTTTGTGCCGACTTCGGCTGCCGCCAACGAGCTCATCTCCATTGCAAAGTTGCAGAACCGTCTTCTCTGTGTGTACCAGAACAGACGTTGGGACTCCGACTTTCTCACAATAAAGGATCTCGTAGCCAAGGGAACTTTGGGTCGCATTCTACAATATGATAGCCACTTCGCACGCTACAACCTTGAGCCCCCCAGTAATTGGTCGGCCGGCCTGCCGATTGAAAAGGGAGGCAGCATGGTATTTGATCTCGGAAGCCACCTAATTGATCAAGCATATGTACTCTTCGGCATGCCACAAATTGTTCATGGCAGGCTGCTGTCTCAGCGTAACGGCGGATTTGACTTCCAGACACCAGACAGCATCGCCGTAGAACTCACATACCCCGATGGCTTGCTCGTCAACATTCGTACTAGCGTTTTGAGCGCCGAGGTCGTGCAGCCTAGGTTCTGTTTTCGCGGCACAAAGGGGAGTTTCCAGAAGTGGACGCTTGATCCCCAGGAGGATCAGTTGATAGCTGGAATGAAGGCGACGGATCCTGGCTTCGGGAGAGATAATCCCAAGGACCTGAAGCTCATACTTGTGGACGAAAACAATATTCCTGGAGAGGCTCCAGCCCCTGAAAACGAGCCAGTCACTTACGGGGCTTTTTATGTGGAACTGGCCAAGGCCCTCGCAAGTGGCGAGGATAAGGATGTCCCTGTGAGAGCAACTCAGGCCAGAGATGTTTTACGATTGATCGAGGCTGTCATTGAGAGCGCGAAGACGAATAGGGATGTAGTGATTGTATGATGCATATAGATATCGAATTTATGAATGTGATCTTAGTGTAGCTTTTCACACTACGATGAATCGTGGTATCGGGCAGAATAAAGGTGCGTGAAGGATGCTATAGATAAGGTTGGGGAGAAAGAGCTTATTATTCCTTAGTCTATCTCTAAGGCTATGATCAGCTATTTTAGACTTATTCCTGAGCCCTTTCTTAGTATATCTAGTTATAGTAGACAATCTTTCTCTCAAAATAATCTGCTTAAAGTTTCAACACTCACTCTTATAATAGGGTCATTATACTCGTAGATCGTCTTCTTGAACAAGAGGGAAACAAATGCGTTGATATCGAGATCAGAGCTGCTGGCAAACCAGGCAGCATTCTTGCACTGCCCCTCAGGAGGTGGGCCAAACTTGATTCCAGAGGCGCTTTCTATCGCAACGGTTCCATTATCCGAAACTAAATTGACGACCTTGGGCTCAATTTCAACTCCAGTTGAGAGATCGAGAAGACCGTCAAAGGCCTTGACGCCAACAGCAAGGCTTAATTCAATGAAAGGGTTGATTTGAAGGGTCACGAGGGCATCAACTTCAGAAGCAACCTTCACACTTGGGGTCCAGCCGCTGGTAGTCGCCTTCTTTGTGTCGAGCAAGTCGAGATGGACTTTGCCTTTCGTCATACCGCCGGCGACGTCCGAAGTCACGTTGAGAGTGCCTTCTGCTCCGAACTCAATACCGAGGCCAAACCCGGCAGTTGGACCAACATCTAGAATTCGTGGGATAGAGAATGGTGAGGCGGAGATAGCCAGAGGCTTGAATTCTTCTTCAAGTGAAGTCGCCCTAACCCCCAGATTGATCGTAAGTGCCTCTTCATCAATCTTTCCGTCGCTGACAATATAAAACCCGCGTTCAATTGAAGGGTTGCATGAGCCATCTGAAGAGAAGGTAACAATGACGAAGTCAGACCTTGGTCAGATCGATAATGTAGCCTTGAAAGCCGCACTTTCGGTCGATATCGGAGCCTGAGCACTTGATAGAGCCAAGGCCCGATAGATGCTCGAGAAGAATGGCCGGTCGCTTTAGGGTAGTGTCGATAAGTGCCTTAACGCCCCCTTCGCTATATCCAAGAACAACATTGGGTCAGGAGGGAAATTGCTGTCTTCCGGAGCCTTGAGAAGATCAGGGTCAAGAGAAATAGCAGGGAGCGGCTTCAAGACTGCTGGCGATGCCGCAACCTCCCGCCGGGCAGCTGAGTTCAAATCTTTAATTCCACCGACATTTGACACAACCGCTGCTGTAGCCGGCTGAGTCGCGGTTTGAGCGCCGAGGAGAGCGATAGTGATGGGCTTCACTGAGAAAGAATGCAGAAAAGACGTATCTGATGCCCTCTTCAGGATGCTGATTGGAATGACTGTGTGTCAAGATGCATCATAGTCTCGTTGGCAAGGCCATATATACACTTTCCTATTCTACCTCGACTTCAGTTACAATGATTCACATGTCGATGTGAGTCCATTTCAACACAAGCGAGGGATATTGCTATCGGAGGCTAATCACATGTAATGCAGGCTCAACGATAATACGAGCCGGAGCAGGGGAATTGCAGAATGGATGAATTATCAAGGTGGTTATTCTGGATGTATGCACATGACAGATGCAGAGGGTGAGAGATGAAAGGAGTAAGGCTGCCAAGTCAATCACATCGTATTAGTGGCCTAACAAAAGTACTGAGACTCACGCAATACGATAATTTGAAGCCCACTGTGACAACCCACTATTAGGATTGGGAAATGGCTCATTACTCGTTCCCGCTCAGGAGCAATACAGTCGGATCCACGCCCTGGTCTGTCGGTTTATACTTTCTAGTACTTTTTTAGGTATACGAAGGGTCCACCCAACACTCGTCCGAGGACCACTCTATCTTGCTGATTTGTGACCTCTCACCATTGACTCTCACTGCTCTGGTGTTCAAATTCAGTATTCGAATTTTCATACCCGCAGGAGGCATCAACCTGGCATATCTCTCACATGCCTCACCGGCTCCCATAGACGAAGTGGGCGTTTGGACTTGGGAGTGACATATCACCACCCACTGGCGTGCCCCGTAATGTTCAGGATTTAGCCTCTCGCTCGCTTGATCGTGTGTGGCTCAGCCGTTGTAATGTCAGATGAATCAAGATTTGTTTTTCTGCTACTCAGATCATCTCCACAGAAGCGCAAAAGAAGATGCTGGGAGGGGAGGATGGGCAGAGGCCGCCAGCATGCTCCTGGCCCGGACATTGCCAACATTTGCCACTACCGCCAAGTCGTGAGCTGGGCAAGCTGTAGAAACACGTGACACGAGATATGTATTTAATCTAGTGATACATCTCACAATCTCCCTGAAAAAATCCCATTCCAGCTTATCCTTGATAGCACAAGCAACATGAACCCATCACAAATCTATCAAGTGCAAATTAGCAGATCGGCTACAGTTGAAACTTGGAGTTCGCCAACTATTAACTAATAACTATACTTAGTAGCGGTTATGACTTTCGAGACACAGTTATAGCTATTGCCAACAAGAATTCCACGAGCCAGAACCTTCTCATTCAGTCACTGACAGCTTTGACATCAAGAGAACACGTTCAAGTGCGACAGGGTCTAAACCCTTACACGATCGTCGTATCTCAGTCGCCAACAGATTTCTTAATCCTCGAGGGGCCAAGTGGAAAAGGAGAGTACCAACTCCGGGCTACGTCCGACACTATTTCATTTGGGATCGGGGGAGAAATCTACTACACGGATTGGCAGCAGTAAATCAAGAGGGATTACAAAACCTCCGTCTTCGTTATCAGGATGTAGACATTAGTGGCGGGAAATGGGTGGCAGTGCCAGAGGAAAATGGCGACTGGTCTATATGGTGGTATGAAAAACTGCCCCAGAACGAGGATGATCTGCCTGGAGCAGTTAGTATTGATGTCGAACTCGCCCCAGTCTCCGATCAGCATTCAGATCGAGCTTGATTTACTCGCACTCTCTGTAGATTATCAAGTATAATTAGGGTTCCAGCGTTATTAGTTCAAGATCCTGAATCGTTGGAAGTTATCCGTGTTATATGCGCTCGGTCTAGGGGTTGGCTCAGTGTTCCTTCCTACCCGCAATATCCGTCTCGACCGACCAGCTGTGCGTGCCGGCACGAGTAAACAATGTGTGCGGTGATAAACTAGCGGTGAGCTTGCCATGGCTCTCCATAAAAACATCTACGGGCCATCACATGTAAATCCATCATTTGCTTCTAAATTGAACTGCTTCCCGAAAACTTGCTCAAATAGACTTATGAGGGGTTGCAATCTAGAGCAAAGCCTTAGGGAAGTTAACTATATATAGTTAGAATATAAGAGGGAACAAGTTATATATATATTTTACTAAGCAGCTAATCTATCTACCAGACAAGAGGGCTGTAGCCGCGGCTGCGGCTGTCAGGTAGAGAGACAGAGAGGTCAGGTCTGCAGCTGTGGCTGTCCGCGAGTAGGTTATCTAGCCAGCTCTCAATAAGTAGTTTAAGCTATTAACACTACTTAACTTAGAGGAGTATATTAGATTATAGCCTTATGTGGTTTATAGACTAAAAGCTATAAATATACCTCTTTTAGTAAGGATAAAAGTAAGATTATATAACTATACTAGTTATTGACAATACCCCCCCGGAAGCCCTAGAGACATCATATAAGAATTTAATTCAGTTATCTTCTCAATCCCGCGATCGTAGGGTTCAACAGCTTTTATCCAGAAGATGAGGCAATGAGAGATGAGCCAATAGATGCACTTGGTCATGAATCGCGTAGGGTTCCTCCATTAGTTGGTTGCACCAAGCCCTGGAACCCATGAAGGTCATCTCCATTGACTTCAAAGTCAAACCTCGTGACGTCTTCCGCAAACGGCCAAAGGAGCTCGCTGGTGACTCTGTTGATTCGTTAATATATGGATGATGTTTTTGGGTCAACCGTGGCTTACTTGTGATGCTCTTTGCTGGCCTGATACTCTTCTAAGGCGGCATGATCGTTGTGAAAGCTGAGTAGCGAGACCTCAAAGCCTTTGCTTCGCTCAATTGGCGTTGTGATGGATGGTCCACCAACAGTGAGCTGCTGGTTCTGGACACAAGGCAGATTTCTCAGTTTCTTCAACTCTGCCACGAATCTTGCCTTGTGGTCTTCTGTAGCCTCAGGCTTAAACTTAAAAAGCACTATGAATGCCGATTAGTATGATGAAATTAAATAGAAAATTTATTATACGGGTTTGTCTATTCCATCAAACACAGAGTCACGCTTTACTCACCAATGTGAATGACAGTCATGTTGAAATAATACGCCACAGTCGGAGATTATTTTCTCAAGAGGAATTCTTCTACCAGTATCTAGGATGCAGAAGAAATACTTGGAGATTCCGAGTGGACGATATTTCAAGCGGAGCATTCCCGCACGTGGAGAAGAAGAATAGAAGTGGGCATACGGATAAATCCCGAGGCGAACTCATCCAGCATACCCAAGTCGGCTCTCGCGTCTGAAGGCCGTCGGAATTGAAACTAGTCTTGATTAATGTGAAAATGCCTTGTAACTCCGATCGTCGGAAATACCGACTGTATGGCAATTGAAACAGACAGGACCATGAATTATCTGTGAGCCTGCTAAGTGCCGTTGAAGAATATGATAAGTTGGAGAAAATTAATATCTGATTTTATTTATCCTCTATGAACGACCGGTAGAGGATGTGATACCTCCGTCAACAACAATCTTTTGACCAGTAACATACCGAGCTTCATCTGAAGCTAGGAACAAAGCGGCATTGGCCACATCCCAAGCATCTCCCATATGGCCCATGGGAACTTGATTATCCCTTGTCGCTTTGAATTCTTCATAACCACCAGGTACCGGGTGTCGTTTGAAAAGCTCTCTTGTGTATGGAGTCTCCATCAGACCAGGTACCACTGTATTGAGCCTCACTCCCTTCTTCGCGTAGAGGACGGCCGTAGCCTTCACGAACTGCATGATTGCGGCCTTTGTGGTATTGTATGCAACCTGGGGTTTCCCAATGTAGCGCAGCCCGGCGATACTAGAAACGCAAACAATAGAGCCACCCCTTTCCTGTTTCTCCATGATAGGTAGGACATGGTGGCATGCCAAGTATACGCTTTTCAAGTTGAGGTCCATCTGGGAATCCCAAGTCTTTTCTGACATTTCGGCGGGCCCGCCTGGCTGTGACTGGCCCACGTTGCATAGTAAGATATCAATGCGTCCATGTTTTGCGATACATGCATCGACGAGGGTTTTGACGGACTCCGAGGAAGTGGCGTCGGCTTGCATGACTTCTCCCTTAAGGCCTTCATCGCGGAGAGTGTCTGTCGTCTTCTTTGTGGAAGCGATTGTGCGGTTGCCACCAAAGATGATGGCCCCTTGTCTGGCAAAGGTGATTGCGCAGGCTGCACCAATTCCCCAGCCCTCGGTTCCTGACTGGCCCAAGCCAATTACAAGGGCGACTTTACCATTCAAATCGAACATCCTCATGGGGTCTGGAGTCGGAGTGTTTGAAGCTTGATTGAGGATGATAGGATAGATCGAGTGAGTGGTCCGGCTGCCGAAAACGTGGAAACATTTCCGGTTATTGAAGCCGAGTAATATATTTCCGTGTCGGTTGAAGGCATGAAGACCCGCTCACGGAGTTTCTCCGTCAAGGAGAATGGCCAATCACGGCATGCTTATTTATGCTGCCCGGCTCCGACATCGTTTGCTATGATGTGATCGGAAAAGGCGAAAGTGATAAAGACCGGGCTCTCTGCTCCCATGCCTTGTGCCGTGGAGTGAAACCATTGGACATATGCTGGGAAAACGCGAGATACAACATGGAGAATGAGGCAAGCTCAAACACAAGAGGAGGCGAAAAGCCCGCCCCTAACGACTATGACCTGAATACTCCCATTGACTCCAGTTCTGGAGGAATGCGACAGGGTCTGGCGTCGTATGGCGATGCCCATTTCTCCCTCTTTCTCCGCAAAGTCTTTATCAAGGCTATGGGATACAGTGAAGAGTCTCTCTCACGACCCATCATCGGCATTGTCAACACCTACTCCAGCTTCAATCCTTGCCACGCCAATGTCCCTCAGCTCATCGAGGCCGTCAAGCGTGGTGTCCACCTCGCTGGCGGACTGGCCATTGACTTCCCAACCATCAGCATTGCCGAATCCTTCTCTTCGCCGACAAGTATGTACCTCCGGAACCTAATGTCGATGGACACCGAGGAGATGATACGCGCGCAGCCGTGCGACTCGGTCGTTTTGATCGGGGGATGCGACAAGACCACCCCCGCACAGCTCATGGGTGGCATCTCGGCGAATAAGCCGGCTCTGAGTCTTGTTACTGGCCCCATGATGCCCGGCAGCCACAAGGGCGAGCGGATTGGAGCCTGCACAGACTGTCGAAATAATTGGGCCAAATTTCGTGCTGGTGCAATCGATATCGAAGAAATCTCAGGTATCAATGAAGAGTTGGCGCCGACGGTACGTTCCCAAATACTGAGGCGTTGACTGCTCGCCAGCGTCCCCTATCAGTTCCTGAATGATATTCTAACATAATGACTTCTTGCAGGCCGGAACATGTGGTGTGATGGGCACTGCAAGCACAATGGCATGTATCCTGGTTGGTCTAGGCATGATGCCTTTCTGGGGAGCCACGGCACCAGCCGTTTCCTCGGCCAGATTACGCATTGCGGAAGAAACGGGATCTCTGGCTGTGAAGATGCATAACCTGAAGCTCAAGCCACAGACAGTCCTCACGCGCAACTCCTTCCTTAACGCTATCACCGTCCTCCAGGCCATCGGTGGCTCGACCAACGCCGTCGTGCACTTGATGGCGATTATTGGACGTCATCCTGATGTGGCAGGAACAATCACGCTCGAAACGTTCGACGAGATTGGACGGAAGACGCCGTTGCTTGTGGATTTGAAGCCTAGTGGCGATAATTACATGACAGACTTCCACAACTCGGGCGGTATGCGAGCGTTGCTGGAAGAGCTCAGGCCTTTGTTACACCTTGATGCATTGACGATCAAAGGAAATACACTAGGAGAGGAACTGGACTCGACTCCCCTCAAGAAAATACCAAGAACCATTCCTACCATGGTTCTTCGCTCGCTACACGACCCTCTTTACGAACGCTCTTCTTTGGTCGTTCTTAAGGGCAATTTGGCACCAAATGGGTGTGTCATGAAAGCAAGTGCTTCAAAAAATCGGGCACTGCTCAATCATACTGGCCGAGCGGTTGTATTCGCCGGCTCAGCGGATATGGCCAATAGGATTGATGATCCGAACCTCGAAGTAGAGCCCGGCAGCGTGCTTATTCTCCAAAACATTGGGCCCATTGGTAATCCAGGCATGCCAGAGGCTGGAATGATCCCTATTCCTCGCAAACTCGCCGCAAAGGGCGTTCAGGACATGTTGAGAATATCTGATGGGCGGATGAGTGGGACTGCTGGTGGTACAATTGTACTTCATGTATCTCCGGAGGCAACGGACCCAAGTTCAGTACTAGGAATCGTCCGCACAGGAGATTTGGTAAAGTGTGACTTGGATCAGCGACTAATCCACGTGGATATCTCGGAGGAAGAGATTAAGCGCCGACAGGAAGAGAAGAGAAAGACGTTGGAAGCAGAATCCGAGAACAACAAATCGGCAGACGTATGGATTGCAAGAAAGAAGCTTAGAGGGTATAGGGGACTGTTTATGCGGTCGGTGCAGCAAGCTCATTCAGGAGCAGACTTTGACTTCCTTACAGCTGCAGGACCTACAGATACGTAATGGGAGATCAAACCGCGGGTGATGCTTCTGAAATATACTACACTTTCAGGAAATATAAACATATCTGGATGGATTTGTGTGAATAGAAATATATACAAAGAGAAGAAATCACTGGTAGCATCGAACAACAGCCGAGCGGCATAAACACTATCACCCCTTCATCAGTGTACCCACGCCGAGGGCAGGATATTGAGCGTGTCCATTATAGCTGGGTCTGGCCATCGTGCCACTTCCAGTTTTCGGGCCAACGGCCGTAAATATAAGAACAAGTGAAGACGAACAATGTAAAACCTAGTACTGATCCAACAAACACTAACGAATTTTTGTATCTGTCAAGTTGAAACAAGTTCGTTGCCCCCACAAAGTCTATTACAGAGTTAGTATTGGAATGACCTAATGGCGCTTACTCCAGCGTACCGCAAGAAACGTTGCCGGAAGCAATGAAAAAGTTAGGATAGATATCCCCTTTACGGTTCGACTTTCCCTGGCCTGTAGTTTCGCGATTGCGACGTTGACTTTGCTGTCTCTTTTGGCAATGAGATTGAAAGACTGGAGATGGAAGGAATAAGCTTGTATCTATTCATTTCGAGGGTCTGAGCCAACACATACCACGTTGATCATACCGGATAACCGGCTGCTTAAAGCTGTTATTCTGCTCTTTATCGATTCAGCTTGAGAGTGCATCATATCGAGGTCCTCCTCGAAACCCCGCAAGTCTCGGGTTGGCAGGGGGGTGTAGCCAAGGCTTTTCCGATACTCCTCGATTTGGACAACAGCTTTATTGCAGGAAACGCCAAACGCTTTCCCATACGAGATCACGCTATGGCTGTTTGAGAGCTCTATGTGTGTTTTGTGTAACTGGGTGAGTAACCTGTCAGAATCTGAAATCGTGTTTAGTTGTTTTTTGCTTAACCTCCATTGAGGAAGAATCATGTTAGTCGCCGTCTCCGCTTCTATAATAGTCCGCCATGGCTCCTCAAACCAGTCGGTTCATCTTTGGATTCGGTTCTCATATATGAATACGAGCAGGTATATCGGATTGATTTGTAACAGATCAAGGTTTCGGCGACAGCGCGATATAATATCTTGGCCATCTACCTCAAATCTGGAGCTGATGAAGGCAAAACAATTTCCCGACTTAATGTCGACTCGGACGGCCCCTAATATATTGTTGCTGCGCTTGGGGCATAAGAAGAGCACCGCTAGAATCAGATAGTGAGCAAGCCTTGTATCATGGGGATTGAAGACAAAGATACAACGCCATACTTAAGCAAACAGGAGTTTCTCCATCACCCTTATATTCTACATGGCTGTATGTGTAAGGTATCTTGTTGTTGATGAATCTTGAAACATGTCGCTGATCGCGAAGTCCTGTCAGGTGAAGTAGTTTTGCTGAGGCATTTCGTTCGTGCCAGCAGCTGATGGCGCGTTTCCTTTCCGGACTCTGACCTCCAAACACTGAGCTGTAGTCATCGTTAGCTCATTGAGTCGAGAGCAGCGTAGAATGTGAGTTAACAGACATTAGAATGAACTTGGGTGGTTTTCCCGGTGTTTCGTTGGTGTCATTCTCCAGCGGCGATTCTTAAATGCGCGTCAGCACAGTGAGATTCATAGCTTCAAGTCGTTAAGAGGGGAAATTGCGTTTCACTGGAAGTAGTACCTGATCCCAGAGGGCCTTCTCCAACTTTTCGTGAGTGAGAACCAAATCGTCGAGAGTTGGATTGCTTGAGCTCCACAACCGGGCTTTCGCAAATATAGGGATAGCTGCTCGCGGCGCGGAACTTCTGGTCCTCCACTTCGAATTCATGAGAGGCCCGGTGATGCCATGCTTTGGGCGATGACTCCATGCCGCGATGTCAACGGATTGTACCAAACAAATCACCAGCATCTTGGGAGATCAGACAGCTTGGCACATTGGAATGGAATTGAGCTTTGAGTGCGGGGTTTTATGCACATGTCATCAGCTGATACCCAGGCTTCACTGAGGTTGAATATGAGCGCCTCTCGGATTGGTTCGTTGTTTGGAAGTGTGGTTGAATGTCCTATACCATGTACATTACCTCAAAGAACATAAGCAAAATTGCCCGGATAGGCGAAAGAGGCCTCACTTCTCCTCCCACGACTACTCTCTATCCCGTATTGTTTCTAAACCTGTTCTGTTTGGCAACGATGCAGTTCATCTAAGCCTTCGGTCACAAAACCCAAAACTGAGCAAGTCAGTCAGGGAAAGCTTAATAAGGTCGACAATCCTTGCAAGAGGTCAGACACCGATTCGGAGGCTGGCCCTAGTTGTCAATTACCTGTTCGGCCGGCGCCACCTGCTCAGTCTGCGTCAGTTTCTCAGACCGAGAAGATCGAGAAAGGCCGAAAGGAAGCTTTGGACGCTCTGACGTCAAAACCTAATGAGCCGACCAAGTACCCGAAGATCACTGACGTGGCAAATCTATTTGTGGGTACTTCGAATGATCAGGCGTCTATAATGCAGTCCTTGGGACATTCCGCGCAGGGTGAGAGAAAACACATCGTCGAAGAAAAACAAAAGAATGACGCGAGTCTGAAAGAAAATGAAGGGTACATCGCTCAGAACACGGCCTTGATGAACCAGAAGAAGGCAGACTTGGACGCAAAGGCTGAAGCGGAAAAGGCTGCAGACAAGGAAAGATAAGAGAAGCAAATTGCAACTGAAAGCCTTCTCAAGGGATGGGACACACGTAAAGAAAAGGAGGCGGCAGCTGCAGCGGGTAACAAAGCAGTGGGGGAGAACAGCACTCAACTTGACCAATTGACGGATGACGAGAGCTCGTAGGTTAGTACAGGCTTTGCTCGGCATTTTCTTGGTAGGTTGTAAAATCAGATATAATATTGGAGGCTGAAATATAACCTTCTTTCTTACCATTATTGGTACTGGGACTGACAATGTAATGATATCGCGTTCTATTCTGAAAGCTATTTCCCTTGCTTTTCTAGATTTAAAGAAATGGACAGAGGCCAAGCATGAGATAATGAAAGGGACGAAGGGAAAAAGAAGATCAGCAAGCGGCTTTAAATCGGTTTCATTTCGAGATTTTGCGGAGGTATAGGGATTCTCAGTCAATAAAGCTATGTGTGTCATATGATTTTTTCAACTGGCCGGTTGTCATCAAGCTCCAGACCCTGTTTCATGCGCTGCCTCCTCTCAACCAGCCATGCCTTCCACTTCTCATACTTTTCTTTCCGTTCTACAATTCGATCTGGCGTTTCTCCAAAGTATTGCATTGAAATATTTGCCTCCATCTCTTCTATGTTAAACTGTCCGAAAAGTCGACCATTAACCAGAACTTGAATTTTTTCTTGCAAGCCCTCGTACACCAAAGCTGCATAATTCAAGCTATGATAAGCAAGCGTCAGAAGCGTATTAAGACTGTTGCACATATAAATGGCCAGCCGGTTTTCCATAGGGATTAAATTGTTATCGTCAATGTAATCTGAAAACCACTCAAGACGCTCCTCATAGTCTTCGTTGTTAACCATTATACTCTTATGCTCAGCTCCGTCAGAAGGAGCCAGAATGTCAATGATGATATTTATGACAATGTACTGAGATGTTGCATTTCTTTTGTAGTCCCACCTTCGTGAGGAATATATGTAGCCTGGCCCAGCTCTCAAAAGTGACATCGACATCTGGTACAAGTACCAAGAACTCCACGGGGGCCCTATGCTGTTATGGCCAAAGTCCATAGAGCGTCTGAAGCGCTTGTTCAAACCTTCAGGCTCGAATATCCGAAATGTAGCATGAACTGACTCAATGTATTGAGTTCGTGGGAGTGCTGGAATGGACCATGTTGTCCAAAGTCCATAGTCTTTGAGGAACATAACATCGACATGATAATTGGTTCGGGCATGCTTGATCACATGTCTAGTTTCGATGTTGACCTGCTTGTTCACCAACATAAGTGATAACGCCGAGCTGGTTTGTGGAAGTTACCATATTGCACTAGCCATCCATGCGTAACCAAGCCAAGCCTTCTGGCGCAGCTCTCTTCGGCCACGCTGAGCTTCCGAGGGTGCCTTTGGCCGATCAACTGGCGAGCAAATAACCAAAGTTAAGATTGTTAAACGGATTTCGCGTGGGATCTTGAGGAACGCCATTTCTACCGTTGGGCGGGGCGTTGTGGACGAGCCCGCTTTTCAGATTCGGGTCCGTGATTGCTTAACAGGAGACCAATGACTGAAGTTTTATCGCTCATCCATTGCAGCAAGAGAGTTATTTAGAAACGGTCATAAAAGCGGTGAATAGTGATCTGACAAATGGCCAAGGATGTGTTGGACAGGGGGTAGGACCCAGTTCATGCCACTGAGCCAACTTCTCTGGATAATAAATAAGGCAGTAGTAAATAATCTTATTCGGATGCTTTTTCTTTCGATAGAAGAAATATATCTATGTGTGCTGTTTCTGAAGCAGCCAATCCGTCGTCTTGGCCAGCTCAATCAGGTTAATTGCGAATTTGTGTATGCTATCTCTTTCATCATGAAGAGGATATTATGGCTATAAATAACTCCAGAGGGATAAAAAGATGATCAATTACCTAAGTAAGGATATCGTAATGTTCCCTCGTTATCATCAACCGCTTCCAAGAAACTAGGAATAAGCGGCTCAATGCCACGTTCCAATGCCAGAGAGCTCCACTCCCGCAAGTCATACTCTTGGAACGGCCGACCACGCACCTTTTCCATATATTCTTTGAAACTCTTTACCGGAACCTTAACATTGCTCGAGTGGTGAAAGAAAGAAACCCCGGACGTTGTGGGCTTAGATGCACTTGAAAGCTTCGTGAACCTGCGTGTCACCAATGTTGCTATCTCCTCCGCAATAATCTCTACCTTCTGGAAGTCCAAGTATCCTTCCATTCTTGTCAGGCGAGGCGTTGCACTGAGAATATCAGAGTAGCGCAGGAGCGAGTTCAGTGCATCTTGAGGTGGGGCTTTATCGCCTATAGGTGTGCAAGGACGGTGAATATTAATGCTTATATCAGTGTGCTCGGCCAGGCGCTCGAGGAAGACTTCGCCGGCCCATTTGGTTGCTGTGAGCCCGTCAGACCCGTCGAGAGGAGGGGGATGAAAGGACACGGAGGTGGGCCCGAGTGCAGTTTGTCCAGACTGAAGGATGACTCTCCCGGACGAGATAAAGTGTAGGGGCACGTGTGACCGAAGGGCGAACTCGGCTAGGCGATGAGTTGAGCCAAGGTTTGGCGTCTTCAAGGAGTTGTAAGTATTGAGACAATGGCCATTGGAGCCATTATGAATCACTACGTCGATGCAGTCTTGCAAGGACTCCCATTCGGTGGTAGAAAGACCAAATGTTGGGTCAACAAGGCTTCCATAATAGAGTGACACTTTGTCGCTGGTGGGAAGGACATGTTCTTGCTCTTTTTCCACAGCGATACAATGCACCCTGTTCACCTCAGGTATCTGTAAAAGGGCTTGCACCAGCACTCTGCCCAGAAAACCTGTAGAGCCGGTGAGTAGAATTTGACAATTTGGTCCATGGCAAGGATTGGATGGTTTGCCTTTTTGAGCTGAGCCTGCACAATCGAGCATATGTTGCGGAACGACTGTTTCCGCGAGCCAATTAATCGTCAAAGATGGTGCTTCGGCCTTACGGGCATCAACCTTAAGCGCCATTTGCGCCAGTGTGCTGGCACTGTACAGTTCTCGGAGAGTGACTGACACACCAATGGAGGTGCGGATCGCGCCTTGTAACCTGACCAGCTTCGTGGAATCTCCACCGACGACGAAAAAGTCAGACTCGGGTTGAATGTGCCTTCCAGGTAGCAAAACTTGCCAAAGGAGTTTGAGCTCCCCCTCACCCAAAGTGAGCCGTTTAGACGCTTGGCTTACTGTGGTTGGCGCCGTCCATGGCATGGCCTCTATTTTCTTGCGGTCAACCTTTCCATTGGCATTCCGAGGTAACTCATCTAGACACATGACTGTTGAAGGGTGCATGTATTGGGGCAAGGGAAGATTGCTAGCAAGATGCTGTAGATCGGCGTCGCTGGCAGTCTGCCCAGGCATCAGGGCAACGAAGGCAACGAGCGTTTCCGAGACGCCCTGGCCCTTGACACAAACGATGGCTGATGATAGCAGGTTCGGATGGCAGTTGACCATTGTGGATGCCACGTCTTCAAGGTCAATACGAAGTCCACGAAGCTTGATTTCCGTGTTCCCGTCCATTCGGCCCAACAGAATTAGAGAACCATCCTCAAGCAGTTTGGCTTTGTCGCCGGTACGGTACATTCGAATCCATCCTTTAGCTATATCATCAGGTGAAGCAAATGGGTCTCGGACAAATTTCAACCTGGTCTGCTCCTCGTTTTGGTATCCCAATGCAAGACCGATGCCACTGATGCAAATTTCTCCAGGCTCCCCAAATGAAACAAGATTGCAGTTCGCGTCCACAATATACAAAGAAGTGTTTGGAATTGTTCTTCCAACGCTCCGGGCCCCTTCGAGCTGGGAGGCAGACATCGTCTCAAAGGTTGTGCAAGCCGAAATTTCCGTCACACCGTACGAGTCCTGTACTGCAGGACAATGCTGTAGCCGTACAAACTCCCGCTTGAGCTGGTCTGTGAATGGCTCACCACCTAGACAGGCGTTACGCCATCCGGTGTAATGGCTGAGGTATTCACGGCCATGTTGAAGCATGACAAGGTATTCAGACGGCGTCGCTAACGTGAAAGAAACTTTTTGATCGCGGATAATTCTCGCAATTTCGATTGCATCCCCTCGAACTTCCTGTGGCACAATGACAAGTTTTCCTCCGTTCATTATGGCATTGAGAGTCTGGGCAAGTCCCATATCGAACCCCAACGAGCTTTGCTGAAGAACGACCGTTGAGCTATTGAGACCTAGCTCTTTCCTCTTAGCAGCGAGGTAGTTAATAAACCCGCTCTGGGGCAGACAGACACCTTTCGGCTGGCCTGTTGAGCCGCTTGTGTACAATAAAATGGACAAAGAGCCACCATTTCCGTTGTCAGTGAGCCTCGTGCCGCGAGTTCGAGAGGAGGGAATTTCGGAAATGTTGAGGATGGTTGAGACTCCCAATTCCGAGACTTTCTTAGCGGTTGAAGAGACACAAATTAACGCTCTAACAGAAGACGCTGCGATCATGGCTTTGTGTCTTGCTGCAGGGAGGCTAAGGTCGAGGGGCACGTAAACTGCGCCGATGCTGAGAATTGCTAGGAGGCTTGCAACTGAGCTGATTGACGGATGGCATAAGACTGCAACTGTGTCCCCAGTTTTGACTCCTTTCTGAAGCAAAGCGTCTCCGATGTGTGTGCTTTGCGCGTGAAGCTGATGATAGCTGTAATCTCTATCTTGGTCCGTGACTGCAGTTCTATCTCCGTATTGATCGGTCATTTCCTGGAACCTTTCCGGCAAGGTCGCTGGCCAACCGTGAGATATTCTTTGGCCACGTTGAACCGAGAGACCATCCTCATTGGTGGAGGAAGGGCTATCAAGACTCTTATGAACGGAAAGTGAAGGATCTGAGGACGTAATTTCCAGTAGCTTGATATAATCATCGATGATTTTGTCTGTGGCTTCAGGTGAGTACAAATAGTCCCGACAATTTACTTCCACAACAGAGGTGCCCTTCGTATGGGGGGTGACATGAAAAGAGATATCGTATGGCGCATTTCCCATTACACTCCGCTCGTAATTGAGGTTGAAGTCGGCCACGGACATCTGGGTAATATCTCCCACGCGGTAGTTGATGGCGACCTGGAAGAGAGGCGTTACATTTGGCGCTCGCGGGATCTTCAAGGCGTCCACGACCAAGTTGGAGGGGATTGAAGAATTCAACAACGCTTTTAGGACTTGAGAAGATGTCTGCTTGAAAACATCAGAAAAACTGTCTGTTTGCTGAACCTGGAACCGAAGAGGTAGCATGTTCAAAAAGTAGCCCACGGTGTCAGTGAACTGCTGGTGCTTGCGATTTGCATCGCTCATTCCAATACACAAATTTTCGATCTTCAGCTGCCCGGCGAGAAATACTTGTAAGGTCGCTAGGTAGAAATGAAACGGTGTGCCTCGAAGATTGCGACTCGCTTGCTTGATTCTGTTCGTGACCTCTATGCTAAGATAACGTGTTGATTTGTGTAAGTTAAAATTGTCTGTTGGTGTGCGAGTCTTTTCCTTCGCAAGAGGGAGGACTGGCATCATTTCTGGAGGTGGTGAAAGCTCAGATTGCCAGTACTCTAGCTCCTTCACAAAAGCTCTGTTCTCGATGTCGCGATTCAGTATTAGGGAGTAGTCGATGTATTGCGCAACTTCGCGTAAGGGCTTCTGCTCATAGAAGCACTTCAGGTCGTGCAAGAATGTAGACCAACTAGCCCCGTCCATGACAATATGGTGATACCCGAATATGACTGTGTGATGATCTTGCCCAACCGACACCACTGTAACCCGCATAACTTCACCTTGTTCCAGGTGCCATTGGTAAGACGCTAGCTTATCAAATTCGCGTGCTACAGAGGCAGCACTGGAAGTCCTAACATGCTCAAAAAAGGGTAACGGGGTTTTCAATATACCCTGAAGGAGGTCACTATTATTGGGATCTGAAAAGAATGCAGTCGATAAAGATTCGTGCCGTGAGATAGCCTGTTCCAAGGCTCTCTTGAACTTGTCGACTGCAAAAGTTCCCTCGACGCTGTATGATATAACGACATTGTACTGAGTAGGGTCCTTCATCCAATAACCCGCGAACCATATCTGAGACTGGTGAGGAGACATTTTTTCAACCCGTGTGAACCTTGGTTCTAAGTCGATTCGTTCTTTCTCGGATTCAGTTTCAGAAAGGCATAGGACACGGGATGAATCTGAGCTAGTGGCATCGAGTCGCAGCTCTTGAACTGAGCTACTGTCGTCTGAGCGGCATGTATCTGTCACGACATCTACAAAATCGAGATCTTGAGCAACAAGTTCGTCTTCCTTCTGCATGATTATGCTTTGGACTTCGGACTGTGGGAAAGTTTTCTCGCACAGCTCTACAATAGTGTCCAATAGTGCATCCATGGGGGTAATATCGATGTTGAATTCTTTGGCAAGCCATGCCTGGATATCCACGGCCAAAAGCGAGTCACAGCCGAGATCCAATAGGGAGGTGTGCACATCCAAAGTCCGATCGGTAAGCTGGAGAAGTGACATGACCTTGGTCGATAAACGCGCAAGCAAATTGTCGTACGCATTTTGATCAGACTTTGTTTCTTGCAGCTGCTCGTCAGGAAGAGGCGAAGGTGAGCTATCGTGCTCAGAAACTTGCCTCTCCCTGTCCTGGGATTGAGGCGTAATGAAGTGAGAAAGCAAATGGTTTGAGGTGAATATGGACTCTCCGCCTTGGCCAACCTGTGAGTCAATCATCTGTAACCCAAAGAATATTTCGGGATTTTCATCACTCTCCAGTGCTCCGGCAGCTACCACTTCACCAAAAGCATCGTGTAAGTCAGACTCAGACAGAGGCGCGTAACCACGGTGCATCATGCGCTGTATCATGTCCTTGCCTTGCTTAGCGAAGTACGCAGCATCAACAACCATTCCAATAGCCAGAACTGAGCCCACCAGGCCTCTCAGCCTTCGCTGTTGTATGAGACCGGTCAAAAATTGTGATGAGGCATGACATGCAATCTGTTTTGGATCTCCGATAAGAGGTGAAAGAGAGGTCAGGATGACGAAGAAGTTCAGTTCCGGTGTCGGGAATAGTTCGTCGAGATACGTTGCTGCATTAATGGTAGAAGTTGCGGCCAGACTTGATCCACCTTTGGCAGCATGCTCATACCCTTGGTCAGAGAGAGCCAAGGGAGAATAACATACACCTGCAATAGGTGGTAAAGCCTCCTTGATGTGGGTAAAAGCCGACAAAATGGACTTTTTGTTCGAGGCATCCATCTTCAAGGGCTTCACCGTAGCTCCCAGCCGAGACATGTCCTGCAGCCAAGCCTCGCCAACACGTGGATTTCTGCTGGCGAGAACAAATGTTCTTGCTCCATTTCTAGCCATCCACTTCAGGATTGACAGCCCAAGTGGTGTTGCCATGTCAATCATCCAATAGGTTCCGCCTGAGGAGAACATAGTTGTGGGATTTACCATGTCGCCCAAGCTCGCTGTCGAGGTAGGGCCTGTCCACTCTACGACATTTGGATAAGCGACAAATGAATTGGTTGACGAGTCTTCTATCTGAGAAGTAACGTCAAAGGCTGGCATTAGAAGAGTCGACAGGGTAGTACATGCTTGAGCATAAGCATCCATGATAAGCTGCCTAAGATTTGTAGGAATCGCATAGCGATATAACTCAACCACCTGGATCCGAGCCTGGGAACATATATCGCGGAGATTTGTCCTTAAATTATGGCCATCGGCACAAGAACAATCGACAAAAACCGATACTTGGCTCGGCAGCAATTTCAACGCCATACGTCGCGTCGCATGCGGGTGGATTGCTATCCACCCTTCCTTTGAATCCTTATGCTTCGAGGTGACGAGATACACTTCTTGCTGAGGCTTGCGCACTTTCTCAATAGCAGCAACGACTAACTCATCAGGCTCGTAAAGAAGGAGTGGCCCAGAATGAGACTTTAGAAGAGAATATACTAATATGAAGCCAGCCGTAAGTCGCAATGCATCTGCGCTCAAGTCATCCTTGATAGAAACATTATGAACCTTCTCAGGGCTTGCTTGGATGACAGATGAGATATGGTCAGAAGCACCGATGGCGCAGGCCGTTCCGTCGACACGTGCGCCAAACCAAAGATAGACATCAGTAGAAACACGACATGAATATCTGATCTGGATGGCTACCGAGTTTTCCGAAACGCTGGGTGAAAGAGTCGCCGATGCTTGTAGGAGCCCGGCTGTTGGCCGGACTTGTCTGCGCCTGGAATTGTATCTCTCGTTTCGTTTGTAGTCCTGCACCAGTCGCGGTATACGCAGTGTACGTCCGTCCCAGTGCATTTCAGGCTCATTTGTCCACAGTATTTTCCCATCAGTTAACGTAGACAGGGAAGAGGATGTGAGGCGCAAGAAGACCTCAACCACAGTGGAAGGCGAAACAGTTGCCATAGTGGAAAAATTGAGAACTTGTAGATTGATATCGCATGTTTTCTCTGATCTCATTGTCCTGCCGATAGCACCACTGATGCTTGTCATTTGTCCAGATGTTAACCAAAGGACATGATTAGACCTTTCAACAAGATGCTTAAATGCCGCCAGTCTTTCATTGAAGAGGCTTCTGGAGAAGAACGGCTCGTCGAGCTCCACCAGTGATATGATGGAATGCTTCTTTGTGAGACTACTGAGGTCTAGCTGGTCAAGATCTTCCGTTATAATGGTTGCGGTGCCTGACGCGGCGATAGCCCTTTGAATGCTCTGGAGGAGACGTGATACTAATAGTGTCTTGCCACCAATCAAGACCACAGTCTCTGTTGGTGGCACCAGCCCTGTCGAAATCATTGGTTCGCGAAGCATCATAATCGTATCATCCACTGCCTGAGTAACCATTACTGAGAGGCCGTCCCCATTTGGATGCATTGAGGTATGAGAGATATGATCGATGCCTGAAAATCCCTTCGAGCGAAGTTGCGAGTCATAACGAACGGTTGACATATCTGACCAAGTCTGGGCATCTTGATCGTACCCTTGCCACCATTGGGGAGACGAGCCATACGCACATAACAACGACATTGGCATTCGCCCGATGAGCCTAATGAATACTAGGTAACCGCCAGGCTTCAGCATTGCACGACAGGCCTCGAAAAGGCTGGCGGATGTATCGGTCGCATGGAGAAGCTTCGCAGCAATCACCATGTCATACTTGTCGTTACTACATTCATCAGCCGTGCCAGTGGCAGCATCAATGAGTTTAGAAGAAACGTTGCGATGCTGAGCTGCGAATCTGGTCGCCGTTTGGTTGAGTAATACTGAATCCGAGCTTCCGAGACAATAGGATGTATACTTGTCATCAAGGGCTTCCAATATTGTCTGGGTCATATCAGAGTCAGAATCATAATCAAGAATGTTCATATGTGGATGCTTGTGTACAATGCGTCTGACAGTACTGAAAACGTCCTTGCTCAGCTGGGAAAGCACACCAGCAGCCGGACATGAGCCCTCGTGTCCCTCAGACGTGCGAAGCAGCCCAGAGTCCACTTCCCCTCGCAGGATCGCTGGTAGGGCCTCGCCGAGTGAATGAAGTGACCGAAGATCCCCATATCGTTCAGATTGCTCTATTATTGTGAGGATGCCCTCATCTGGCGCTTTAGCACGATCGCACTGAGCAGTGTAACACTCAGAGCCAATATTATAGGCAATGCGGTTAATCTCATGGTAAAAGAGACAACGGTGCGGCATAAATGATACAGACTCGAGTGGATCGATCTCATCAACTGCTCTTCGGAAGTTATGCAAGGCAACTATGTCTGCCGCATTGAGCCACATCATCATCTTCTCATTCGGTGCAGGATATTCAGATATTGATGAATATCCAAGAGGGTCGGTCTCCCAGACCACATGCGAGAACAGGTCGCTGTCACTTGAAGTATCAGGTTGAGACTCGCTCGCCATAACTAAACCTTCAAGTTGCATCATGGTGTTTCCGTCCAGATCGAACAACGACACATCACCTTCTATTCCGTCACTGCCAGCTCCAGTCACAAAAGCGTCTATTTCGCAAGAACGGGCCCCGAAAGAAAAGCGAGGCGTAATGAGGACTCGATGAATCTCCTTTGCGTGAAATGGAGTGCCCTGCCGTTTACTCAGTGGTGAAGCAAAGGCACACATCATTGCCTGGAACGCTGATTCTACCATGGCTGGATGAAGAACGGACCCTGAGATTACCGTGTCGGTTGGCCAGATAGCAGAAGCAGTGGCTTCATCGAGAGATCGCCGGATCAAGTTGATGCCGCGAAACAAACCAGAATAGCTTATTCCAGCCTGTTCAAATGAGTCGTACAGATCGGCAATGTTCACCGGCTGGAGAAGGTGATTTGGCTCCTCCCTTGGGAGTAAGCTATCGGAGTCCGGGGGGTTGCTTTCACTGAGATGAAGCGTCAGACGTGCCGTGCATAGTTTGGTTAAAATAGTTCCGTCCGCTTCACAACCATAGCAGGATGCTTCAGCGTCAAGCCCAGCGTTCTGACTTGTCTCGCTGCCTTCCCTGTAAAATCTTATCCTCGTGATATATTCTACTCCGTTACCATGCTCTTCCATAGCTATAGGTTTCATGACAACGAAATTGTTTAACTCGAATAACACCAGGTGTTGAGATGCAGCTACGGAGTTAGCAGCAGATAATAAGGAAGAAATGTAGAATGCCGCTGAAAATACATCTTGGCCCTTTTCCTTGCGTCCTTGAGCCCAGTGCAGCTCCTTCAGATGTAGGATATTTCTCCAAGAAATCTCGTTTGGGAATTCGTTGGCAGACCGCCGACCCAATAGCGGGTGCAATTGCGTGCCCTCGAGGCGGTATCTTCGCGATACCCGGGACTCCCTCCAGTGTATCATCTCATGGTCCCATGAATAGGCTGGCAGTCCCTTGATTAGTTGCAAGGACTGGCTCCTAGAGACTTGCAGAAACTTTGAAACGTCTATGCGGTGGGCCATACGTTCCCAGAGGGAACCGAACGCCAGTGATGCAGCCTTGAGGTCATTCTGCCCTCGGTGAAGTAACGATGTATAAAGAACGTTTTGCTTGCCTTGTGATTTTAACGTATCCAACGTAGGACGAAGAAGAGCCGGATGGGGTCCGATCTCAATACATCCACCAAGGTTTTGACTGTCACGAACTGATTCTTCAACTGCCTGGGAAAAGAGGACGGGCTTGACCATGTTATCAACCCAGTACGTTGCAGAGAACGCTTGGAGATCCCCCTTACATATTTCATTTCTTCTCGTTACACTTGAGATCCATGTACAGCCCCTCCTAGCCCTTTTCACATGGATATTGCATGCTCTCAATGATTTCAGGTATGCAGCAGAACAAGGAGCCATGTGATGTGAGTGGTATGCAACATCAACTTGCAAAGTTCTTGCAAATGTCTTCTTACGGTCAAGAAGTGTCTTGGCCTCAAGAATCGCATCGTAATCGCCCGATAGTGTTGTGCTCGTAGGTCCATTGCTCGCTGCTACCACGATTCTTCCAGAAAACGACGGCCGAGAGCACAATTCATTGGCATCATCATAGGAAAGGCCAACGGCGAGCATGCCGCCTGATTTATTCGGTTTAGCGTGTAGCCCCCGGTAATATGCGATTTTCATGCAATCCTCTGCTGAAAGCATGTCGAGAGCATAGGCGGCCACTATCTCGCCGGACGAATGGCCCACAACCACATCAACATTGAGCCCAGATGCACATAACAGGTCATAGATGGCTATTTCAATTGCGGTTGTTACTGGCTGACTTATTGCAGGGCTAGAGAGATTTGATGAGGATTTGTCTGCTAAAAGCTCGGCCTGCAATGACCACGAGGGCCCGTCATGGAGATTTGCCAGTGCACGCTCACACCGCTCGATAGACTTGCGAAAGATGGGACAGGCAGCGAGGAGCTCCCGACCCATTCCAGCCCATTGTGCGCCTTGTCCAGTGAAAACTCCCATAATACTCAGTGGCTCGTGTGGGTGCTTCCGTGGTAGTTGGCCTTCCTTGCACGTTTTGCTAGAGTTGTACTCCTCAATGGCCTCGTCCATATTTTCGAGAAGCTCTTCTCTGCCTAAGGCAGCGATAGTGAGCTTAAATGGTAGTACTGTCCTTTTTGACAAGGTCCAGGCTAAGTTGCAGAGATCTACTTGCTCGCTACTTCTCACATATCGAGCTGTTTGCTTAATAGTGTCATAAAGGGACTCTGGAGTGTGTGCAGAGAAGGTGAATGGGCCACCGAACGAGTCTTGACAACAATCGACATTAACTTTTGACTGAGAGGTTGCATAGCTCTCAATGATGGCATGGGCATTGGTTCCTCCAAAACCAAAGGAATTCACGCTTGCCCTCAAGGGGCAGCCATTGGCAACTGGTGGCCATGGCACAGCGTTTGTTGGAACTCTTAGATAATCATAAAATGGAGTGATCTGAGGATTGAGATTGTCGAAAAGCATGTTTGGCGTGATAGTCCGGTTCTTGATGCATAGCATTGCCTTCATAAGGCCGGCTAGACCTGCACAACCTTCTAGGTGGCCGATGAGTGTCTTGATACTGCCCACATAGAGCTTGTCGTCAGGGCTAAAAACGACATCTTTGGGGTAGAAAGTCTCCTGGATTGCCCGTGCCTCGACGGGATCTCCAGCTTGTGTTCCAGTCCCATGGCATTCAAAAAACTGGCATCTGTCACGCACGGGATCCAGACCACTCCGTTCGTAGGTCTCGCGGATTAATGCCGCCTGTGCCTCTGCGCTGGGCATCGTAATTCCCGCCGATCTCCCGTCCGAGTTGACAGCAGTCTCTCGAATAATGCATTCTATATCGTCGCCGTCTTTCAGGGCCTGATCCAAGGTCTTGATCACAACAGAAGCGCACCCTTCGCCTCGGGCATAACCGTCAGCATCCTTGTCCCACATGCGACATCTTGATGTTGGGGACAGCATATGTAGGTGCGAATGACTAATGTAGATTTCAGGGTCCAGCAGGAGATTGACGCCGCCAACAATCGCGGTGGTACAATCGCCGGTGCGCAAACTCTGGACTGCCTGGTGCAACGCCACTAGTGAGCTGGAACATGCAGTGTTGATAGTCATTGATGGCCCTTTCAAGTCAAAGAAGTATGAGATGCGATTTGAGAGAACGCTTGGTGACGTTCCTGTTGCATGCCATCGACTGATTGTGTCCAAATCACGAGCTTGAATGTCGTGATAATCCGAGGTCATAGCACCAACAAACACGGCTGTGAAAGAACCGCGCATCTGTTCTAATGTATATCCCGCAGCCTCGAGCGCCTCATATGTCGTCTCTAGCAAGATGCGCTGTTGTGGATCCATCGCCTCTGCCTCCGCCGCACTGATGTTGAAAAAGGCAGCATCGAAGCGATCGACATCATCGCCTAGTAAATAGGACTTGTTTGGTACATCTGTCGCACCATGATGCCCGCCATTTTCATGGTGGAAGCTGGACAACTTCAACCGTTTGGGATCTAGATCTCCGAGAACATCCTTCGGGTTGGACAACAACTTCCAGAGTTGCGAAGGTGAGGCTACCTGACCTGGGAATCGACAAGCGGTCCCAACAACGGCAATCGGTGTCTTCATAGCAGTGAGATAGTCTTCGCTTGGATAGGAGAAACTTTCCAGCGATGATACAGAGTAGTGCGGCCGACTGAGCAACAAAAATGCCTGGACGACTTACAGCAAGAGGAAAATCATGTCCATCTATGGAATGCTATCGTAGCATTCGGAGTGTTGTAGACTGTATTCAGTCTGTGGCGCACAGTATCCAGCTGAAGCGACATCTTGTTGAATCATAGGAATGTTACAGTCTACCCGCTCGCCCAATCGTTATACTTGCGTGATGTCTCATCGGACGGTGGAGCATCGGATGCTGTTGTCTCTCGCGGATAATAGATCTGGTCTAGATCTCGACGATCACTATCTCGGTTTTGAGCACTGAGAGAACTTGACCGAAAATGGCCGGGTACGGGAATAGATAGTAGTCTATCCATTGTGACTTTGTCATTTGTACATCTACTCAATCATCCCGAGTGGCTGGCATTACCCCCACAGCAGCAAAAGTGCGATCCGTGTACTTTCAGGGAAAGACAACTTCAAGGGCAAGAATGTGGGCCACAGCCAACAGTCTTTAGGGCACATGAGCTCAGAGCCAGTTGTATCTAACGTGTCTGTCACCCCCTACATTCCGTCTAACAAAGATCCTTATTTTCCATCGTAGAGAACACACCCTCGACAATGGACGAGATTTACCGCAGTCTCGATGAATTCGAAAGCTTACACTCATCCCTGTCTACGCGGATCACTGTTTCTAGTGCATTTCGGCTGCATAACAAATTTGCTCGAATAGTGCTCGTAAGCTCCAATAACGCAGTTGAAAAGAGGGGGTGAAAACTGCCCCCCTTTCTGGGTTCAGGATCACCTTCAAGTATCATGTCTACGATGTCTTAGTCGACCTACAAGATATGGAGCTACAGCAGCCATCTCTACACATGGGTTTGCATTGCCAGAGTCATATGATCAATGTCACAAACGTACAGTGAGAGTGATGCCCCACCAAGCGAGTGATGGATATAAGGCTATATCTTGAGTAGACATTGATTGAGCCAGGGTAGGCAGTGTCCCTTTGATGCCCCTCATTCGATATTCGACTCTGATTTCATACTACGAATCTGTATCCTAAACGTTAAACGATGTACATCTCCAAGAAGGAACCGGCACAGCTGCCAAGGCCTTTCTATGTGCTTAGCCAAGTCCTGAAATTCTCTAGCGAACATCACGCAAAATGGTGGTATAGCACCACTCCTATGTTTGCCACGATGATGGCGGAAGCCGGCTATGATGTCCACTCACAGTACAAGTTCCTCTGCATCCACCGCGAGATCATCATTCCGACGTTGGGTCCATACCCTGAAAAAGGTCAGCCTATGCACTGGAGGAGCCATCTGACACGCTTTGGCCTTCCTTTCGAGCTGAGCTTCAATTATTCCAAATCACTACTGCGATTCGCTTTCGAACCCCTCGGTCCCTTGACAGGAACACGACATGATCCATTCAATACCCAGGCCATCGGGTCTGTTCTCCAAGACTTCAAAGCAATGGTTCCAGGACTGGACCTTGAATGGTTCCAACATTTTATCAACGCCTTGGTCATTTCGGACAAGGAGGCTCAGAGTCTGTTCGATAGAAACATTGAGATCCCCGCGTTCAAGACGCAAAACAAGCTGGCAGCGGATCTAGAGCCGTCTGGCGATATTGTCCTGAAGACCTACATCTACCCACGGATGAAGTCAATCGCGACTGGGACGCCAAAAGAGACACTGATGTTTGACGCAATCAAGGCTGCTGATACTTGTGGGAGCGTTTCCACTCCACTGGCAATCCTCGAGGAGTTTATAGCTGAGCGAGCGCCTACCCTCATCGGCCACTTTCTCTCCTGTGACCTGGTCAAGCCATCCGAGTCCCGGATCAAAGTCTACTGCATGGAACGCCAACTCGATCTGGCCTCTATCGAGGGTATCTGGACTTTGAACGGGAGACGCAACGATACAGAGACCTTGGACGGACTAGAAGCGCTGAGGGAGCTATGGCAGTTGTTGCCCATCAAACAGGGTCTGTGTCCACTACCGAACTGCTTTTACGAGCCCGGTGCCTCTCCACAAGAGCAACTCCCCTTTATTATCAATTTTACGTTGTCTCCAAAGAGTCCACTGCCCGAACCACAGATCTATTTTCCCGCTTTTGGGCAGAACGATGGAGTCATCGCCAAAGGGCTGGCCAAGTTCTTTGAGAGGAGAGGATGGGGTGGCTTGGCCAAAAGCTATCCATCGGATTTGGCATCGTACTAGTAAGTGCATCCGGCCATGTTCATAGATGAACAGGACTAATATGCAGCCGCAGTCCGGATGTCGATTTGGATACCGCAAATCACCTGCAGGCGTGGATCTCGTTCTCTTACAAGGGCAAAAAACCGTATATGAGTGTCTACCTCCACACCTTCGAAGCTTTCAGCGCCGCAGCCCAGGAGGTCGCCATGCGTCGTGGGGGTTAGATAGATTACTACAAGAAGTTTGACTTTCATTGCGATACATCCATCAATAAGTGTATTGGTCCTTCTGTCTCATTTCAGCTAGCTTGGAGTGGAAACATATTCCCATGTTCTAGACATAGGTGTTTCAGATCCAGGCAGAGATATGATTTGCTTACGGTAAAGTTCTACCGAGCCTAGATTTCCTCCTTAGTTACACGTCCTATTGCCTACGTCCGTGAGCAGCAATCTGCTCATCATAGCTCTAACATTGTTCATTATTACGGCACTCTCGATAAATCCGATGTGACTTTCAGCAACAGCCAAATATGGGTCGGAGCTCTCAGTGCGGTGATACGTGATGCAGCTCTTTGTAGCTCAGACTTCAGTGAGATTTTATACCGTTGTACGAGTTACTAGTAGACTGATGGACCACTTAAGATCAAATTTATTGACGAGATACCAATTCCTATAGCTACATGCAATCTTCGCTGTTATAGAGGATCATGGCAACTACCTAGTTAGAATCCATCTGATCGAGAACCTGATTGGTATACCCCCAAAGCAAGGTCGAGTAGTCCGAAGCCCAAGTAGCGCCCGTCCAGAATGTGCTGTTCAACCCCTGGAGCTCATAGAGCTGTCGATAGAACCCTCCACGAATTTCCTCCGCTGAAACGAACATGGTAACCGGAGTGTGGCTCGCAAACTTGACAACATCATACTCATGGGTGGAGTATGTTCCTTCATTACGGAGCAGTTGAAGCTTCTCATCCATGTACGCCTTGGCTTCGTCCTTTCCAAAGTTAGATCCGCCGACCAGCTTGACGTTGTGATAGCCAGGGGCCCAATGGTTATCCACGCGCCAAATAAATGGTTCCTCGGGCACGCCATATGGGCGGTCTGCGTCGACATTTATGATATTCACATCGTCAGGGAGACCGGTGTTGTTGACAAGTGTAGCCCAGTACTGGTGATATTGCCACTTTGAGAAAAGGTAGGATTCTTGCTCACTGAGCGGAAAGCCGTGGAGGTTGTCCAGCAAGGGCGGAATGGTGACCAGCAGTTGCTTTCCTTGAAGGAGAGTCTTGGTTCCATCGGCACTGCGCACGATGACTTCTACGCCATCCTCAGAGCGCTGTACAGACTCGGGTGTCGTTTCCAAGAGGACGTCGCTGCCGAGCTCCTTACCAGCAGCCGTATACAGAGCGGCAATTCCCTCTATAGGCCGGACATAGCCCTCATTCAAGGCAGCGGCATGGGGTAGACCGATGTACTGGATGACGTAAAGGGTAATCATGTCGAGAACGTCGCCGGATGTGTGGGAGAAGAGAGCGTAAACGGAATCTTCAAGGTCATACTTCTTCACGAATTCGGCGAAAGGACTAATGAGATCCTCTGGCACAGGCTCTGGGATTCGGTAAGCACCGTCATCCAAGAAGCCGAACTGAGAAATGGCATCGACCCATTTGGCGAATGCTTCCCTGTCTTGAAGCTGGCCTGGAGGGTATTCTATTCTTTTCCCCGTGTTGAGGTCCACGTAGTCCTCGCGCGCGGGAGCAGGGTTGCGTCGCCCATAGGGCACCTGAAGTCGCTCGAGATAGTTCCGAGTCACGCTAGTGTTGAAGAATCCCTCCACACCAAAGTTCAGAGGCGTGTTGTCTGCGGTATAGTATGTTTCGCCGTGACCGCCGAGATAGTCATTACGTTCGACAACAGTGACAGTCTTGCCTTGATCCCTGAGACGAATTGCGGCATACGTCCCCGAACTCCCACCACCAAGGATGATTACATCGCGAGAGATGGTGTTGTGGGCGCCGACACCACTCGCCAGTGTAAGACAGGCGATAGTGGAAAGGGAGAGGAAGGTCAAAATGCTAGGAGCCATGTTTGGGAATCCCAGAAATGAAAATAAAGGATGGCAGAATCAATCCAATGAGCAAATCGCAAGGATTCAAATAGCAGACGATCACACAATACCCGAAGAAATCGAAGGTATAGAGTTGCTTACGAGCTTTCTTTTCTTATGTCTTGAGTGCTTGATTGTACCTCTCGAGGACTTGGCATCATGTAGTTTATATCCAGGAGGTCAAGATTTGCAAAATCATTGACTATACTTGTTGTAAACTATTCCAATCGTTCACATCATAGATACCAAGGTAGAGAGTAACAATACATCTGCGCATATTTGTTCTGACTTGGAATGTCTCATTCTTGCCCCTCCCATCTACTGCAAGGAAACAACTTTTTTCCCTTTACACGGGCCCAACTACGTCTCATTTGAAACTGATCATGACACCCGATGGCGAGCTTCCTCACTTTTCCCGCCGGCGCCTTGCCTAAGAGTTCCTTGAATGCTTCGTTGACTCTCGGGAGAGCAAGAATCCGTGATTCAAAGCAATATCAATCTAATGGTGGAGAAGCTGCGCGAGGAGGTCTCAGAAGGGAAGATACCTGAAATGGCGAATTGGTTGAGTGAAAGTTCTTTTGAAGTCTCAGACCAAGAAGTCCTCAGCTGACTCGGTGCATGAACAGCCTCAGTATTCTGTAACGTTCTACCTGATCGGGGAGCCTGTATTCAGCGACATCTACGAGTGTCTCAAGAACTGATGCTATCGGGTACTATCAAGGGATTTCCCATGTCCCGCAAGGTGCGGTTCGTTCCTAAATCCTTACGCCGTAAATTCATCACGCAACAGGCAATATGCGTAACAAGGTACAGCATCACATTAACAGAGAGTTCTATGAAGAACTTACGACCGAGCTTGTTCGATTCGTAGAACAATAGGCTCGAGCGGCACGAAAGGAACCAGGAGTAGTTACAGCTCCACACTTATCGCCGGCAGCAAGGCGTTCAAACGTTGTATTACCCGACCCAGAACGACGATACCAAGTGATCGCCGATATCCGAAACACGTTCGGTAGCGATAGACACGAACTAGACCAGTGCCAACCACCCTAGAAGGCCAATCAGGCGGTCAATGGGGACGGGATAATAAGACAGTTTATCGGAGGTCAAGATCTGCAACGTCCTTGACTCACACATTGCATGCCAGTCGCATCGTCCATACCAATCCCATCATGCATACCAAGGCAGCACTCACTGCATCTGATCATTTTGATTCTGACTTAGAATGTTTGATTCTCGCCCCGGTTTCGTACTCAAGCGATATTGTTCTGCTGCGGTCTCTCGTCATGGGTTGGTCGTTTGACGCCTGAACATTTCCGTTCGTCTATACCCAGTCAGGCACTGCACGCCTAACGCTTCATCTCAGCGAAGCTGACCAAGTGCGTCCACGGTCAATTCGCTATATCATCCACCAAGCACTTTCTGCTAGATACTTGCTGGGAACATGGCTCCTCAGGAAGAGACTCATGACCTGGGAGGTGGCTCGACAGAAGAGGCTTCAGAACTCTTCACCCAAGAGGTGGGCTGGGATGGGCCGAGTGATCCAACGCGGCCGGTGAATTGGTCGAGGAAGAAGAAATGGTGGGACATGGGGATTATCTCGTTTCTCACCTTTCTCACACCATTGACATCGTCCATCGTTGCACCGGCCCAGGGGCTTGTGATGAATGATTTCCACTCAACCAACAGGACTCTGGCCTCCTTCGTCGTCTCCATCTACCTTGTCGGCTTCGCCGTCGGACCGCTGTTCCTAGCGCCACTCTCAGAAATCTACGGGCGACTTCGCGTCTACCAAGTTGGTACCCTTATTTTTACAATCTGGAATATCGCATGCGCTCTCGCCCCTAATGTCGGTGCGCTCCTGGTCTTTCGCCTGTTCGCCGGGATCTCTGGCAGCGGGCCAGTCACGTTGGGTGCAGGATCTGTCGCGGATATGTTCGCTCGAGAGGAGCGAGGAGTTGCCATGGCTATCTACGGCCTCGGCCCGCTCCTTGGCCCTGTTATCGGGCCCATCGCCGGTGGTTACATTTCCCAGGCGCAAGGTTGGAGATGGGTTTTCTGGCTGTTAGCCATTGTGGTTAGTCTAGAGTTCGCTTCGTCTACAATTTATCTCAACATGCTCACTGGCTAATCGATATAGTCCGCGGTTGCGGTTATTCTTGTCATTCTCCTCTCCGAAACCTACGAACCGGTTCTCTTGCGGCAAAAAGCAACTCGAATGAGACGAGAGAACAAAACGGTGGACGTGACAGGACAAGCCCTCAAGCTAGGTTCACGCAACATTTTCATCCAGTCTATAACCCGGCCGACGAAATTACTTTTCCTCACCCCAAATGTCGCCTTGTTCTCTCTATACACAGGTAAGTAACTACGTGACTCCAAAAATCGGATTTGACAAAGGCCTAAACGCGTGGGCATAGGAGTGGTGTTTGGCTACCTCTACCTGCTATTTACCACGGTCACCGAAGTATACGAGACGACCTATCATTTTAGCCAAGGGGCCACAGGACTTGTTTTCATAAGCATTGGCATCGGAGCCCTCATTGGCATTTCCGGCTTTGGTGCCCTTTCCGACAGGATCCAAAACCTGCTCATCGCACGAAATAACGGTCAACCAGAGCCAGAATTCCGACTTCCGCCACTCATCCCGGGAAGCTTCCTAATACCCATCGGGCTCTTCTGGTACGGCTGGTCTGCCCAGCCGCATATCCATTGGATAATGCCCATGATCGGACTTGGCTGGGTCGGCTGTGGGATGATCGCCACCATCCTCCCCATTCAAGCCTACCTCGTTGACGCTTTTGGCGAATATGCTGCCTCAGCTATCGCGGCGAATACTGTCGTGAGATCCGTTGTTGGAGCCTTCTTGCCGCTTGCTGGGCCTTCGATGTATGCTAAGCTAGGGCTGGGATGGGGCAATTCCTTGCTTGGGTTGATCGCTTTGACCATGTTACCGGTGCCGGTGGTCTTCTACCTTTACGGCAAGAAGATTCGCATGAACTCGCGATATCAGGTGCTGAAACGATAAAGACCGTATAAGTTGATGAATTGCCGCAGTTTATTTATATTTTGATTTTCTTCCGAGATAACCATTCTTGAGCAGTTCGTTTCTGCTCGGATACCTATACTCTACCCCTCACTATATATCTCCTTACCATTACTTTCTTTTTGAATAATATAAAAGACAGTAACTTTAATTTGTAACCAATTTATATAATTTAGGATACCTCAATGTTCTCACATTTGCTTCCTGTCTTCAAGGAAGGCTCAGGATCCACACTGCGATCACGTCATATTGCGCGATCGCTAGAGAGCCAGAAGAGTTTAGCCATGACTGTTGCCCCATGAAGCTTGTTTTGATTGTGTTTCCTTCATGTACAGAAACTTCCGCCCTTCCCCCGTCCATCCCCGTCTTGCCGAACCGGTTTTTGAACGTCTTCACAGAGCTCAGTTGAGGCCAGGGCAGCTTAGGCACAATTAATGTCCCGGTATTACGCCAAAATCCATCTCTTGACTGCAGATGGAGCATAGATATATCCGCCTTGCTGGTAGTAATAGCCCCGCCGGGGGAGAGGAGGTGGCTACCAACAAAAGACGACGCCTGACCACCACAGATTTTGCTCCGAGAAAGCGAGCTGCCTCTGCCTGTCAATTCTGCCGGCTAAGAAAGACAAAGTGTGACAATGTGCGCCCAGAATGCGGCTTCTGTATTCGCAATGGGGCGAGATGTATCTATGGTGGCGACCAACAGTCGGGAATTTTGGACAGTATTGCGCAACACCAAAGCGCAACTGATCAAGGCGAAGTGATACACCGACTAGACGAGTTACGGGAGTTGCTGCTACAAATAAATGAAAGGACGACGAAATCATATACCTCGTTTCCTTGTCCACCTCCGATCGAGGTAGCCGGCCACTCAGCTATGCTTGACGGCAGCCCCTGGAAAAGGTTCTCCTCGGTTCAAACTCCCCAAGAGGTGCCGGGTCCACCTTCTGTAAATCGCAAAACAGAGGGGTCGAGGTTCACATTCTCAGCTCTACGTGCAGAAGCTATTTTGCGGTGGCCTGCGTTGAGAAGTGTTGTTCCGGTTGAACTCCTCCAGATCGACTCATTTCCACTGACCTGTGACCACGAAAAACCGCGTCATAGGTCCCAAGGGTCAACAACGACGGAAGGACCGGGAATCAGAGAGGAGGATTTTGTACCATTGTGCTCAAAATTTCTCGAACAGGTCCATCCAAGAAATCCTGTGTTGGATGAGGCAGAACTCAGACGCCAGGCTCAAACAGTGACAGAAAATGGGCTGCAGTACGACTCATCCTCTTGCATCGTGGTGTGTACTTCGTTCTGATCGACGACTACCAGTACTAATTGATATATGGTTTTGATAGCTACTGGCCTGCGCATTAGCTGCGTACACTAAGCCTTGGCCGAAGCCAAATGATTTCCCTATCCCTCCCAGCGACGAGCAGTTCCAAACACAAACAGTGGAGGAAATTGACAGAGCTAAAGCGTACTATCTCGCAGCTCAAAAGAGGCTCGGCCTTCTCGGTCGTTCGATTCAAGACATCCAATGCCTATTCTTTGCTCATATCTTTGAGAAATCGATGCTTCGTCCTTTGGAGGCATGGTTTTATCTTCAGCAAGCCGCAACCAGGCTTGAAGCGCTCTTATTACGAGGTGGTGAGAGGATGTGGGCATCTTTTCAAGGACCCCCTCCAAAAGATTATCATTTAGAGCAGCGTTTATTTTGGTCTTGCTTCCGATCTGAGAGGTGAGACGAAGCACAACTGTCTTTTCTTGCCTGTTTGGTCGTCGAATTAACAAATGCGTTAGCGAGCTCTTTCTTGAGTTAGGACTACAGCCCAGTGGGTTGGATAGCTTTTCTTATCCAGAGGCATTTCCAAAACTACCAGATGAGCTTTCTACTCCTACAACGGTCAATAGCACCCCACCGTTGGAGTTTCAATATGATCAGCAGCACATCAACGAGATGGGTTGGTCCTACTATCTCGCCGAGATCTCAGCCAGACGCATGATTGACGAAACTCTGCATCTTTGGTATCGCAAGGGTGAGGCATATTGGATGAAAAGCCCAACGCATTTGATCGAGCAATATCATGAATGTGAACTGCAGGTCTCCTCATGGTAAGCTCCTTCTCCGTTCTCTAATGTTTCGGAACGGCGCAAACACTAATAGGAATGTTTGAAGGCATGAGCATCTACCACGTGCAGTACAATTCCGTGATGATGAGAACCCAGTCACTCAGTTTGCATCTGCCCTTCAAGGTAGAGCCCAGATATGGCGTGAGTATATATTACGACCAATTGTATACTATGCTCTCCATCACGATAGAGATATGAGCGTTCCTTCGGAAATACGAGATTTAAGCAATAAGGCCATCGACCTCTGTGCGAGAATGGTCCACCGGTCCTCGTTTCATATGCGACATGGGGGCTCTTGGTTTGTAGTTCGAAATTGTTTTGCCTATGCTACCATAATTATCGCCGCAGCACTAAATCCTGATCGCATTGATGTTCCCTCTGAGTGGAGATCTTTGATACAGACAACAATACGGACACTCAAATATTGGGGCGAAGGGGCTGGTGACGTTGCTCAAATGGCTACGTCTCTCGAGTTTATGTATTATCAAGCTTGTGTTCAGATTGATACTACATAGATACCCGATGTTCATTCAAATCAGAGCCCCCCTTACATGCCAAGCTATCCTATTCCAATAATATTCTATAGGCGGTGAGCTACGTGTATTTTGTGTATCTAAATTCATGGCCGGGGTCAAACATTCCAGATTCGGCATAATAAACCTCCCAGTGTTTGATAAGTCGTTCTAGCACTTCTGGTTCCCTCTCGGCCAGATCCTCTGTCTCTCCAGGGTCCACTTGCAGATTGTAGAGCTCCCATCTATCTTTACCCCTTGGCGCATTCATATATAGTGCCTTCCAAGCACCCTGTCTGATGGCTCTATGACCAAAAAGCTCCCATCCTGTAATATGAGTTTCCTCATCATGGATCGCAGGTGATTTGTCGTTCAGATGCGTCACCCATGAACTACCACGTACAGGGACAACCTCCCTATCTCTAAATACTTTCCCTGGTAATGGCACCTGAGCAAATTCTAGTATGGTGGGAAGGATATCCATGACAGTGCAGAACGCGTCTGTGGTAGAACCAGATTTGGAAAGGGTTGGGTATCTGATCAAGCAGGGGCAGCGAATACCTCCCTCGGTAATCCACGTCTTGAAACCCCGCGAGGGGGCCATGGAAGCACATGCCCACTCGGCGCCATACCAGATATACGAGTCGGCATTACCCATATTGTCGATTGAGTTGTTGTAGTATCTGTTGATCAATTTGGGGACAGAGCCAACGCTGCCCATCATGGGGATAGCTTCCAGCATAGCACCTTCAGCTCCGTTATCTGACATAAACAAGATGCAGGTATTGTCTAGCTCGCCGGTCGACTCCAGATAGTTGGCGACCCGTCCAACATTTTGGTCAATAGAATCAACCATGGCGGCGTAGACCTCCATTTTTCGTGCTGACTCGGCTTTTTCTGTGGCAGACATCTTATCCCATAATTCAACTGTCATGGGGGCAGGCTCCACGCCCTCTTGTATGAGTCCAAGCTGAACAAGCTTTTGGAGACGTCGAACTCGAAGCGCGGCCGGTCCATCATCATAATAGCCCTTGTACTTTTCGATCGTCTCGCGTGGCGCCTGCAGTGGCCAATGGGGGGCGGTGAATGGAAGGTAGGCGAAGAACGGCTTCTCGTTGTTATTTCGTTCTCGTAGAGAGTTGATCAAAACGTCGGTGAAGGTCGTGGTAGAGTAGAAGTCGCTTGGGACGTCGTTTGGGTCCCTTCGATCGAGAAAGCGGTCGTCTTCCATCCAGAACTTCCCAGCATTCATAGGTGTGAAAAGCCCATGTGAAGGGTCATCAAGCTGTGGCTCGTAGTTGAAATGGTTGCAGCATCCTGACAGGAATACATAGCTCTTGTCAAACCCTCGTGAGCATGGTGCTGTCTCTACTGATGTTCCCAAATGCCTAGATAATGTTATAGAAAATCAGCACCAATATGAAGTTGTGTTTTCGGGGGATTCTTTTCTGTACCATTTCCCAGACATGAGAGTGTGGTATCCTGCATCTTGAAGGATCTCGCTCAACGCAGCGACTCGAAAATTGAGATAGCCTTCATAACCGGGCCGATCCTTGTAGTTTTCAACGAATCCTGCCATATGCTCTGTCATCTGCCCAAGCCCAGCAATATGGTTATCTGTTCCCGAAAACAACATACTCCTCGTTGGGGAGCATGCTGATGCTGTGTGGAAATTAGTCAATCTTACACCCGACTGTGCCAACCGGTCCAGTGACGGGGTTTCGATTTCTGAGCCGAAGCATCCCAAATCACTGTAGCCCAGGTCGTCGGCGACAATCACCAAAAAGTTTGGTCGTTTCATTTGCGATTTGCTCATTTGTTGAATGGTCTTCCGATGTTTCGTCCCTTGCCGTGACTTTGTGCTCAAAGTCAAGTTCTCTCATCAGCAAATGATCGTGTCGATATGAATTTACGACGCGTTCAGAGGGACGGGTCGCAATTAGTATGCACCGACTTGCAACGCGGAAACACGGATCTTGAAGCTGGCTTGGCTGGCTCGGCTGAGTCGATTGCTATGCTCATCCCAATCATCTCCGTGCACCCCCGTGTCCCCGCTCGCTTTAACTTCGTGTGGTCCACCGCTTGGGCTTATACGGTAGCCTGTGACGCGGAAACAATGAGATTAAAATTGGTTAGCCTCGTGGACGACTCGTCCTCCTTCTCCGTGCTTCCCCGTCTCCCCGTCTCCCCGTGTTTCCACTCACCCTTCTCTGACCTGGCCAGGCCTCAGTTGTATTCTTTCGGAATTTCCCAGTCGCCTTTTAGTAGTTCCTTTTGTTGCGCAATGGCCAATGCAAATGAGACTTAAGCCACGGGTTTGGCTATTGTTGATTCCGGTGTAGGTAGTTCGCCCAATTGGCGCCGATTGCGTGATTGCTTCACATTTTGACGACAACCTCTTCTTTGCTCAAAGACCATTTTACTCGCAACATTGACGTTGACAACCGATATGTATAAGAATACAGTTGGAACCACGAAGTATGTGTTGAGCTAATCCCACCATACCTCAATCACAGCCGCGGCGACCTGAGTAGACACTAATGGCGACAAACAAACCGACTCGCAGTTTGCCTGGCTGCTTCAATGGCCGCCTCCTTTATTCCTGCGCATTGATTGCGCTCTCGCAACTCAACTTTGGCATGGATCAGTCAGCCTTCAGCAACACGCAAGCGATGCCCGCATTCAAAGAAATGTACGGAACCTACAACAAAACTACCAAAGCATACGATCTCGATGCCGTCTTTCTGTCGCTTCTAAACAGTGTGCAATTCGTCGGTTTCGTTTTCGGTCTTGTCTTCGGCAATCTGCTTAGTCGGCGCTTTGGCCGTCGAATCGCAATGTTCGTCATGTGCTGGTGGGCCATTCTCTCCGGCATCATTCTCCTGCTGTCAAAGACACAGACGCAGACCATAACAGGCCGAACGATTGCGTATGTCTATATTGGAATGGAGTTGGCACTCGTCCCAGTTCTACAGTCCGAGCTTGTGCCTGCTCAGGCCAGAGGCTTTGTGGTAGGAACCTATCAGTCAGGTCTCTTGGTTAGTCCACCTCCTGATTCTTCTACATCCAATAAACTCTCTAACGGTGAATGGTTGGTAGCTCGGAAGCTTAATAATGGCTACCATCTGCCGAGGAACTAGCGAGATTGAGGGCCATGCTTCTTGGAAAATCCCGTACGGGCTTTTCTTCGTCATCCCTTCGTTCCTGGCGGTCGGCGTATGGTGGATTCCGGAGGTATGTAAAGCAACTGTCGCTGTCAGTACGACGGTACCTAAGCTAACACTAGACAGTCTCCTAGATGGCTACTGACTCGCGATCGTTCCGACGAAGCCTTGAGATCCCTAACTTCACTGAGAGAAGGACGATATTCTTCTGAGGAGATCGAAGTCGAGTTCAACAATATGCGGACGGCCCTTAGCCAGAATATTAAGAAAGGATCGCCTAAAGACCTATTTCAAGGAAGTCAGTATATTTCAAAAGATCTATGTGACAGTGGTTACTGACGTTGTTTTTTCCGAAGCCAACCGAAAGCGGACTCTGATTACGATCGGAGTGAACATCTTTCTTCAGCTCACGGGGCAAAACTTCAGCTCCAAGTACGGGACCGTGTTTATACAGAGTATCGGGACTGTGAATCCTTTCGTCATGTCTTGCATCAACTCTGCCGTTGGGATCGTCGTTGTTCTAATCACCCAATTCCTTTCTGACAAAACTGGTCGCGTGTACGTGAATTGGACCAAAACCTCAAAACCTGTACTGACATTTCGCAGACCTCTTCTTACCGCTGGAGCTTTCATTCAGACTGCAGCTTTGATGGTAATGGGTGGATTAGGAACTGTGGCCCAACCATCCTGGAGTGTTAAAACAGGCATTGTCACTATGGTCACCATTTTCAACGTGGGCTTCTCGCTTGGATGGGCCCCACTCTCGCATGTTGTTGCCGCTGAGATCCCAACTACTGGCCTCAGAGACTTGACTTACGCCTTAGGCTCGGTGTTCAATATTGTGATTCAGTGGGCTGTTGCATTCAGTGTCCCCTACTTGCTCAGCGCTGAATACGCGGGTCTTGGGTCCAAGGTTGGCTTCATCTTTGGTGCGACTTCCTTCTTGGCCATCCTCTTCTCTCTATTTTGTGTTCCCGAGTGCGGAGGAAAAACACTTGAAGAGATCGACGAATTATTCCTCCGTGGTGTTAGTATCAGGGATTTCCGTAGGGTTAAAATAGCCCCTCACATCGGCGACCTTGAAGACGGTCCCAAGACGAAGAAGAATGGGTCTGAAATTTCGGTTGCAGATGGACTGAATTAATAGCTCCCATGGATTATGCCCACATGAATACCGATAACCGGTTCAATGACCTACCAAACCTCAAAGTCGTCCGGTGGTGACAGGTGTCATGGGAAAGTAAGGAACCCAAGCTTCAGGATGACTTTAATGCTACCTACTTTCTCATCCAATTAACTCATTATATGACCAATAATCCTTCTAAAGCAATCAAAGCTTTAGCTCTGGGCAGTGCCTGTATGAAGAATGGTAATTAAAGTCGCGGCGCAATGGTCAAACAAAGAGATTGTAGTCACGTGGATATAGGGTAAGCTGAAATATCAGCAGTTGGGCTCCAGTGAGCGAATTGGCAACGTAAATGAAACCATCATCCTCTCACATCACGCGACTTCACAGTTCGAGCGCTCAGCCATCTGCGTTCATGTCGACATGGGTGCAAAGACCTCTGAAGATGATTATCAGCACCGCAATGGTATAGTTTTGCCAGAAATTTGCCCTAATCTTGATCATCAGCGCTGACAGACTTAGGCGGGGGCGGACCAGGTTCCTCCGGCTCGTCTGCCATGGGCGGGGAGCCACGCGGTGCCCATCTCTCTCGCGATGGAGACGGAAGTCTCGGGGACAACGGGGGTGGTGATGATGAAGATAGCGAGGGCGACGGCCATCAAGTTGGATCCATGCCGCTAACGGTGGACGATGGCAAGAAGAAGAAGAAAAGAAGACCCAAGAAAAAGACGGCCAAGAAAGCTCCTCCGACCGAGCAGTCATCGCCACCGAGGGTGCCCCTGAGCGACCTGTTTCCCTCTGGGAACTACCCGCCTGGCGAATTCCTCGAGTACCCTGATGGGGCTAGGGAGACGAACACAGCTCGCACCACTGCTGCAGAGATGCGGTACCTTGGTCGCCATCACCTCGAGGATCCGGCTTTTCTTGACGACTATCGTAAGGCGGCAGAGGTACATCGCCAGGTTCGACACTGGGTCAAGGACTCGGTCAAACCTGGCCAGACTCTCCTCCAGATTGCCACGGGCATTGAAGATAGTGTGCGGGCTCTCCTTGGGAATCAAGCAATTGAGCCCGGCGACGGCCTCAAGTCTGGAATGGGTTTCCCAACTGGTCTTTCACTAAATCACCAGGTCGCTCACTACACGCCAAACCCAGGCCACAAGGACGTTGTGCTCAAACATGAGGACGTGATGAAGGTAGATTACGGCGTCCAGATCAACGGCTGGATTGTCGACAGTGCGTTCACTATGTCCTTTGATCCTGTGTACGATAATCTTCTTGCCGGGGTCAAGGATGCCACCGAGAGTGGCATCCGGGCCGCTGGGATTGACGTTCGTATCTGCGATGTGAGTTCCGAAATCCAGGAAACCATGGAGAGCTACGAAGTCGAGATCAATGGTAAAGTCTACCCGGTCAAGCCTGTGCGTAGCCTTTGTGCACACGATATCAAGCGATACCTCATCCATGGGGGCAAATCCATCCCCTTCACCAAGAACAATGATCAGACCAAAATGGAAGAAGGAGAAATATTTGCCATCGAGACTTTCGGGTCGACTGGCCGTGGCAGAACACACGACGATGTGAGCTATCTACGCATTTTGAACGCGATGCCGATGTAAAACTTGCTAACTCATACTCTATAGGACGGTGTATATGGATATGGGCTTAATCCAGACGCACCAGAACGCGTGGCATTGCCATTTGAGACTGCAACCCGCCTTCACAAGGTAATCAAGGAGCATTTTGGAACTGTTGTTTTCTGCCGCCGATACCTCGACCGCATTGGCTTGGATCGGTATCTGGCTGGTGTAAGTACCGTTATTTCTCCTTGGCTACTGACTGGAGAAAAGGGGACACTTTGACTGACCAACCGAAAGCTGAACTGCCTCGTTTCTAATGGTGTTCTTGACATGCACGTACCGCTTGCGGATATCAAGGGCTCCTATTCCGCACAGTTTGAACATGTATGTTGTCATTCCCCCCAAACAGTTACCAGAAACTAACCTCACAACATAGACCATTTTGCTTCGAGAGTCCAAGAAGGAAATCTTAAGTCGAGGAAGTGACTACTGAGCCCTGGGTATATTGATTATCCGGATTATGATGAATGCTTCTGAGCATTATTTCAACAAAGCGTCGGGCCACGCTTCAACAGTTCCCGAAACGGTTGTTCACTTATACTGACAACCTGGCTACTTCAACAGAGCCCCATGCCTTCAACAGCGCTATAACTTACATTCGTAACCCCAATTTTAAATGCCGAAATATTTCTCTTGCTAATTCCCTGCGCCACGCAATGTCCCTGCCCGTGCAAAACACAATTGCATCTTTTCATATGACTCCCAAAATGACTCCCTCTGCTTGGTGGTATCATGCATAATCGTGACCTGTTAAAAGTAACAACGCCTTCTCGCGTTCCCTCTGAGCTCTTCCCTTAAACTCGCATCCCTTCTGTCATTATTGTTGCGGTCGAGTTCCGTGTTCCAGCTACCGATCAACAACCGCTTTGGATGATAGAAACATGAAAGACTCGTATTTTCTTATGTCCCTACTGGATCGACGCTGTGGTCTCGGGGGGCGATTCCTTCCATCTGCTTGCCGAGGCCCTGCCTCGGTTGGGCAGCGAGTAATGTCATCTGGTGCTGGTGCACGTGTAGGTGTAGGTGCAGGGTTGATAGGCTGGATGGACTGCGAGGGCTGAGCTGGGGATTCGTTCAAGTCGCCGGGCATCTTCATGTTGTTCATTTGAATTTCCGTCGTTGCTGCCACCCACGCGATATGTGCCTCTTCGTCCAGGTTCCTCCGCTTTCTGTTTTCCAAAGCGGCCGAATCTGCCATGGTGTCGGCATAGTTGTTCGAGCTTCTGGTGTATTCGAATTCGGTGCCTCGCTGTTGGGCTTTCGCGATCTTGGCGATCAGGTTGGCCATGGACATTTCGATTTTGAGCTTGACGATGTAAGCTAATGGGTGGAATTGCATGTATCTGGAACAGTGACTGGTGTCAGCGGCATGCGATTTGAGGAAGCTTGGGGGGTGGAGTAGCATACACAAACGTGTTTTTGAGGCTCATCATGGCAATAATGAGAACATCCATGGACAGAGAAAACCCGATAATGAAGATATTGAACTTGACAAGCCCGTTGTATTTGCGGAGGCCTAGTTTGACTAGGTCCTGTCTGACGATGCGCATAAAGAGAAAGTTCAAGGCCCCGTCGACGAGAAGGTATATCACCTTTTCGCATCGATCCCAGATCTCGTTTATATGGATATATCTCTCGGATATTTGTAGTCGAGCGGGAATCCAAATGCAGTAGACTGAGATATTCACCATGGTAATGAGGGCCGCCGTCCCCCATTTCACCCTGAATATAAACACGCGGTCCGTAACGAGAATAGCGCAGCGGTTGATGATAATCTGTAGCAAGAACTGGACCTGCGGAAAACGTTAGCATGCTGCCTGGGAGCTAGCCCGGCAATTTCGCGCACCTGGAACGACCATGAGGTCACTATTCACATTTGGAGTCAGCACAGGATGGGGAAAAGGCTGCCGAAGCACTCACAAATAAAAAAGTAGAACTCAAAGCTGCATGTTGTTCAGTAAGTCAGCTGTGGAATGGGTCGTCTCCTCCAAGGGGGCACAAACCTCGGTCTAATTACGCCGAAGAGGTGCAGTATCGACATTGCAGCAAACATTGAACTGGCCACGATCTCGCCCCAAATCATGATCACGTACGTGTTATGGGCGATACCCCGTCCGATCCTCCGGTAGCTGCTTGTCGTCTGTTTGATCGCTGTCCATACAGTAAGCCAGCCGATGCCCATGGTGAACCCCAAGGCCAAGGAAGCGATGATCATGTCCTGGGTGGTCACCGGCTGGAGCTCAAAGTTCTCGGGCACCAGAAAGCCCCTCTCCCCGCCCATCTTGCTGCAGTTTCAACTGCTGGGGACAGTCTGGGGTACTGGGATCATCTGGGGCATAGCAAACAACAATAGAAGCAGAACAAACGAAAATGCAAAAGCGAGGGGCAAGCTGTTTGCCAATAGCGGGCTAATGTGGAGAAGAACCTTGGGGAGCAGACAGCTTTATGAAGCTCCAGGCCCGGTCGCAAGATCCGAGCTGCCATCCCAGTCTTCACCCTGCGTCAACATCGACATGTCGCCTCCCATCGGCTGGGGCATTCCTCATGCAGCCAAGGGTGAGTCCAAGGGAGACCAATGATCTGCTGCAGTGACTCCCGCTAGGATCCAGCTTTGGCGAGACTGGTCTTCCCCAGCCGTGAAACTTTGGCGCTATTCCGGCCTAATGACTGGCCCCCTTCAGCCATGGGGGGGAGGGGAGAGGAAACAGCACGGTGAGGGCTCCTCCTCCGGTGACATCTCCTACATGGCTCTACGACCAGCACGCAAATAGAATCAAGAAAGCTCGGGCCCGGGGAAAAAGAAATCGACAAAAAAAAGTACCGTCTATGAAGTGTCTTAGAGCATCGCACCGCATTCTGCAGATCTCTCAGCCAATCCCTACTTAGCGCCATGGAGGAAAGAAAAAGAAATGAAAAATACGAACAACAAGATATAGAAAGTAATAGTAGCAGCGAGGTAAGAAAAAGAAAAAACCACAAGCTGAGAGCTGATCCCGGACAGATCTCCGACCACTAATGCATTGGGCTGTCACCCCCTTCGATGCTCACCCGTACCGCGATGTGCCGCTTACTGATTCCAGACCGTCCACCACCATGAGCGAGTCATAACGGCTCCCAACCTTGCCCATATAAAACTGGTACGTGGACATAATGTTTAGCTAAGACCGTGCCTCCAGAAAAAGGAGGAAGAAGGATATAGAGTTTGAGTTTGGGTCGGCTGTGTTGAAAGAGGGCGGCCAGACTGCTCCGGATCCTGGCCAAAAAAAGACTAACCTCTCTCTAGCTGAGACACTTATTTGCCCTCGTTTTACCGGTTGTCCTCGAGGAATTAATTGCCTCTCTAGCCGCCTGCCACACCTCCTCGGTGGCTAATCGTGCCGTAATGAGTCCCGGGGTTATCCAGCTTGCTTTTTACGATTCATTCAGGTGCGTCACCGGCTAATAGCCTAATAGTCTCCCAGATTAAATTACGTACATGTTCCAACGTTGTCGGCAGGGGACTTCATATCACCGCCTTGGTCTCTCTGCGAGGGATCAAACGCTACCGTTAGTGAGTTGGGGCAGGGAGAAAGAGCTTGACGTCAAATGTCATCGCGAGGTTCGCCGAAAGCAACGACAATCAGACCGCCTCTCCCATTTCCATCGTGCCCATCTACATGCCTGTACTCCTGCATCAGAATCCACCATTAAGCTCCATTTTTGAGACACACCATCTATCATTTTTCCGTACCAGGGGGAGCTTAAAATCACTATGCTGGCCTCGTAAAATTTTTGAAAAATTCCCGGAAGATCGCAGAGGCTTCAATGTGCGTCGGTTTGTCGCTGGCAGCCACTTGAGAGAAATTGATCTCGGTCGACGCCCAGCAGTGCTCTGTCGTAGATTAAATTAGCCAAGCCGGGATCCCCCGCATAAACAGATTGGCTCACACGTACTCTGGTCATCGGTCTTGTAGTGTTGCAAAGCACCAGCCACCCCCTTACATGTCCAGCTGAGATGATGCACGTCGCCACCGTACAGGTCAGATTGGGAATTCGGTCTATCGCATTGGTTGCGTTCCGCCCAGCGGTCAAGCCTGTCGATGAGATGAGCTTAGGACTAACCTCCATTTTCAGCTGAGACCTGTCGAGGGCACCTACCAGGCAGGGATTGCAGGGTTGATGCCGCCCTCACCCACTCCCCCGTTGTATGCCACACTTGCGTCGGCACCTCCGTGGATTTCGATAATCGGTGTCGGTACGCGGGCGGGCTTGCAGCTTTCGTGATTCGCGTCGTTGTCGGTATAGAACGAGCCCGATGCAGGGGCAAAGGCGGCAAACTCGCCGCCCACAGTGGCATTGCAGGCGATGGTATCGACGAAGCCCCCGCCGATGGACATGCCCGTGGCGTAGATGCGCGCACTGTCGACACAGAAGTAGCGCCGGAGGTCCGTCAGTATGTCCCATACAAACTGAAGATCTTCGGTGACTGTTGTCTTAGAGTAGCTGGCACCGGCCCAGGCACCACCGATACCGTTCGGGTACACAACAATGGAGTCGGCGGGATACTTGCTGCTGCTGAGCCTAGTATCTAGCTCGAAGAAGAGACCAATACTGCTGGAGCCGTGGAAGCCTAGAATGGTCGGGTACCGCTTGTTTTCATCGTATCCTGATGGTAAGTGTACACCATACGCGCGATATTTGCCGCTGGACCTAATAATACGCGTCTGTGTGACGCCTTGAAAAAGATGAGTCTTACCACAGCCAGATGTGTCACCTCCAGAATATTGTCCAGCGGCCACCGCGACGGTGGTGATGGCCGACAGGCACCGAATTAAAACAATGAGGAGCCTCATTCCTTCGCATGTGTTCGATGTTGTTCACAATAATATGAAAGACGGGGGTGAAGGCCGCGCAACAACAAAAGGTTATCTTATAAGTTTATTAGTCCTGACGACAGATTGCCTATTCGCGTCTCCTTAGTTGCATCAGCTGCTAGTTCGTGAGCTGCGTGTGCCGGCGCGAAAAACAAAAACAATGGCACTGGCGATCATACACGGTCATCCTAGGAGGTCACCAGGGGAGGCCCATACGCCTTCCTCTCTGGATAGATCTCATGCTCTTCGATGCAACGCTGTCGGCGATCTCGGCATGTGACTTCAATTTTCCAGCTGAAGGTGGCTGTCGCGAGTCTTGACCTCACAAATCATCACGTTGTACTGTCAAATGACAAATCTAGCTCTTAGATGAATAACAAGCGGTATTATTTATTTAAACATTTTCGTGCATGGGTGGACCATCGGGCGTCAGACACTTAGATGAGAATAAAGTAGTGATTCTTGCTTTATTTGGTGCATTACGGCTTTTCGATTATGCAACAGCCTATTTCAACAGCAATGAACAAACCCATACCCTTGGTGGCTGGGCTCAGTTCTGATGAATGGCAGGCCTAAGGATGGAATTTTAATCGCTAGATCAATAAAATAGATGCTGAGAAGGTCAAACCTTGGTGACCTGCAATAACAGAGAGTGTTCTCCATAACCTCTTTACTGCTTCATCAGGTGCCTCACCCCAAGCATCTAGAACAGCGTTGCCCGTACCTTCCGGCCATTGCTAGGGAGGGGAAGCATGACTTCGCTAAGAAGGGAAAGGGACATTCAACGGACAGCGGTTCTTATCTTCCGAACCTTTAACCCCCAAAACAAATTTCGGAACTTGAAGGCTATTGAGCTAGTTATTCAGGTATAGGAAAGGATTCAATTAAGTGCATTTATCTGGTTGCTATAAAAGATGTCCTAGCTATGGAACTCAAAAATACATTATCACATCATGATGAGTCCTGTTATTAGTTAAACAAATAACGAAATTAACGTATGGCCTTGAGCCATCGTAAATCATCAAATGAACATTAAAAGTAAGTGCAGTACAAGACTTTTCCAACTAAACTATTATTGGAGACGGAATCCTAAGCTTGATCTATAATGTACGGAAGAATATGAACAAATTGAAGCTTCTTCTAGAAGATAGGCTGGAAACCAAACCCTCGGCAACATAGCGGGACTGATGAGACTAATGAGGAAAGCTGCAGTAAAACCTACTTGGAACTTGACTCTGATTCCTCCCCCGTCGAGGTTGGTCTCTCCAGTGCCTCTGCTCGCTTAGCCCGTTTCTTCTCCCATCTGAAACCAAAATAGATGCCAAAATAGAGAAAGACGGCGAAGATGGCGAATCCCATGTACAGCTTGGCTCCAATACGCCAATTGGGTGCCTCGGAAGCTGGGAACGCCGCAATCGGAACGAAGGCGCTGAGGATGTAGGCGAAGAGAGTGCCAGATGCGAAGAGCATGGTTCGCACTTGAGGCTCATGTGCAAGATGTTCTGAGGCCCAGGAACATAGAAGCATCATTGAAACCCTACAAATGTTAGAAACTTGAGAACTTCTGTCTTTTAGTGGTGAGATCCGCTGAGTAGACTTACGCTCCGGTATAGTTCATGTACCAACCAGCCATGTACAGCTTCTCATTCTGGGGGCGAACAATCAAGATAGATAGAGACGTAATATTGATAACCTAGATGAAGTGTCAGAGAGAGACAGTTCGCCAATTGTTTACTGGAATGACAACATACCGAATGGACAAGGAGGAATGGTAAACGTTTGCCAAAATAGTCGCTAGCACTGCTGTAGAGTACCTCCGCGGCCAACTGGGCTGCTTGACCAATGATAGGAAGATAGTTGAGCATGGCGACAGTGCTGAATATGTCAGTTCGTTCTTCAAAGAATTTATTTGGGCGATTCAAGAAACACTAACTATCTTGCTGTTCCATCTGGGTTCTTCAAGGACTTGAGCCAGAGATTGTAGTAGTTGGAAGGCAAAAAGTTTCCTCCAATCGGCCATGCAACTATGTTATTTGTCAGAGCAAGTTCTTTGTGTTGAGGGGTTCTACAAAAGGGTGACTCGCTGCCAATTGCCCACAGTTGCCAGAAAGTGAAGCAGCGTAGAAACGACTTGAGTGTGATACCAACTTGTGCCTTTCGGTTGACCCTACGAGCACGCGCAAGGGCGATTTCTGTTCAACGTGTTTGATTAGCTATGTTTGTTCATGAAATTAAGCAGAATACAAGACTAACCAATCTGACGAGGCTTTAGGTAGAATTTGGCCAAAGGATTAGGTGCCTCGGGCTACCCAAAATGTCAGTATCAAACACTGTGAAATCTTACATTGTTCACTTACATATCCGGGTAGAAAGAAAAACGCTAGCAGGGCGACAAAGATAGTGCATATGCCCTATGAGAGTTAGAAAACTTGAGACCAAATGTGAGAAGATTATCTCTCCTACATTGATAATAAATGCCCATCTCCATCCTGCTCGGCCGAGCACGCCCTCAAGGTTAGTGGACAAGCCACCCTGCATGGCACCTGATACCATGGCTCCAGCGGGTTGCGCAATGTTATAAAGACTCATTCTCAGAGCCACTTCATGAGGGAGGTACCACTGGCTGTAGAATCCGGTTAGTGTTCTCGGTTGTCAGTTAAGAAGAATAGAATTCATCATACCTGATGAGGGTGAAATATGCGGGCCAAGTAGTGCCTTCAAAAAATCCGATGAGGAAACGAAGGCCGTATACCTGCGGAGGTGGTCAATATTTGCCGAGATAGCTCATGTACGTAACTCCATCTTACCTGTTGTGCGCTGTTTGCGACAGACAAACAACATGTCAAGACGCCCCAGATGACCTAATATTCGTGGCAATGTTAGGCAAGCTCAACCTTCGGTAAGTAAATTTCGTAATCATACCTCACATGCGGGTAGCCATTTTGAAGGTCCAATGTGCGAAATGATAATACAAGATGGCCATAGCATAATGATGTAGCCAATACTGTTCCATGATCAGCAAGTTATTCAAACGAATCCAGTGGCAATTCTTGGACTTACTTAAAATAAGTGGTAAAAAAGTTGAGTTCATTGCCGTAGAGGGAAAGGTCCTCTTTCATTCCGGATACATATGCGTTGCTCTGGGATTCATTATGTTAGCATTGGACGGCTAGACAGCGTACGTGGAAATATACTGACAATGTTCGTCTGGTCGATGTATTTGAACATGTATCCCAGAAATCCGACAGTTAAGAAACAGAGATCCAGTCTCCAAACAAAAGCCCTCTCCTCTTTCGGATCAATATCAACTGGTGGCTCAACAATGGTTTCGACCACTGCCTTATTCTTGCCATCATCATGACTGCTTGATGGCCGAATGTCATGCTGGATATCTCCTGCCGCCATTGTGCCGATGCTGCCGATTCTGTAGCGGAAGACCAATGATAACGAGGTGAAATTATTTTGACCGGTATTGAGAAGAGAGATAAAGCATAAGGCAGGACCAAATTAGGTATTTGATCAACATTGATACGAAGGTAGTAACGATACGATTGCATCAGTCATGGGTAGGTGTGCGTGCTTGCTCTATTATGGGTCAAGTACTGGGGTATAACAACCGACGGCACGGATCCGAGAGTTCAATGTGTATTGCTTGTTAAACATTGGAGCGATTGCGTGATTCCCTAGAAAGATCACTCTACTATCCCTGTAACCGGCCCAAATCCGTATCAACTAGCAGGGAGGTTGACCTCATACTACCCAACTCGAGTTGTTTGAACCGCTCCCAGGACTTCGGTTATAATGGTTCGGCCCGCGTGCCAAGAGGAACGATGACTATAACTATGCTTAGGAGACTATTCACACACACTGCCAAGCTAGAGGAAGTGATCTTGACCTTCAACGAGATTCTTTGGGTTCGGTTGAAGAACAAACACCATCAGTTTCTAGGATTTAATCAAAAAGGTGGTACAGAGTTTAATTATACTCTCATTTCTCTTGGAGGAGTATAAACTCTTCTAAAGAAGTAAGCAAGTTCACTGTACCTTTTTTAAGGCCATTTCTCCATAACTTGTACTTTTCGAAAGAATCAAGCCACTCCTCGGAGTGACCCTGCATAAGGCCAGCTTTACTACCATGGGCTCCCTTGTTTATGGAGTCTGCGAGATCCTTGACATAGCCAAGTTCCGCTCCCTCATCCGCCAAGCTATGAAAGTTTCGACCACGACCCCTCAGGGCGATCTTCTTGTTATACTCGTCTCGCAAAACTTGCCGTGATGGCAATTTGGTCTTGCCAGTGAGCACCCGAGCCACGGCCTCAGCTTGGAAATCAAATACCGAGAAAGTGGCAACATAGTAAGGGATGCCAACGAAACTGAGCGATGGATCCTCGATGTAAAAGATATCTTTATGTAAGTTGTGTACCATGTTTGCCTCGGACGTGACCAGCAATTCCGGGGTTGCGTCTTCAATAGGCACGTTGTCTCCGTGGAATTGAGACAGGAACGGAAATGACGTTAGGTATCCGGTTGCGATGATAATGTGATGGAGATCTTTGACCCTCTCTCCATTTCTTAAAAGCACTTGACCGGGAATTGAGGACGATGCATCCCTCAAATTCTCAACATCATTCCCCTTGTCCAGAACAAAGCTATTCACTTCCCCTACCCTCTTCACGGCAGGAGGAATGATTGTTGCTGGATGGTCAAACTTTCCTCCTCTTGTACTTTGGTAGACGGTTTTCGCTACCCCATTTAGTTCTCGGCAAATATCAGACGCTGAAGTGGCTCCTCCTATCACCAGGACATTCTTGTCTCTGAAGTCATCGGGATTTCGATATTCCTTAGAATGTATCACTCTATCCTTAAATGCTTGTTTCCACTCTGGTAGACCAGGGAAATCAGGAATTCGAGGAAGATTGTAATGGCCAGAACAAACAACAATCGCATCAAACTCCCAAGATCTTTCCACAATTTGAGGTGTCCCCTCTTTGGGTAGCAGTGTAATTGTTCGTAACAGCCATTTTTGCCCGTCCTCAGACTTTCTGGCAGTTTCAACGCGTGTATTGTAGAGCGTGACTTTCTCCAGATCATTCTCAGCGCCAATATCTTGAATGTACTTCTCAATCTCCCAGTGCGGCACATTATCTTTTGTCCCCGAAGGCCAAAGCTTGAGGTTACTATACAAAAGACGTGTAGGGATGTTGTTTTTCAACCCAGAGTAGCAAGGACCCGGGGGTGCGAAGGAAGTTTCCAAAGCTTCTCTGTCCGTTGTGTTCAGGGCGTGGTGGCGGAGGCGAGCCTCGTCATCCTTGGAGTATCCATTCTTCACACCTGGCGGGAGAAATTGGCCAGGCAGGGATGTCTCATATTCGCCTAGTGAGGCTTCCTTGCTAGGATATGCCACACTGTTGGAATCGACTCTCGGGTCAAAATGCCAAACCCCAGATGACACTTGGGACCGTTCAAAAACGACGACGTGAGCGCCTTGTTGAAGGAGGCGAACGCCTGTGCAAACACCACTGACTCCAGCACCGATTACGGCTACTCGGACGCCTTCCTTGAAAATTTCATCGTCGGCCGAGCCAGCAATACCATTTGTTGTAGGACTCATTGCGAAACAGGCAGGCAAGGCGCGGCACTAGCACAGAACAAACACAGGAGAGAACAGGTACAATAGGAAATTCTGAAACCTTTCCTCAGTGAACAAGGCCCTGGGCTGTATGAACTGTTCAGTGACTACTCGACTCCGAGCGTACGGTTTGGAGGAGACCGGTTTAGCAAGAGTCGACTTGAGTTGGCCGACAACGGACACAGCTTCGTGACTGTCTGAGCACATTATAGCCCCAGCAAGTCACATCAGGCCAGATTTAAGCTGTGAAAATACTTGGTAATTCCAAGAAATAACTCATTGTCTTATTCAACCGGCAAATCCCCTCTCCTCGCCGAGCCCTACCTTGAAAGGGCCATCTCCTTGGGTATAAAGCACGTATAAAGTAGCACTGCGCACGTCATCAGAACCATATCGGATACACGGCACATGGGACTTAAGGTTGGAGATAGTGTTCTGGGGCAGATGAATTCACCATGCTCCTTTACCGGACCAAATGCTTGTTAATCCCGTGAGGTGGAAACATCTCAGCATGCTTATTTGTAATGGTTGGTGGGATGATTTTATTTCCCAGCGCACTCAGGCAAGAGTTGCGTGATCAGAGATGTTGATTCCATCATCATCCTACCTTATCATCGGAGATGCTCCGCTCATGCAAAGCACCAAATCCCACCTAATCCTTTCTAAATTACTCGTTATGGAAAAATATTGTCGGGAATATCGCGGCGATGTATATTGGTCTCAGTGTCTACACACCAAATATCATCTAGGCGTTGTATCTTACCCGAGTGTTGAACCAGTCCCATCACGGAAGCAAAGAGAAATGATGCAGGTATAAGGCTGAATACTCAATACCGTTTCCCTAATTTACAATCAATAATACGGGAGAAAGGTTATTCAGCATTTGGACATCCCTTGTACAACCATGAGCAAGAACGCAACAAATTCAGCAGCAGGACAGTCTCCAAAGCTGGAGATTGCAATCGCCGGCGGAGGCATTGCGGGGCTGATCTCGGCCATTGGCTTGATCAAACACCCAGGCGTCAACATCCATGTGTATGAACGTGCTGAAGAGCTTCGGGAGATCGGAGCAAGCATTGCCCTCGGGCCTAATGGGCTCAGTTCTTTGGATAATCTAGGGGTCAAAAACGCGTTTGACGACAACATTTTGTACCGCCAACGATCTGGATGGCCCATGGTCTATCGCCATTGGAAAACGTCGGAGATTATTGGATACGATGAGCATCGGAACGTCAAAGACAAGAGATTCATTACCACCAGGTATCACCGCGCACACCTCCACAAGGCACTCTACGAGAATCTTCCGAGTGAGATAGTGCACTTTGGTAAGAAGTTGGTGAATGTAAGCGCGGACCGAGACCAGGGTGTTACTTTATCATTCGAGGATGGAACTACTGCCAAGGCAGACATTTGCATTGGGGCCGATGGCATTCACTCTGTAGGTTAGCCAAAATTCTAGAAAAGCGAACAGATCTAACCTCAACAGACTGTCAGGAAAACTCTAGTCCCTGAACATAAAATTCACTGGACAGGATGGGTTGCGCTACGTGCGGTCTATGAACAGTCTCGTCTGGATGGTGTTGACTACCCTGAAGGCGCCGCTCACTGGGTAAGTTACCGTCGTCATTTGGACACAATTAGTATGTTGCGATGCTAACAGTGCAATTTTGTTTCAGATTGGTCATAATAGGCATTTGTTTGTGTCGCCACTGGGTACGTGATGGAATAAATCATCCCTTACTGCACATTGTGTAGGTTCGTGGTGCTGATATCTAGATTGGAATGATTAGGAAAGGGGCTTTACACAGTTGTGGGAGGCTACCACGCGAATCTGGATGACCCCAAAAGCCAAGGCCATGGAGTTAGGTGGGACGACCAAGGCGATGTTGAACAGTTCAGGTCTTTTTACAAGGTTCGTGCGAGGCTATTCTACCTTGGAGTGTCAATTGATTGACGATGAGGCCTCTCAGGACTGGCATCCAGCCATCCGCTCCATCACAGAGGCTGCGCCGTACATTCGCCAATTTCCGGGCTACGCGGCTGACCCCCTGGAGAATTGGTCATTTCACGACCGAATCGTCCTGGTCGGAGACGCCGCGCACGGCCACGGGGGTGCATTTGCGGCGGGAGGGTCCCTCGCTATCAATGATGCACATGCACTGTCCCTGGCTCTGTTCCACGTCTGGCCGCCGTCAGCGTCTGCCAGGAAGCCATCGGTAGCCGATCTACACAAAGTCTTTGGAATCTACCAAGCCACAAGAAAACCGCAGGTGGACAGACTGCTCGATTCGGTGCACAAATCTGTTGCTGGTCGAAGGGTCAAGACGGACAACGGGGCTGAAGAAACCGATGAGCAGCTGCGCAAGAGGGTAAGCGAACGGATGGATCCGTACTGGGTTGCCGAGCATGATGTCGAGGCTACGTTCGAGGCTGTGGTAGCCAAAGCACCCAGCTCTGGGCACCAAGTGCTGGGAAACAAGCCGCCACAGGCACTATTGTAGGGGTAGAGCGTGCTGATTACTTGCGGGACTGTACAATTATATGCAGAGTAATAAGCTGCCTTGTGCTCACTGTCAGACCCCCTGTCGAACGTGGGTGGAATCCCGCAACACGACGGCGTTTACCCCAGGACGTGGCTACACTCCGACACTCTATTGGCAGGAGAGCTGATCACGTCCAGAGCCACTCCTCTAGATTACGGAATAATCTTCTCGGGTAGATAGAGAGATGTTTCAGTTCTGGCAGCGGTCAAGGGACACGGAACCGAGGTTGAGCGGGCAAATGCTCACCCTTTTTTGCTGGCCTTTGGCTCTGTGCTCTGGCTCACGGACCTAAATTTAGCATTATCATTAGTCCGACACAGACCATCCTTGATGATTGATGACCTACTCTCCCCATTTATTTTTCTTCTTCTCTCTTCTCGTCGGTTGACTTTGGCATCCTCCATTTACGACTCCGTAATAATGGACGGTGGGATGATGGAATGAAGCAATAATCGCATTTGCATTTACGATCGTGTTGACTGGTTCAACGATATATTCACTCATTACTCAGTTCGTCGTTGATCGACGACCCGCGGGACGGCACGCTTTAAACTTATCATTTTTAATATTTCTGCCCTGGAGGCGCGACGACGACATACGGCACCACTGGCTCTAATCACGATTCGATTCGCTGTTTTTAATAATACATCACTGGTTTCCACGGACTCGACTGCTTGTTGGTTTTTGGAGGCTATTGATCGAAGTTTGCGGGCGCAGACAACGGAGATTGTTGGTCATTGATTGGAGTGCAATATCGAATTCAACCTGCACGAACGATTATGATTATATCACTTTCAACCGCTAATAACATCCCCGAAACGCGCCTCACCCTTTGACCATCAGCGAACGTTTGACTCTTTTCTCTTCTTGGAGCCTGGTCGCTTATTCAGTTTATTCCTTCTTGTTCTTTTCTCATCCTTTGCTTGGTTTACCACCTCCACAATGGCCATCACTGGCGTTGTCTCATTCTGGGTACGTTTCAAAGATATCTGGTAAATATGGTTGGCCCGGCTGCTAACCTCTGCAGGTGTTTCCCCTTCTTTCCTCCCTAGTATGGATGGGCATGCTCCTCGGCATGCTGCTTTCCTGGGTCATCGAAGACAAATACCGCCACTACGACACCATGGCTTCGAGAGCTACCATCGCGTTCATCAGTAATATCGGTGCCGACCGCCTCCAGCCTCTATTCATCACAGGCTGCATCCTTACTGCCTGCCTCTTCGATGTTGGCCTGATAGCCGAACCTATATTGCGTCTGAAGGGTCGTCTTGTGTTGTACAAATCCACCTCCGAGAAAGTCCTTTGCGCCTTCAACATCTTTTTCGCGGTTGTAGGGTCCGTCGGCTTGATTTGTCTCTCAATCTTCAGGACGGGCTGGCCTGGTCGATTACATTGGGTATTCCTGTCGCTGTTTATTGTCGGATACCTTTTGTCGGCCATATTTCTGTGCGCCATGTACCAGCGCATGGCAGCCAGTAAGTATCACTGCGTGTTAAAAATGGATATCTGATACTAATGCCGGTTTTATAGAAAATCCCGAACACCCCGAACTCCGAGTTTCTTTCTTGACGAAATTGGTCTTCATCATCCTCGAGATGGTGCTTCTTGTCTGCTTTGTAGCTTGCAGAAAACGAAAGAGAGATCTGTCAGCAATCTTCGAATGGACCATCTCCTTCGTCTTCAGCTTCTACGTCTTCCATTTCGTGATGGACCTTTATCCGGCCGTTCACACAGTGAGTCCGCAATCGAGATTTATCGCGCCTGTCGAGGATGAGAAGCCAGGGAGCCCTAGGCCCAGCTCGAGCGCCACTTCCCGCCAGAATGCTGGCGATATGGCGTAGCAGGGACACAGAAAGAACAACTATAGATTGGCACACAAGGCAATTGTGGTAATTGGTTGGCGTTCACATTTGGAAATTTTATTGGATGAGATACCATGAACTAGAAGTGATATACTAGATTGTTGTTTATATATGATTATGATTCTATACTTATGTATCTCGCAGCATCTCTAACGTAAATTCTTTAGCTAGAAGGTGGGGGTTCTCCGGATGATCTTCTACCGAGGACCTTCTGTGGCATTGTTTGGACGCATTGGTACAAAACATAAAGCCCCGGACTAGCTGAGTGGACGGACTGACCGCTGTATGGAATCGGAGAGCTGCTCGTTTATTGTCGCCTCGGCACGCTAGCAAGATGTAGTGGCTGGCAGGATGAAGCTGAAAATGGCCGGATCGAGCTGGGGATCGACATTCCATGGACCCAGAGTGGTGCTACTGCAGCTGAACGGGAATCTCAATTGGTCATGTTTCATAACTACGTCAGGGATCTGACGTCTTCTGACATTCTCAATCACCAATAATTCGGCCAACGTAGGACATCGATAAGCGAACACCACAATGAGCATTCTGAATGGCTTTGAGGTTCCTGCGCTAAATCTCGACACCGTCATGGTTGCAGAGGCTAAGAATGAGACAAGTTACTTGGCAACTTGGGTAACCTACCTTGCCCGAGAAAGGAATAAAACCACGTGCGTCGGCGCTGTCTCTAGGTTTTTAATCTTGTTGTCGTTGGTCTTACAATTTTCTAACTAGAACCTTGCTTATCTTTGGGCGAGAATTTTCTGAAAATGACAATCGTTGTAACTGGAGTAAGCTATTTCCTTCTACATATATGAAACTCTTTAACTCATAACGAACCAGGGAGCTGGGTTCCTCGGCCATCATTTGGTCAAACTCTTGTTAGAGAAAGGCAACAGCGTGGTGGTCATGGATTCCCTATGGACAGGCTCTCAAGAAAACATCGCCGAATTCGCATCCAACCCAAACTTTCGACACATTTTGTAAGTGTCCGCATCCTTCTCGCGATCAATAATGTGTCCAAGCAGAATTTCTGACCGTCCCAGGTGCGATGTGAGAGAGCCGCTCCCGGATGTGGAGGACCTTGAACAAATTTATCATCTGGCCTGCCCTGCCAGCCCGGATGATTTTGAGAGAGCACCGATCGAAATTCTTGAGACGTGCTTCCTGGGAACTAGAAATGTTCTTGAACTAGCCACCGTGCGCCGGGCAAGAGTGTTACTTGCCAGTACTTCCGGTAAGTGTGACCTGACTAGTATTAATTACCAACGGCTCCATTGACCAATTTATTTCGTAGAGGTATACGGAGACCCCGAGATTTCCGTTCTGCCTGAATCGTATCGTGGGAATGTAAACAGCTTCGGCCCTCGGTCGTGTTATGACGAAGGGAAAAGGACTCTTGAGGCTTTGGCGTTTTCGTACCGACTGAAGAACAACGTGGAGACCCGTATCGCCCGGATTTTCAACGCCTATGGGCCGTACATGGCTGCTAAGGATGGAAGAGCAGTTCCCAATTTCATTGGCGCAGCCATGGATGGCCAGCCTGTGAAGATCTACGGTGATGGTAGCGCTACGCGGTGCTTCCAATATGCGACGGATTGTGTGGAGGGCTTGTATGCACTCATGAACAGCGATTATGACAAGCCAGTTAATATCGGAAGCGATCTAGAAATGACGGTATCTGATATCGCCAACAAGGTTACCAGAGTTGTAGCGGAAAAGCTCGGTCAAAAAGCGACAGTCGCGGTTCAATACCTACCCAAGAGGGTTGATGACCCTACCAGGAGAAAACCAGACATCACACTTGCTAGAGAAGTGTTGGGATGGAGCCCCAAGGTGTCATTGGATGATGGAATTGCACAAACTGTCGATTGGTTTCTAGAGAAACATGGAAACCCCAAGTCTCTAATGTAGAGGTTAAATAAACCTCCTGGATGTAATGGATGTGATGGATAGAAGATGTTTCTCAAAGAGTACTCGTTACCACTTGGTAGTCGCTGAGATTCAAAGATAGAATTTAAGAATCTGTTCTTCGTGATTTTCCTCCCGTTCTCTACTGATTTGATTCTGTCTTTTACATTTGTATACTAGGGAAAAAGGAGAGCAATAGGATCATAAAACTTAGGTCCTCGACAGCAGTGACGTAGAACCTTTTCCCTAATCTTAACCCGTTCTTTAGTAGTATTGCGCAACTCAAGTATTTTGGCAGTAAAATCATCAGAGGTTACCGAGTCTCTTAAGAGGAAGATGAACTGACTGGCATCCTTGATGTGTTTATTTCCACGACTTACCACGGTGGATGGGGGAGGGACATGAGCTAGGTTAGGAAGATATGTAAGTCAATTTATTTGGAAAATAGGGATGAAGGAGAGAAGAAAAATAAATAAATAAAGGATAAGCTGCAGTGCCGGGGTTAGAGGCGAAAAAGAGGCAAAAAACAGCCTTCATAGTGGCACACATCGGGAATCGAAATCAAAAGGGAACAAAAGCGAAGGATTCCCTGACCGAAAGGGAGGAAACAGTATCTCATGATTAGCCAATGGGTCAAATTCATAGTAGAACAAGCTACTTCGCTGATGTCCATAGTATTATTACATCTTATAAAGCAGGAGGCTGTGTTCATCGGTGAGTTATTCTAGGTTAGTGTTGGCGGGCCCTCTACGCTCCTCTGATGCCATTGGTGGTTGTTCGCAAAGCCCCTGGTCATCAACTCGTCTCTCACTACGCTCTAACTACATGAATGTGTCTGAATGAACCTCAGTTTAACCTGTCTCTCTTCGTAGGACTATCACGACCCTTCGTGGTCATTCCTTTACCACTACGTTGACTAACTGTCCTTCAAATCACCTCTGAAATTGAACTTAGCATTGATATGGGTGTGGTGGCATCCCTGCGGCATTGGTATCAGCCGGTTCCCGGCCCTGTGCGGCGCAGTTGAGGCTAGGGAGTAGTGAAACCAACGACCACGGTGGCCTGATGGCTCAATAGCAGGTTGCAACTCGCTGCTCGCCTCTTTAGTTTTCACTCTGGTGACGATTCCTCCCTTTATACTTATTATCGTCTTTATTGATTGTCTGACTCTGCGACTCAAGCTCTGGACAGAGAATCCAGGACTAACCGTCATCATGTCTGCGCCAGCATCTCCGAATGAATCAACCCCGCTGCTGACGCACGCGGTGGACAGTAGCACTGAGTCGTCTGTCAATGTATCCATAGAGAATCAAGGTGAGCCTGTCAGCGATACTGGCTTGATGCAGCCAATCGACAAGGCTCTGTTGCGAATGGTGACAATTACACTGTTCATCGGGATACTGGAGTTTGTGATGCTCTGCGCCGATTTCTTAATCCGCCAATATTGCAGCACCCGTTTTGGCACATCCAGCTTTTGGTTCTTGGTTTCTTGGCCTACGTATCTCCTGGTGGTTAGTTTGTCTTTCTCAAGCACATCCCGCTCTCACTTCACTACAGGCTGGGATGATCTAGTCACAAGATCCTGATTTCTCAGTAGAACATCTTTGTAACGGCCTTCACTGCCGCAAATATCTTCGTGCTCAGAAAGAAGAAGCGCCCTTTCTGGCCACTCCCGAGTGTATTCGTCTTGGCCTATTTTGCAGTCCTCCTCTACGTGTGTGTTCTTAATGAAGTGAACACTTCGAGCTTCTACAACCCAATCACATGTCCCGACTATCTGGATAACCCTGATTACGGATATCCGGGAACGACCGATGAGTGCAGAGCTATTGTAACAGCGGTTGCCATTATCAACTGGATTCACTTCGGCCTTGCCTTCGTTGTGGCGTAAGTTGGCCCTGTAGAGACTGCCCCAAGTTGTCCGGACGATGTTGACTGACAAAACCGGTATAGAAATCTCCTTGTTGCATTGGTTGTCGCGTTTCTGATCAAGGTCATCAAGAGCTGGAATCAACAACCAGGGCAGACGCGGCTACAAATTCCTGCAGGACAATTTTCCATTGAGGTCGCGGTTCGCTGGGGCCAGACCAATCCACAGAGTAGACCCGCGGAGGCTTAAATGATGGCCTTGGCTTTCAAACTCTCTAGTCTTAGGTAGGCGATCATTCTGAAAACAAGAATGCTTGCTTCCTCTATTTGTCCGGTAGTCATACCGATGGGTATACTTAATTAACACCGCTCACATCAAATAATAGCTCCTGCTGAAGCTCTACCTCAGAAATGATAGATACATATGGCCGTGGCACGGGAGAATGTATTTCACTTAGGCTATCGTTTTCCAGTAGATGACGCGATAGTTCTTATACCAATCTGCGGCATTTGTTGAGTCGCATCCGCGCTCTACATTGATGTCTTTGATGATGAAACATGTAGCCTGCCGCGTTCACCTCTGCCTGTAATGGGGTCTCATGGTACTACTGACACTGCTAAGCTTCTGGCAATACCGGATTGGCTCTTTGGCTAACTCACATAAATTCGGTTCGAGGTTGAACCGAGGTTCTAGCCGATGTCAGCATTCAAATCAAGTTCTTTACTAGCCCTTGTCATCCACGCATTAGTTTTACAGACTGTGATATGTTTGGTGCATTTTCTACATCTTATTGCTCATTATACTTGTCTCACATGTTAGATCACACCTCCCTCACCTTCTTTGCAGTGATGCATGCTAACGCTGTTGCAGATATTTCCGTCAAAATCGGTGGCAAAACAACTGCTTTTGCGCCATGGACAACACCGCCTCTTCGACCACAATGTCCCCTCCGTTGGAATCACCGATTCGCATTCTGATCACCGTAAAACAAAGACACCCTCAGATATGGCAAAAGGCATGGGAACAACCAGAACAGATGATATCCAGGGTCCTCAAATATCTCAAGTATGACTATTTGGTAGCGCCAGATGATAAGTATGACACCTCGGACTGCCGTTTCATCGCGGTTGATCGCTGGGAACCTGTCGTCTTTATTGTCTTCGACCTATTCAACACACAATATAACCATCTTGATGCGCATCTGGATGGTAAGAATGAATTGCCCGTCAGGGTGGTTCGCATCTCTCAAGGCGACAATAGTTATCTTATCAAGGCATCGGAGGCACAGCATATCAAATATTTGAGCGATGAGGTTCGGAATCTTCATGAATCGCATGGGTGGGAAGAGAAAGTGCCTTTCAGGATCGACCATTACAATGGAGCATACCCTACCTATTATCATCCGCGAGCATTACGCAATAACAACTCCTCGGATATGAAATTACCGTGACAGAAGTTTTCTGGATCTCACCAGAGATTATCTGGTTCTTCAGCGCCTATACTCGACGTTGGCCTTGACCATGCCGATTGCTACTTCTATATTTTTACAAGTAGCTACGCATTTGAGATATTTGACTTAATCGAGAACAGACGATCTAGAATTTGACACAACAATCGGTTTTCTTCAGTAGTATTATGGACATAAAAAGTACCCGAAAAGTAGCTAGAGACTTATGATATGGTTTCTACTAGCAGCTATGCGCTTTGATTAGGCACTCGGTTCTTCTCAGGATCTCCACCCGGATGCTAGGAATCTCAAAATTAATCATCTGAGGAGGATAGGTCTCATCTGGAGTCCTGTTTACGAATAACGAACATCCTCGACAGTGGACAAACACGTGCCAAATGACAGGGCCCAAAATATGTGAACTAGAGCCGTGTTCAGAGTTCTAGCTAAATAATTCGAGCCATCGTCGATCAATACTTCAATTGGTTTGAGTGCCATTACCCGTGATCTAATCGTACAAAGAGCCAAATTGTGTATACGGGCCCTCCAAAATCGGACCTGCCAATATAGTAATTGCAAATGGAAACATCCGCGTTGGCGTGCCTGAAGGGTTGTACCCAAGAGCGGTGGCTCGGTACAAATGTCCGTCATCAGCACATAAAATCGGGCGAAAAGAGCTGCTTGGCTAGCCAATCCCACCTCGGATGATTGCAATCATCGTGGGACCTTCCCAATTGGACTCCCGGGCTGAGGTATTCATATGCAAAGCTTGCTTTTAGTCCACCTTTCAAAGGGGCCGATGACGCGCACCAGAATGTTACGGCTCAAAAAGTTCTGTTTAATTTGAGCCATTCCATATGACCCCCGGTCTCTCGCCCACGTGCGTATAGGATAATGGTTCAGGCTCGGCTCCCAGGAAAGTACCCCTCACGAACACATGCCGGGCCACACGGCAGTCAATGTATATTAATACAGGCCTCAGAAGACCTCGAGGTTTCCAAGTGTGAATGGAGGATGAGGCGTCTCCGTTCTAGCAGTATTTGTTTATCTGGACTCTGCTTGTTAACATGCTGCCAAGAGTGGCGCTTGGCCTTGCCGCCGCTCAAGGAGCCGTCGCATCTTTGCACAGCAACAATTTGGCTTATCTGAGTCCGTCCCGGCGCCATCCTACGTTAGCGGTCCCCGCCAGCCATCTAGCTACTCGAGCAGCCGATGAGCTCTATACTCCTGATGAGCTAGAATTCACCCATGGTGTAGCTTCGGGTGACCCTCTGGCTGATTCTGTCATCATTTGGACTCGGTTGGCCCCATCATCCAATAACACGGCCTCTGACACGGTTCCCGAAGGAGTTGTTCCGATTTACGATCACCTAGAAGCAGATCACCCAAGCGAGAAGTCTGCTTGTGTTGAGTTTCGGATTGCCAGCGATGAGAAACTCACAGACATCGTGGACAAAGGCACTGCCTATACCACTAGTGACGTTGATTACACCATAAAAGTACGTTGTAGAATCATCTAATACCAATTGACCTTGAAGTAACGTGACTGTGTTGGCAGTTTGAGGCCGCAGGGTTGAAGCCTTTCACCACGTACTACTACCAATTCAACGTCTGTAACTCGGCAAAGACCAGCATTGTCGGCCGCACAAAGACGGTTCCAAGCAAAGACGCCAAAGTCGAGAAAAACATTAAATTGGCCGTCTACTCTTGTAGCAATTACCGTGAGTCCTAACTACGGCGTTCTTGTGGCACCAGGACTCACTTATACTATGTAGCTGAGGGATATTTTAACGCGTACGGCAACCCGGTTAGCAAGGACTCGGTTGACTATGTCCTTCATCTGGGAGACTACATCTACGAATACAAAGGTGACTCAAGTATTCGTAATCCGGAGCCCGATAGAGAGACATACGACTTGTATGACTATCGCAAGCGCATCGCCACGTACCGCACTGACCCAGACCTCCTTGCCTCCCATCAAAAGTTCCCTTGGATCCCAGTGTGGGATGATCACGAAGTTGCCGACAACTCCTGGCGCGAAGGCTCTGTGAATTCCGACGGCGAGGTTTTCGCCAAGCGTAAACAGGCCGCCGTTCGAGCTTACTTTGAGTGGATGCCAATCCGTCAAGTTGAGATGGACGATAGCCTGCGAATCTGGCGCTCATTTTCCCTTGGAACCCTAGCTGACTTGATGATGCTCGACACGCGCCAATACAGCCGTGATCTTACGGTGTTGGGAGGCTTTGCGGGCATTGGAGGCAATTCAGGAGAGGTAGAGAAGCTCGTTGACCTCGACAACCGCACCATTATGGGGTTCAACCAAGAAGCCTGGTTCTACGACCAGCTGTCCCAGTCATCTAATCGAGGAGCGGCTTGGCGTTTGGTCGGCCAACAGGTGGTTTTCAGCCATGTGACCTTCGGCTTCTTCACCACTGAGGGATTCAACCGGGACCAGTGGGATGGATATCTGGCAAACCGCCGCCGTGTCTTCAGCCATTTATACGACAACCAAATTAACAACACAATCATCATGTCGGGAGACTCTCACGCCTCGTGGGTATCTGACCTCGCCTGGGTAACCGGTGATGAAGGTGATCGGCCCTATGACAAGAACAGCGGCGATGGGGCCATTGGCGTGGAGCTGGCCGGTTCAGCCGTGTCATCTAAAAGCCCTATCGGCAATGTTCTGCCCAACTTTCTTACAAATTTGGCGTCGGCTTGGCTCGTAAACAAGAACGACGAGCTACAGTGGCAGGATTTGTATTTCAGGGGCTACTACGAGATGGACATCGGTTACGATAGCCTCACAGCGACATTCTTCGGTATCCCTGACGTTAAAACGAGGAATACGAAAGAGGATATTATTGCAAGATTCGTGGTTAATAACGGCGAGAATAGATTGGCTCGTAACCCAACTGTTGGTGGAGGAACTGCCAAGAGTGGTTCGCTCAAGAATGGCAAGGTGTCGACATAAAGAAAACGATCATAGTAGCTATACCTAGCCGTATATTGTCACGGAATGGATGGAGAGAGTATAATAATAGTACATAAAGTGATTGTTCTCAAACCCTTTCACCTTCATGCTGACTTCTTCTCCACCTCATAAACAGTACTCTGCCCCAGCAAGCCCAGTATCACAGGACCCAATATCTCAATGCCCGCGAAGACCGCCATTAGGGGTTCGCCGAATCCATGATTCCATGCGGCTAGAAGCCGTCCTGCGCCGCCCAGCATCATAATTCCGCCCAGCAGAGCAAGAGGGGCTCGCCTAACCTTAACATCGTTACTTGCCCACCATATCATCGCACCGTAGCCTGCCCATATGCCACCAAAGAATCGATACTGACTTTCCACGACAGGGTGGCCGCTTGGGAGAGGAGGGGCGCCGCAAGTCTTGAGTAGAAAGTTAGGACCTAGGATAAGATCTATGATGCCGGTTGTAGCACAAATAGCTGAAGACGCTTTAAGAGCAATGGGGAATGCCATTGGATATGACTGGTAGACTGATCGATCTTGGCGCAGGATTCCAATGCTGAGGGTGATGGTGTATCTTTCCTCAAGGAAATACTTTTTTATTGACTAGATTGAAGGCCAAGTTAGGCGGGGTTTTAGTGATGGAAGAGATCAAATGACATTGTCTTTCCAGGCGAGCTTCTTATTGGCAACCAACTGCGCCACTTACGTATCTCGTCTCTCGCATTCTCTTAGCCAATACGACCGGGCATACCCAGACTTTCAACCTTTCAATCTCCATCAAGTTACAAGCAGAGAATTGGTTTAGTCTCGCATTTTATATGCTTTATGGCTCAACGTGGAAATATAAATATAGCTTGAATAGCACATGCCGCTGCAAAGACGCAAGCGCTGTATGTTCTTGAATCTGCGATGATGACCATCAAGTATAAAGAAATCAGCCAGAAACTTCGTTTCCGCTGGCCTTCATCTCGAACATTCCTCTTGGAAACCTTGTTTTGAAGTTTATTGTACAGCTATTTTACATGATCCCAGAAGTTGGGCTAAAATCTGTGAAGAAGTTGTGCATAATGCTATCGATATTGTCGAACTGTTCCATTGATGATACACCCCACCAGTCCTCTGCGCCTCCCGTCATTATTGAATCAGGTTGATCCAGATATGCAATCTCCACATCTGTTGGGACGGAATTCAGGACATTCTCGGTGGCCTCATTTCCGAACACTTGCGTTGTTGAGGTCGGTTGGGAAGCCGCCGCCACATCACCGGGAATCGCGCCCTGTAAATCGGCGTCAAGTGTCATGCCGCCCGCAGGATCCTGTGCTTTTCTGACTTCTTTCACCCACCGAAGAACATCCTGTGCCAGATCGTCCAATACGTTGCGGCTTCTCTTCGCCCCGGGCCAGTACTCTCCAGCAGCGCTAAGAATGTTCAGACCAGCATAAACATCGCTCATGAACCTCTCTGGCTCAGTGGTGGCAGCGATTCCCGGAGCAGCACGAACACTATAGAGCATAGTGACGATGCTGAGGAGCAAAGAATGAAAAGTGACCCAACTGTAAACCAGGAGGTCATCGCGGTAGAGACGATTGAAAAGGCGGATGCAGTCTTGGCAAGCAGTGTAGCATCGTCTGAGAGACTGAATGGATGGGTTTGGGAGCGCCGGGCTAGGCCGCAAGAGCAGCATCATTAGAGAGTTGTAACGTATCTCGCACGTAGTTTTCATATATCCTCTCTCATCGGCCGTTGTAGGGATGCTCTCGGCCCAATCGTCAAGCTGTCGGATCATACCGGCTTGCCAATCGTTTATGTTCGTTGGAGGAGGGTACGCATAAATAGGAGTATCCCTCACTATACTATTGGCCACGTACTTGATCTCCGAGTTCAGACGGGCTAGTTTAAAGAGGTGGAGGGAGAATGGCAGGTAGTTCGGATCTTGGTTGCTGTTGTCGACGTTCAATGGCTGATTACTGAGCAAGTTCTCGTCTTCAATGAGTTGGGGGTACTGGAAATTGTTAGCTGACCTCCAGGTATGAGCCCAGGCTAAGTTTCTTGGAATCTTACTCTTAGTTCACAGGCCTCGTCTCTTACTCCTATAGGGCGGCCCATGATGGTAGCAATCGTTCGGTCAAGCATAAAAACAACCCAGAAAACCCTAGTCCGCATTTCCTGCTCTAGCAAGGACATAGCATTACTTGCTAATATGCTTCTCTGAAGGCCCAAGTCCAGTGTGGCAGCGATGCACTGGTAGTTGAGGTACCAAATGTTCAATTTAACATGGGGGTTGTGCATTGTAAATACGAGCAACAGAAGTAGACACTGCAAGCCTGGTAAGGAGTTTGTGCGAGTGGAATTGATTTTTTCAAACCGGCCGAACGCAGTCGCGAAAAATTTGTCCGCTGGAAGAGGAACCTGAAGCCGATGTGATAAGACCGTGGCACCCAAGGCCAAAACCATATACACCTGGAAAACGACAATGTTATCTTGCTGGTTATCAGTGCCGTCCTTGGCATACAGCTGGTCGAGGTTATGCATCAACGAAGGACGATGCAGAATCGGATACTGTGAGCCGACTGCGCTGAAATATGCATCACATAGCTGCTTTGCATGCTTCTGGTGGGGAAGGGGAGTTTGGTTGTCATTGGGAGAGTTGAAAAGATCAGGGGTGAATTCGGAACGAGAAGTTTGCCCTTGGCCATCCAGCGGATTGGTTCCTCGATCATTCTCGCCTGTACCACTTCGCGAGGTATTCATCAACAACCTAGCTAGGAAGTAACCACTTGATGGTCCAATATACCGTGGCGCAGTGCTGTTGCCAACCGATACCAACCCGATCTCATGCGACAATGGGCTGCTGGTGCTTCCAAACGCAGGTGCATGGGACCGAGGAGCAGGAGTCGACGATACCGGTAGTGTAGAAGATGGGTCCTTCTCTGAGATCAGTGGATCAATCGCTTCAATCCCTCGTTCTTGAAGCGCAGCCTCCAGCGTGGCTATCCGTTGTTTCAAGCCAGCGACGACCTCATCATCCGACGGCACATGGCCAAGACGAAGACTGTCGCCATCACTACACACAACCGAGGCCTTTTTGCAATTATTGCAGGTCGGATACTGGCCATCACACTTTGAAAGTTGGTCAGCCTGGGCGCTTGAAACATTGCTTTCACTTCTCTGGATACTGACACGGATCTTCCGCTTCTGACAACGGGCACATGCCAAGCGGAGACGGCGATTTCGACGGGATTCCCGCTTATCTGGGGTCTTTTCGGACATTGATGTGAGATAAATGGATATCCCCACGTTATCAGGACAAGATCAAGGCTTCTTGTTCGTTCAGCTCTGACGGTAGGTAACCAGAGAGTATTGATAGCGGGGAAATTCCGAAGACGGAGAAGATATTGCGTCAAGATTTTGTGGAGGACGGACAAACTCCGTCTCCATTCTGAGCTACCCGGGACCTATTTCCGGGCACTGGACTCAGGTGCCGCGAAACATCAAGTTCAATTCTAGAGCGCCGTAGAAATTGAAATAATTGGATACTTATCCATATTTCAATCTTCTGAGTCATTGAGGCCTAGTTTATGATTCACAATTTCCTATCTCATCGCACATTGTGAAAACAGTCCACTGGCATCCCGTGCTCCATCATCGAGGAACAAAGCTGAAAGAAATGAGGAAAAGGGTTGGAAGAGATGGAAAAGTTGAGTGAGCGGTTAATACGACAAGGACTTATTTCAGAACAGGGCAAAGAAATATTCAATTTCCATCTTGTACAAATCACCAAGGCTATCTCCTAGAGGCGAGTTGCTTGAAGCTGGTGAGAAGGTTTGATTGTGAGTAAGCTGCGAGAGTCAATTGGTTTAGTAAGCTGGGTTAGCACTAAAGAGGGCGTTGCTTCTAGGCGAAACCGCCCGCAAATTGAGTCACCACGGGGCATTGTTGAGTGCTTTCCCCCGCTGTGCGTCATGCACAGGCAGCTTTGAGGCGCACTGACCAACGTGATCGTCTGATGGAGAATCTTATGCTGTTGGTAACTGAATTCAGGCAACCATGGCTTCTTTTGCTTCTTTCTTCCCATTCATCTAAATACGTTTCCATTCAACCCAGCGCGAAGTCATTGGGTGGCTGCCCGAAAAATGAGACTTCTCCCTTCTGTTGTTTACCCATTTGCCATTCCTCGACGATTTGTGTGTCAATCGCCGGTGCACTATCGAATGGCGCACCTACAAAAAGCCCGTGTCGTGAAGTACAAGTCGAACGAGGTTAAAATTCCCGACAATTTCCTTCAGGGCCCTTCACCAATACCGGTCGTGTTGAAACCTGTTCCTTTCGCATCTTCTTCTGTGCCAGAATATAAGAAATGCTTCGCTGTGACGATTGACAATGTGCTCTCGCCAGAGGAGTGCTCTCAGCTAAAACAGCTTGCCGAACAATCGGCGCTCCCGGCTGCTGAAGGCGACCCCAACCAGAGCGTCTGGAGACCTGCCACGGTATCGCTCGCGCCCGGCCTCGAAGCTCCCGCTCCCGGATATAGAGAGAGCGATCGAATCGTGTGGGACAGCCAGGAGATCAGCGACCGTTTGTGGGCGCGATGTTGCCAAGCGGAGGGATTGAAGGACCAGCTGGCTGTTATGAGACAACGGTCTGGTCAAAATCCTGGACGATGGGAGTTTAGCCACATAAACAAGAGAATGCGCTTTCTAAAGTACTCTCCTGGTCAATACTTTAGGCGTAAGTTGCACCGTTTCTCGGAGTTGCTGGTGTTGCATATTTACTGACGACTCAGCACATTGCGATGGCCCCTACTATTATGAGGAGAATGGGACGCGGTTCGAGACTCAGTATACATTTCATCTTTACCTCAATGATTCAGCTGAGGTTTCACCGGAAAGCGAACTGGAGGGTGGTGCCACAAGCTTTCTGTCATGGGACAAACAACGCCGGATTGATGTGAACCCCAAAGCGGGCAGCGTTTTAATTTTCCAGCACAAAGGACTCCTCCATGCGGGAAATGAGGTATTCAAGGGCGAGAAGTTCACAGTTCGAACAGATCTTTTGTATAAGTGGGTTGAAGATAAACCCCCCGACGCTGCTTGAAGCAAGCATCTTAATCATGGTCAGTGTATTAGTTAATTGAAATCTTCATTTTACAGTCTGAATATAAATATGAAACTGAAAAAAGTACATTGTATGATTTTAGGTTAAGCCAATAAAAGGAATCGCTCGCCCATGACCTAATGCGCCTTATTTTATTCATGCCATAACTCCCAAACCATCCCAGATAGTCCAGACATCAATCTCCCTCTCCAATTCAGAATCTGAGGCCGATCAGCAACCACTTCGAGGCTCAAGTCCTGAAGTGTCATTCACTCTATCCTTGTACACCTTCTCAGCGAAAGTGAGGAAAAGGTCGACATCCTTGACAGTGGACGCGATACCCAAAGATACTCGAATCGCCCCAAAAGAGCTGAGCCCGATGATTTCCAGAATCTCGTCCATGGATAGGTCGCCCTTGACTTTCTTCAGAGGTTCAAGCGCGGACTTCGTGACGCCAAAAGCGGCCTCCCCTACCCCAGGGTTGCAAAAGCACCCTGTACGGAGCGAGATACCATATGCAGCGGACTCCTTGGCTACTATTCGGCCATCGAAAATCTGACCATTTGAATCAAGCAGGTTGAACGCAACCGTTCCGCCTCGGTTTTCCGTATTTTCTGGGCCATACAATCGCGTCATCGGTCGACCATCGGCATGGTGTAGAGAAATGAGTTTGCGAATGAGATATCCTGTAAGACACTCTACCCGAAGTGAGATTATGTCCATCCCGACCTCACCAAGCCAATCAAGACCGATATGAATGTCTGGAATAGCCCAGAAGTTGAGTGTTCCGTCCTCGAGAGAAGACTCGTCGCTTGTCATGAGCTGCCAGGAGAGACTGACACTGGCGGCCTTGACTGTACCGCCAGCAAACCAAGGCCGTTGCAAGCGAGCCAAAGCATCCTTCCGTATAATGAGAGAGCCGACGCCAGTAGGGAAGCCCATGACCTTGTACCAGCTCACAATTGTAAACTCGGGCTTGACAATCGAAAAGTCCAACTTCTTGGTTGGGAGATATGCCGCGGCGTCAAGTAGCACGTCGTAGCCCCGATCCTGTGCGAGCCTCACCCAAGAGAGAGGATGACACACGCCGCTGAAGTTGCTTTGGGCGGGAAATGCGAAGAGACTGGGACCTGACCGCTTGAATATGCGCCTCTCTTTTAGAGATGGCAAGGCATCTTCCACCGCTTTCGTGTTCGTACGAAGCTCATCTCTGTTCGTCATCGGGACGTAAATGTGAGTAGCTCGATTCTTGTGGGCAAAGCAGCGTAGCCCGTGTATAGAGTTGTGGTTATCGGCCGTCATGACGAGCTTGGAGTGTTTCATAAATGGATATGACTCCCCGACTAGGCGTGCCGCTCCGGATGCGTTGGGTGTGAACACGACGGCATATTCTTCGGGAGAAGCGTTGAAGAAGCTGAGTATTTTTGCCCGCGTTCTGTCAATGAGCTCGCTCGACGCTCGGCTGGTGGGGTTGACGGAATGAGGGTTGCCGAGTGTCACTGATGTTAGATGGGCGCTATGGGCCTGTATTTGGGCTCGAGATGCCAGTCCAGCGCCGCCATAGTCTAGATATACATGGCCTTGCTCGTCGAGATATGAGTAGCCGTAGGTGGATTGCCGTAGCAGGTCAAGTTTCTCGGTGGCGGCATACTCGGGATAGAAATCCAAGATAGCCCCTGACATCTTGGGTAGGTTCTGGCATCAGGGCCTATGCTTTAAAGCTGCAAAGTGATGATAAAGTTGAAAAGGTGTTGTAATGGAGTTAAAGAAGAGCATAATATAATATTAGTTCTGAAAGGGTTACACAAGCATGATGCCGATCTAGTTCACGTGCATCTAGCGGCTACCTTCCCTGTTATATCTTGAGGGATGCGCTACGATGCGGATAACTGTGACATACGGGTTCAATTTAGCAATGATCCTACGGCCGGAAAGGGCGGGAGGGTTGCCTTCGCTTACTTGCTGAGGAACTCCAACCAGTGTTGCCTCCGGTCCCCACCCAATCAGCTTCAGTCCTGATGTTCAGGTTGGATCAGCAGCAACTATATTGCAAATCAAGGTAGTAATGAGGTCCGAGAAGGCCGACGTACGCTGTAGTAGGGAGTGTGTGTCACGGCAGATACCAATGACCAAATGCGTAGAATTTTGTAACCAGCTGGGAAGATGTCTCCACCGGCAATTGCATGAAACGCGCGAATGGGATAGAGGCCAAAGCTGTGCAGTAGCCCTATGGATCGCCCTTTGCAATCCCTGATCGGCATTCTCATTGGATGATCATGTCTCTTCATCTGAAATGGTAACGGATACGATATCGGGCCAATGGTGGACGATGACGCGGGTCGGGATTCCCGTTCAATAGTCTTCAGCCTGGGGAACTCGCTTAATTAAACCGGGTCACTCTGTACGCGCATCACAAATCTTTCTCGGTTGACTTATTAACATCGCCGGTGACAAAGGGTCGGCGAGCTTATTTTAAGCTGTGGAATATTCCTCCGCTGTTCTTCGGCTGGCCCAATCATGCGAAGCGAAGTATCATAGCCGCTCAAGGAAGTTGATTATTGGGATCACAGAAGGGGGGGACCGACTGGCTCCGACCAAAAGCAGTCAGAGGTGGCCAATATCTTACCATCCTCATTCAGTTCAGTGGAGTTCGCCCTAAGTTCTTACCACCCGCTTCGTTGTCCATGCATACACCAGTCACTAAAGCATTCATTCCGTGTGGAGATCTGTGTTTTGGCCGAATTGCGTACCTGTGTTTTCTTGACGATTGGGAACAACAATGATTTCCCACCTTATAGGGGGTGGATGAAAAGAGAGGAACAAGGGCGCAGGTATGGTCCCCAATCTGGAGCAGCCCAGCCATTGAGCAACTGGGAACGGTAATTCCATACATACCCAAAGTTTGGGCTCAGCGCGGCTTGAGCCGTCCTGATTCCCCGCCCATTTTCTCATTGTGGCAGGTCGATGGTAGCAAGCGGCAGGGACAGGGGTGAAGAAGCTATGAGACCTGATCACCGACACAATTCATCAACAGCCGATTTGTCTTCATCGTGGTTTGGATGATGCTATCTTCATTGTTAAAAGTGAAGAAAATGAAGGCACTTATGGCTCGTTCTCGAGGCTCTTTCGATTAATCGCTTGGGTCAGCTTGGTTGGGCCCTGTGTGCGTACGTACAGTATACCTACGGTGCTAATGGCAGGGGAATTCCAGCTCGACTTGGCTGCGTCTGGAAAGTCACGAGATATACTGTTTTGAGCGGCCGACCTCCCTGACCGACATTCCTCTCCATGCCTCAACGTGATGCTGTGCCAATGCACTCCGAACCTTCGAAGAAATCTAAATGAGATAGAGGGAACACTGTCTAAGTGAAGTCCATTTTAAGTCTCAGTAGGATTCTTTGTCGTATTGGTTCGGGGCACAGAAGTCGCGCTGTCACATGTTGAAAAGGGGGGAAATGTACAAGCGTTGCGTCTTAATTACCTGTCCAAATAGCGCCATGTCATGACCCACCACTTTCTCGGGAGACACCGTGATCTAATACCTTGGAATGCTGGGCCACTTTGATTATGTTCCTAGCCTGTCAAGAACGGGCCACAAGAATAAACTTTCCAATGAGCCCAGCTGCTCCAGACTCGCGGGGTCGTCATTCGCTACAAAAGCCTAGTCTGGCGGACGAGACCCAGATTCCCCGCACCAAATGACAGCTGAGGACGAGTGGGAGCTGTCTCAAGCTTCCAAAGATGCTCTGATTCTGCCCCATGGCCTTGGTATTGGTACGGATGGCACCCATTGTGGAGATTACTTGGTCCACCAACGGAAAGCCGGGCTTAACCCCTCTCCGACTCTGGGCCAAAAGTCGGACAATTCCCTCTCCTCACCTTCTCATCTCATGAAGAGAGCTCCCTCAATCGATAGTGTCGTTGGGGCTTGCGCTTAGCTTGAGCTCGCTGAATTCCGTCCTACATCTGGAGCCCGCGTTGACAAAGACACTCTCACCTAACATCGACTGGTGAACCAGCAGACGAACCAACAGACCCGACCACGTGGAAATAGATTGACAATGGTGGGGCCAGCGAGTGAGATTACCGGCCAGCCCGAAGTTGAGGCCCAGCAGCCAGTGGAGGAGGCGGCACAGGCGGAGGAGGCAATTGAATTTGTTGGTTCCGGCACCGAAAACAGTCACAATGGTGAGATTGACACATTGTTAGGATCCGCACGTCGTGGGCGATCTGTCCGATGATGGAGTTTCAGTTGGAGATACTGAGAGGTAATCTCCAATCCTCATACGCACCAGGCGTATTGGTGCTGACTCGGATTTCCAGTTTGCGGGAATCTACCGCTTCGCTGTCATCCAGCATTCTGGAATACCGCGACCTCCATGGCCGAAAATACCAGTCGTCCAAGACCACAGAATACTGGTAATTTCTGTCCCGTATTCAATTGCGAAACTCCGCCGACAATAATTATCTAGGGCCCCGACCGATGAAAGACACATTGAGGGCAATGACATCGCGTAAGCTGGTTCCCAACATGAAGCAAGCAAACAACACTATCAAAGTTGCACGGCCAACTGACCGACGTGCACTTCAGACATCACATTGCGTTGCTCCTCCTTGATGAGCAGCTTACATTGGCACCAATTTCATCGCATCCTCAGGTATTCCATAATATGGCCCAACTTCGGGGATAAGTCCAGCAGGCTGATGATGTTGCAGCAAATCCTCGACATTGGCACTGGAACTGGCATTTGGGCCATGTATGAGCTATTCTGCCTGAACCCTCCCACATATAATATATCAATTCTAACAAACAACAGTGATATGGCCGATCAGTACCCTGGTGCCGAGGTTCTAGGCACTGACATCTCGGCAGTACAGCCTGACTGGGTCCCTCCCAACTGTATCTTCCAAATTGATGACGCCCAGCTAGACTGGACTTTCAAGGAAAACTTCTTCGACTTTGTCCACATCCGCTACATGTACGGCGGAATTGACGACTGGGACAAGCTCTACAGGCAGGCATACACCCACGTGAAGCCAGGCGGCTGGTTCGAGAACATCGAGATCGATCTCGAGACTCGCAGCGAGAACCCCAGGGTGTCTAATGACCCGGATCATATCTTTAAGAAGTGGTGCAAGCTGTTCTGGGATGCGGGTGACAAAATCGGACGCACCTTTAAGATCGCGCGTGATAATCAGATGGAGGACCTGATGAAGAAGACGGGTTTCGTCGACGTTGTGCACAAGAGCTGGAAGGTGCCCATTGGTGCCTGGCCCCAAGACCCCAAGTTGAAGAACATCGGGGCCTTTAACGGCGAATTCATCGACCAGAGCTTGGATGGCTTTGCTGTATTCCCAATTGGAGAGATTCTCGGCTGGACGATGGAGGAGGTCACGGTCTTTGTGAGCCAGATGAGGTCGGCTATTAAGGATCCGAAGTCTTTACCTTATTACGTCGTGTGAGTAACCCTTCGATTATACATCATGGGGACAAATCTAACATTCACGCCTAGTCACGCGGTTTGCGGTCGTAAACCAGAGGATGCATGATTGGATGTAGAAGAAGAATTGCCAGTTATGTGAGAAACTGGTGGAATTTGAGTAAGGTTCTATTGAATTTTCCACATCATATGCCAAGCTTGAATTGACTAACCCTACTTCTATACGATGGAGATAGAGGTTCAATATAATTCATTAACCCTATATTCCATTACCGGAAGGATTTTCTACTCTACGTCCTCTTTGTACTGTTGAGTATTAATACGTTCTACCTCATAGGTAGGTTCAAAAAAGACCTTTGGAATTCGTCCAAATTTAGCCACTCTACGGTTTCATTTAGCATGCAAACCTATGATGCTCATAAGTGCAATAGCTAGACGTGGTCCCTAGTTAAAGAGGCAGCTTTCTTTAGTGACTTCAAAGTAGAAATTCTTTTCCTGGAATATGGTAGTCCTCGAGAAACACTCCACTAACAGGGAAACATCGAAGCTGCGCACGCGCGACTTCACACGGGTGAGTATGAGCCTATGGCAATTGGAACTATATTGGAGTCTCTTTTTAATTAGTCAAACTCCATTGCTAATTAGGCCATTCTCCATACCGATGTCAACGTAGTTGCCAATTAAAGTCAAATCGACGATCTCTTAAAGCTATCCGGGGATAATCTCGGGGCCCTTCTTGCGTGGACTGACGTAGGTAGAACAGCTTCTTGCCATTGCCGAGGCTGCTACGGAAAAGCAAGTCGATCAAAACTTACAGTATTCACCTGCATCAGCCTCAGCATGACTCATGGAAACACTAACCGGTAGTTCGGATTTCATGTCACTGAATTTCCCCAATCACTTCTGAAAACTCATTTTTCAAACTTGTGCGTCCGTATTGTCCACAAGAAAGCAGCGCCAACCAAATGCCGGGCCGAACTTGACGGAAGCCTTGGGCCTTGCAATCAAACACTTAACGAACATCAACCCAATGAGGGAAAGAAATGGCAGATGAGGCGCGAGTCTGGAATTCACAGGAGGTATATAGAATCCACTAGACTAGGCCGTCCGACGAACTGATTTCAGTATCATTTTACCTCAAATATGTCCCAAGTCGTCAGGTCTTATACTACGATAATTGAGTGGTGGGGGGGGAATGCTGAGGAAAGTATTAAGTACAGGTCCTCCAGGTAAAGTATTCAAGAATCCATTCAGTTTGGTCTTGATAAAGATGAGCTTGGTCTCGTCTTTATATGAAGTACTAAGCCAAGCTCGAAACTTCCAATCTAGTCCCTGCACAAGTCTCCGTGAACTCCTCATCACTCACCTTTCCTGTAGTCGTGTATTTGAGCTTGAGAACACTTTCAATCATGTGACGTAAACCTTTTTGCCCGTCACGAGATATGATCTCCCACTTCTCCCCGTTTCGTACATTGTAGAGTATAACGTGCGGAATCTTCAGTAAGTAGGCATACGCGTATGCCTGTATGGCATGATGGTATGAAAGCTAAGAAACGAATTTGATCTCCCATATAGTTTCGATGCCTCCGACACTATTACTCTCGAGATTGGACGAAGTTGCCACAACGTCAGCTCTACCACCAAGTCGGCATTTCTGATTATCAATGCTGAATCTCCCCTCTGCGTCAACTTCGAACCTAAGGTTCACGGCTCGCTCGCTGAGCTCCCCGTGGAGTCGGTTCCGTGCTAGAGCAAGGTCCTCAGGTTCTATCCAATCGAAGGCGTGATTTTCCATCTGGATACTACGCGGGAGATAGCCCGAGAAGTCAGCCTCATAATCACAGGCCTTTTGACATAGCCACGAAACACCCTGCTTTGAGCAGACTGTAGGAATTGTAGTAGCATCGATTTGTGTGAGACCGAGTGTGCCCATAGTTCCCACAATATCATACTCGAAGGCTGCGGCAACGACTAGGCCATTTAAATCGCTCACCGCTTCGTGGGACCTCCTTCCTTCGTCTGAAGCCACGACACCTTGGAGCTCAATGTGCTCATCTTCTGGTAGTGTTGAAAGCTTTCGAATACATAAGTGCCTGTCAATAATGGCGTTGAGATCTTCATCCTTTATGTGCCGGGTTATGTCCCGGACTGCGATCGAGCGTGGCAGGGTAAGCCCACTCTCCAACGGTCGGCCCGGAGCATCAGGGGGCTCAATTCTGTCTCGATTTCTTGTGAAATCGATGATCTTGGCCGTCTTGTGCAAAGATTCGACAGATGCAAAAGGCATGAGCCTCTTATCTTCGTAGTGGACCAAGACAGGCTGTTCCATAGCACGGGTCAGGGCCACATAAACCAAGTTAGGGCATCTATCATCGGGGAGGTCGCGGCCAAAATATTTGAAAAATGAAGAGTCGAGTCCGAAGAGTATGACTAAATCACGCTCGCTGCCTTTGAATTGGTGAATTGTGGAAACACACATCTTGTTCTCGACGACCTTGTCATCTAGTGGAACCTCGTCATCGAGTGATACAGCAATGGGCACACCATACTGCTCAGACAGTATATTGACCACATCCTGGAAAGGCCAGCGTTTATGCAAAGGCCCATTATTACGTACCGAAGGTGCTATAATTGCGGTGTTCTTGGGCCCATAGCGCTCGATCATGGTCCATAGCTGCTTGGCCAGGGCTCTGCTCTGCCATCGGTGGCATTTTATGACGATAGGTTTAGGGCCAGGCTTGGAGCTGGTAATATATGATTCGCCACCGAGAAAAGTATCATTGATGAATCGAACTGATTGGATCGACAGCCGAAAGCTTTGGCTTAGCTGAGCCTTTACAAAAGGATATCGGTTGAGAGGACCCAGCAACTCAGGGGCCAACGTAAGGTAGCGGTCATCGGCACCACGGAATCCGTAGATGGATTGTTTTTCATCCCCCAGAACGACGAGACGGGCAGATTGGCCGCCCATTTTTCTATCATTAGCAAGGATGAAGCAGTTGGCCAGCCAGAAGAGGATTTCGGTACAGTCTTGAAACTCATCCAATACAATGATATCAAAAGGCTCAGGGTCCCACTGAGGGAGCTCGCTGCGATTAAGGACATTTTCCCTTTGTTCCGCTAGGATAGAGTCTTCATAGACAAGGGTCCCAAAAAGAAAGCCAGCCATAGCGTGAAAAGTGAAGACTTCGCAGTTAGAATAGGTGCGAAGCCGTTGAAAAGTTTCCAGCTGGAGTCTTTTCGAATAAGTGAGCACAGCTACTCGCTTGTCCGGGTGGGCAGCCATAATAGCTTCGGCCGTAGCTGTTTTTCCTGAGCCAGGGCGAGCCGATACAAGAACATTCATCGTGCTGCATAGCTCTGCTATCGCTTGTTGCTCTCCAGATGGCGTAAATGGATGTTTCCTTTTCCGCTGTCTAAGTAAGGTATCCGTATCCGTAAAGAAGCGAAAGGAATTACGAGGGTAAAACACCTGGAAGCCTCTTGTCAGCGCCATGGAGCTTTCAAATCACCCTTGATCGTCACGAGCGTCGCAACGTTTCCCGTTACCTACCGGGGGTTTCCAGGCACATGAGACTGGCCACGCACGGGCGACTGAGCGACATTTCGAGAATGGTTGGCCAAGCATCTTGGCTCCAATCCGCAAATCTAGTGGAGAAGTCCCAACGGTAGGTATGCGTGTAACACTACAGCAACCGGATCTGTATCATATATGTGTGTCCAAACATGCTTTGCCAGAATGACGGCTAGCTTAGAATTGAGCGCGGAGTCAGTGCGATGGTAGGCACCAGCCTGCCAGGTCGAGCGAGCCTTCGCAAAAAAGAGGCTCGATATCGTCAGGTTTGACAAAGCTACTGTAATGGCCTATCCTGGCGAACATAAGATAGCAGAGGTGAGAGAGTTTGAGTAGCTTGGCTCGAATAGTAAAAAACAGTACTTATATAAGATACGAGACCCGGTATCTCAACCTTATGAAAACGAAAGGCAAAAAAATTAAGCTCTGCTAGCCCAAGGCTACAGCCATGCAGAAGCGTGCGTGTTTGAGGATCGTTGGGTTAGGGCAGCGTCGGTAATGAGCACATCACTCGGTGCCGCTTTATTTTAGGAGATTGAGGGCGGCAGCTTGTTCCCTACGCCATTAGATAACCTCTATCAATCTACTTATTAAGTAAAGTAACTATTAGACTCTACCTAGATAAAGATCTAAGTAATAAGCAACAGCTTTCTCTAGAGTTCCTTAAGCCGTGCCGTCGCGCAGATGCGCAACATTGTCGGCGACAGTATCTTCCAGGCTGATATATCCGGGACGTCCCAGCTCTTGTAGTAGTTTCTCGGCCTTCTTGGCAGGAGGAATCTCATTGGGATCCTCACCCCCAGAGAAGTGATCGGGGAAAGTGCGCCCAGGATTTTGCTCCTTCAATATGTCAATGATCTTGTCGAAGCTGAAGCGGCCCGCGAAAGCGAAAATCCGTTGTTGTTTGACTTCGGGAAAAGTCGCCGCGATGAAATGAAGGCGCGCGGCATCCTGGACATTAACATAATACTCTGACATTTGATAATTTCAGTCTCCGGCCTCTCTTGAACACGGCAATGGGATAATCACTCACGTCTAACAACCCAGGTAAACATGGGCGAAATTTCTCCCTTGTACAAAGAGGGAATAAATGAGCACGTTCCTCTGGAACCCTGGTGGACAGGGTCGAGAACCTTGCCATAAAGGAAGTTGGGGAGAACTGTAGACGTGGAAGAAGATTAGACAACAATTTCAGAGCTGAGGGGCAGAGAGAGGATTTCGCACTTGAGTTGACAACTAAGTCTGGCCGCTTTTCAGCGTTCTCCTTCTGGTATTTCCAGAGTGCTTGCTCGGCTTGCACTTTGCTTGCAGCGTACACCATGCCGGCACGCTCAGGCGTGTAAGGAGGGTCTGCCCAAGCTTGTTGGACAGCGTATTCACACCAGGATTCTTCAGTGACCGTCGTAGCTGGAATATTGGGATGGGATAAGACAGCAGCGGACGAGGAAGAGGTAAAGACGAAACGCTTGACGCTGTCTGTCGCATAGGCAGCCTTAAGGGCGCTCAATACGAGGGCAATGGACCCAGCGACGACAATATTCGGGTCAGGGCTGAATGACACCTCCGATGCCGTATGGACAACTGCAGCCACGCCTACCGGTTTACCATTCACCAGTCAGTAACAGTATCCAAGATAGAGAAATGTCAGAAGTCAGATATCAAAATAACAAACCTTTGATAGCCTCATCAAGTGCCCCGTCAGCTGTCAAATCAGGGATCTGGACAAGTTCATAAACGTCTTTGCCATAGCTCTTCTCGAAGTGCTCGGCCAACCAGGCATTCTTTTCGATGTCACGGACGACACCTCGAACTTTGTAGCCATATTGAAGAAACTGGTCGCTGATGTGAGTCGCTAGATTACCATTTGCGCCAGTGACTAGAACGAGCGAGCCTTTGGGCAATGCGGGGTTATCGAGAGGAGACATATTGATCTGTCCTTTATGATTGGCGGTCTTTCAAAAGATGCAGGTGTGAGCAAGCAATAGATATTAAGCAGCGACCGTATTTAAAATGAGGGGAACTTTCTACGCCTTTATATAATATGCCTGTCGGCTGAACTCCTCTCCCCGTGCTGGAGGTAGCGGACTTTGCGGAGCCGGAAGGATCAGGATTTCCTAAAGAAGCATTATCTTTGGTCTTGGCATGGGCAGGCGCGCTTGATATACGCAATACGGCTAGCTAAGTAGTGCTAAAACCCGATATGAGTGAGATCTTAAGTAAGATGATAAAGAAGAATGCGGGTGAGATGATTGAAATAAAGACTGCATGCGAAGATGTCTGGAAATCTGGAGACTTTCCAAAAGTCCACTGTCGATGTCGGGATTTGTAAGCCACTCCGCCTGGTATCAATCAAGCTCACCAATCCGCCCTGCATGACCTCCAGCAGCCTTAGAGTAGCTCCGGTTCGATTCTATATGATTTCAGCTAAGAGGAAAAACTACTTTTAGTCACTTGGCATGTGCGAGAAGTCTCCGAAAGCATTGCATCAAAGTAAGCGACTCCTCTATCCAGCCAAAACCAATTCTGCCAAAACTTCGAGCTCAGGTAACATTTTCTTTAATACGCGTTGGTCTGTGTATAGAGCTGTTCATCCAAAAAAGAACTTGGGCTGTATCTCGTTCGAACGTAGCAGGAAAGCTTTCCAAGCCCGCGTCCTCTGCAGCAGGTGATCAGCCCATTTTAACATTGTAAAAGAAAACTCGGTAGCGCTGACTTTCGTATGGTAATTTAACCTGCTGCCTTTTCATATGACGACTTAGGTAGTGGAGTGCGATCGAGACTTCTTGGAGGATTGGCTTATGATGGTTTCCAGTGTGCAGCACGTGTTGAAGAAATTGACGTTCAACATGAACGATAATGGTTCTAGTATTGGTGGCTGTTATTTTCTTCCAAGAGATAGAAAGAATTCGCGCATTGCGGCTCAAGGGTCGTAGATTGTTTGTCAAATATTGTGCTATGTGATCATTCTTAAGAAGGCAATATACAATTGTTGAAATTGCTCCGGCCGTGAACTCAGGCGAAACGATGGATGATGAGCCACATATGCATAAAGGTGCTTGCCGTACGCAAAGCCTTTAAGTGCACCATGAATTAGGCTCCAAGTTCGCTACAATTAGTTTAGCCTCATATCTCTCACTGCCTAGCAAAATTGACGAAGATCGATTCCAATGTTGACAGGATGATTCGTAACGTTGACCCAGCCCGCCTGTCTTCAGTTTCTTGATTTGGTACTCACTCTTCCCTAGCCGTCTAAGCTGGCTCCCGCCGAAATTATTTCGTTATCCCGGTATATCCCAATTTAGATTAATTTGGCGTTTTGCCCGGCGGTTTTTTTTTTTTACCAAGCAAGGTTATGGTAGAAGGACTTGCTGCGTATCAAACCCCGTAAGCCCTCACAGCCCTTGGCCAAATCGGTTTGCTGAAGTATCATTCTGCCACACTTTGAGCCAAACCTTACGTTCAAGGAAGTTTGTTCCTGTGGCGACTCTGGGCCATTTTTCTACTTCCTACGGGTGGGCGTTCGTGTCTCGAGTGCCTTGATCGAAATAACGACTCTTATTTTCTCACTTTCAGCCGGGTCCCAGGTCACATAATCTTTCTATCACACCATCCACCCCTTTCTCAAGAAAACCTTGTCTAACAATGAAAATCTTCCTTTCCTTAAGGCATAGAGAGGTATTCTCACAGTCTTGGAAAGAATAAATAGGCTCTCAAGATTGTCCATTACTGCGAGATCACAAAAATGCCTACGAACAGAACTTAGGTGCAGAGTTTACCAATAATTAGGTTGTCCTATTCATATCGAGTCAAGTGGCTGTCCGCAGCTACTACACTACCTAATTGCGTGGCATGCCGTATAGGCAACTGAACTAAAGCAGACCCTAGCCAAGCGACAACATTGTTAAAAATTCATTTAATGCAATCAAGTAACTCGGTGATCAGGCACCTGACTGAGTGCGACCACTGCCATACTGAAAGTTCCGTAGTCACCTACCCGAAGTAGTTCTTCATCTTTGGTCCAGTAAGCAACTGTGGCAACCAAACACGGACGTCGCCGCATCCCTAGAACCTTTCGTTAGATCATTAGATAGAAGTGGATGTCCGTCGTATCTGCAAGGGACAATCTCCCAGTGCCCCACCGGCCAGAGATTGCCCCTCTCTTCATAAAGGCGGTTACTTCCTCATGGACAACAGGTAAGACGTGATGTTATTGAGGATGATGACTGGATAGCGAAAGACAAGCGGAATGGCGAAGACTATGAGCAAACAATGGTTTCAATGTCGAACAACAATTGGCAGACAATATCACAGGACGGCATGGAGACTACTCCAACCAGGACTAAACTAAGATATTAATGGATGAAGCGATGACATTCTGGCAAACATGGATAGGCTCGGTAGAAGACCTTCCGATACTCAGATAGGTGGCAATCTAGCAAGAATTGCTATCTTGGAAATCAATTCCTTTCTTCTCTTCATCCTGCCAAGATACCACAGCCAGTCATCCACCATCAGTCTCCCTTCGATTGGCGCGCGTCTCCGTGCTGCTCTCGAAGCGTCCTCACTGGCCGTGGGACTCGGACAAGCGCGTCCATTCAGGTCCGAAACCGGCGCGGAGCTGTCCTAAACGAACGCTCGTGTGAGAGGCTCCATGTTCAGGGTTACACTCGGCCTGCCTAAAAAGAGCTTCGCCCCCCTGGGCTGAGGCAAAGATCGACACAAGCCAAGAAAAATAACCATACGATGTTCACAAAAACGCCTCGGCCAGGCATTGATGTCGAGAGCGCCAAAGCGAGTAGGACTCTGTCCGTGTGGTTGGAGATTATGACGAATCAAGATTTAGAGTAGCGTTTAATCTAGAAGCTTAAACACCGGATGCTTTTGCGGATTGGGGAAGATCAACGAGGTTAAATCCTACAGAGGCCGATCTTAGGCTAAGATGATAGTTAACAAGCTTCTTTCAGTGGATGACAACTTCCTTGGTAGGACAAGTGATGAAGAGGGCGAGTGCGATAGATCCCCTATTTTCAGTACCCTTGCTCTATCTCCAAACGATCCTTAGCCCATGTCGAATTTGGCAATTGCTTTATCCTAGTTTATGTACTATCACCACCTGCCCTATGAGGACAATAATGTGGACATTTCACCTCTCCTTGTGTGTAGGCGATACGGGCATGAGCTTCTATAAGAAGATGTCAGTGTCCTCATCATGGTTTATTTTGTCTCAGTATCATCCTTGGGAAGAAAATCATCTGTCTATAATCTGAGCGTCTTGTCACTCGTTCATCGTAATCAAAATGCGTTCTTCACTTCTTCTTGCTGCCTTGCCCCTAGCAGTGGCCAGTCCAGTCAAGCGGGCTCCTCTATATACTCGGGATGGTGAGGATGCTATTGAGGGAAAATATATTGTTGTGATGAAAGCCGGAGCTCAGGTCTCGTCCGTCGACAGCGCCGTCGGTTCCATTGCCGCCAATGCAGATTACGTCTACAATAACCTCGGTGGTTTCTCTGCCTCTCTGACAGATGCGGAGGTTGAATCTCTCCGCAATGACGCCAGCGTAAGTTATCATTTATTCATTAGCCTGCAAATCCCCAAAGTAAACCATCTAACCAGATAATTTTCACGATATAGGTTTCCTATATCCAGCAGAATGGAAAGGCTAGCATTTTTGCTACCCAGGAGAATGCCCCTTGGGGCCTAGCCCGCCTCTCTAATAAGTCACCTGGCTCTACAACATATACATACAAGGAAGGCGGTGGTGAAGGTGTTTGTGTCTACGTTGTTGACACTGGTATTGATGTTGAACATACCGTATGTTTCCCCTTAAATGCTACAGCCTAAAATTTGCCAATGCTAATGAAGTACCTTTAGGATTTCGGGGGCCGTGCTACTTGGGTAGCGACTGTATTTGGCGATGTTGACTATGACGATCACTCTCACGGAACTCACTGTGCTGGCACTGTTGCTGGAACCCAGTACGGTGTCGCTAAAAATGCCAGCATGTATGCTATCAAGGCCTTTGATGGGGCTGGTGATGGTTCTGAGTAAGTTGTCTCCAGATTATTCCAAGAGATGAGTATTTGTATTTGTCTAACAGCAACTATCAAACAGCGCGTCCATGATCGCCGGCATGGAGAAGGTTCTTGAGGATGCTCCTAACAGAGACTGCCCTAACGGTGTGGTTGTCAGCATGTCTTTTGGCGGCGGCAAGACTCAAGCCGTTAACGACGCTGCCAAAGCTCTTGTCGATGCAGGCTACTTCGCCGCGGCTGCTGCTGGTAATGGCGATTTCCTGAACAGGCCTATTGACGCCGGTACCGTCTCACCTGCATCCGAGATTTCCTTGTGTACAGTTGGCGCCACCGATAGCGAGGATGTGACTGCCTACTTTTCCAACTACGGATCTGTTGTCGATATCTTCGGCCCCGGTGTCAGCGTGGAGAGCGATATCCCTAACGGCGGCACTGGCGTCAAGAGTGGTACTTCTATGGCCACGCCGCATATTGCTGGCCTCGGTGCTTACTTCTTGAGCCAAGGAAAGGCCGCCTCAGGCCTATGCGAGTATCTACAGAGTATCGCGCTCCAGGGCATTATCAGCGATGTCCGTACCGGAACGGTCAATCTACTTGCCCAGAACGGCGAGGCATCTGCTTAATAGATTGTAAAACTCTTAATGTTTTAAGAGAAATGAATTTATGACGATGCATGTAAAATGTACACGGTATAGCTCCTACTAGAGGGTTGCTAGAGAATTGATGCTAAGTCCAATGCTAAATTATTTGTTGTGAGTTCCCAGTTGAGATAATCAACTTCAAACTCTATCGACCTTTGTATTTTTCTTCTCTTTCAAGCATTGCTCAACATTCTGACGAGCAGGAATCCTTCATAATTAAAACCCCACTGACTAGACAGTTACAATACCAGAAAGTGTCAAACAGTTGCTTCCGTAACAGTTACTTCGCCATACCAGAGAACAGGGTAACCGGTGACAGAGATGTTGAAATGTGTTCCTAGCCGCCTATATATACACCCCTTCTGGCACCAACAGTGTCATTAACAGTCTGGACCCTCCCTCGTCCCGAATAATAATTACTATTCATAAGCGATGCCCTTGTTACAAGTCAAGGCTCATGTTCCGAAGAACGCGACCAAGACTTGAACTTCCTCGCATCCAACTTTAGCTCAAACATTCGATCTATCTCACCTGGTGTTCGATCCTTCATTTCCGGGATGAAATAATAGGTTCCAACAACGCCCACGAGACAAAACCCCGTATGAACGAATCCTGTTTTTGCGCCCAGGTTGCCCTCATCAGAATTGAAAATATACGGAATGCAAAATCCAAAAAGAGCACCAGCAAATCCAGCTGTCAACCAGCCGATTCCTTGAGCCTTGGCGCGAGTGTCTAAAGATGAAGCTTCAGACGCAACCGCGTAAGATGCCGGCCATACGCCAAGTCCTGAAACCACAACGATGACAATCATGACGATGGCCACATACCTGTTATTGCGAATGTTAGCAGCCTCTCCGACCCCAACGGAAACAAACTATGATTACTTACCAAATAACTACGGGGCCAGACCAGATGCCCGCGACGCCCATAGATGCCCAAAGAACACCCGCCACTGACAGAGAAAGCAATATTAACAGCCGGCGCCCGTATTTCGAGATCACCCAGATGCTAATCAGATTTGCAATAAATCCGGCCAAGATTCCAAATACCAGAACAATTAAACTTAGCTTGGCTTTCATACCAACAACTTGAGCAAAGTAGCTGGCTTTTGAAAGAATAAGTAGACCAAAGAACTGAGGCAATAAGTTTGAGAACATGATGATAAGTGTCCTTCGGCGGTTTGTGCCTCTAAAGCAATCCAAATACGTGGCCTTGGCTTGCTCTCTCTCATGATCGATGTTGTGCCTGATATCCTCGATAACGGCCTGGGAATCCATACCAGGTGAGAATAACTTTTCTTGTGCTTTCAGAGCATCGCCAAATCTTTCTTTGCGAATCAAATATGTCGGGCTCTCTGGAATGATGTAGGCTACCACCATAGGAACAGCAGAGAACAGCCATTGTGTCCCGAAGCAGATAATATAGCCATCCTTGATGTTCGTGCAGCCGTAAATCACCCCTGCCCCGATGAGTTGGCCTAGAAGAACAAATGTCGGGATAAATGCTATGACCGAACCCCTCAAGATTGGGGGCAAAACCTCCGACATGTAGGTCTGAGTTGTTGTGAGAACCATGCCAATAGCCATTCCTTGAAAGCCTTTGCCGACTAGAAACACGACGCGTCTCGAAGTGATGTCAGCGGGGAGGTTGGAGACAAAAAGGATAGCGACACCGATCGCGGACAGAAAACTGCCCACAGCAATACACATTCGTCGGCCAGTCCAATCTTGCATGAGGCCGCCTAGAATAGCGCCGACCATCGATGCACCTGGACTAGCAAAATTCCATAAGCCAAGCCAAAGTGAAGGTAGAATCCACCCATTACCCCATCTCTGGCCATAGTCTTCTCTGTTGTGGGCTCGGATTAGTATCAATGGGTTAGAGATAGAAGAGCGAATGGTAGAGCGTACTGGAAGCTAGGCATGGCAGAGACAGTCCCGACAATCACATAATCGTATCCATACATCATGATGCAAGATGTCAATCCGAAGCAATACCAGACGATGCGATGCCATTTCTTAGCAGCTGCCCAAATATCCAGATCCAGGGCCTCCTCGACCTCCTCAGCCTGACCCCCCAAGGGAGACTTCGACTCAGAATCACGATCCATCGAGGGCGCGTGTCCGCAGCAACGAATGAGTTCGTTCACTTCAAGCTCTCACTTCGGCAGTGTCATTCGTGATAGCGCAAAATGGCGAGTATGATGGACTTTGTGAAGGCCCCGCCCCTCAGATCTCGCTAGAATTGAATGATGGTTTGAGAGGGTTGGGAAATTAATTGCCACCGCGGGGGGGCAGACATAACTGACACTAAGGTTACATCGTCCTACGGCTGAACAAGAGATCCAAGCTAGTGCTAGTAAATGATTGTTGCATCAATGCGACTCTATTATGCAAGAGTATGGCCAGACCGGTCTATACTATGTCCAGCAGAACAATGTGTATTGAGTTGGAATCCCTTGAAAGGACTGGAAGTTGGAGGAGCCGGTCTTATGTCCAAGGCTTTCAAACCTCGAATGGGGGAATCATCGGAGGTAGCACTACGGGAAATCACCCTCGCATGCATGTAAGCAAGGAACTCCCAAAGTGCCGATCACAGGGGGCAAGCAGGCAATTCAGGGCTACTCGCCACCCATCTTGATCTACATAACCCACTCTCCCAATCTCCCAATCATTCTCAACAAAGGGTGCTCCAGGTGGAGTTTGTCGGTAATCCGGCCAGTTGTCCATTGTAATATCGATCATCGACTTTACCGCAATCATCCTCGTCGAAGAATCTCAATATTACCTTGTTCACTCAGTACATTGGGATGTGAACCCTGCTCGTCACAACATTCCAGCATCGTAAGATGCCAAGAGGGATTGGAGGGGCCATCAGCATTATATAATCGGAGGAATCGAAGCTCAGGGTCAAAGAGCATCACAGCATATTACGTACAGCTGTTGTGCAGTTTTTTAATTGGTAAATCACTCCTAACCTTCATGAGTTCGGAGACGCGGAGAGAAATTGAGAACTAGAGGACAGCAGATACAAGTAACTCAATAGGGTATGGTTACACGAAGTTTGTAGTTATCGTAAAGGGGCTGTTTGGCTTCTCGCTCTCTTGGGGGATTGCATTTTTCGAAGTGAAAGACTCGATTTTCTAAGAAACTACAGTCCACCCCAAGTCCCCCCTTTTCACAAATATACCTATTCTGCCTATTTCTTGCAAACTCAACAGGTAGAGACGCGTTCCAAATCCAGTCAAGTAGCCTTCCCTTCAGAGCCATTGTTAAATAACACTCCCACCTCGATGAGGATCGCATTTCTAGAATGACCGATTCTGGTGGCTCCTCCTGGTAGATGATCATGACCGATTCGTGACTGACATGTATAAGGGCGCGCTTGGGCTGACACCTAGCGCATTATAACCGCTCACGATCTTTATGCCCAATGGATCGGAAGAGAGGCTAGCGACGAGGCCTTGGTCTTCGTTGGTGAACTTCTTGACCTCCATGAGCAAAAGCGCAAGGACAACAAGAATGCCGACAAGCGCGGCGGCTATGATGGCTTGTATGGTTCCAAAGCAGAGTTCTGGCCTATCTTGGTGCTGTTGTTGTTATCGCCGATTTCTGTGGACATTTGAGAGATCGAGTCTTTTCCAATGAACTTCTTTCGAGACTGTTATCTGTTTTGCAAGTAAAGGTTTCAGGTAATGTAGAAAAGGAAGGAAATTGAAAGCTTAATACCACTCAAATTCTCCAGGAAAATGGGAGAAAGAAGGCTGTTTTATTTCGTAACTGGACGCGGGTGGCGTGTTTCAGCCACTCAGAGTCATCCTATCGTAGGCACAGCTTCCAATAGCGGACCCCTTCTTTAATAAAGATAAGAGCTAGCAGCTAGTGGCTATTTGGAAGGCCGTCCGTTTGGCCTTAACGATTCCTGGATAGCAAACCAATCATGATGAGCGTTAGGGCTGATTCCTCAGGTCATCTCAGCCGTCAGTAATTACCATCATGCAACGCATAAGGCTCATGACAACTACTCCACTAGCACAGCAGCTACTAAGATGAACCACAACAACGGCTCATTGGATTTTAGATTGGCAGGGCTGAACGGAGGATGATAAACTGGTTTTCTGGCAATAAGGGGTCTGTGGGCTGTTCCTCATATTCTAGCTATTATTGTATTCAACCGTATAAGCACATACATGATGCGGTCCCGGTTCTCGTATTTTTACTTATATTACATCATAATCATTGCTTCTCCATAGGTTTATCTTTCAATCCTTACCAACCTTTCCATGGGATCCATGCTTCCCGGACGATGTCGTTCTCATCCACACCAAAATAGACATAAAACGCCGCCGTAGTGATACACGAATGATTGCAATACAGGTTTGCCCTTTGGCCAATTTGGAAGTTCTCAGACACTTGGGCACTCTCGTTTGTCCCAAGTATTCCATGTTCCTGCGACAAGCGCACAACAGCCCAAGCTGGTTTCCCAATGACGCGGCCGAACCCTGAATAGCCACTGCTTTCCCGAGAGAGAGCAACGACACCGGCATTCACTAAAGCCTCGTTTCGCTCTGCATAAACACCACAGACTTCGGCAGCAACGCGAATTGCCTGGTCAGAGTCTGAAACTAACCCTGTCGACACCTGCTGTAGGTCGTTGCAGGGGAAATTGCCTAGACCAAGAATTTCGTCAGTCAATATCTGACATGCTGAGAAATTATGTGCTTGACGCTTCTTAATTCCAAACGGCCATACCTGCATGAAGCTCGACCTTCACATTTGACGGGACGTTTGCTTTCAGGTACTGCACAACATGGGCTGTGGGAGTTGCTCCAATGGAAACAATTAGAGCACGGTCGGCAGGCAGCAGCGCCGCGGCATTGAGAACGCTCGATATTTCGATTTCAAGCGTCTTTTGGGCCTCTTCCAGTGACTTGCCGGCGTAAGAGTGTCCTGCGTGGCAATAGAAACCGGAAGTGTTCACTGCTGAAGATCTGTCTGCACGTTCCACCAGTTTTGTCAAGGCTGTGCTATTTGCCGGAATACCAGCACGACGGGAGCCAACGTCAAGCTTGATGAAAATATCCCAGGGCTGGGTGCCCGACTTCTCAAGGACATCGATGTGATCCTCATTGTCTACTAGCAGCAGAATTCGCACGCTCTCTCTTAGCTTAACGAGGTCTTGTAGCGCCCCTGGGTAAACTGGCAGTCCGTATAGAATCTGCTACAGTTAGCACAGAAGCTCAGCAACGCCAATGGGGTTGAAGTGTAAGACTCGCTTCATCTAGAAGACCCTCCTTGACTAACGGCAGACAACCACGAATCTCGCAAATTGTAGATGCAATTATAGACCGATACTTGCCTCCTGCTATCATCAAGCGGGTAATTTCGAGTGTCTAAAACCAATTACTTTAATAACCGCTACAACTCCAAGCGATAGTTGCCGACAAACCTTGAGAGTTTTAACATGGGGCCGAAAGCCAATCCCAAGTTTCTCGACGGTCTCGTGTAGAGTATTGACATTTCTCTTTAGAACTGGAAGATCGACAATGAGTGATGGCGTGGGTAGCTCTGAGGCTGGCCGCCCAATGTAAGATGCGTGATTCTCGAAAGCTCGATCCATCGCAACGGTTGAGACTTAGCCAGTGAGAGCAACAGTTGGATTGTAAGTGAGTTTAGATATCTCCATGGATCAAAGATGCATCTTAAATAATTGTGTTAAGAAACGGTCTAATGCGCAATATATCCCTCGCCGCGGTCCGCGGTGAGAGGAATTCCGCGGCCAAGGCCAAGCTCCAATTCGACTCCACGAGCTCGCTAATTCCCGCATCAAAGTCGGGCGCATCATGGCCCGTCTTTTTTCGGATCTAAACCTTGTCAACGCCTGCTCACATCAAGCCGCCGATTCAAATAACCCACTGACTGACATAATCGTGGGGGTGCAGATCATCACAAGTGCCGGTGGTAGTGATGAATGTGGCAAGGAAACGAAGGCGGTTAGTTCTCTCTAGTCTCTCACACACGAATATTCCCGTAAGTGTGGTCAAAGTCGGTAGAGAATATGATCATACCATTCAACTTTCTTCCAATGGAGTGAGGATAACTATTCGTACATCATATATTCATACCACGTTTCTAAACAGCCATTGTGTCTTCGTAATTGATTTCAGTGCCTTCCTTTCGAAACTTCCGTTTAGCAACATCCACGATGAGCAGTTTCAAATCTGGCGAGACGCTTGGATGATGTGCGATCTGCTTCAAAGCCGTGTGGCTTCGCGGCGAACCGTTTTCCTCCAAAATCAAAATCATATCCTCCGTGACGGTAAACTCGTCTACGAACATACTGGATAAAGCAAGCAGTGCGGTGTCTGGATAAGGTGCACCTGCCGCAGCATTTAGAACCGCGGTGGTGAGGCGCGATACATCCCTGCGCGCCTCTATAATCCGACACAAAACCTGCTTAGACTTGGGATTCTTCGTTGCCGCTATGAGGATCGGCTCTGGGTCTATGACGCGGTCCGGCTCAATGCGGAGAAGGAGATCAAGCCATTCTAGGTTCTGCCAGTTCCTTGCGGCGTTTTCGAGCATGGCCTGACTTGCATGGCTCTTTATGAGTAGCTCCAGCATGTTTGATGACTCTACTCCGAGTTTACCGCATTGGACCAGCATCTCGTTCGTAATACGGACATGATGGCCCTTGTTAATAATGAATTTTTCCGTGTCGTCTTCAATAGGTGCCCTCAGATGCTGGTCCATAGCAGCCACATACAATGAATAAATACACTTGAGGAATCCGTGCATGGTCTCATCATCGATCATCCCATTCCAGTAGCCCGCGGTGAAATCAGGCAAGTTTTCGATATCCAGTTTGCAAAAGTATGCAACGCAGCCCCTAATCACATCTCGCTCCGTTTTCTCGTAGTCGGGCTTCAACAACTCCCTGAGATTCGGGTCCGAGGCAATACCCAGCAGGGCGTACACCATGTCCCTTGGGTCCTGCGCCTTGCTGGAATGGAACATGCACAAGAGGGTGTACAGATCATGCTTCTGGCCTCGCAATGAGTCTCGGCCTGGGTGGGATGGCATGATGTCGAGAATAGCCTGTGCTTGGTTGGAAGGCTTGAAGGCAAAGAGGTAGCATGAGAGAGCGAAGATACGAGCAGAGACGGATTTGGCACCACAGCACACAACGCCCCTTCTTGAATTGGCCACTTCCTGTATGATCCAGACTCTTTCAAACCAGGGCCGCTCCAGAAGATCCTGTAGCCCCTTTCGCTGGTTCTGGATCAGATCAGGGTATTTTTTGGCCAGTCGCGACTGGCAGGTCGACCAAAGCCATTGCCATCTCCCGTCCGTTGTGGTCCAATCCCTACACGCGACGGACGCAGACAGCGTCTCTAGGGTTTTGAGCGAATCGAGTGCTACATTGGTGGCGTACGTAGGTTGTCCCAGCCAATAGATGACAAAATCGGCGTTTTTGTAGATGTCTGTCATCTGGCTGACCTGATGGTTTCGTTCTCGCGAGTTTTCTTGATCGATGCATAGTGCGTCAATCCAAAGTATTCGGTCGCAGTGTGGTAATCGTAGGTGGTTGAGGGCTTGGTAGAGGTTGATGGTCACGGCTAGCCTCCTCCCGTTGGCAACGATGGTCTCGGGCTTATCGTTGCCGCCCCAAGTGTAGGACAGCGCTTCGTACGGGATTCCCCCGGCGGTGGCGACGAAGGATTGGAATATTTCGCATTCGATTGTTGGGCCATGGCCGGCGACGAGTCTGAGGAGACGGAACGACGGCCGCTCCAAATTGAGGCGAGAATACTCGAATGAAGCCATTTGTCTCGGAGGTGCGCGATCGTTTGACGCGCAGAGAAATTGAAAACACCTGAGCGACAGCTTGCCCTTAAAATCGATCGGCAGATGGGGCAGGGTCTTACTTATATGCACTCCATGTCGACTTGCGGGCACTGCCACTCCAAATCAGCCCTACCAGACCGGTAAAATGCGCCATCCTCTCCATATCATGCCAGATTCGGGAGCAAAAGCTAACTAATACACCAGATGTATTCCTTGACTGTTTGGCATGGCAAAATAATTCGAGCGGTTCCATTTTCGCCATTTTGCAAAGTTCATCTCGCTCGTGGAGGAAAGCTGAATATTTTTATGAGCCAATGGGCATAGAGGGAACGGACAGCGCTGCAGCCTAGATCTGCCTAAGGTTATGTTACTGCGGGGTAACAGCCCATGTTTACATAGGAAACTGAGTCATGAACGAAGGTGATCGAAGTGCATAGCTCTGTTTCGTGCCCTACCCCGGTCTACGACATGTCTTGGTCCCGGATTGCCATATGCAATATTACATGGCTGACGACGTGGAACACGGCTAGAATTGCTGGCTGAGGACCAGCAGCGGCATCGCCGAATGTAATTCATGCATCTGTGATGTGATATCACAACAACCCTGGAAGGAAAACAACCCTCGATTTCTAATGTTTTTGGTCGGTATTAATCACTAACTTGATGCCTTGAGCACGCAGCTTCAAAAGCAATTTCTGCGTCCGAGTCCCCAAAAAATTCAAACCAGACCATCGAAACTAGAAACGTCCTGGCCTCAGACCACGAAGTGATTGACAATTCCTTCATTGTGTCAGCAAGCCATGCTTCTAGCCACGTATCTGCCGATTCAGGAACGCCAAATTGGAAACGAAGCATGATCATCCAAAACAAGAGCGGACAAGGAACATCCTCAACCGCACTACGCAGCTGGAGCAACGCCACTTCAAACCGTACCAAGGCTCGACGCTGGGCTTTATTGTTAGGATGCCACCCAAACATCAGCTTCGTCATCACAACAAGCAGACCCATGCGCAGAGCATTATTTAGGGAGCATGCCGCAAAGGAGAGGTGGAGGAGGCGATATTGCATCGAGACTGTAATCTTGCCGTACGTGCTTTGGTCAATCCGAGTGTTCGATTTCTGGTTGCGGTTGCACATGAATGTGAACTGTCTCATGTCCAGCCACACATTAAGGAGTCTCGGTTCAAGCGAGCGTATTTTCTGGAGCTGGATGCTGATGGGGCCAGTGTCTAAGGGCTCGTCTTGGTCGACTAGGTACCGATCCCACGATATTGACTCCTGGAAGAACATCGGAGGCCGGTCTTCAAGAAAAGCGAAGGCACTATCAACTCTGAAGAAACAATCAGCCACTTTGAATGGTCAGATAAAGCTCGCAATTCTCACCTGCATATCTTTGTTCGCATCTCACGGAGGTCTGACTTCAAAGACGTCAGCCCCCCTCGCGCTTCTACAAGTGCCCGGAGACCTTGTACATGTGCCTCGAAGCTTTTAGTATCTCCAGATCCTTCTGCTGCGTGTGCAAGAGTAATAATGGCTAACGCGGTTGGATCAGACAGCGCGACAAGTTGATCAGGCGAGCTTAGTCGTTGCCGAAGTAGTTGAAAAGTCTTGGTTCCATGCCTATATGTCTCATTACTTCTTGGTAGGCCTAGCAGCATCTCCTTGTATGCAAGAACGGCAAACTGGATAGCGTGGAAGTATAAGGGGTCGTTGAAGAGAAAGAGGTAGAGTGATCTGTCGACGGCTGTGTGCCGTACACATACTTCGGTGGGATAGAACGAGTCTCGAATATGGGTGAGATCTGCTCACATAGTTAGCATGCATAAACGATGTCTCAAAATTTGGGTTCGGCAGACGAACATTGAACGGCATTCTCAAGCGTGTAAGGTTTCGTGGTCTCGGCGAAAGTTACAAAAGAAAGCTCAGAGCCAACGGGTCGTGAGGCGCTAAGATTGTCCCTTTTTCGACCTTGGGTATGTGTAACCTGCAGCCGATGCCGCTTCAGGGCCGGTTTCCTGTCAGACCCCCCATCGCCATCATCTTTCGAGCCACGCTGCTGGATCCGCCATTTAAAAGTTGACCCCGAGCGGACGGGTATTTGGGATTTGCCAGACTTCGGGTCTCGTTTGTGCTTGGCATTACAACCCTTGGTCGTTTTCATAATTGAACTTGCCCGGTATTTCAGGATAGAACGATTTTTCTTGATGGTTTAGACGGCCAGTATATTATTATTCAATTGCACGGGATCTCCTGAAGTCTAATTAATATATTAATGTAAATAGAATGGGGAGTTCCGGCCTCTTGAGAAACAATTTTGGGCTCAAAATTGAGGATTGATAAGGGGCCTCTGGGAGATGGTCCGAGAGCTCTGACCGGAATAATGTTCTTCCACATGCATTCTTCTACGCAGCGAAACATCCAAGGCCCTTGGTAGCTAAGCATTGAAATAGAAAAGAATTATGGGCCTAATAGTAAGAAGATATTTTGGTGTAGGCATATTAAAGAAATAAAATCGTGAGCAAACACTCTTTGATTAAGTCAGCACGCCGCAATTGATCCTCGGATGAAAGCAAAACTCAACCAAAATATTAGGTCGTCCTTGATAAATAAAAGAACAATTCTTAGAACACGGGCAGATTCTGCTTGAATTAATAAATCATTAAACTCCCTTAAATTGTTATTCTTAACTAGTATCTTCTCTAGTTGGTCGGTAACGACAAAGTGAAGCATAGGAGTCCGTCGACGGAAGTTATAGGGTAGGCCAATTGAATTGGTGGAGGATCGCTTAGTAAGGTAGTAATCCGGGAAATTCTGCCGCGGTTGCCCGCCTTGCCTGTCTGTACGTATCACATGACATCGTAAATGAAGGGGTAATTATGACGGATCCACCGGACATCACATGATTTGAGTTGCAGTGAATAACACGTATCGACAAGCACTTCATTCCGTGTCCTTCACTCACCCCGTGGCGCCCGACGCTGCCTAATTATCATCAAACATGGATAATATCTACATAGTTATTCTGGCATTCATTGCCATCTATGTGTTTGGGGTAAGTCGTCCTTGTGTCGCTGGCGTAGCGCTGGATCGGTCGCTCGGGAGCCGAGCATGCTGACACGTGATGGCCGCTAGCAATTCTTCCAAGACCGCACACCAATCCCCGAGACCTCGGGCAATGTGTTCAAGATCGCCAAAGCTGAGGAGCTGGATGCCCTCCTGTCCTCGACTACCCATGTGGTTGTAGACTTTTATGCCGACTGGTGTCCACCCTGTCGCGCTATTGCGCCCATCTTTTCCAAGCTGGCCGACGCCCACACAACCAAGAACCAGCTTGCTTTCGCCAAGGTCAATGTGGACCATGTGAAGAATGTCTCTGCTCGCTATGGTGTGTCTGCGATGCCGACTTTTGTCATCTTTCAGAAGGGTGCCCCTACGGGTGTGGCCGTCAAGGGCCTGGAGGGTCGTCAGTCTGTGACTGTTACCTCGGATGGGCTTGTTAACAGAATTCGTGGTGCGGACCGAGTTGCGCTTGAAGCAGTGGTAGCCACGCTGGCTGCTCAGATCGAGGGCCCAAGCGACGCAGGCGCAAGCAAGGAGAAGCAGTAACTGTCGACAGATGTTCCCGTAATCGAAAGAAACATACCCATACCTCGGCAGTTCCATAAGAGGCCTCCAAATTGATTTTCAGGGAAAAAGCAAAATTGAAAACCTCATTACTACGGGAGGTCTTTTCCTGACATTATAATGTGCTTGTCACCGTGCCCAAATTTACTTGTCGATGCGCCGATGTGATGACGCGTAAACGATTCATCATCTAGAAGCATACGTGTAGTCTGGAGCACTCTTATCAATGTTGATACGATGGCCGCCAACCCCCAGAGGAGTTATCGGAGACCAGTAAAGTTGTGATATTGTGATATTCCTGCTCTTTACGATCGGCTTATATTTCCAAGTGGCCTCATTCCAACTCACATGAAACTAACATTCGAAAGAGACTGTAGAGTCCCGTATATACTGAGAAGATGCGTCCTTATCACAGCTGTTGCAGTTGTTTTTCAACCATATTGGTACAAGAGGCTCCGAATGCAGACGATGTGTCTTCCTCTTTATTGTTGGACTTGTAGGTGTGGCTCCTAGGAACCACATTTTCATATTCCCTGTATGGCTCAAAGGGACACTCTCATTAGCCCTCGTATCCCTAGCTAATTTCGTCTGGTAATCAAATCGAGAGATCACATTAGAGAATCCAAATTTCAGAGCAAATATGTTCATTCGTCAAAATGGAATGGCCATTATTCCTTCTTGGTAACTTGACTTTTCCCAATCCAGCCACCCACATAACAGTTGCCAATGTTGCGGCATGGTACCCCTGAACGGTGTGCCACCTTCTCACCGATGTGTTCCCGGCTCATATTCGAGGACGGGCCGTTGCGAGCTTTTGAATTTACATGAACTTGGTGTGGAGGTTGGTATCACATGTTAGCCCTCGGCTTTCTCCAACCGCGGATCCATTCTAGTGCCTACGCTACGCTCCAAATGTTCCGGGCAACACTATTATTCATTTTGTGAAAAAGAGTTAGGCTCTTGACTTGTGATCCAAGGTTTCTTCAATGATTATTCGAATGATCGACAATGGAGAACATGGTCGGAGATTAGGAGAGATCATAGTCTGGAGAAGCTCTCACACAGCCAAATTTCGAGAATCTACCCACACAGCAAAAGTATCTTAGATTGCCACAAGAAGGTCATGTGGAACTTGAGCGTTTCAAAGTTTCAATAAATGTGCCTGCCGGGGTGTATACTCTCAAGTCCCTTGCATATTTCTCACCCACCCTTCTGCACAAGCCCCTAAAGGGACTTCGTGGTTAGGGTTCCAAGATGCGCCCTGAGCTGCACCTCGAGAACCACAAAACAAGGGGGCCATGTGCTAGTAACTCTGTAGAATGCGGGGAAACAGGGGTCGACCGGGTGGAAGGAGCTGGGGAATTCAATCTTCAACCAGGATCTTGAGCAGCCAGAGACGTGGCTTTCCCGGAAGTTGATTAGTAGGACTCTCTGCCCAATTTTATGCATTATTTATGAATTCGGATATTCTGCATCGTGTTATGTGTTTCTCCTTTAATTTAATCATTCCCTCCTTCCAAACATACATTGTTTCATTCAATACCGAGGAGTCATCTACGTCTGAATTAGAGGCTACTGAGTGCTACCGGAAAAGCCATGCCAATTCCTCTCAAGAGCCATGCTTCCTGGCTAGTTTTACTATTCCTGTCTAATGCCGTTGTACCGACAAGCGGCGACACGCTGTCAGGGCTTTCAGCGTATCCAGACTGTGCGGTAAGTAGGAGTTTTATGTGATTCAACCTACAGAGATGGGGGGATGAGGAATAAGGAGTCAATACTAACTTTATGCTCAGAAGCCTTGTATCATTTCGGCGACTCAAGGTGGCATTTGTGGCCTTGATAATCAAGCCTGTATATGTAGCAGTGCAGAATTTTCGGCCAATGTCACCTCGTGTGTTGAGACAAGATGCACAATAACAGACTCTTTAGGTAGGGCGCCAACTCCCCGCATGTGATTTCCCCTTGCGTACGGACCCTCTTCTAACACCTTTCTGTGATAGTCGTTCAGAATATAAGCCGTGTCGATTGCGATGAGACACCTCGAGATCGGTCGAATGAGTTGAAGGTCGCCACGATCACTGTTGGGACTGTCGCCGGGCTATTTGTCATGCTTCGCCTTGGATACAAGCTGATGATATCTAATGTGGCTCTCGCCATGGATGACTGGTTAACACTCGCTACCATGATCGTCGTGATACCAAATTTGATTATCACCATCAACGGAACGATACCAAATGGACTCGGTAGGGACATTTGGACCCTCACACCGGATCAGATTACGACCGTTATAAGATTTTTCTTCACAACGGCCGTTCTATACTTCGCATTAACGACACTTGTGAAGCTATTATTCCTCAGTTTCTACCTCAAGGTCTTCCCGACTCGCGTCGTTCAACAGATTCTGTGGGGAACCTTTACAGTAACAGCTTTATGGGGGGTTGGGTTTGTGTTCCTTACTATTTTCCAATGCCAGCCGATATCTTACTTCTGGCAGAAGTGGGATGGACTGCATGATGGGACATGTTTAGATGCAAATACCATTGCTTGGGCCAATGCGGCGTCCGGTATCGCTCTGGACGTGTGGATTCTTGCTATCCCGTTATTACAGCTCAGGAAATTGCAATTGAAGTGGAAGAAGAAGATTGGAGTTGTTCTAATGTTTCTCGTGGGAGCATTGTAAGTGTCAAAAAACCTCGTCCTCGAGTGATTTACTTGGAACAATACTAACACCGAACAGTGTAACAATCATTAGCATTCTACGCCTAAAGTCACTTGTCACCTTCGCGATGTCATCGAATGCCACTTGGGATTACTTTGATGTCACTATGTGGTCGATAATAGAGATATCTGTCGGAATTATGTGCGCATGCCTCCCTACGGTCCGCCTGCTCCTTGTCAGAATGTTCCCGGCTTTGAGCGACAGCCATTCCCGGAGTTTAGGCCAAACAGATCATCAATATGCAAGTGGAGCACGTTCGAGACATCGGAGTACTGCGGGAAATACAATCCAGGGGGCTGGTGCATCAAAACTTGGCCGAAATAGCTCCCCAAAGGATGGATTGTCTGGAATTATGTTGCAAAAGGCGTATTCAGTTCACTACACTGAAGTTGAGGATAGGGGCTCGGTTGCACTCAGCGATAGTGGACTTTTAAGAAGCGAGCGTGACATGGCGAGAAAATCGTAGGAATTATTGTCGGATGAGATCTTGTTTCTGTTCCGCTGTGTTTTACCTTGGTTATTCATATTTGGCATTACGTACACCCAAAAGCAATTTTACCGTCACAGTCCTGCTCATACATGCAAGGATTAATAAAAAAGCTTGACTTTAATACCTATTGTTGTTAACAAAAGACCCTGCGGAATGTCTCAGAGGACTTCGAAAGATTGCCCCATGTCGATAGCACTGATCACGGCCTGTTAGAGAGCCAGGTGGCAGAATTCGATAGACTTGCGCTTAGAAGATCTTAATTTGTGTTTCCTAAATTTCAACCCAAATACTAAACTTGAATAGTCTAAAAACCGTAACCGACTCTTTCCCTAATAAGACTGAGATAGCCACAACAAAAGGTATGGACCGAACCTTAGACAGAATACTGCAACCACCGATCCAACTCAGATGTCCAGTTTAATACTGGGTCATCAAACGCCAGTCCGATACCATGGCTACCCTTTGGAAGAATAAGGCTCTGAAATGGCCGATCATACTTGATCATACTTTGAATAAAGAGGATCGAGTTTTCAACTGGGACGGTGGCGTCGTTGGCTGTATGAAATAAGAAAATGGGCGGTGTTGACTCCGAGACTAGGTTCTGTGCAGATAGCTTCTCTACTAGTTCAGGGGAAGGATTCTCGCCAATTAGGTTATTCCGAGATCCTTTGTGCGTCAAAGGCTCCTCCATAGTAATCACTGGGTACGCTAGAATACCGAAATCAAGCTCGGCTTCGGGATTGGTGACTGTGGTGGCAGCCAGATGGCCTCCAGCTGAGTAGCCCCAGACGCCAAGTTTCTTGACCTTGTTCAGGGATCGAATGTAGCGGACAGCTTCTAGTGCTTCATTCTGAGGAGCCGGATATAATGGAGTGGGAGCTTTATCAGCAGCCGCATAGTCTAGGACCCAGGCATCGTATCCACGCTCATTCAGATATTTGGTTGAGTTGCTCCCTTCTCTGGGAAGTGAGACGTAAGAATATCCTCCGCCAGGAAGAACGAGGAACCCGATTCCGCGACAGTTGTTTTTGGGAGCTGGGTAGTATACCAGCCGCGAGCTATTCAAACTAGGTTGGTGTTAGTACCAGGGCGGTCTGGCAGGATATGCATGAGGTCAAGGGTGAAGAACCTGTCTCTTGAACTGAGGATCTGTCCTTCCGCTGTCGGAAGAGCGGTGGCCATACTAGAAAGCCAAACAATTGACGCTGTTAATGCTCCGAGAAACTTCATTTTGTCAGACGATAATTGAAAATCGGAAGAAATTGATCATAGATTGCAAGTACCTCAATCACGTCCCCAGTAGCTTGGGGCTTGGCTTTCAATTTATAAATGTTAACTGCCGGGGTAAATAGCCGCAGATTGCAACCCAGATTTCTCACGATCTCCCCGCACTTGGAGCTACATGAACATGATTGACGGGAAAATTTGTTCTTCCGGATGTGCGGGTGAGCGAGGTCATTTCGGCTAAGTACCGTCGTAGTTACTACCGAGCTTCGTACTGTGCATGGCTCCAGACGTTTGTTATAAGGCGCTGACTTGGGACTCTATATTCCTTGAAAGGTCTGAATGATTGTCACTCGGACATTTTTTTCTGTTATCGTACTATAATGAAAAGAAATTGGGTACTGCCGTAGGCTAGCAATCAGGCAAATAAGTTGGGTTGGAAAAGCCTGCTTACCCTTTCTTTTTTTCACAAATTGGCATAACAAAAGGTCCCGACCCTTGCCTTGGAACACCGACTACAGTGAGAAGAGCTAGAAACACTGTACATACCTTTGGAGGGACATTGCCCAGTGACATATTTATCTGAGCATGACATTCCAAGAGGCATTATGCCAACTAGCCCTTAAGAGAGCCACTCAGTTGTGAATAGTAGCAGAGGATTCGGTCAGCTGAAGGGAGAGAATAAAATATGAAATTGCGGAAGAAGAACGTCGGCCTAGTGAGAACGAATTTGCTTGCTTTTCCGCCCCTCACGGTGTGCAATTATTCAAGGAAAAAGCCTAGACAAAGCGATGGGAAATGCTCATTGCCTACATTGGAAGTGAGCAGTCGCATTTTTTTCGGACTGTTCCGAATGGAACTTTTGATCCTTGCAAACGGAAGAGTAATATGAAAACCTGAATGGTCAGATATTTTCCAACCTTGAGGTTCTGCGCCGCACTTTCTCGTTCGGGTCCTCTGGCTGAAGATCCCAACGTCATCCACACTACAACCAAACCCTGGACAAGTTTTTCATGAGAAACTTCGTTTTGATAGTAAATTTAGACATTCACGTGTCGCGCCCCGCGTGGACTGCAATCTCTACTTCTCTTATTTTCATGGATCGGAGATATAGCCCCGTATATCTTCACGATCTGACAACAATAAAGTGAGGGCAAGTTATAAAGATGATCATATAGGCAGGATCCTCATCCGTGCCCGATTCATGTCTCTCCCGTTGCGTGGTTGCGTGGGTAATATGGCTCATTGATCTACCTCCCCCTCGGGCCTCCATTGTCTTTATATGGGATAAGAGTGTCAGTGGCACTTGCGGGTTGGTGATAGATGAATTTTTGTTGCGGCAACACTGATGCAAAGGATAATGGATCCAAGTATTCTGATAATACCAAGTATCCCAGTATCCCAGTTGCAACTCCTCTAGCAACGAATGGTTGTTATTGTAAGATAGTTCATTCTGGACTAGAACTTGGTGTTTCTGGCTGCCTCGATCGATGATTATTACCTGTTCTTCTGATCCCTTCTACTCTTTCTCCCGGGGCTTCCTACATCAATAGCCAACAGTGCGTCCTGAAGTATCCTCGCAGTGAGAGTCTCTATCCTTTCAGGTAGTCCGACCCTCAATACTGAGACTGCTAGGTAATAGACGCGCAGATTTGATATTATAACCAGTTTGCCGGCCTCACAAGCAGCACTTCAGAAGATGGGGATCGCTACATCGTTTGACATACGCGCAGACGATCAACCGTCGTTCAAACGTCTTAGAGTGCGTGGATTAGACTGCTAACGTATATCGACCTGGCAAAGCGTGGCACAAACATACTATGGAAATCCTTAATAGTCACAGTTTAAGGAAGGGGTGCCTTGAAGCTCCGAGAACCTTAAGCCATCATGTCGTGACACTTCAAGAATTTGAATGAATGCATCAATCTTACCTCAGCAATGGCGATCTCCGTGCCCAATATAAATCACACATCGACTGTCTCCTGAGACTTTGGGACGAGGTTGTACGGTTTCTTCTTGGGATATCGGCAACTTGACATAAACGATGCTATTAAAGGTGTGTGTTATTCAAATTCAATGATTCATAGTCAATTTGTCGGCGAATTTGTGTTTTAAGCTTTCAAAAGACCTCGAAGCACCTCGCACACAGCATCGCCGACCTCGCTGCACTTGGCCTTCCCACCCAAATCTCCAGTTCTGATCTCCAAGCCACCGTTTTCCTTCGTATCTAATACTTTTACAACGGCCTGTTCCACGGCGGCAGCTTCCTTCTCGAGGGTAAATGAGTAGCGAAGCATCATGGCTAGACTCAGAATTTCCGCCACAGGGTTTGCAAGTCCCTTCCCTGAAATATCTGGCGCACTTCCATGCACCGGCTCATAAATACCCTTGCACGAGCCCTCGCCAGGCACACCGGCCAGACTGGCGCTGGGAATCAGGCCAAGCGTGCCGATGATGCCGCCAGAGATGTCAGAGAGGACATCTCCAAATGTGTTGTCCGTGTGGACGGCGCTGTGGTTGAACCGCTTGGGCTCCTTGACCATCAGCATGGCCATGCTGTCAGCAAGCTGGTGTCGCAGCTCCACGTCGGAAATCTCTCGCTCGAAGATGTCTGTGGTCGCGCGTCTCCAGAGACGTCCGCTCGCCAGCACATTGGCCTTGTCGGCGCTCCAGACGACTGGCTTGCTACCGACCTCTCTCTTGGGTGCGCTCGCGTGCAGAATTCGCGCAACGGCAGCACTTACACGGGCCAGTCTTTCAACCTCGCGCCGCTCATATATCCATAAGTCAGAGCCTTTGTCCGTCTCCTCATGCTTCTCGCCGAAGTAGGCACCGCCGCAGTTCTCTCGCACCACGATGAACTTTGTCCCAGCCACCAGCTCGGGCTTGATTGGCGACGCGTCGACAAGTGATGGAATGAGGATCTCACATGGTCGGAGATTGGCGAACGCATCCAGTCGATGGCGCAGCTGCAGGAGGCCAGACTCGGGTGTTGGGTCAGCGCCCGCCCACTCGGGGCCACCGATGCTGCCGAAGAGGACGGCATCGCTGGCGACGGCCTTTTCAAGCACGGCTTCCGTGATGGGCTTGCCGTGCTTGTCGATGCTGCAGCCACCTACGATGTCTGCGTCTCGTTGGAACTTGATATCCGGGCGGCTGGCCTCGACGACATCGAGGACCTTGAGGGCCTCGGCCATGATTTCGGGGCCAACATGGTCACCTGGGAGAATCAAGATCTTGAGTGTCTGCATGGCAGCTGGTCAGAACGGGTAATCGACAATTTAATAGCTGCCCAAGTTGTGGAATAAGCAGTAACCTCCTTAAGCAAGAGATACTCTGGCTGGATTAATAAATACACTTCCGCCGCGGCTTGCCGACTGCTGCCGCTGTCCAGCATCCACTGGATTTCGTCCGATCACGGAACTGGAACAGCTTTCCCGGTGGAGAGTCTCTCTAGCCATGTAAAATGATCCACTCGTGATGGAGCATCAATGCTCGAGGAAGGAATCCACCTGACCAAGGTTGCAGCTAAGTGGGAAGAAGGGCGTCGGTTGGGCTAGTTAAGCGACTTGCCCGACGAGCTGTCGATGTATCTTACATATAAATAAACAAACATCATAGCCTGGCACTGCCTTGGTTCCATTTGTCATCGTATACACTTGGTTGATCACTCTCTTCGTCTACTACTCCAGTACACCCTTTCTCTATACGCATTCCTCCTCTACACACATCAGCACAATGGCCGGTCGCCTCCAAGGGAAAACCGCTATCGTCACTGGCGGAGCGTCGGGCTTTGGAAAGGGAATTGCTGCCAAGTTTGCGGCAGAAGGCGCCAATGTCATTATCACAGACCTGTCAGAGCAACAGGGCCAAACCGTTGCCTCAGAATTGAACTGCCTGTTCGCCCGCGCCGACGTCACCAAGCCCGACGATTGGCGGCGCGTTCTCGCACTGGCGCTCGAGAGGTTCAATCACCTGGACATCGTCGTCAACAACGCCGGCGCGACCTACGTGAACAAGCCGACACAGGATGTGACCGAGGCCGACTTCGACCTCGTCATGAACGTCAACGTCAAGAGCATCTACCAGTCCACCCAGGTCTTGGTCCCCTACTTCATCAAGGAGGGGCGGCCAGGCTGTTTCATCCAGGTTGCTTCGACCGCTGGTAGCCGCCCGCGGCCCAGATTGACTTGGTACAATGCTTCCAAGGCAGCCGTCATCAATGCCAGCAAGACCATGGCCGTCGAATACGGCCCTAATCAGATTCGGTTCAACACTGTCTCGCCCGTCGTGGGCAGCACAGGAATGTGAGTTGCGCAGGGCAGTGAAGAACTAATTGATTGATCATTCAATTTGCTAATTTGTAATCGCAGGACGCACTTGTTCATCGGCAAGGAGGACACCGAGGAGAACAGGAAGGGATTCGTGTCAACAATCCCTCTTGGTAGACCATCTACGCCTAGCGACATTGCCAATGCCTGCTGTTACCTTGCCAGCGACGAGGCAGCGTTTATTACGGGCGTAGATCTCGAGGTGGACGGAGGCCGTTGTGTGTAGAAATTACTCGTAATTACAATAATAAATGTCAATTAAACGATACTTCCATCTTATTCTAGCCGAGGAGAGCCCATACTTGCAGTGATCTCGGAATGTTGGTCCTTCAATGACATCCGCGTGCTGTAGCAGTGCCAGGGGTCAATGAGGTCAGGGTCCTTGAGCGGGGAGAAATTTCCCCATCCATCGACCAATTTGGAAGGGAATCTAAACAAGCAGTAATCTGGCTAGACTCTTTAGAAGGGCGGGGAACGGCCATGTCAAACAGCAGTTCCTCTGGGATGAATCTTGTGTGGATAGTGAAGATGGGTTGGGTGATAAGACTCAAATAGGTTCCTTTCTACGTTTGGAATTACAGTTGATTCCCTTCTGCTTTAGGAACGCGGGGAAAGATCTTAGCGCAGCTTCAGTGTATCGGGCATCAATTAGCGTATTGACAGGCCCCTGGTCAGCGGGGAGGGAGATAATGACATATGTAGCGCCTAGCTATGCCTGAATGCAAAGCTCCGTTGTCGCTGGAAGATGATAATCTTGGGTCTCCATGCATCTAATTGAACCTGAATTCACCATCTTTCTACCTGGAGGAGGCAAGCAAAAGGAATCATGAGCACTTCGCAACAGCATGGGGCAAACCCCTACCAGGTCCCCTTCACCCTCACAGACCCCGACTTGCTTCACTTCGACTCCTACGTCCACGGTCGCTTTGTGTCCGCTGGGGAAGGGAAAACCTTCGATGTTCTTGACCCAGGCACCGGGAAGCCCTGGGCAGTATGCCCAGACTGCACCTCATCCGATGTCGAGCCCGCCATCACCTCGTGCTACGAGACCTTCCAGACATACTCGAAAACCACCCCTCGGCAACGGGCGAAGCTCCTGATGAAATGGCACGACATCCTCCTCGCCGCAAGAGAAGACCTCGCCCGCATCCTAGTCCACGAGACCGGCAAGCCCCTGGCAGAAGCGTACGGCGAAATCGACTACGCCCTCACATTCGTCTGGTGGTTCTCGGGCGAGGCCGACCGCGCCCACGGCACCAGCATGTCGTGCGCGATACCCGGCCGCAGAGCCCTCACAATCAAACAGCCGGTTGGAGTAGCTGCCGCCCTGGTGCCCTGGAACTTCCCCATTGCTCTCGCGCTGCGGAAAGCCGCGGCGGCTCTGGCTGCCGGGTGCACCATGGTCGTCAAGACGTCCCCCGAGACGCCTCTGTCGGCCGTTGCCATTGCCCACCTTGCGAACAGGGCTGGATTCCCCGCCGGCGCCCTCAATGTGCTAACCACAAGCTTGGAAAACACCCCAGCTGTGGCTGAGGCTCTTTGCCTGGACGCACGGGTGAAGAAGGTTAGCTTCACGGGGAGTACCAGGGTCGGGAAGTTGATCGCGGGCCTGTGTGCCCAGAATCTGAAGAAGACGACGTTCGAGCTCGGCGGGAACTGCCCGTTCGTCGTTTTCGACGACGCGGACCAGGAGCAAGCCATGGACCAGCTTACAAGTCTGAAATGGCGCCATGCAGGACAGGCATGTGTTACCTCGAACCGTGTGTACGTGCAGAGTGGGATTTATGATGCCTTCGTTGAGACTCTAGTGAAGAGATCACAAGAGCTTAAGCTTGGCCATGGCATGCAAGATGGCACGACCATTGGGCCTGTCACTACGCCAAGAGGCCTGGACAAGGCCGAGTCGCTCTATCAAGACGCTCTTGCAAAAGGCGCCACGGCCGTTCTCGGGAATGGAAAGCGAGAAGCCCGCGAGGGTTACTTCATGGCGCCCACGGTTCTGACCGGGATGAAGGATGAAATGCTCATGACACACGAGGAAATTTTCGCTCCCATCTTGGGTGTGTACAAATTTGAGTCTGAAGACGAGGTTGTTCGCCGAGCAAACGATACGCCGCTTGGATTGGCCAGCTATGTCTTCACAAAGAACGTTGACCGGCTTCTACGAATGTTTGAGACGCTGGATGCTGGAATGATTGGATTGGTATGTTAACATTCTTCTAATGCTGTCTTCTCTTCTTACCTAATCGTAACTAACCATGTGCAGAATGTTGGAAACAGCTCTTCCGCCGAGGCTCCCTTTGGTGGCATCAAGGATAGTGGTCATGGAAAGGAGAGTGGCAAAGACGTGGCGATTGACGAGTTTCTGATCACAAAAACCGGAACGTTGTCAATCCAATCGCATTATTAAATTTAATATATCAAGGATCAGATTCCGACTCTATGAAAAAACTCTCCAAGACGCTCAACCCAAGTATTGATGACAATCCTCGCCCACCATCATGAATATGCGCTTACACATACGAGATCAGATCGTAACCATGACTATTTCTGTCGCTCATGAATATATTTGATATCTTCTATTATACAGCTAATCTTTATGTGTGTTGAATTATTCTGAATGCTACTTTATTGCTTCAGTAAATCTTCAATCACCTTGGCTACGGCGATACACTTCTCATCCCCGTACTTTCCAGCCATGATCTGTAGCCCGACTGGTATCCCCTCTACCAGGTCAAAATCATCTAACGTAGAGTAGTTAGAGCGGTGTATTCTTACAAAGCTGTTAAAGGGCAGTGCTTAACTTACATTGCTGCTTGTTAAATTCATCTGAAGGGTTTCTGGGCTGATACTCTACCCAATCTGATGGTGGTGTTTGATCCTTCTCCTTAGAAACGGTGGTGACTGGAATAGCGAGACCTGCCCAGTCCAGTAGATTGGAGAGGGTGGTGTATCCCACATACTGGTTGGATTTTACCCAGGTCCAGGGCTTATATCCTACCCAAGGAGTAACGGGGGTAATAATGGCATCGTAGCCACCCTCGTTCCAGTGACGGAGATACTCAGCCCTGTAGGCATCGATCTCTGCCATGAGCTTCAATTACAGTGCCCGAATTAGTGTCTGAGTTGAGAGAAAAGGCTGAAAAATCACATCGAGCTTACCTGATGAGTTTCCTCTGTGCTAAGAAGATCTTCCGAGGTGCCAACCAACATTCCTTCTACGAGAGGCTCCCCAGACATGTCACATAGTCTCTTGCAACCTAGGCCGCCGTCGGACATGACACCCTTCTTCCACAACTCCCAAGCGTAGTTGTGTGATGAAGTGTCCCATTCAGATACTAGAAGAGTCAGATATTGCTTAGAACCAAAGAAGTTTTCAGTCGTCAGTCATACCTTCATGGCCTGCTTCCTGCAAGGCAGCAATCACTTCCTTTAAGGCTCTAGTAATGGGTGGCTGTGGCCTGACGATGCCGTCATCGAGAATGTAGCCAATTTTCAGCTTGCGTCCTGGCGGGCTGATTGTGCATTGCTCGGTGCGCCAGGGTACTGGCACCACTAGGTTGTCGAGTTCCCAAGGGTTTGCCTGGGGTAGCGCCTCCATGTACGACTCGATTGAGGAGAGGCTGGATGCCAGAGGACCAGCAGTAGCGATAATTATCCTTTGCCTGGGTCTGTTTGGGGGTAATGGTCAATGGTGCTCCCTCGAAGACGTTGAATACTATGAGCGAGAATGGACTTACCCTGGCCTCTCGTATGGGTGGCGAGCATAGGTAGGCGAGAGACCATAGATACCAGACAGCGCTGCAGGAATTCGGATGGAACCTCCAATATCGGTTCCTACTCCTACAGGGCTTCCACGAGCTCCGATGAGGGCTGACTCGCCTCCACTGCTGCCACCGGAAATGAGGTTCCGGTTGAGATGGTTTACGCACTGCCCGAAGAGGTGGTTATATGAATCAGACATCTAAACAGTCACCAGGTCAGAAAAATGTCAACTGTTAGTTCTGCTTGGGATTCTTCTCACCATCAGAGACTGGGGAATGTTGGTCTTGACGTAGAGGACAGCACCAAGTCTGCGCAGCATCGTGGTGATTCCGGCATCTCGCTTGGCGGGCCTGTCGGTCAATCCAACCCATCCTGCAACAAACAATCATTAGCTTATGAAAGCACAACTGCCACTTTCCGGACTCACCAATCGAAGTATCGTGGCCCTTGACATCAACCGAGTCCTTCACTGAGACGGGAATCCCGTGCAGCGGACCAACCGGCTTGCCCGTCCTTGCCAACACGTCGTCCAGCCGCTTCGCCTCCTCCAGCGCCTCCTCAAAGAAGATCTCGGTGCAGCACGTGGTCAATTGATGGGCCACGGCCGCCCGCTTGGAGAATGCGCCGACGACCTGGACGGACGACAGAACACCGGCCGCGAGCTTCCGGGCGAGATCTGCCACGTCGACGGTCTCGGTGATGGCGAGTTCCTCAGCGCTGAGGACGCCCGAGCAGCGGATGAACTCGAGCGCATTAGGGGTGCTCTCCACTGAAGGGACAGGCTCCAGGCGCCATTCTTCAGGGATCTTAGCGGCCTGCTCAGCGCGCTTGTCGGCTGCTCGCTCCAGGTAGTCCTTGGACAGCGGCTCGGGGGGTGTGGCGAGCCCGTGGGCGACTTTGGTTGCTCCGATGTTCATGATGCCTCACGAGTCTCTCTGTCTATGTGATCTGAGTGCCAGGAGAGGCTTTGGATGTGTGGATGGATGGCTGGCCGCTATCTTTAAACCACGACGCTGGTAGCCGGTGCTATCTGTGGTGGAGAAGCCGAACCGCCGATAAACCAGCGGAATAGATTGCTTTCCTATTCAGGAAACTTAATAGCAGTGATCTCGTGGTGATATTGCGTGCCGTGGCCGCCTCTTATCACGTTGCATTTTGCCTCTCTTCGGCGGTGATATGGGTGTCTGGTTCAATAGAGCAGGTCCCAGCGAGATACTCCGACATCGTCAACGTTGAGTTGGACTTCAATTACGTGAGTATTTTACAATTGTCATTATCTTCAGTTCTCGGGCGATTGCTAGAAATTATAATAGCTCCTTTCTCCTCCATCTGTCCTCGCACTCTGTATACGCCCCCCAATAACGAGGATGCTCCCCTATCCTACAGCCCTTCCAGTAACTCCGCAACACCTCACAATGTCGCACAAAGCGCGTGTTGATCCCCGCAATGAAAGCCGCCGTGGCCATGTGGATGTAAAACCTGGATGCCGGCGATGCAGAGGCGATCAGCTCGCAGATCCTGTCCACGGCAGCATCCAACGTCGCCTGCCGGGGTCCCTGTGTAATTTTGTCCCTCCCATCTACGCTTTGCTGTTGCCAAGTGAGAACTGCCACTGCCGCTGCACATCTCCAAGAATCACCGCACTTCCCCTGATCCGTACTATCTGATCCTAGGCGTAGAAGCTGGCCCATAGCCTGCACATATGTATCCAGCTCAACATGTGGACTGCCCGGGTCCTTCTCTCTTAATGAAGATGTATCCGCGAGCACTGCAAATACCTGAAAAGCATCAGGTGGACATCCCACCGTGTCAAAGAACTCATCGCCCACCACGCCTCGATGCCAGTCAAGGAAGATTGGCTCGTCGTCCTGACTTGAGTGCCGTCCACTAAGCCTCCTGATATTGATCCCTATGACATCCCACCAGGCAAAGTACCCGAGGATTTCGCTGAGTCCATTGACCCGGCGTGAGAGGGAGTCGAGTTCCTCCCGGCTGCGACAGTGGTAGTCCAGCAACGAGCGCGCGCCGCGCAGATGGGTCTGCCACTCCCCAAACGCGGCGTCCGACACGACCTCGAAGAAGGCAAAGACGGCGATCCCCACAAAAGCGACCGGGTCAGCTGTGTCAAGGGCCTCGCTCAAGCTCGCCAGGGCGGCGAGACGGTGGAGTTCAGACGCCTCTCCATCGTCCTGCCTCGGCGGCGGCAGCGGCAGCGGCAGTGGGGGCGTCGGCTGTCTCCCGTCGAGCGAGGACGGGGTCGGTGGAAGGGGCGCAAAGGATGTGCTGGCGTAGGTCTTCATGCGCGCTTGAAGGAACTCGTCGATTCGAGACACGAGTCTGGTCACCCGGTCTGCGGATACCGTATGATTGTCTCCCAAAGCAGTTGTGCTAGGAGAGTAATCCGCTGGCTTGGCGTTTCGACAGAAAGTCAATAGACGCTGAGCAAGTCCGTATTGCTCGGCAGGGGGCATGCTCGGTTCATCTGGGGTATGGAAAGGTCCACGCTGAGCATGAAACGATGTCGGAGCCCCATCGTCTCTCTCTGATTCCGCCGATGGAGGGTGTGGCGCGAACGAGATTACTGACATGGAACCATCCGATGGTGATAGTGGTTCTTGACGTCTGGGTACCATGCGCCGGCGCTGCGCACCATTCGATACGTTTATGAGTTGTTTGTCTGTTGACGACGTACTCCCGCTCGTCCAGACAACCCGCTGGGGCCAGCCGCCGCAAGCGAGGTCAGCCTGGACACAGGGGAGACATCGGGGCCGGTTGAGGTCGCACTTGACACCGCGGGTCTTGCAGTTGCTGCAGTCTCTGTCATGTCTGATGCCGCGTGGTTTACCCCGTACCTGGCCTGTCTTTGCTCGCGGCATGGTGCCGTCTGTGATGTGGTTTGTGTGGGAAGAACAGATGGGAATTAGATTCCCTTCCGGATACAGAACCAAGTGCTGTCGTATGTGGGGGAACCCCATCTCCGACTACGCCAAACCTTGGTCCCGTAGTTAATAATCAAGGGTCCATGACAAGCCGATCACGGGGGAATGGATTCTGTTACATAAGATCGGAGGAACGAGAGAGATGACAAGTCTTTTGGACTAATGAATAATAAAGCCCTGGATCCATGATAAGATTGAGATGGCGGGGGAGCTTTGATTGCGCATGGCTCTCGTACATGCGAGTCATTTTGGCATTGCCAGTGGATCTCCAGGTTCGTTAGCTGAGGCTCAAGCTGATCCGAGTCGCCGGAGACGGAGAATTTGATTCCTTTCTTGTTATGGAAGGTAATCTAACTCCTCAACGTGGTGGACACCAGCAAAACACCTACTGCTGACTCCCCTGCCTCTGAATAGCCCCAGCTTTTGAGTCGTGTTGGAGAATACTTACGTACTATTTACTTGAAAGACGTGATCATTGCTGCTTTTCGATCAATTGAATGCCTGGAAAAGGGGAGAAGACATGCACAGACAGTCTGTTGCAGATTCCCCACGGGGAATTGGTCATGATGAAATCCAATGGGAAGGGACCGTCCTAGTACAAGGATGAGGCTGTTCATTCTCGTGGGCCTTCTCCATTATCTCCACATACGCGACGGGGACGAATTGGCTCTCGTCGCGGACCGCTCTCAACCCTCTCCCCAACTTTCTCCCCCTTATCGGACGGGGTTTGGTTTGGTGACACATCAATAGCTTAAATGGGTAGAGTTTAGCTCCAGAGACGGATATTCCCTTGTCATATATGAAGCTGGCCATCGTCGTCTCTATTCCTTAGCCTCTGCCCTCAGAAAATTCTTCATCAGACGTCTCGTGTTGACTCATTCATCCTTCCCGACATGACACACGCGCCGGAATCCCCCAAGATGGCCGAATCCAAGGCGGACGCAGCCATTGTCAACGAATTGGCGCCTCCATCCAGCCTCAAGGACGCCAGCCTCGAAGAGAATGGAGGTGATATCATATCGTCAGCCGCCTATCGCAACATAATCCGGCGCATTGATCGGCGACTGATCATCACCACTGGATTCATGTACTGCGTCAGTCTCATTGACCGAACAAACATTGGTTCTGCCAACATTGCTGGCATGTCTGTCGACCTTGGGCTTGATGTTGGATATCGTTATGTGAGTGCCGATTTTGCGTTGAGAAGCCCCCATCACAAGGCCAGAATATAAACTAATAGAAGCGAATCTAGTCATTAATTGCCCTCGTATTCTTCATCTCCTTCATTCTGTTCGAACCCCCCGCGACTGTCGCTTGCCGAAAATTCGGAGCCAAGCTGTTCCTGCCTGGAATCACTCTCGCATGGGGCATCTTGCTGGTACGAAGAACTCCAACAACTCGATTTAGACACCAAGCCCGGCTAACAGGCATGAAAACAGGTCGGATTCGGATTTCCCAACAGCTGGCAGGCTTTGACTGGGCTGAGATTCATCCTGGGAATCTTGGAGGGAGGATTTCTTCCTTGCTGCATCTATCTCATTTCCACATGGTACACTCGATATGACCTTCAGAAGCGCATCACTGTCTTTTATGCCATTGGTTTCTTCTCTTCTGGCCTGGGAGGTATTCTTGCCTATGGCCTGATGCAGATGGTTAGTTTCGAGGCTTTGTTGGTCCGAAAGACAACCACTAATGTTGCTGTGATAGGAAGGAGTTGGCGGCCTAAGGGGTTGGAGATGGATTTTCATCATTGAGGGCCTCGTAAGTCTCGAATCCCTCTCGACTTGTTTACAGCTTGAGTAGACTGACACGCATTCTCAGCTCACGATTGTTATCTCCATTATCAGCTTCTTCACCATCCTCGACTTCCCTGATCGAGCCTACCTCAAGTCTAGTCTGCTTACCAAGGAGGAGTGTGACTTGGTCATGGCGGCTATCGATGCCGACAGAAGCGACGCTGCAGACGAGCCTTGGGATTTCAAGAAGTGGATTTCCTCAGGGAAAGACCCCCTCCTCTATGGCTATGCCCTCATCTTCTTGTGAGTCAAGATACGCTGAGTGCTTCAAGAGCCACACTAACTTGCATATCTCACAGTGGTTTGACGGCCATCACATACGCCGTAGCCTACTTCCTGCCCATCATTCTACGAAACCAGATGGGTTTCTCGCTTGCCGCTTCCCAGTGCCTCATCGCACCTCCATACTTCACCGCAGCTTGCTGGATGTATCTCACTGCTTGGATTAGCGACAAGTATCGCATCCGTGGGCCCATCATGATTTTCAACACACTGGTTGGCACTGTTGGACTATGCCTTATGGTAAGTCACCCAAGAACAGAGCCATAGCTCATCCTGCCCAAATTATCGCCAAAACGGCCTTCGCTCTGTCAAAGAGTTTATCAGTGGAATCTGATTACTGACGATTTATTGCAGGGCTTTGTCAAGAACTCTGGCGTTGCTTACTTCGGTGTTTTCCTCATCTGCTGCGGTTTCAACACAAACATCCCGGCTTGCATGACTTATCAGGTACGAAACTACCAAGTATTCTCACCGTTTATTGGCTATCAGCTAACACTTCGAAGTCAAACAATATCCGTGGGCAATGGAAACGTGCCTTTTCTTCAGCTACCCTCATCGGAACGGGCGGTATCGGTGGTATCGCCGGCTCTCTCATGTTCCGTAGCCAGGACGCTCCCGCCTATCGCCCGGGAATGTACGCCTCTATCGGCTGCGCTGTGCTGACGCTGATCGTCATCTGTTTCAACACGTGGTACTTCAAGAGGGAAAACGCCAAGGCGGACCGTGGCGAGAAGGTGCTCCAGGGCCATCCTGACTTCAGATACACTGTGTAGTTTCAACCTGGAAAAGTTTGATGGAGATAGTCTGGACTGTTTATAGGTTAATAAACGATGGTGTGTGATACATCGTCCAATATAGATGTTTACCGACCCTAATTTCATAGCAAGTAAATGGCTTGACATGTACCGAAGAAACATCGTTTGTAGAGAACAGAGCTGAAAGTTCCATTGGGATTGTTTTTCTTTTTCAGATGTGTTCGATGCTTGGATCCATATATAAAATCTAGCTCGACATCATATTGGCATCGCCATCGGTATCCTCGTTTCTCTCCATTAATTTGTCTCTATCCTCGAGATTTTCCTCAACACCCTCTTCACTTTCTTCTCCGTCCTCCCCCTCGTCCTCTTCTTCTTGGTCTTCACCATCCTCATCATCGCTAACTTCCTCGACAAGCTTTGCCTTGAAGCGTCGAACAGATTCCAGAACATCTTCACTATATTCACAGTCCTCGTCATCGATTTCTTCCTGGACGTCATCTGGGTGAATGTTTGAGGCAGTGGCTTTCTCCACCAAGAAGTTGAGAAGCGCTGGCTTCCCCTCGTTCGCATGCTTCATAGCAAACGCAAGCGCCGATATCCCATATCCTTCCCCGCCTATCGTCGCACCATGCTCAAGAAGAATTGTGAGACGCTCCTTGAGCCTCTCGACACTCTCGTCGTTCATCTCGGCTTTGCGATCATCGACCCAGGTATGACGAAAGAGCGCGGCAATAAACCCCTGTTTCTCCGACATCTCCAAGCCATCATAGTAAAAGCATGACTTGCTCACCACTGTCGCCTCGGCGTCGGCCCCGGCTTCAAGAAGCATCTTCATGCATTCCACATTCTTAGCACCAGCTGCGGCGAAGAAAAGAGGCGTGCCTCCCGAAGAAAACGCAGTTTCATCGCCCAGATCTCGCGCCAGATCTTCATTGGTCTGTTCGTCGACTTGCACGCCCCGAGCCAGAAGCTCCTTCACCAGTTCAGTCTGCCGAGGATGGGGCTTTTCAAGGCAATGGTGCAAAAGCGTCTTGACGTGGCCACCATCCCCCTCCAAATCCGCAGCAGCACCACGGGTAAGCAGTAGCTGTGCTGTCTTGAAGTTGTGCTGAGCAAGCGCGCAGTACAGCGCGGTGCCTTTCTGTGACACTCGGTTAAGCGGGACCTCTCGATCTATGAGTGACTCGACCAAGGCCAGCGTCTCTTCAGTTTCAGGGGCGCCGCATACCATATGGAGCACTGTCCTGCCGTCATTATCGACTACGTTGAGATCAGCCTCGGGCTGGCCCACTAGAAGATGAAACATGAGGACGTTCCCAGCTTGTGCTGCGCACAGCAAGGGCGTCATCCCGTTATTGTTCCTAGCTGAGGCTTTGGTCTCGGATCGGGCTAGCAAGGTCTTTGCGATTTCTAATAGATGTGGTGAGCCTGCACAAATATGCAGAGGCGAATTGCCTTGGTTGTCGACGAGCGATGCGTTAACCTCAGGCCGTTCCAGGATCAAATGCAAAATCCCATGTTCAATCGGCGGCGAATGAACCAGGGCGAGGTGTAGATAGGTTTGCTCATCGTGGTTCGTGATTGTGGCATCCGCTCCTGGTCTTTCAAGCAACTCTCGCACCAGACCCAGGTCATGTTGCTCGATGGCATAGTGAAGGGCTCCGGCAATAGCCACAGGCTCCGGCCGCTGGAGCAACTTCTCGACGATTTTCGTATGTCCCAGGGAGTTGACGTGGCAGATGGCCGGTGAACCCTCACTCAGAAGATATGCGCCTCTATCAACGAGCAGAGTCGCAGCATCATCAATATGACCGTGGTCGAGAGCAGTGTGAAGAGGATACATGCGCGGGCCATCATAATAGCCGTCGCAAGAGCAAAAGCTTCTAGAGGGCACGTTGAGATCGACATTGTGCTCCATCAGGTAGTTAAACATGGCCCTGTCTCCGTTCTGGATGGCAAAATGGAGCGGCGAGGCGAGGAATCTCAGATGCCCAGGGATGCTGTCGAAACCCACGACGAGATCGTCGTCGTCTCTCGCTCCATTCGTGCTAAGATCCGCGCCATATGAATGCGCTCTTTTAATTGTGTCCAGATTGCTGAACTGAGCGCCCCAGAGAACACACGAATCAAGCGGGGCGTCTCTGGTGAGGTTTATGTGGTATAGCAAAGGATTGAGGATGTTGTAGAAATGGCGATTAGTGCGGGCAAATCTAGAGTGATTCTTCAAGCGAGACCACCGCGACCGCGCCTCATCTCGAGTTGTCAAATCCGCAATATAGGCGATGACTTCAGTAGGAAGAGTCTCAATCGGCGTCATGATGGTTCCAGGCACCTGGCAGCATGTAAATGGGAGCAATGCAAAATTGAACTGGTGGGAAGATGGCCGTTGCCCCTTTTTGCTCATTTACTCGATCTGGGTTCAAGGCTGACAGGAGAGCCTACCAGTAGTTAGTAATTACTGCGTAGGGTCTAGCAGCTCAGCTCAATTCAGCTCATTTATCAAGTGTGGGTGGGCTGAAAGATGGCGATAAGCGTTTTTAGAATTAGAGCCGGGTGAGCAAGGCAGAAGTCCATATGCAAATAAAGACATCAACTACGCGCGCTCCAGCCGGGAAGCCCCTGGATACTCAAAAACAATCCTAGCAGTAAGTAACGCATATTCGCAATGAGGGCAAGTGTACGATATTCCACTATAGTCATGAACTTCGGGTCATGGCCAAATTGCAGAGCTCACTTCTTGTGCCTTGGGCTTACTGCAGTGAGGGGCTCAGAGTCACAGAAGGGCTGAAGAGGGACCAGCCAACTGACAGCAAAAATGAGCTGGCTCTAATCTAGGAATAGGCCCCAATAACGGTTCATTTTTCGAGATGGGCCCGATCGGGTTGCGTACATCTACCGCTGTCTCGGATTGGTCATGTTCCGTCTCCAACATTCATCCCTTACCAACCGTCGTTCTTTCTCGCTACGTGACATTGTCAATCAAGTTTGAAGTTATAGCGCTGTTCTTGTGCGGTTGGCATGTCTTCCACAGCGCGAGATAGCCATGCAGTAAGAGTGAGTCCTAGAATCACCTTGCCGTATTAGAGGGCTGCTGTAATAGAAGATAAAGGGTTCTACTCAAGATAATGAGAACAAAGATAGAAAGTATCCCACTCTATGTATCAGAATATTTTCCCAGGATCTTTGGGTATTGTTCTCCCCAGTGAATCAACTCAGGATTCAGTGAGATTGTCCTGCCGTCTAGAAGCTCTAGGCATGCATGGACGGCATGGCTCGACGCTGCAGCCCAATATTGAGGTTATTAGGACGTGTTTGCATGATTTCTTCATCGCCAGAGTGCCGTATACGCTGGGAGGTAGCGGTTGAGGTCTTACGCCGTGCAGATAGAGAGTCAACTTTCCCCGGGCTGTAATGATCGGTTTGGTTCTTTGAGCATTGGCGAAATCAGTTGGCCCAAGCGCGATGTTCCATCCATGTATGTGTCTTTCTCTACATTTAGGAGAGCCAAGTTCTGCTGTGGTAGCTCTGAAATGAAGAGTCTAGATTCATGGAGTGGAATGGGGTGCATCGAGTTGATTCAGATTTTGAAACTTTAGGGATGGGCACAGTTTTGTGCCGTCTTGAACAATTCCACACCGCCACCTTGTCTTGTATAACATATGAGAATGAGACAATATGAAGGATATAATTGCCACCTGGTTCCTCCTCACCCCCATAACACCTTCCCCAGAAATGCTCGACTTATCATCATCACCCCTCCACATAAGATCATGAAGGCCACGATTACTTTATCATTTGGCCTCGCTTTACTTGGCAGTGCGGCAAGCCAAGCGACTGATAAATCCTGCGGCCTCGGAAGAACGTGTCCTTACGATGCTCACTGCGTCCCTCTCGCCCCGAATTGCAAAGACCTGAAAATATGTGGCGGCCGGTGCTGGTTCAAAAATGACTATCCTCTGTGCGGTCCTCACATTGGGGGCTGTCCAAGAGGATTTGAATGCGGGCGTGATCCACGAAAGCGTAAGAAGGTCCAGGCCCAACCTGGAATCTGCATCCCAAAGGATCGCTCTGCCTATCCGATGTGCGGTGGAATTGCGAATATTCAATGCCCGGAGGATAAATACTGTTATGATAACCCGTGGGATTCATGTGATCCTAAAAAGGGGGGAGCGGATTGTTCTGGGATCTGCATTTGAAAGGAATTCTCGAGTGTACCGAAAAAGCATCCTCTCGTTATTTACTTGTATCCTTGGGATTAGTTCGTCAAACACCCCAGTCGGAAATACTTCCAACTTGTAGGAAAGTTGTTTTGTATTCAGGAGTCATTGCAACGCAAATAATTCGTCCTTGACTATCAGCAAGAAATGCAAAACCAGTCTCCATACTCTTTATTCCAAAGGACGAAAAGAATTTAGATACGATGCATTTTCGGTCAATCCTCGCCAACTTCATTTGAGTACTTTGCTTCGAATGTCAATCTCTCTTGGGAAATGATCCCATGATCGGTTGCGGTTGAATAAGCTTCTCCATTGAGCCTAACGGTCTCTTTTCTCAAGGGGTTACCAATAAGAGAAAGAAACGAAAGAACATGCAGCGATATTTCGACGCATGAAATAGTAGTTACACGAGTCTGTGGAGGAGTTCCTTGCCCTGGAGCCATCGCTCTACATTCTCAGCCGTCTCTGCATACCAAGTGTTCATAATTCCCTCCTCTACATATCCCATGTGCGGTGTGAGCAATACTCGGCTCCTTCGTTCTTTCCCCCAGCTGTTAGACCGCCACTGACTGTTGGCTGGCAGAGGCTCAACATCAAATACATCCAACGCCAAACCTCTGATCTTGCCGCGAGTCGCAGCCTCGAGGGCTGCTTCTTCATCAACCAGCGGGCCACGAGACGTATTAACCAACAATGATTCCGGTTTCATTAGCGCGAATTCGGGAGCGCTCACAATCCCGTACGATCGCTCGCTTAACACGTAATGCAGGCTGATGATATCTGCTGTCTTGAATAGCTCCTGCTTATCGACGCATCGGAAGGTTCTATCGCCAAACTCGTCTTCTTTGGGCAAACCCAAGGATTCCGCCATGCTGTCCGCCTTTTCTTGGTCGAGATTGGCGCTCCAACATACGATCTTCATGCCGAATGCCAGTATCCCAATCCTAGCAACAGCGGCGCCCAACCTCCCCAGGCCGACAATTCCCAGCGTCTTCCCCGAGAGCCCAATTGCCATGCCTGTTTGCCAGCCGCCAGCCTTGATCGTGGTATCATCGTCTGCCACGTTGCGAGCAAGAGCAAGAATCATAGCCCAAGTGTGATGCGTGGCTGGATGGCCACCCCCCTTCTTGATATTTCTCGTTTTTGTTTTCTCGGGGAGCGGGACGTCTGTCCTTCCTCGCCCTGGCGCAGCTGTGACCGTGATTCCCAATTCCTTTGCGGTAGCGAGGTCAAAGGTTTGAAACTGCGTGCCTGTACAGAGGAGAAGCTTGAGGTTTGGCAGCTCGCGGAGGATGGTGCCCGGGAAAGATGTGCGCTCCCGCATGGTGGAAATGGCCGTAAAAGGCTTGAGTTGCTTGACTAAGAGGGCGCGGTCTTCTTCTGTCTGCCATGGTAGAGGCTTTGTAAAAGTGTTGATTTTCAATGACGATTGTGGAATGTGATTGAAGTGAGATGCCGAGATGGAGAGGTAGTCATCGAGAATGGCTAAAGACGGTATCCCCGTTTTCGGGCTGAGCAGCCGTGAAGCACTCATTACTATCTGCGATTGTATGATTGGGTCACAGACAGGCACGTTTTGCTCTTGTTCTCCTCTTACTTGGTTCGCAACGAATCCGACTTTAAAGTCAAAGATCTGCTCGGAGCTGCGATTTACGAGGGGGTAAAGCCGATGATCGTGTCGGAAATAACCCGCGTTGATGATGTGATCAACGATGTGGGAGGCGGGGACAAGCCGGGGGTCTTGAACAGGCTGGGGGGTAAGCCGTGGAAGATTCGAAGCAAATGGAGATGCCGGATGAAAGAACAGCTAATATTCGCTCTGGAGAAAAGTCCCTTCGAGTGGTGACTCCCGGACCCGAACGTGGAAGGAGCTACTCGTCGGAGGGGACGTTGCTCCTGCCTAGGAAAGCGCACCATACCATTCAAAATCTACCGAGGTCAAGCAATACAACATCATCAACATGCATTAAATTTGGTTTCTTCATGTTGCAGGATCGAATTCTGCATGCCTATCAATTAAGCCTTCAAACACAAGGTCAATAGATGCCTGGCATAACCCGCACGAACCGCGAGGCATCGCCGCGAATCGCCTAAATTTCAAGTCTCGATATCGCATTATCACTTGACAATATGAGAACATTCACATCAGAGTCAACGGTCGTTTTCGGTGAAGAATTGTATTTAAGTACTCTATTATGGACATTAACATGATACCAAACCGGGCTTTCCCAGCAAGCCAAAGGAGACATATTTCAAACAAGACCTCATACAAGTACAGCTGATGCGAATGACTGGCTGTCAATCGGCCCTCAGTTTATTCGTCGGACTCCTCCTCGTCGTGAGAGTGAGAACCGTGGTGGGAGCCGTGGTGGGAACCGTGGTGACCGGACTCCTCGTCATCCTCATAGCCGGTCTCGTCATCCTCAGTCTCCTCATCATCACCGGTCTCCTCATCATCACCAGTCTCCTCGTCGTTGCCAGTGTTGTTGTCATTGCCAGTGCTGTCGTCAGAGGCAGAGTCTGGGTTGTTGATGAAGTCAATGTACTGGCCAACGTTGGTATAGACACCGGGGTAGCCAGGAGCGGCGCAGTCGATGCCCCAAGACACGACACCAATTAAGGTGCTGTTGTCATTGATGATTGGGCCACCGCTGTCACCCTGGCACGAGTCCTTGCCCGTGGAACCGGCGCAGAACATGTTCTCGGTGATCTGAGTGTCGTTCTTGTTGTACGCCGTGTTGCAATCGTCGCGAGAGACAACGGGGACCGAGACCTTGCGCAGGTCGGCCGGCACGGACGAGTCGGTCGACTTGAGCAGACCCCAGCCGGCAACGGTGGCAGTGGTGTTGGCCTCGGGGTCAGATCCAGCCGCGGGGAGGGAAATGTACTTGATGGTATCGTTGTTCTGCTCGATGGGTTGGGCCAAGGTCCAAACGGCAATGTCGTTGTCCATGGTATCGGCCGAGTACTTGGGGTGAACTGTGATCTTGCTAACGTCGACCTGCTCGCCGCCCTTTTCCCACGTCTTTGGTTTGATGTTAGCAAAGCTAATTCTATTCACGAATGGAATAATTTGTAGAAGAGGTTTAAACTTACGGTAGTTCCGGCACGAACTTTGACCTGGTCGGCCTCGATATCCACGGAGCAGTGAGCAGCGGTCACAACGGTCGTTTCACCCACCAATACACCTCCACAGAAGTGAGAGTCGTCCTGCGACAAGCTCACAATGAATGGGAATTCGCCAGCCTCGGCTTTGGTTCCACCGACAATCTTCATGCTCATTCCAGGAAGACGCATTGCGGGGAGGGCAGCCACCATGACTGCACCAGGCATCATGGCGGAAGCTGCGGCCAAGAACTTCATTTTGATTAAATTGTAGGGAAATGAAAATATAAACAAAAAGTGTAAAAAGAAGCGAAATGGACAGAAAAGGAAACAAACAAACAAAAAACACACCAAATGTTTATACTGGACGAGATTCTACCGATCAAAAGAGTCCCCCCTCGATTGGGGGAGAAAGGACTTGGGTATTTATATATGGGCTGCACAACAGCCCCCATCCGTCGCCGGTCAGCCACGAACTTGTCCCAGGATGGCCTAATGGCGATCCTACCGTAGCATGTCCACATTATTTTCAGCGACGGCAGCGCCACCGGCCGGAGCGGCCAGGTGGGCTGGCTTATGTGCAGTACACACTACGTAGGGCGGGCACAAATCGCTAGTTAGTAAGATGAGCCAGGGAAATACGCGTTCAGTGGCGAGCAGCACTCTGATGGTCTGTTCCTTGCTGGCTCGGCATTAGTGAAACTCCTTCTACGCGTCGGGGTCTTTCCCATGTGTTCAGGGGTCAACTTCATTGGTGGTGTGTGACGCGCGTTCTCTCCATCAGATCAGCTGGGAGTTGCCAGCAGTAATCCCAATCTCAGGTGAGTGCAACAGTCTTTGTGTGGGGTTCTGCGTCCTCCAACGGCTCCTGGTGCCGTCTAAGCTTCACGGGTAGCAAGCATCAACGATGCGCGTCTGGTCATGGATATGTCGAAAATCACAAAGAAATCTTGGGGAAAGCTTGTTTACTATTCCGGATTGAGGCCGACTTGGCGCAGATGCCTCAATATCATCTTCACTGGGGAGGATTGGCACTGGCCTGGCACGCTCGTCGGCGCATTTCCCAGCCGGGTCTGTCAGCACATGGATACCTCGAAGAACAGGGATGACTACATTTTCAATTCCATTTTCAGCCATCCACTGACCGAACCCATGCCTCACCCCTTGAGTTCAGGAAATACCTACTGCTCAAATCGGCATGAGCTACCTCAGACGTGCTGTGCAGTAGATGAGACCCATTATCTTTGGATCGCTCTGGCACAAGGCTCCTCCTTCCCTTGATCTGGCAGCTCATGCGTTTGAGCTTCGTCATCGCATGCACGAACTCGATACTCAATAGCTCCGCCTGAGACTGGCGATGTTCTAATTTTAGCAGGTAATACGGAATGCTCCCCATCTATCACTTACCCTATAGCTAGACGATGCTATATGATTATTGTACAACGGCTCGAGGCTACCTAAATTTATCTAAAGTTGGTAATTGAAACAAATTTCTTGGGAAACTAAATTGATATTCTTAATATATTTTATCTGCCAGAAAGCTACGTGGTGAAGGACTATGATCATATCTGGGAATGTGTTGACGTTGAGTTTACTATTTGTGGACCATGTTAACATTGATATATCAACTTTGTCAATAAAAGTATGTTTAGAGGTCATGTATGATATGACACAGAATAATACATCAATCTCTCTCTTCCTCTCTGGATCTTTTTCGTCCGACATAAAATCTAGCGCTATGGTTTTCTGTATGGGAATCTACTTGGACTCAAATTTAGCAGCTTTAGAAATGCCCCTCCTGAAAAATTAATTAAAGTAACTCTAAGAATGAAACCATGCAATGCAAAATGTGGCTGGTGGGTTTGGATAGTGACCTTCCCTATGTAGTCCTCCTTTATATTTGCAAGAGTCTGGCCATAGTGAGATAGGATTGCTATGTAAGCGGCGTTTTACGCAATCGCCTGCTCTGATCTTGAGAAGGAGCCGCTCCCCCCTTTACTACCCCACTTGTTAGGCCGGACGTGAAGGAATTTTGATGGGATTGATGAGCTCGTGCCTGATTATATTCCGAGGCAAGGCTTACCGCTTGAATCTTATAAGTGATTCGCCTGCATCTTGAAAGACTATTTCTGTTCATCGAGCCCAAGACTAGTCACTCGTATCAATGTCATCCGGTGGCTAGTATAACTGCTTGCCTTCATGGTGAGAGAAATCTGAAAGGCTATATCCCGTGACTTAAATCCAGACACGACCGCGAGTGTGGTCAACCCGCACTGTGAGTGCCATCAGAAGACCTCGGTGTTCCATTAACCTGGTGGAGTGCTTAATACAGCAATATAAGGCAGGGCCTGGACATTAGTCACATTGGGTAGAGCTTTGACTGGACATCAGGATTGGAAAACTACTTCTGGTCAGTGTCTACTGGCAAGAAGTTTTATTTAGCCCGGACCTCTGCAGCCAATTATTACAAACCACTTCCTCTCCGGCACAGAGTAATGCTACTTTAAACTTTCAATATCTCTGGGTAGTTCTTCCATAGAGAAAACAGCAAAGCCAAGTTTACCACAAGTTCTGGTAATATCTTTCCTTACTCAACCTGGCCAAATCTGTATTGCGCCCAGTTTAGGCTTCCCTCGGGATAAGTCCAGATTTGTTCACCAACATCCGAACCCGCCGCACCTGCGGCTATATACATTGGGAGGAGATGCTCCAGAGTGGGATGGGCCTTTCTCGTGTCATCACGTTTCATTAACGCAGACATTTTTGCTTCTCGATCTTGGGGATCGGTTGTCACGGCATCCTTAAGCGCTTCATCAAAGGTGTAAGCGTACCTATGTAGAAAATCAGTCTAAATGATAAATCCGATGACGGTTTCCGATTTGTGCTTACGGCATGGTTTTGGGGGCCCCTCTCATAGCCCTGAAGTCGCGAAGGTTGTGGACTGCCATTCCAGCACCGATGATTAGAACACCTTCATCTCTGAGACTTTCCAGAGCCCTCCCTAGCTGGTAATGCTTGGTAGGATCCTCGTTGCTATACAGCGAGACCTGGACAAGTGGCACATTTAGCGGATTAGTCTTCGGGTTAAATGCTGCCGAGGTAAATAATTAGCAGTCAATTTTTTTTTTTTTTGATACAGCCACCCACCGGCAATGAATCCAACCCATATCCCATGATCGAGGCCTCTTTTCACCCTTTCCACCTGAATGCCAGAAGCCTCCAAGTTCTGAATCACCTTTTCAGCCAGTTCTGGGCTTCCCCGGCTAGGATATTCAAACTCATAATAGTGAGGGGGGAAGCCGTAGAAGTCGTAAATGAGATCAGTCTTTTCGGCAGTGTTGATCTGAATGGTGGTCGGGCCGCTCTGCCAATGAGCGGAGAATGCTACAACCGCTTTGGGTTTGACTCTGGTGGTGATTTCATACCCGACCTCGGCGAGCTTAGCATATGCTGGATGGCTTGTATTTTCCATAAAGTTAGGGCCACCGATACCAAGGAAGTATGTTGGTAGCCGAGGCTTGGAGAGAGGTGCCATCACGAGAAGCTTGAATGTAAAATGGTCTTATTCGCTGCTCGGTGAACAGAGTGTAACACAATGAAGTCGTATGAATGAAGAGCGCAGTAGCTTTGAGTATTAAGATCAGCTTTGTGAGTCAATTGGGGATTCCGGTAACCAAAACCGAGAGGGCTGCAAGTCCTTATAAACCTGGGAATATAAGAGAGCTGAGAGTTTGTATTTTAGTATTGTTAATGGAGCCCTGTTGGGAAAGACTTCAAGTTTCCCAGTAATGAAGAGCGGATTAACATAAAGTTGAGTCTCGCTCTTAAGTCCGGCTTTCCATCTTAGTCTGTGCTGAGATGTTATTGCTCCAGGCTGTTAGGTTGGTTGGAGAGTGCATGAACTTGAACCGCTCGGTCCACTTTGGCTGCAGGACATGATGTGGGTAATCGACCGCGCGGTCCAGACACTATTGATCTGGTCTGGACGAATTAAAAAGTAGCTGGGCAACTGTGTGGAATCTCACCCGCGCGGCTTGTGGGTCTATTCAAGCCCGGCGGCTCGGAATCAACTGGTGATGCGACCATTGAGCAACATCTGACTGGCTGGATAATCATGGGAAACTCAAAAAGACGATTACTAAAATGTTTCAAAGAGGATTACAAATTGGCGCCATCTGGAGGGGATTCTAATGTGAAAAAAGGGTAATGTCTGCCGAAGAGGGAGGAAGCATAAATAGAAACGAAGCGCACCTGATATCAGTTTCTTTTGAGGACCATTCTTACATTCAAAAAGTTTAGTCACATTCACCAAAATCCTAGGAATTACAGGCTTAATTTCAAAATGTCTCTCAAGATTGTCCTCATCCTTGGAGCCGGCCCTCGAGTTGGTGCCGCTGTTGCCGAGAAGTTTGCTGGTAACGGTTACAAGGTTGCCCTTGCATCTAGAAAGGGAAGCAATTCCAAGAACGAAAAGGGTTATCTATCCGTCAAGGCAGACTTTGTACAGCCTGATTCCGTCTCGTCCGCCTTTGACGCGGTCAAGACTGAGTTCGGGGCATCGCCAAGTGTTGTTGTTTATAATGCTGCTTCTCTCACGCCTCCTCCTGATCCCAAGTCGGCCTTGTCTATTACGTCCGAGAGTTTCAAGTCGGATCTGAGTATCAACACAATCAGTGCATATGTTGCTGCCCAGAATGCTATCGCTGGATGGGAGACGCTCCCTGCTGAGACTAAGAAGTCGTTCATTTTCACTGGTAATGGACTGAACACAACTGTTCCCCCGGCGGCTTTGATGTTGACTCTGGGGGTTGGTAAATCAGCTTCGGCCTACTGGCTCGGCGTTGCTGATGCCAACTATGCTGATCGAGGCTATCGGTAAGTCAATTTACATAGAGGATTCCAACAATCTCCGTCTAACAAAATCGATTATTTAGTTTCTTCTACGCCGACGAGCGCACTGAGAGTGGTGGGATGAAAGGTTTGGACCTTGATGGCGAAGCACACGGCGACTTCTATGCTCAACTTGCAGCCCACGAGAAGAATATTCCGTGGCACGCAACTTTCGTCAAGGGCAAGGGCTATGCCAAGTTTTAAGACACTATGTACTTATTAACTTCCTCAAAGAAGCTAGGGGTTAGACATTAGTCCATAGGCAAAATTCTGAATCATTGAATTTGCTTTACACAAGTAACATGAAACCTAAACATCCCGGACTCTGGAAACACATAGACAGATTGCGATTAGGATGATTTTCGGAGCCGACGCGTGTCCAAGTATCCTCCATGATTGCTAATGCCTTGCGCAGAGTGCCAAACACGCTGTGTGGACGCAGGCGCTCGACCAGATATCGAAACTGACATCGTTGGTCCTGCCCTGCAAGACATCCTGCCACGCAGAAAGGCCAGGCCATTGTACGGAGTATTGATGGAGGCGAGATATCTTCTGTCAATAGTTCAAGGATTCGGCCAACTTGATATCGTGTGTCGTCTCCAGCTGGTTGCCACCCTGATACAACAATTGAGAGGTAAATGAGTGCGGCATGAGCCCAAACGCGAGTGATCAATACCGTCTGCCCGTCAGATCCCCTTTTCTGGGACAGGTCCTGATTCAATATGCCAAGTAATCCTTCCTCTCGTCCTGATTCGGGCGTTGAGTCTGCTTCGAGTTGCGCAAGCTGGGATTCAAGCGATGCCTTGATGATAGCAGCGCGACGGACGAGCTCCATAACATCCAAGTTGCCAGCTACTTTGCATTTCTCCTTCCAAGCGTCAAGCGCAGATATCTCGCCGATTTCCAATAACGCCCAGTTCTGGACGCCCACCGTACTCTCCAAATTTACCAAGGGCTCAGAGTCGCCTGGCACACCGAGTAGACTGCGAAGGTGCTCATACAGCTTGGGCTGTTGTTGAAGTATTGTGCTAGCAACGATGTCATCAAGCACTAGCAGTGCGCTCGAGAAGCGGAGGCCTGTTTGTTCTGCGCTGGGAACTCGTGAAGACTCTGGATTATTTGGCCCTAGACGATGTATTAATGTGGCAAAGGTAGAATGTGGCTCTGTTACGCTATGACTATTGAGCAGCTGGATGAAGAGTGCAAGTGCCGCGTTCAGATGAGCCTGGCAGTTGTCGAAACTTGAGATGGCGATTTCGAATCGCTGAACCTGCATGATGCTCGCTAGGATACGCACAGCGCCATGCAAATGGTCATTGATATCGGAGCCGCTGATGACTTGTAACGCATCTCTGAGAATTTCAAAGGCTTCCTTAGTCTGAGAGATGACGCCCTCCCAGTCTCTGTTGCTGTTGTTCATCTGCTGGGCAAGCGAAAAGAAATATGAGCTTTGGCAGAGTGTGGCCTTGCGGACGACGGGACTGGTGATGGCCATTTCCAGAATCCAGGACCGACATCCTTGGAGAAGCGACGGCCGGTAGAATGGAAACATGAAAGGGAAGACGGTTTCCAGATAGAATGTGAGGAGAAAGGTATCAGAATGCGCAAATGCCACGCTCTTGCAAGAGTTTTTACCACTGTTGTTCAGTAGACATACGGTCGCCGGGGGCCTGGTGGCGGGTGTGCCGGGAACTGTCTCTGTATCGCCATCTGGGCTGCTGAATGTCGGATCAGAGGGAATGACTATCGGGGTAACCAGGCCATTTGTATCTTCTAGTGGAGATACCGCTGCATTTCTGGAGGAGACGTCGCGGGTGGTCTTTGAGACGAGTGCCGCGCGGTCCCCGCGGCGGCGGTGGTTGGCCATCTCCTTGACCTCTCGCTTTAGGCGCAGTAGCATTTCATCTTGCTGGCGACCGCCATCCATCCAATCTGGTTTCTCCTGCTCATAGTGGCAGGTGATGTATAGCCCGGCGCAGGTATCGCAAACAGGGTGCTTTTCGTCGCATTTCTTCCTGCGGAGGCGGCAGGTCCAGCAGCCGCTGAAGCTCCTCACCGTGTTGCCGTATCGGGAGCTGAGGGGTAGGTCCATTAGAGACTGTTTCTCTGCGTGATCTGTAACTCCTTTCAGAAGATGTCTAAGTAAATAAAGCGAAATTAAGGTCGTGGCTCTTGAGCGAGCTGAGGCCGAGAGACGGAATTAGTAAGCATCATCTTTGCCTCCCTGGTGGCGTTTTGCCGTCCCGCTCACAGCGACTTCAATTGATTCCTAAGCGGAGGCAGGGAATGGAGTGAGACGGAGAAATCAGTGGAATTATGCTCAAAATCAAGGAGCATTTAGCGCCAACTCAACATTACACTGATGCGAATAAATCATATTTTGTGTAGCGATTGCATTTGGTTAAAATCCAAAACTGGGGAGTCCCTGATTGGTTCGAACATGAATATAGCACTGAATGCTTCGTCTTGTTTCTTTCGTTCCACAGATTTATTCTAATTTACCGCAGTTTCAACCTTCTATTTTTTCAACATTCTGGTAGTGGTCCTATGATACTCTGACTTTGTTATTTTATGCGTTCTTGGTGACATTTTTGTGATGAATCGAGACTAGGAGGTTTCTATCAGGGTGTTGCACAAAGCTGGAATTTTGTGACTAGTAAGTCCCTCTTCTAGAATCTCGCAACTTGAGTAAAAGAAATAACAGAGTGTTCAAAATGGTGTAAATTGCGGTCACGACTATTATCTGGAGGTGTGGAAAAGATAACGAAGTACACTGGTAAGATGATGCAAAGGTAATGAATTGCATGCCTCTGTGTAAATCTTTCTCTCGTCCAACGAAAAAAAGTCCGGAAAAAAATAATGGGATTGATTGAGACAGTCTTGGTAAAAATAATTTGGAGCGTCTTTGCATAAGGTAATGGATAAAAGTGAACGAAGTGAGAATCACGGCTGAGCACTGAATGTTCACCCAAGAATAGCTAGATATCCTCAAATAATAGATTAACTTTATTTTTACTCATTTTGAACTATTTCATTTGTATTAACTTTTACGCAGGCTCCCAAAACTCCAATAGCCTTTCTTACCATGCAATCTTTCCTTTGTTATACTATTAGCAATGCGGCGTAACTGGAGCCGCATCGTTGAGTCTTACTTCGGCTCCCCCCAAATCTATCCTTTGATTTCATAACTTCGACAAATCCCTTCCTGCCACGGGACTTATGGCCAATTTTACGAAAACTTGTTGAGGCTGGCAAGAACACCCTCCCTCCAGGCCCAAAGACCTGCCCAAGTGGCACCGGGACCAACCAGAGCTTGGCCGATGACCACAGCTACAGCTCCCTTGATAGCATCGCAGTTTCCAATGTACCCCGAGGTGCGGAGTTGCCAAACAGAGAATAAGTTGCTGAGAACAACTGACCCAAGGCCAATTGCCATGTCATATCGGAAGAAGACAGCAACTTGAGCTGCCAGATCGGGCAGGGCCCAGTCCTCGGTGAAGATGTGGGGGAGATCGAAAAATGTATCGAAGAAGGAAAAGTCCGATTGCATGTAAGCGAAAGAAAGGACGAGGATGTGAGCTGTTGCCTGGATCATAAAGGCGTACGTGTAGGAGGCATTGAGGGCGGGAAGGTCGTCCTTCTCATAGTGGTTGAACGATGATGATTTCTCACTTGACTTGGTCAACCGTGTCCAGAGCCTAGAGATGACGGAGAGAACGCTGACAAGAGCGCATGCCACTATCGGTGCAAATTGCCACACAGCTGTCGCATCTTGGATGAAGGCCTTGTCCGCCGAGGGGAGGAGTAGGAACGCAGTTGGGATCACGTATCCCAGGGTGAGTGCAGCAGGAACAACTCTGGCAGTTGCAGGGTTGACGTATCTGCCGGTGGGGAAAGTGTCGCCAATGAAGGCAAAGAGGACAGCGTATAGCGGCCCAATACGACCGATGCCATATATTTGCATGAGAGCGAGATAGAGCGTTGGGAGGGCCAGGGGGGTGCCGTAGTTACCTGTGCGATGGCCCTCAATGGCTAGAACCATAATTGGCGAGACAAGTTGTGACAAGAAGTATGTGAGATGCAGCTTGGTTGCAAGGGAGCCCTCGAGTCCATAAGAGAAAATGGAGGCAAGAGTTCTCAAGATTTGCCCGCCAAACACCTCCGGTGATGCCCAAGGCCTGTCGATCGCAGCATATCCCGCCCAAGTCTGGAAAGCGGGCAAGTCGAGGCGCCATGCCTTGAAGGTGACGTAAATTAAAAATCCCATGACGAGAACAAGACTGGCCAGGCCCATGGTGCGGTGGTCTGATTCAGAAGGTTTTGCAGGGAGTTCATCGTTATAGGGGATAACGTGTGGGCGCTTGACAATGGGCAGGAACTTGAGTCTCGAAGTTCCCAGCAGAGGGTAGGCGTGGAGTCTCAAGTAGAACTCAGGTCCGATGATTGGCGATACAAGGTTCCAGATGACGTCCGTAAGCCAGGGATGAACAGAAGAATTGATCGATTGGTGATCGTGTGACAACGAGACAATGTCGTTGGCTCGCTCATGTCGGCTTGCCTGCATTTTCTCAAAAATGGACTCGACTTCTGGCACGGAGAGGTCGTTGAGACCAGTAGGTCGTGAACCCTTTGCCTCCAAGAGGGCGTTAAGAAGCTCGGCAGCAGATTCGATGGCACCATTACCTCCCTGTCCTCCAATGGGGTCCGGCTGAGACAATAATTGTTAGTCTCGGAGAGCTATTGGGTTCCAAGGATTACTTACCTTATGAGCGGCGTCTCCAAAGATAAGAATTCTCTGAAACCACCATTTTTCAAACACCCACTCATGAAGCGGTGTGAGAGCCGAAGAGATTCTCTTCGAGAAAAGTTGACCGAAATTAACCTTCTTGGTGATTGGCAGAGAAGCGTACTCTTTGGCAAACACAGCTTCATCCTCCTTGTTGTACCGTGGGATATCCTCTCCAAATAAGGGCTTTGGTAATCGAACGAAAATGAACCAGTAAACTCTGCCCTCGGGGCCCGAAATGATCAACTGAGAGAGGCCACGACCCTTGATGACATTAAACTCTCCTTCGGTGTAGTTGGGGACATTCTTCGCAATGCCGAAGCTGCACTTGTAAAAGCATGGTACCTTATCCGGCTCATCGACTGAGAAGTGACCGGGCCGAAGCTCATTGCCCAGCTCGAACATTTTTTCTCTGACCGTGCTCCAAATGCCATCTACCCCCACAAGTATAGAGCCCTTGTAGGAGCTGCCATCCTCCGTCTGTGCTTTGATGCCGCCGTCGATGTGGTCAATCTTTGTCACCTTCTTGTTCAATAGCACTCTGTCCTTGTGCTGGATCTTGTCAAACAGAATTTGTAAAAGCCACTGGCGATCAAAGAAAAGAACAGGATACCCGTGTCTTCAGGATTGCAGTTTAGTAAAATAGTCACCGATTCTTCAATTGGTGTGGCTTACCTCTTCATCATATGATCATATCCCTCCGGGATTAGTGTTAGGGGAGTGCCGTCTGTGTCTCGGAGGCGGTTTAGCCTCAGTGGTGAGCAAGGCAGATCGGCAATGGGCTGATAGCATCCAATCTGGTCCAGGATACGTAGACCGTTGGGAAACATTCCAATGCTGGCGCCAACCTGTGGCGCGACCTCGCCGTGAGACTCTAGAATAACATAGTCGATGTCGAACTTCTCCAGCATGTTGGCCAGAGTGAGGCCCCCGACGCCACCCCCTACAATGACAACTTTGAAGCTGTCCTTTGCCATTGTGCTGTGCTTTCTGAACGGATTGGTGAGGAGTCAATTCTGTTCAATTGGTACAATGGAGACCAATAAAGGAGAAACGACACCAAAGAAGGGGTCAACAACTGCAGCCCATGAGAATTGAGGGGCGAGGGAGTCGCTTTTTACACAAACGAAAAAAATCAAATTTTGGGATGCGCCGATGAACATCAGACACACCGAAAGTAACATGGCATCACCATGGGATTTGGCTCTTAATCGTATCCGTTTTACAAGGGTCCCGTCTTCGGATCCTCCCATCCCAGCATGCCAGAGCCCAAAATCATGTGAGCGGCGAATCTACCAGGCACCGTCCTAGGCTCATGGTGGACAGTAAAGATCCCACAGCCCCAGAACACCGGGAAGATTGCCGTTAGCTGTCCTGAAAAGCTCCGAGTATTTCCGCTACGGCGCCCGTCGTCGCGGCTGTCTCTCGTGGGAGAAGACCAGGAAATGCCAATCGAGGCTTGAGGGCCCCTGCATCGGATCAGGGTTGCATGATGTGAGGTGACTTTTTTCACTCCTGGAGACTAGCCGTTGCAGTGGGTCATTCTGACATAACTTTCACTTCTTGTTGGCCGTCATAGCTGGACAATTCTTGTTGGGACCACTCTGTAGAATGAGCTCTGAAATCTACGTAGCTTCTAAGCCCTCAATCAGCCAATCATTAGAGCTCCGAGCCTGTTTAGATCTGTTCCAGTCACATGCAAATGTGCCCCTTGGCTAATTGACCACGGCTTATTGGTCAATTCCTGCCAAAACCCGTAGATGGGTCTTGTCCGATGATATCAGGCCATTATCCCCCCAGACCCATCCCTTCGCTCAAATTACGGTCAGACTAGAGACACAACATTCCTTCCTACACATGACTAATCAAGCAGCACAATTCCCTTGCTTGCAAATGTCATTGAAGTGTGTGGCTTGTAACATATTGATGTGGAGACATGCCACCAGACTGACCTCTTGCTTCAACCGTCTCTCCAAACACTCAACGCGTTATCCCTTAAAGGGGAAACCCTGCTGGAAGGACCTACGTGACATTTCATCGGTAACCACCGCGGCCACCACCAGTTGACAGGCATTGGGGAGGATGGAGCAGATTTTATTTCACTGTTAAACCTTTCCAGCCGATGATTACTCATGAGAGAGAGACCATCAGATAAGCCTAGATAAAATGGTAAATAATCCTATGAAGAATTGAAAGATCTTGATGTCGGACTCAATTGACCTTATCATCTGGTCAGCTACCTACGCCTCATGATATTATGGCTTGTGGCTGTTATGAAATTACTGGCTCCAATCAACACTGTTAAAAAGCTGTCATCAAGACAAATTTTAACTAGGATAATGCTATGTTTAACCAGCCCAGGCCTGTTGGGTAGCGCACCAATGATCTATGCGCTCTGTTTTGCTTTTTCAAAATGCTGTGAAAGCTGTATGATGTAGCCGAGGCGATCATTTAGTCGGAGCGATATATGAAACTCAAAGATGTTTAACTAGAACTTCTCTACGATTTCCGAAAACTACCAAGGCGGCAGAGGCGCAGGGAATGTATTTTTCTTCGAAAGTTAGTTAACTGTGTCTTAGGCTTATCGTTCACGACGACTTTGTGCTAATACCAATGAGAGACTTATGATGCTAGGTAAAGCTTGGGCAAATCATTATGAAAATTTTCGCTCGTTGAGTTGACAAATAATAACTAACTGGATGCAAAATTTAAACCATAGTTTGGCATAGCTCTGAGCTGGCTTGATGGAACTCATTAAAAGCATCGTCGACACTCGATAACTTTAAATGTTCAATTCACCAATCTTTTCTGTGATTTAAACCAAAACGGATAGCAATTTGAGTTGAAATCAGAGTGTCAGACACAATAGGACGTGCGTAGTCACGCGATAGTCGAGAGGTTCGACTGAGGATCTGCTGGCGGGCAAGATCTAGGGTGGTTTGGTTTCGCTGACACTGGAGTGTTGTCAGCATGGTCAGCATGGTTCGCATCTGACTGCATGTGATATGTCGGTGCAGCTCGCCTCGCCGTTGCACCTCAATGACCATGTGGCTCGCGAACTAGCCTCCCCTGTTGCGACCCTCTTGTGGCACATCCAACCTCTTATTGATCTAAGTACAAAACGTGTTTGACTTCCCAGCCCCATCATGGTTTCGGTACAAGATACCCGTACGCCTAAATTCTGGAATAAGAAGAAGGAAGGGATTTTCGGAAAGATCGCACATCGCCTCTCTAAAGACAACTTTAGCGAACTGCTAGGACAGACTCTCCCTAACTTAGCCCGCATGTTTGATAAGGAAGCTTTGTAGAGCCTCAAAAACGGTAATCTATGGCTTGCCGAGTGGGATGCAGGCTCAGAAGCGGGCCTTGAGGAGTCAAAAAAGGCCTTTCTCAAAGATGGCACTACATTCATTGATGTACTAATTGAGTTCACTGAATTGATGCGTGCCGAAAGCCATCTGGCCGTCTTGCTAAAGAGTTCCGGTACTCGATTCACCACAAGACTCTTACTAGCAATTTACGAAGATTTACCAGATATTAAACCTGAAAAGTCTGCCCAGCCAGTCGGATCAAAACTTCGCGAGTCATCGGATGATATTCTGAAAGCAAATGAGAAGCGCAATATCCCTCCCGAAAGAGTTTCGGTCCTTCTTGAAAAGATGACGCTGGGGCATCCAAGAGTAACGTATCTCGGGTAAATAAAGCCCACAAGGCCGGGAGGTAGGTGACGGGGGTTTCTGGGAACACCACGACACCCGAGATACTAAAAGTTTCTAGTGATGTGGCTGCAAGATGCATCTTTGAGTTGCTGTGGGAGACTGAATTTGAGAGATTACCCCACCAAAGCAAGAGAAGCGCGCGTAGAACCGAGACAAGGGACAAGATCGTGAGCCGCTTCTTCAAGTACCTCGACAAGACTCAAAAGGACCTGGGTAATATCAAAAAGGGGCATATCTTATTCCAGCACAAACAGAGGCTTAGGAAGTTTGTCTCACAAGTGGGTTGCCCTACAGACTATCCTGAATCGAAAGATAATATCAATGAGGCTCGCCTCTTCCTGTCGACAACAATGGGCCATTTTGCCAAGCTACAGGACCAGTATCTGGAGATGCAACTAGAAGTTCGGAGGCTCCGACACTACATCAGCGCTCTGTAATTCCGTTACTTGCTCGAGCACCTGCCCGACCCACAGTTAGGCAACAGTGCAGGGCCCAGATGGGAAGAGTTCTGGAGGAGGCCTCTCCAGTATGAAGCTGACAATAATTCAACAAATCCACCAGCATTACCAGACCACGTACTGAAGAATCTCGTCGACCGACGAAATCCCACACGACTCCAAGGAACCCCTGGAAACGGACAGCGGACCATTCATACCTCTGGGCAGAAGGGGTTCCTATATATAAAGGGAAATGCCCTGTATACATCGCTGAGCGACGAGATACATCGATACAGCTATGGGGAGTATAACATTGAAGATAGTGATGGCTGGCAAAAAGTGATCACTGAAATACTTCGGGCGCTGAAGCCCCTGGATGTGAACATCAATCCTGACACTCATGAGGTGGATTGGGTTGCAGAGCGGGCAAGATACCATACATGATTTCCAACAAGGATTTTGACGCACAAGATATTCTTGTAGCTATGTTAAGAATGGGTATGATCATTTTTGGATAACTTGTAAAACTGAGATTTGTAATCACCCGGCGTGGTTTAATGGGGCACTTTGGAAGGGAGGTATTACATTAGTATAATCAGATAAAAGACAGATACCAAGACTTTAAACTGAAATTTGTGGTAGGAGATGGTCTGAGGAGCCTGTTCGCCGCGTGGCTTGAAGAAAACATCTGAACGCCGTTGTTATAGTAAAAGATCAAGACAAGATAAAAAAGAAATATATAATGGCTAGCATTTACTGGTTATTACTAATCTAACTACTAACTAGCCCAATACTTGCTTAATACTTAGAGAGTAATTATTTTCTTACCATTAATTTAATAACATTTATTAGCTAATTAGAATTAAACTATTACCAATATACGACTATGGGTACTTTCTTGCGTTCCGGACGCCTGCTAGGTACTACTCATAGACTCTAGAACACGCAACTGGAGGTCATTGATTGGGACTTTGGTGTAGGGTATGCCAAGGAAGAAATACTTGGTGATAATTTTGTTTGTAGGTGCTTCTGTAAGTGCCATTGGATAAGTTTGATAATGGGTGCTGCGTGATGAGCACCAGGGTATGAGATGGCTAATAAAGGAGTCACTAACGGCACAACGAAGCCCCAAGGTTTAGGACATGAATCGACTTCATGCTAGATGAGATATTGATGAAAACGACAGGTAAGATGAGTGACGCATTTCATGAATATGTCGGCTACGGGCCTACGGCTAATCATTTTTACATTATCAACTCCTTCAACCCCAAATCCAATTCGTCACCTCTAACCCACGCACCCAGACCCCAGACTCAAAGTTTAGAACATGTGCATATACAAGCTAATGGACCTTTGGAAATCGCGTGCATTGATCTGGGTTCCGACATGGGGTATCAGTCCCTGTAGCCGTTATAGCCGTCATAGCCGCTCCGGGGGCGGAAAGCTTTTGCAAGAGCACAACCTGTTATAAACGGGCCTTTTACCCAAGGCCTGTCACTAGCTCAGATGCTCATTAAAGAGTATATCGATCCTCATAAGGGGCGGCCTCGATCGGCGTAACTGACTCTAAACTGTAAGAGGCACTCACAGCCGCGCATATCGCGATGAAGCTAAGCGGCTCTTGTGGAAGGATAACTGGATATGAAATATAGGCAAATGAGTCGTATAAACTACCTTTGAGAATCTCAACCGAAAAGTTATTTGAGTAAGTATAATATGAGTCACCTAAGGTGTACTAGACCGGATTGCTTCGTATTAAAGTTGGCCGTTCTCAGTGGGCCAAGTTTGCCTTCCACCCCGGAGCACAACGGTTTGCCGTAGGTGCATAAAGACTGACTAGGCCATAAAATTCGGTCCGAAGAGGTGGTTCTTAGTCCCTGACTAGTTGTTGCGGGGAAGTTCAGCAAGGCTAGGTTGGTCCGACGTATAGTATTGAACGCAAGGAGGGATATTCGTAGAGTGCGTGGAAAACAATTTGCCTTTCAAGGAATCAGGAAAGTAGCTTCACAGTTCTAGGAAGGGAGAGGTGTCCTAGAAGAGTAGTAGTTTATCATGAAGTATATTCTTGATATATATTCGTGAGCGATTTCCCTGGCGACTTTGTGAAGAAGAAGAAGTGAGCCATAGCATTGTCCAGGAGGAAAACTTTTCTTGAGCAAATTTCATCAAACTAAGTTGTCCGGCCGTTTGGCAAAAGTAGAGTATACAGAGGTAGAAGTTGTACCGTTTGGAGTGCGTGGGTGGGGTTTAGAAATACAGGCTGCAAGGGCCAGGAATGTTAATCTCCACGATTCTGAGGGTACTTTTTGTTGGAGTGGAAGGCAAATATCAATCTTAATTGGCTCTCCCCAACTCATGGGAGTCGACACGAGCGAATTGTGTGTCAAGTTCAAGCTCGTCCTCCACGCACCAATAGAAGGTGTGCACAAATTCCCCGCAATTTCCGCAAGTACGGATCGCCTATTTCCTGGGGGTCCATTAGATTGACATAATCGGCCCGGGAGCTCTCTCGTAACATTACATGATAGCCACCGCATTGGTGAGAGCTGCCACAGCACTAGGGAAAGTAGAAAGATCAAAGTATAAAGGCCTCAATCTTTGACAATACTTACTATAATAGAATAAGAACGGTTTAGAGATTCCTACTTGACTGGCTCTTTTATTACGTGACTTAGTACCGTAAACCTTGTGTTTCACTCCTTCATCATGAAAACGGGCACTTTGTTTGCCGTGTTGGGGTTATTAGCCACTACACAAGCAAAACAATTCGATCCTTATCTCGCTGATTTAACTCATCAGGCACCGCGGACTCTGCACCATGGTTGGGCTAATCTGACCGTGGAAACAAACACTGGAACCTTTATTGGCATGTACAATGATACCTACCCCAACGTGCGGCAGTTCTTGCGCATTCCTTTTGCACAGGTATGTCAAGCCTTTCACCTGGGTTTTCAGCGAGATCTAGCGTGCCGATATGTTGCTTGCAGTTGGCTTACTTGATCCTCCTGGGCAGCCCCCTGTGGGTGGTCTTCGTTGGGAACCGCCTCAGAAATTATCGAATTCCTCCAAAGTATATGATTCCACCCGCTTCGGTCCCGGTGCGTTGCATGCTGCCTCGGGTATTATACATTATCTTGCTATCGCTAACACTGCTATTCTGGTATACCTGTAGCCTGTCCGCAATATGTGTCCTCATCACATGTTTTCTGGAACGAATATGCGCCACCTAACCCATTGCTCAGCCTGGGTGAGCGACGTGACCAGGGCGCTGTAGCCTGGTCCTCGGACGAGGACTGCCTCTCCCTCGCTGTATGGGCTCCTTCGTACGCAAATAAATCTTCGCAGCTCCCCGTCGCGCTCTTCATCACAGGAGGCGGCGGCCTCATTGGAGGCATTACTGTCCCTTCTCAGTTACCGGAGCAGTGGGTGTCACGTTCCCAGGAACATATTGTTGTCACCATCAACTACCGTGTCAATATCTTTGGAAGTAACTCAACCCAATTCTGGAAACTTGGGATCTAGTGGCCGAGCTTGTAGCTGACGTGTTGCTTTAAAACCCAGACCCCAAGTCTCGCGCCGTGCGGGAGACATCGCTCACGCTGCTCGACGTAAGAGCCGCTGTTGAGTGGGTTCATGAAAATATCCAGCAATTTGGAGGCGACAGAGACAACATACTTGTGAGCCCTTCGCGCAAACTCCATCACTCTAGCGAGTTCGGCATTGACGTATATAGTTGTGGGGAGAGTCCCAAGGCGCCAGGCTGGTAAACATGTATATCACAGCTTTCTGGGAAAAGCCTCTCGCCGCCAAATTTGGGCTTCTTTCCAACGGCCCAAACTACATCATCAACACCGCTGAAGTTAAAGACCCTTACGCCGATTTCGACGTTGTGGCCAAAAGCCTTGGCTGCGACTACGGCGACGATTATGGAGCTGAGCTTGAATGCATGCGCCATGTTTCTTGGGTGCAGATCGAGGAGTTTATCAACAGATATGATAAGAAGCCGAGCATTGCGTTTGACAACTATATTCGTCTGTACCCACCCTCAGCCAGCTGTTTAGAAAGGATTTTTTTTTTTTTAAATTAACCAAGACCTGTCTTATTAGCCGACGAGAGATACATCTTCGCCAACAAATCCGACCGGTATGCGAAGCATCTCGTGGCACGAGGACCTGCCATCCGTTCCACAACATCAACCGAGCTAGAGCCCTCACCCAACTTGACTCATACTGTTGAGGTTGCTCGTAACTTTAATTGTTTTGCATTGAGTGATACCAGGCTGCGTGAGTCTATTGGCCTGGAGAGCTTCCGCTACTTCTATGTTGGTATGTGCCCATCATACCCCTATCAATATGGTTCTTTTTTGTCCACTAAACTTAAGGTCAGGTAACTATTCCAACATTAGCCCTGAACCGTGGTTAGGTGCCTATCACTGGACGGATTTACTTATGATCTTTGGCACATATGCCAAGATGGTTGGTGATATTCCTCAAGGTGAAATCGACACATCTGCCGCCATGCAAGACTACTTTGTCGCTTTCCTCAAAGAGGGTGCCAATGTGGCGAGCTCCGTAGGCTGGCCTGTTTTCCAACACCAGGATAAGAATAATGGCTCCATTATTGAGTTTGGAGCGCGTGGTTCTCCAGCTCGAAACGTTACCGGTGATTATCTCGACGCTTCCTGTTACAACCCGTCAGTTCCCTTTCCTATGTTCTCTTGAATAGAGGCAACAGGAACAATATCCAGGCTTAGTTACGCGCTTGACGCTTTAATGAAACTGATTGCCGCCCTTATGTAGCTTTTAGTGGCATATTTCCCTAGGACCGCACTTGGCGAGACGGTGAATACGCCAGGAGATTTAGCGAGAATAGTCGAGGCATGAGCATTTAATTCTGCTTCAATATAAAGTACATATACGCTAGATATATCAAAATTTTGAACATTCGGGCGTTTGGCCTAACAGCTTATTTGCCTCGCGCCGTACAGACAACACAATATCCCTAGCCGAAAGGACTTCTTTAATCAGACCCACCCCGGTACCTGCATAGGTGGTGATTCTACCTGTTGGGCCATATCCTTCACTCCTCTTCTCCAATTCATCCGCATAAAGGTCTCGGTTGTCTTCGTCACTCAATCCGTTGACTGAATCAATATATGTCTGGTTGATCAGACCTCGACCATCGTAGCAAGTTGGCCAACCATGAATATCACGTACTTTGTCGTATATTGTGGTTCGAACAGTACTGCGTCCACCGTCGGATGCCCGTAGCACCTCTTTTTGATAACCATCTGCAATGAGGGCCTCGGGGCTGGCTAAGAATCTTGTCCCCAGCACGCATCCCTGCGCACCCAGTTGCACCGAGGCGGCTAGTCCCCGGCCGTCACTGATTCCACCTGCTGCCAGCAACTGAATAGGATGCTTGACATGTTGCTCTTGTGCCTGTATTTCTCGTATTTTATCATGCACCTCTGGCACTAGCGAGATAAGGCTAGCACCTTGAGCCAACGCATGGCCCCCCGCGTCTGACCCCTGTACGACTAGAACATTGGGCTGCAGTAATTCGGTGGCCAAGATAGCATCTGCCACCGAGCCAATCTGGACCCAAATCTTGGTTGCGTGCGAGGTTGCTTCCCGGATTTGCTTTGCCCAGGGAATCAAGTCACGCAGGCCTGTCGGAGGAGCGAATAGCCAAACCGCACAGGGCCGATATTTCCTCAGGGGAGGAATAGCTGCTTCGAGCGAGGCGCTCCAAGTGATGAATCCTACCCCAACCGGGAGGGTACTACTCTCGCCTACAGCAAGAGCGTCGCTCGCTTTGGACAGGAGCTTCGCGGCCTCCTCCAGTAAATCTTCCAAATTATGGCTTGTATAGCCCGCCGCAATGAAGCCAAGACCCCCTGCCTTAGAAACAGCTACCGCAAGTGGCGGTTTTGACACTCTGGCCATAGGTGCTGAGGCGATGAGAGGAGTTGTTGTCCATGGATAATCATTACGCAGCACTGTTGAGGGATTTCGCGAGGCAGACATGCTTAGTAGTGATATGCTGGTGAGTTGTGTCCTGACGCGGATAAGCAAGACAAAAGAACGGCGATAACTTGGGGAAATTCATTTAACAACGATGCTTCTCCGCAGCTGTAAACCTAGAAAGGCCTATTTATCTTAATTTTTGCACACACACAGTTACCTAGGAAACCCCGGGTCTGCTCCTAAGGTTATCCATCTGTTCATGCTTCCACTACCGACCCCTCCGATAACCTACCCTGCCACTATACTCCGCGGAGATCTCTCAACACTTGATTAGCCACGAGATCCAATCAGGGACAGGAAGGACGTCCCTGCAGCTGATCTGGTCGGTCCACGCGCCACCCCTCATTCAATCTCCCCGCAATAACCGCACGTTAATGGTTGCATCGTCTTATGATAGCAATGGTACATCGAATCGGACAATTATTTGAATGCTGTCTTAGACGTGTCACCTTGTCTCTCGCCTCCATAGGAAAAGAAAAGCTGAAGCAGTTGAAGTGGTTATCGGACCTCGGCCCGCTGTTTCCAGAAGCCCAGACAACTGGCTCTATCTAGGACCAATGGAGGGAGAAAGAGTAAATTGGTATTTGCTAATAAAATATTATATATATACGGGCTGCATCTATATAGCTAACTGTAAACACCTGGACCAACCATCTCCCAGCAAATTGTAGAACACATCTACCATTCTTCATTGCAATATCGTATTCCAAGTCTGCATCAGCCAGACCCATTGTCAGCATGGCCACCCCGGACAACAGGTAGCCATGCTCCTTCACCAAGAGTCTCTCTCACTTCAACGGCAACCGAGTTTCCGAGGAGTCACCAACAAATCGCCAATCCCTCTAACACCACCAAACTTTATCGACAACGAGCTAACATTGGTGCTAAAAGCCATGCGGTCCTGCTTCCAGATGCCGACAAGAATGCTGCGCTGGACGCCATCGTGGGTGCAGCATTTGGTAAATAGTTCTCTTTCCTAACTAAATATTACAGATTATATAATACCTCGGTTCCAACAGTAACCGAGAGGACCAGTTCTATATCTGCTGGACCTCAACGAACGAAATATCCCTACGGTCACGATCAAGTATAAGGCACCACCTAAGCCAATACAAGGCGACATCTTCACAGGGCTAGTCCCAGACATCCAACTGGATCGTAATGTAATCAATGAGGAGCATAAGGGCATTGCGTTTGCAACGAGGCGACTTACCGCTACCGTTGTAACTCAGCTCTTCTCCTACTTAATAGGTAGAAACATCCAGTATGAGTACATATTCGGCTGAAAGATATAATCATCTGATGATGGAGCGGACTGCAGAGTGAACATGAAAATACAACGTCCGAAGAACCTCGAAGCCCATATCAGAGAGTGATGAACGGCGGCGAGGTACCCCGGATGCCGCTGTAGGTGCTACTAATGATGCCATGGCAAGTTCTAAAACTTGTTTACTTATGATATATTCGCTTATTACATACGTTAGTTAATTTCAATCCGTCCAAGTTTCTCAAAACCAACGGTCCCTCTAAGAGATACTAACGCAGAGCACGAGTGCAGTATTGATGAGTTAGAGACTGTCGCAGGCAGTGATCTGTCGAGCTGTATTGATTACTACTATTATAGAGCGAAGATTTTCCTCTTGTCTTAAAGACAGTTTTCCACATTGACAGGGGAAGCATCTATGGCCACCTGGCATTATGCCAAAGTCCATTCTCCGTTAGTCTCCAAGTCCTGTACAAAGATACCTGCCTTCTCCTTCTCTAACTCGCTTTCCATAGTCCAGTCTTCAAACAGATGACCCCGGGGTAGGTTAGTATTCTTGAACACACTCCCAAGTTTCAGCGGAAATGCTGCCATACCGGTTGGAACGATGGAGGTGCTCCTCTCGATTATTTCGACATCGTGACCCTTTCTCCAGGACTCGATGCCCATACATAAACCGGCCAAGCCAGCTCCCACGATGATGACTTTGATACCAGTTGGGGGGGAACGAACAACGCCGTCAACGACAATGGAGGTTGTAGATGTCATTTTGGGCTGAGTGGTATGGATTTTGCAAGTTCGACTCTTGTGATAGAAAGCTTTCAGTTTAATGTCTCTCAGTTCAGAAGAGACACCGTTTTTTTTTATATTCAGATACCACAACCATTGTAGCCTTGTATCATGCTACCTTTCTTCGCAGAGGGTGTCGGTCCCGGCCCGCATTCCGCATCCGCTTCGTAAGCGGATTTTCTTCTTAGCCGACAAAACATAGAATGAAATTGAAGAAAAGCCTTTGCGCCATAGCCAACGAATTAATTTACTAATGCATACCTCAAGACTAGTTGCCTGGTGTAAATCAATTCCCTATACCGGGCTAGCACAAGAGATGGCTTTAATAGTCATTCGACGAGCCGCTGTCCTGACGGCAAGTGAGTCATCCGTACGAAGGTTCATAGAATTTTCCTGCCGTATGACTACATCTTGGGCGGACTAGGAAAGGCTATATTTTTAAGCTTTCGTATTTATTGTGTTGAGTTGTCGGGCCCTGGCAGCTTCATTGTTATTAAACTCTATTCTCTTTCTCTTCTGTATACCGGGCTAGCACAGCCACAGACAGTGTTTCGGTATTAAATGTCTCCCATCACACTAATCACGGGGCTCCATATATGATCTTTGATCAAAATAGAGTCCAAGCAGCACTGACACAGGCTACTAGGCGAATGGAGCTATGCGAGTCGGGAGGTCTATGCTTCCGATGGCAATTTTGGTCTGTGAGCAGCGTGCGCCTGCATAGAGGCATGTGCCCAATCAAAACATGGAAGTTTTCGTCCTTTCCTTTGTTTTCCATGTATCGCCGCTGACTCAGCGCTCTCGCATCAAGCAGATGGTCCAGAAAGCCATGGAATTACTGTCATGTAGATGTATTCAAGTGAACCTTGGAGATAGAAATGCCTATGTCCGAAAGACCCGATTGCTTCACAACTCATAGCATCGGTAGTTGAAGTAAAGATAACGATGGACACAACACTGCTTAGTATAATAGAAACAGTTGCATCTTCCTTCTCCCGGCCCTCATGCAATCGATCAAATCACAATGTCTCCCCTGCCTTCTCCCGCCACGGCCACAGATAAACTGCATAGGCCAGAGGTCCATGGGACTTCTTATGCCAGGTCCTTATTAGATCAGGCCGGCATAACGCAAGACGTTTTGGACTTTCGTTATAGGGGCAGTGGAACATCAGGGGAACCTTATGTTGTCGTCTTCATTGATAACGATCCGATCAATCCTCTGAATTTTCCGCAGTGGCGGAAGTGGGCCATTACAATCCTTCAGGCTTTCGCGGTACTGGCCGTCGCCTTTGCATCAACGGCATACTCGTCCAGTGTGTCTGAAATCATGCAAGAATTTCAAGTCAGTAGAACAGTTGCTATCCTGGGTATTACGATGTTTGTCTTTGGTTTTGCCTTCGGGTGAGTGCTTATATTGAATGCGTTCTACTCCTTCCCCTAACACTACGGCAGGCCACTTATTTGGGCTCCGCTATCTGAGCTATACGGGAGATAGATCGTGTTCTTCGTCACTTATATGGCATTAGCAGCCTTCAACGCGGGAACTGCAGGAGCGCCGAATATCGCGGGTTTGATCGTCATGCGTGCTTTGGCTGGCACTTTTGGGTCGTCACCTCTCACAAATGCCGGAGGTATTATTGCCGATATGTTTCCGACTAAAGAACGAGGAATCGCTATGGCTATATTCGCTATGGCTCCTTTCCTAGGTCCATCAATCGGGCCCATAATAGCAGGGTTCTTGAACCAATCTGCTGGGTGGAGGTGGGTTGCCGGCCTGATGGCTTGTCTTACGGGCACCCTATGGATCATCATTTCTCTTTCCGTCCGCGAGACATACGCACCAGTTATCTTACGTTGACGAGCCGAAAAACTTTCGAAACTCACTGGTGATATCTATATTTCTAATCTTGACGTTGGGAAGCCCAAAAAGACACTAGGGGCAGAGTTCAAAGTTGCTCTGTCCAGGCCATGGATTCTCTTATTCACTGAACCCATTGTCTTGTTTATGTCCCTGTATGTTGCTATCATCTATGGTACACTCTATATGATGTTTGCAGCCTTTCCTATTGTCTTCCAAAGGCATAGAGGTTGGCCCCTGAGTATCGGAGGCCTTGCATTCCTCGGGGTTGCCATCGGAGTGATGCTGGGAGTTTGCTACTGCTTTTGGGATGCCAGACGATGCGTCAGGGTTTCAGAAGGAGCAGGGGGCAATATTTCACCGGAAGCCCGCCTCCCCCTGCTATACTCGGCTCTATCCTACTTCCAATTGGGCTGTTCTGGTTTGCATGGACAAATGGTACCAGCATTCACTGGGCTGTTTCGATCATTGGCTCAGGTTTCTTCGGCTGTGGGCAGGTCCTTGTCTTTCTCAGCGCGATGAACTATCTTATTGACTCGTGTAAGCCACTCACTTTCTCGATGAGACTAATAACTAATCTACTCCAGACGTCGTGTATGCTGCTAGCGTGCTAGCGGCTAACTCTATTTTGCGTTCTATATTTGGCGCAGTATTCCCCTTATTTACCACCAGTATGTATAACACACTTGGAGTTCACTGGGCAAGTTCAATACCGGCATTTCTTGCTCTAGTCTGTCTTCCATTTCCTACACTGTTTTACAAGTATGGCGAGACTATTAGAATGAAGTGTAAATATTCCGCTGAAGCAGCAAAACTCCTGGCTAGTATGCAAAATGGAATCGAAGATGAAGATTAAGTAGCAGTCATTACACATTGGGTCTTACACAATATGTCGTCGGTAGTGGCCAGTATGTAATAGCGAAGAGAAACTTGCAGCCTCGGCCTTTAAGGGATATTTAGAATATTTAAATATCTCTAAAGAAAGGATTTAACTTTATAAAGTACCTTATACAAAAAGTTACTGCTTATACCTACTAAATAAATTAGTAAGTGATAAAGTATAATAAGACTTATATATTTCATAAGAATTAACTCTTTATTTATGTTAAACTCTTTTATAATATACTAATACTTAAGAATTAAAAGTAAATTGATTATACAATTATTAGGATAACTAGTATTGTTTTCTCTTAATTATAAAGTAAGTTAATATATAAATTTTAATTAAAGAAGCTAAAGTAAATAAATATTTCTACTAATAATATTTAAGAAGTAAATAATAGTAAAGATAATATAAATATATAGAAAAAATATTAGAATTTTTAATATATTTATTTACTAATAGTTTAATATGAAAAGGATAATAATGCCTTTGTTTATCAAATAAACTATTTATACATTATACTCATCTCCCCCATGAGGTTATAGAACGCTCTAACTTGGTGGCCCCAGAAATGTTCCGAGGAGAATGTAAACGTCTTGTGCATTAGTCTTTGCAGTCGACCGCTGCTTGTTGGTCCTTCTCCGGCGTCTTTTCACCCCGTTTCCATTTCATCCGTCTCATCCGTCTCATCCATCTCTCCTGTCTTTCCGTGCCAACCGTCTTCTCCGTGTCAACCGTCTTCTCCGTGTCAACCGTCTTACCCGCGCCACCCGTCTTATCCGCGTCGCCCGTCTCTCCCGTGTCGCCCGCCTTAGCTTTCTAACCCGGTCTTATCTGTTGATTCCGGCTGGGCACAGCCATTGTTGGTGCTGAACCGTATGTACGGCCGGGCACAAGCTTCGTAGCCGGGCAAAAAGGCTGGAGTTTAATGTGTTGTGTTACCGGGTATGGTATCAAGTTGTTAAATTCTTGGTGTTTGGGGATTTCCCCTTTTTTTCCCGGCAGCTGCCGCATAGCTGCATAGCTCTCTCACTTACTACTACTACTAATTTCTGTTGATTCTGTTTGGTGTGTAACAGTTTCCCACCTAACAATAACAACTTGATGGTGTAAAGGAACCCTGGCCTAGGAATAAGGAGGTTGTTGACAGAACCTTGTCTCTTACACTTTCTAGTAAACGTAGATTCTAGTAAAAACAGTATTATTCTAGAAATTGTTGATTTTATATTCTGAAAAATGCCTTACTCTAAAATGCTATTAATTCTAGTGAGCCCTTCTACGAGAGTCGTCTTGTCAACTGAAAAGACAAGTCTGAACCATCCACTGCCTTCAGCTCCAAAACTTGCTCCAGGAGCTACAAAGACTTTCTGCTCGAGGAGTAGCTTCATTACCCGATCCTCAGCTTGCAGATGCTCTTGTTCAGGATGATTTCGGCAATAAGCCTCTCCAAGATTGGCCCATAAGAAAAAGCCCGCATTTGATCCCCTTGCGTAATGGATGTTATGCTCGGTTGCCCACGATGTTATCAGCCTGTAATGCTCGGCGAGCTTTGCCCTATTTTTGGCCAGGTAGCTGTCAACCCAGGCATCGTCTTCAAATACGTTCGCAAAAGCGTGTTCAGCGAGGGAAGAACACATGCTATACAAGGCTGCTGGAATAAGTGCATTGTGCAACAGAGGATTACTCTGAGAAATAATGCTTCCAAGTCGGATGCCGTTGGATCCAAAATCTTTCGAGACTCCCCACACCACGTGTATTAGAGACGGGTCGATGATTCCTGTAGTGTCTATGGATAGACAAGAGGTAAACGGCGTAGTTGCCGACTCATGATTTGTCCAAGTTGACATTGCGAAGACTTCATCGCTGATCAAGTGAAGTTGATGTTTCTGACAAAATTCCATGAGTCGAACCAAGGTACCCTCAGGATAACAGCGCCCGAGGGGGTTATGCGGGTTGCAGAGAAGAATGCCGGCAATCTTCTTTCCTTGTGCTTTAGCTTCTTGCAGCCTGGCCTCGTACTTTTCGACGATATCCTCGCAGAAAGGGTCGACATCATGGCATTGCACCTGTATCACATCTGTATCAACGCGAAGACTGAAGGTTGGAATGAAGGCGCGAAAGAAAGGCTTGGTGACGAGGAAACCATCTCCACCATCTCCAACTGCCCAGGCGATGTGTTCTATAGCTGCGCTACAGCCGTTGGTAATAGTGATGTGGCTCAAGTCGATTTCCTGGTGGGGATTGAAATGCTTGTTGAGGAAATGTGCAAGGGAAAGCTTTAACCGTTTTGATCCCGTTGTGCCGTCGCCATAGGTTAAAGCTTGCGGCTGAAGGGAGGTTTGGTCAACGATGTGCTGCAACAGCTCATCTTGCATAAGAACATTTTCAGCCATGCCTAGGCTTACGTAGCCTGAAGGGTTCGTTGTAGCATCCCAAAGGTTTGCCGTCACTTCCCACAGGAGGGATCCGCTCTTGTTGGATGCTGTCGCTTGGCCACGGCCCGAGAGCTGCATGTTGACTAAGAAACTGTCAAAGAGAGCTGTGCAATAAGTGCATTTGTAGAAAGTACATTGGTGGGTGAGCGAGATCTTTACTTGGATGTATCACTGTGGCGCTATATACCCTCAAGCAGAGCCGGAAGTGTCCGAAGTACATGATTTAGTCGGTACACACTTTTGCAGTCCGGCAATGGGGTGCTTGAAAAGTGGGGAATCTAAATCTTGAATTGTGGCATGGAACTCAGCTCGGCGTCCAACTTTCACAAGTGGACATAGGAGTGGCCCCAAACCATTTAGCCACCACATGAGCACGAATCATCCCCGGCACATTTATACCTTGACGGGCTTTGCTGTTGTTTGGGAAACCGTTGTAGCTTGATGGCTATTAATCCCTTTTCTTATACGCAATGCTCTGCAATCAATCCAAATCCAACAACATCATGCTGCCGCTGGAAAACCACGACATATCTTCCGTCTCTGGACAAGGTGATGAACGCAATGCTCTTGTTGCCATTAGCCCTCGTGGATTTTATATACGACATCCTCCGAAACCACATATACTGAACAGCTTCATCACCCCGGACGACCTACTCTTCCATACTATTCACATGGGAGCGGCGGTCGTGGATCCTCGCAAATGGACCTTGATAGTCACTGGACTAGTGAAAAATCCCTTCGCACTTTCACTGGATCAGCTCAAACGCCTACCAGCGAAATCGATTACATCCTTTCACGAATGCTACGGCAGCCCAATCAAGCCTCCAGTAGAGGCACTATGGCGTATAGGGAACGTTGTCTGGACAGGTGTCCCTCTTGCTTCCCTTTTATTGCTTGCTTCACCGCTCCCCGAGGCTCGTTTTGTATGGTCAGATGGAATCGAGCATGGAACCTTCCATGATGTTGCAGCAGATCGCTACCAAAAAGACCTACCATTAGACAAAGCCCAAAGTGCAGAAGTTCTGGTAGCCTATATGATGAACGGGGAGCCGCTAACGAAAGAACGAGGTGGCCCGGTTAGGCTCGTCGTTCCTGGGTGGTTCGGCACGAACTCTACGAAATGGCTTTGCCGGTTGACGTTGGAAGACAGAAGGGCAGAAGGACCATATACTACAACTTTCTATAACGAAATTGATCCCAAAGACCCCGAAGGGGTAAAAAAACGGCCGGTTTGGGAGGTTGAAGTCAACTCAATGATTGTGCGGCCTAAGCCTGAGGCCGTGTTCGTGGGGCCAAAAGTGGCGATAGAGGGTTGGGCGTGGTGCTGTGAAGCGGTGACAGCTGTCCATATTTCTTTTGATGATGGTGAAAGCTGGATTGCAACTGAGGTCGAAAGAAGAGAAGACTTTAGCTGGCAGAAGTGGAAGATAGAATTGGATCTTCCATGCGGCTCCTACTCAGTCATGGCTCGGGCAGAGTCGGCGTCAGGTCAGATTCAACCTCTGTCTAGGAGAAGGAATCACGTTCATGTGGTCAGCTTTTCTGTCAGCGCACCTGATGCTCTAACCAGTCCATCTGGGCACTTCGGACTACCCACTTACTCCTTCTGATTTGGCCAGACTCTTTCTGTTTAACTATTCTTTCGGTAAACCAGTGGAGGGAGCCAGGGTTGCAAAGAAGACTGCCAAGAGCCGGATGCCAAGCATATATAGCAACAACGTGAAGGCTCGCTGCCGCGGTCGGCCCCGTCAGTAATAAAAAGGTTCCCAGCCTCGTATAATATACCTCTTGGAGCCTATTAGACCGAGGTATCATGGAATTTATATAGATTACGATCATGCAAAGTGCAATGGACAGGGCAAATAACTCGATGCTAAGCGCCAGCTAAAAACAACTTGCAACTCGCATGGGCATTTCCTGAACTAGCAAGTGCTGGAGATCAAAGTAATGTTCGCCGATCTAGCATCAGAGCCTCGTCTCTCAACTCTCAAGCCTTGAAATTAGCGTCAAAATATGATAATCATATAATTTATTCACTTTGATATATCCAGATGCCTTGCAATTGCGGGTCACTGAATCAAAAGGGCCTGGCGGTTCTATATGGCGGATTTCTGGTCTAGTGTGACAACCTGATGGCGGCTTGCCTTCGAAGAACCCATACTGCCTTGTGCTCAAGATGTGATATGTCATTGGGTGAATGCCAATGCTAGGCCTGCAGCAAGTAGAGAGACTAGCTTTATTCCCTTCGGTCTAGGAGATGTTGAACCTGAAGTGGAGTCTGCGCCATCCGTTGAAGCTGAAGAATCAGACGCGCCAGAAGTGATAGATGCGTTGCTATCAGTGCTGGTAGAATCAGTTCGAGAGGTTACCGAATCGGTCTCTATCGCAGTAGAGCTGGGCAGTGTGGCAGTTGTCTAGATTCACCCATATGAGTGACACAATCCAAACTTTTGATAAATGGGATGATTAGACGTACAGGGTTGGCGTATGCAACGCCCAATGCGAATAATACGTCACGACCAGACGTTAATCTATATCTTTCCGCGCTTTCCGTCTCCACTGGTCTGCCGTCCACTGTGTCGGTCAGAAAGGCAGTTTTGATGAATATAGTGGTATTTTCGAAGTTGCTCGAGCAGCTGATATTCGCATATGTTGAGATCCGTCCATCATGGCAAGTGAAATCGTATGCGCTTCATGGTTTGGTCAGCATAAACCTATCCGATTGCACACAGAGGTGTTCTTACGTCGGGCAACATGTTGTGATACCGTCCGCATTGCAAGCAGAAGTAAAGCCATTCGGGCATGCAGTGCCCAGCATATGGCCGAACGGAGTATAGCTGGGCGGGTAACAGCTGCTGATATCGGTTGGTGCTCCAAGCATCTCCACAAGGTCGGCTCCTCCTGCATGGCCTCCACTGTGGCTAGAATACCATCGGTTCCATTCCCAATACCAAATGTCTTTCGTAGGGAGGCAGCTTGTTGGCTGTGACCAATCCGACGCGAGGACAGGGGCTTGTGTTATTGTCATATCCATCGTGAGCTATCACGCAACCAGAAGATTGATGATTCGCCTTTGCAATGAGGGGGAACCGATGCTTAAATTATATTATGACTCACTTAAATTTGACTTCTATGATCCTATAAACACGTGACAGTTTCAATCCTTCTCATTTGGCGCGTGTTTACCTTCCCATTGTGGTTAATCTAGGAGTTTAGACCCCATGTCCAACGACGGAAGTTCCTCGCATCAGATAAAGAGATGTACAAACACTGCGTTCAGATTAAAAAAACTCTGATATTTACTTTACACTTATTGTATGTTGATTTCTTTCTGTTGAAGTAAGTGTGCTTATTTTGGGGAGCAGAAGCTCAACTGGCGTTGAGAAAGGTGATAGAGACAAACTTCCACCTGGCTAGCAAACGGATCGCAGATTTGCCATACTGCGAGCAAAAAAAAATGTCAGTTAACATTAAGACGATCAGAAAAAGAAAACCCCAAAAAATCTAGCGCTCTTGCTCACATCTGGAAAACAGATATTATTAACTATTATTCTCGTGCTTGAGTTGCTAGTCATTCTTTTCCAGATTACTATCTTTTTCCTCTTTGCCGTACAATCGGTATTATCTTAGAAATTACCCTCTCCAAGCATTGTCTATTTTTAACCAGCTTCGGATTTTCTCTCTCATTGCCGCGTGCTACGACTAGTGACAGCGTGGATAGAAATTTGAAATTTGGAACAAGTCTTAGAATTTAGGAACCTCTTCTTTTCTCTTGCTTCAACATTCTATAGGCTTAACGAACCGTCTAACCGACGTCTTCATTTAGGAATAAAACCAAGCATCGAAGTTCCCCCCTATGAACAACCAAAACGAAGTCAAAGCTGAGCATTGGATTTTGAGGGTTTCATGTTGCAAGACTCTTTATCTATATATCTAACTGCTACCGAGTTCAATTAGGTGTCTCGAAACTAAGAGAACTCAGCTTATCTACAATGTGCGTGAATTAGGGCTAACATCTACGTATGCGTTGGCAATCTATCTTCTGGTTCTTTGCAAGCAACGTCACGTATGCCATGAAATTCAATCGTAACTATGGAAAGCAGCTCTTTTGTACCTTGCTATTAGAGTTCCGAATGAACCAAATGAAGGGACAACCTGTTAACTCGCGAGATATTAGAAGCCTGTGGATTTTTAGAGGTTGGAAAAAGCTACTGAAGATTCAATCCAGGCAGCGGTGTGCTACTTTGACACCTCAGGCAGAGACGTAGGATTCTGCTTATTTATTTTAATTGCCCTGTTGCAGAATGAGGCTGAGCAACACAGCCCGCAAGCAACATTTAAGCCAGCGACTTCGCGCATGATTTTCCATTTTTCTTCTGTCGATTGCCCGCATAAGCGATTTACTATGAGGTGGTCATGATCTTCCTCAAGGGACTGCCGCGATGGAGATTCCACTCCGTCATCAGATGCTCGATTGGTGCGCAACTTCAAGCTCCTCACTACAGCACGAGCACTGCCTCTTCAGAAATATTGACTGAGACACTCCATGCCATCACCGACGTTAAGCTAGCGCAGCTCGAGGAACAGCAGCAGTCGTATGAGCTGGGGAAACGCGCTTTGCACGATGCTCTCAAGGACGAGCAGCACAGTAGGAAGAGGGTCCAATCATTGATTGATGGCGCCAAGAAGCTTCCTGCCATGACACCATTAGGACGCGATCCCTCCATCTCAATCGACAATTTGCGACGCTTTGTGGAGCAAGCAGAGTTTGACCCTTCGGTTAACCCCGACTTCTTGACCGAATACGAGAGTACTATCAACAAAAAGCTCGACGAGCAGTCGGCAAGATATGAATTTGCGGCGTTATACGGGCGTTTGGTCAAGGAATGGACGTCTTCTGGTGGTGGAAGTGCGCAAGACGGCGAGAATATGGTCGGTCGAGAGGAGATGCATAAGCAACGTGCCACCTGGAAAGAATATGTGTTCAATCCTAAGAACCTCGATGCCGATGCGATCAAGTCTTATCTCGACCAACTCTTCACAAAGAGCGATTCTAATGCTGTGAAGGATGCTTTCAAGACTCTCCAAAAAGATATCGAGGAGTTCCAGAAAAGCTGGGATCATCAAGTACACTTTAACGAGAACACCGTGACCAAGTGTATCAAGAGCATTTTGAAGGACGGAGCCCTCTCTGATCACAAGCGAGCTGCTCTGAATGGCTTTTTGGGGAACGACATGGTACTGAAAGAGATTGCGGACGTCTTGAATATGCGGATGGCCTCCCGCGATTCTTTCGAATGGAGTGGCATCACTACAATAGAGCAGCGCCGTCACCTCAACGGCCGGTACCGTTTCTTTGCTTCTGACGACGATGTGCTGCAGACTATCCTCATGCAGTACATTGGTTTAAAGTGGGCGACTGAGATCAAGCGAGTGCTGAGGCGATTCATTTCGCAAACCGACGTCCTTAAATCGGCCGAACGGACATTGACTTGGGATGAGCGACGTCGCCGGCGGTACCTTTTAGTGGGTGACAATGTGCACCATTCTTCTAGAAGCGTAGAGTCACAGGAGAATGGATATTGGAAGTCTGAAATCTTTCTTGACCAGCTTCCCAATGAGATGTTTGAGGAACGCTCTGGTTATAGCGATGAGGGGCAAGAGGATGACGGAGAATACGGCCGGAGCAGTGCTCTCAGCGTGACACAAGGCTTGCTCAACCGAATCCGAACCAATGTCATGATACGACGACGTCTAGATAGGGATACCACAGTAATTCGTTCCGACTTCAAGTGGTTCGGTCCTTCGCTTCCCCACCAGTCAATCTTCGTTGTTTTGGAGCATTTTGGCGTCAACAAGGAGTGGCTTGACTTCTTCAAGAAGGCGCTAGAAGCACCCTTGGTATTCAAAGACGAGGCAGGATCCGCACCCCAGATCAGAAGAAGAGGAACTCCAATCAGCACAACCCTGGAAACGTTCTTCAGCGAAACATTGCTGTTTTGCTCCGACTTTGCTGTAAATCAGAGAGCTAACGGCTCCCTACTATATCGTCTCCATGATGACATCTGGCTGTGGGGTGACAGTGAAACATGTGCCCAGAGCTGGAACGCCTTGACCGAGTTTTCTGATGTGATGGGGATCGAAATTAACGAGGAAAAGACAGGCTCTTGCACAGTTTTGGCGAAAGGAAGCAAGGAAACCACAACAAGTTCCGCTGTCTTGCCGGGAGGCGACGTATCCTGGGGCTTCCTTAAGCTTGACCCGGAGACAGGTCGTTTTTTAATCAACCAGGCTGAAATCGACAAGCATATCAGCGAGCTAAGCCTACAGCTAAGTGCGTGTGGCAGTGTTTTCGATTTTATTCAGGCCTGGAATCTTTACGGTGGCCGATTCTTCCAGGCACACTGCGGTCAGGTCGCCTGGTGCACTGGCCGGCAGCATGTTGATGAAATACTCAAGACCTTCCAGAGAATCCAATCTGCCTTGTTTCCGTCTACTTCTGGAAACCTGGGCCTCTATTTGAAGAAGATGATTGGGGACCGGTTGGGGCATGTGCCTAGAATTCCGGACGGCTTTCTCTACTACCCCTCCACGATGGGGGGTCTAGGGGTCCTCAATCCGCTCATAAGCCTGTACATCATCCGGAGCGATAGCGCAAAAAATCCAGAAGTTTTCATGGACGAATTTTTCGAAGCCGAGAGGAAGAGCTATAAACAGGCGAAACAGAGATACGAGGCTCGAGAATTCGAGAAGAAAGGACGGCCTATTGCGGATAAGCTCGGAGGTGATTGGGAAGACCTCCGGGGCAAGCCCTTTATGAGTTTCGAAGAATATATACAAGACCCTGATCTCACAAGCAACACACAAGGAGAATGCTACAGGAAATTACTCACCACACCTCAGCCTCGCGGAGTTGAAATATCAGGACAGGATAAACTCAAGGAGTTTGAGAAAATCTCTCCCGATGATAGGGATTGGACAGATTACGAGAGATGGGTCGTTGAGCTATATGCAAAGGAGATCATCGATCGCTTTGGAACTCTGGTTATCATTGAGAAGGGGTTACTGCCGACCAGTCTCGTGACGATGCTGAGGAACAATCGGTTCAAATGGAAAAATTGAAGCAGTGTCAGATAAGTTTTGGCATGTATGTTCGTGTCTCCGCTCCAACAGCTAGAAACTCTCCCCTTTTATTAAGAACTAGAATTTGACCTGGTCCTAATGAACTAAATCGACTGTAACGATGTTATCCACGTTAGACTTGAAATGGCTTGCTCAATGTTATCCGCACCAAAAACCACCTCAATGAGCAACGCAGTCAAGTTTCGCACGCATGTGCTTGGCTAGCTCTTCTAAAAAAATTGATTGGATCTTATATATGGCGATCTTGCATGCGATGATCGCTTAGACCCTGATTATCTTCCAGTTGGCGTTGATGGAAATGCTCAAGAAACAGTTTTGGGTATAAATAGGAGCAAGGGGCTGTTATAAAGCTTGGCGACTTGCCCCACTAAAGTCGATAGTCTCTTACGGCGGCGGATCAAGAAAAAATCACTCGTTGACGCACGCTCGCGATGTTTCGATGCGCTAAAAATTATCAATCTTTCTTATCAATCAAACTCGACCACCCGTTGATCGACCACCACAAACCCTGCACCACCTTGTTCATAGCTGATAATAGCCATCAGGCAATATCAATAGGGGACGGGTCTCTACCTGATACGATTGAGGCATTCTCATTCCCTCAAGAATCGGGTCCGCTCGATGACAGCCTGTCTTTGCAGTACCGCGAGCCATCTGGCCAAAAACTTCGATGAGGTCAAAGCCAAGGAGCTGGTCCCTCAGCTGAACCGTCACCTCGCAGCTATCCGATCGCTCTTGTCCAAATCAAAATCACTGTCTCGTGATGTACAATACAGCGTCAGCCCCAACAACCAACGGGCGATGAAGATTATGTCGATACAGGCCATCGACATGAACCCCGTGAACGAGGTTTGCAAAAGATTCAGAAATGACTTGGCCGGGTTTTGGATACCCTCAGATGATGCAGCGCACGGTGAGCTACGTCGGCGACTTGCCTGTATCTCAGTCTTCCTCAGGTCCAGATCTGATGACCAGGCACCAAGTCCGGCGTCGGTTGCAAGTTTTGTTCAAGGGCACAAACTCTCAGAGTTACGGTATGCGGGGAAGAAATATATCAAAATTGCTAGAAAGTTAGGGGGTATTGGCGCTGTGTTTTGCCTCCCTTTAGATGTTCCTTTTTCAACGTAGGTCCAATGACACCGCATACTCACGTCGTTCGCAGCTAATAGTGCCTACCTAGTTATGAGAGATATGTTAGCATGGAAGAAGAGGAAATATTCACACATCTAGGCCAACTAATTTCCAGGTCTGAGGACTATACTGAAATTGTACAGCTCCTTGTGTCGCAGTCTCTTACTGGTACGTCCACTCACACACTTGTCCTCCTCCTGATGGAAGGCTGCTAATAGAGCTTAGACTCGGTTGCGCCTTATGCATATCACAACCTGTTTTCCGAATATCCGGATATTCTTCCAGATTTTTCCAAGCTTTCATTAATTATTCACGCATTGGGTGACTCTGACATCCCCGACGTGATCTTCAAGAGCGTGCGATCACCCCAGCGGCGGTGGAACCCTGAGGGTGAGATCGAAAGCAACCACAGCGCAGACTCCGGCATATCTTCCGAGATACTGCAGCTTCTTTCAGACGACGATCGTCTGAGTCATGCTGCTACGGACCCCAACCTTATAAGACAAACATTAAATGATGGTACGGTTAGCTGGTCCATTAGCCCTGAAAAGTCATCATTGTTGGCAAGCGTATTGTTACCCGAAACGGTGGAATCTTTGGCGGTGCTTGGACTGAAACTCATGTGTTACGCCTGTCCGCCATGTTATGAAGGAAATACTTCATGGTATGTTTACGCGCCCCCTCCGTTTTTTTGTTTCTCGAAGGAATAATTATTAAATCCAGAATTCAAAGGTCGTCTCAAGTGAAGCAAATGGTATGGTCATTGCTTGACAAAGCACTTGAACGACCGAAAACCGCCGCATCTCTTAGATGTCAAGTTTTGGATGCCATTCTATACTTCTGCGAAAGAGATTCGCTTGCCATTCGCCGGAGGGCCATTGAGAGGGCACGGGTGCTCCTCGTCAAATCAGTGCCATATTATCTGCATGCTTCAGTTGCTCTTTTTCAAAGCCTCCTATGCCGAATGGATGTAGATCTCGTCCAGTCCGACTTTGTGATTCGCGACTTTCTATGCAAAAGCCGACCACCAGCCAGCAGGCGCGACGACGCTTTACGAGGTCGACTTCATATATCGCATATTGAGAACATGATCCAACGATTCGATGACGATGTGGCGTCCAGCATCTATGAATGGCAGGGTACACACCCCCTATCAGCATTAGAAATCGACGTAACAAGACGACTCCAGGGTTTGGCGGCGAAGTTCTTCCAATCCATCGGTGATTTCGAAAAGTCACGCGACTCTCTGGAACAATACTTATCCCTCAACCCGTCAGAGCCCATCACAGTAAGGATGCGTCGGCCGATTGTGTCAAGGCTTACCGATACACACTGCGAGATTGGCGACTACCACAGAGCGTTCAAGTTGATCCAACCCGAGATTGCGAACATCACCGACAAGGAGAAGCGGTCTCGCCCGGTGCGCCGCCTCCTTCTTGCATCTGTCGAGGCTAGCATTGGACAGGGCAGACTGGACGAAGCTGAGTCAACCCTCCTGGAGCTGGCCGAGGCTGAAGCCCCCGGACCAGACGACCTCACGGACCAACTCATGCATATGAGAGGGGTGATTGCCAGAGCGCGGGTCGCCCACGAGCGGCTGGATTTTCACGTGGCAATCCGCCGCTGGAGCTTTGCGCTGGAGGAAAACGCACGCCTTGAGCAGTTCAACCAAAGATACCAGTTCACCGCGGCGGTTCTTCACTTATCACTGGCACACGCGCATCTTTCGGCCGGGGATGAGACAAGCGGTAGACAGTCGTGGGACATCGCCGCGGGCATAGTTAAGACGCAACGGTGTGAATTCTGGCTGCCTGTCGTTGCTTCACAATGGTTGCGGAAGATGGTAAACTCAATCCACGAGATGACGGGGTGGCCATTCCGCATAATGTTGCCTGGGAGGAAACCAGATATGACATGGGTGTAATCTGAACAAAATAAAATTTGCGTGAAAAGGTGCTTCCACGTCGGTCTCCAGGCGAGAAGGCGAGAGCTCACATGGTCAACTACCTCTTCCAGACGACGCACTAAAGCAAAGAACTAATTTGATCCTAAGTTACGAGGCAACGAAATCCCGTTTAGACTTTTTATTAAGTTATCTATACGATCTAAGCGATGTGATTTGCAGTGTTGCCATGCTCATAATTGGGGCCATCTGCGTCGGGATTATTAAGAGGGGCGCTTTCTCACAGTGAGAGGCTGGACGTAGGCCATACCGAGGATGAAAGCTAACCCAAGGGGAAATAATCCAGGCTAGAGCGCCGTTGTCGGCCTCTTTGTCTGTGCTGTCGTACCCCTGGTATAGTCTATTAGCTCACCAAAAAGCCACAAGAACAGCCGTACAAGGCCTCGGCACCGATCATCTGATTATTCTCTAAGATTTCCCAAGACGATGCATGCAAATGATCGAACTATTGAGAGGCAATACGGAGGAGTCGTGCTGGCCGGGCCAATAGTGAGATAATGCGATTGCAGGGGTTGAGGGGCATCAAGATTTTCTCACCGTGAGAGATTTGAGCAGCGGCCATTTTGCCGTAGAAAAACTTCTCATCCGTTTTAGCGTCTTTCCAGCCAGTGGGTAACTAAAACAGATTTCTCCGGCATGATTGGTCTTGTGCCCCTGATGGCTTCAAGGTTTCCAGTCGACCCAGTCACTTCACGAATATGATTTGCTGCTGCCCTGTCTCGCGTATGTGAGAACAGTTCATGTACAGCTCCGATGGGCCTTGGTGACATCTTATCAATCAGATCAGGCTCTCCACTCCGTGTCATGGCCAGAGTCAGCTCCACGCTCGAATTTTTTCGACGCCCACTCTCACCGTGCAAAATCGCCCCCTGTCCTAACGGGTCCTGATTGATAATGGCCTGACGCCTCTCTCCGTTTAAGCATCCCCGAGGATTGATAAAGGGTTCTTGTTCCCTTCAAGTTGATCCTGAATTTTCTGCCTCATCAGCCGAAACCATCATCCGCACATTGTCTCCCCTACAAGGCTTTCTAGCCCTTCTTGTCTACCTGGTTCCCACGCATCCCCATCACACCTTGGTTTGAAATGGCCCACATCCAGAAGGATGACGCCGCCAGACATGACGCCGAGCAGCAGGTGGACATGAACGAGAAGACTAGCGTCCAAGTCGTGACAGAAAAGCAGCCTTCTTCTGAAGTCTCCAGCGGCCCTCCATCAGACGGCCCTGCTCCCGTCCCGCTCTCGTGGAAGCTTGCCTCTGTCCTCCTCGTGACATTGATTTGCTTCGGATCTAAGTGGAGCTCCGGCATCACGGCGGCGATGAAGACGACCATGAAGAAGGAGCTGAAGATCAACAACACTCAATTCGCGCTGCTGGAAGCCAGCGAGGATTTCATGACTACCTGCCTGATCCTTGTCAGCGGCCTTGTCACCGACCGCATCGGAGGTGCCAGTATGTATTTCATCAACTGATCAACCCAGCGGTTCACTCCGATCGACAGGCTAACATTGTGCGCCAGGGGCTATTTTGTACGGTAACGCGATTTACTCCGTCGGTTCTATCCTCGTGGCAGGCGCCGCGCAATCCCGCTCGTACAAGTTCATGATTGTGGGAAGAATCATATCTGCCCTCGGTGACATCTCCACCCAGATTGCCCAGTACAAGGTCTTCTCCTCTTGGTTTGCTCCCGGAAATGGCTTTGCATCTACTCTTGGTCTTGAGCTCGGCATTGGTAAGATTGGCGCGTTTGCCGGAAAGTCGTCATCCAACATCATTGCTAAAAAGACTGGAAACTTCGCCTGGGTCTTTTGGGTCGCCGTCTTCATGAACCTCTTCACCAACGTCATGACCGGGGTCTTCTACTGGTTTACCAAGGTTGCTGACCGCAAGTATGCCGGCGTCAACGACCCTGCTACCGGCGAGAAGCTGGCAGAGAAGAGCAAGAAACTCGAGATCAAGAAGGTCCTTCAGATGCCCTGGCCTTTTTGGTGTGTTCTTCTGTTCTCTCTGTTTGAGACTAGTGCCGCCGTTGTTTTCTCCCAGAATGCCACCGAGCTCGCTGAGCAGAGGTTCAAGACGGACTCCATCGCTGCTGGCTGGTACAGTTCTCTCTCGCAGTATGCTGGTATGTTCTTCGTAGAACTGGTCAACTTTTGTAGAGATGGCGCTGACGAGCTCTAGGATTCTTCATCGTTCCCATTTTGGGAATTTTCATCGATATCTGTGGTCACCGTGTTAGCACCAGTAAGTTACTCTGCCACCTTGCACAAGAAAACCCTGGATTTAATATATTAACATTCTGCTAGTGGTATTCTGCGGCACCGGTGTGTTCATCGCTATGCTTCTTGTTACATTCTCGACTGGTAAAGAAGGCGCAGCCGCGTCTTTCGGCGTCTTCGCCTTCGCCTTATCATTTGGCCCTACATCCATCATCGACAGTATCCGCACCAGCATGTGGGACAGCAACTACTTCGGAACTGCCTACGCACTGAAGATTATGATGAACAATTCGTAAGCCCGTCTCCTCTACTTAACCAATAGAATATCACGAAAGCTAAGGCATGATGTGAAAATAGTATGAATATCATCGTCCGTGTTATCACTGGCAGAATCCAAGATGCAGACAACAACTCATACGATAGAGTCACGATCGTGTACACTGTATTGGCGGGCTGCTCTGTGGCAGTCTCTTTGGTGCTCATTCTCCTCTCTTGGCGATCTATTGATCTTCGACAGTTGCAATGGGGCCGCAAGAAGCGCATCACTCGTGGAGATCTGATCAACGAGAGGAAGGCTAGATTCTGGGGGGAGAAAGGAGAGACGAACAAGAAGATTTCCATGTTCTGTTTCTCTCTTCTATGCCTTCTGACGCTCGGAGGGTGGATTGCCTACTTTTGGGGTGTGGCGACTGGAAATAATTATTAGAGCAAGATGCAGGATGAATGAATAGACGAGTTGGTCTAACGGTGGAAACCATTACTTCAAAAATAATCACACAACTAATCCAGGAGGGAAATTCCCTTGAGTTAATCCCAGGTTTATTCTGCCAGCGTCTCGCTCATACGATACATGTATGTAATGGATCATAGCCCAGCAGGTTTCTAATTCTTAAGGTATCTCGTATGGGCATCCTCAATCGTTCGAGCCAACTCCTTACAAGGCTCGCTGACCGGAAGTGAAAGAGATACGGTGTCGGTCAAAATCCCCATAGCCGTCCGTCCATGTACCATGAGATGAGGATCCGCACCTCTTTCAATAAGATCCAAACAAAACGCCCGGACAGATTCCCTCATGTTAGACACAAACCACTGCGGGAAATGCTTCACCTGCTCAACCCTCCTCCGCACGCTGCTGAGGATTCTATGTAGAGCCCGGCTCCCTGTATCATCTTCATCCCAAGGCAATCCCGGACCATTATGGATCCTTCTCAAGGCCAGAATATGTTCCTCGCCAAGAAACCCGTTAATGTCTGCGCCCGCAGCCTGGATACGATCAAGGATGAGGCGTTGGTATGCTCCGAAGCACTCAATGCGCTCAGACATGGAAAACATGACGCTACTGAGTATCGCGTCTTTTACGTACTGCTCCGTCAAGCCTGCCTCTATAATTGCGCGCGTACCGCTTTCCACTGGATATGTGCTTAGCAGCCACCTGAAGTCATTGGGATGCACCTGAAATTTCCATCTTTTTGTTAGCAATATATCCTGTAGGCGGGCGCAGAAGTGGCCCAACACCACGGACTCACCCGTTGAGCCTTATCTACGATGAGACTGGCGATTGTCCACCACGTGGGTGGTGCATCTTCTGGATCGTCGAACAGACGGGAATCGCCAGGCCGTTGCTTGTTCTGCTGGGACTCGTCCCCAAACTCAGTCAGGATTTCGAACGACCGAGTGGCACCAGAGCCCAGTTCGACCAGATGACGAGCTGTGTTGAACAGCTGCTCTTCTTTTAGCCCCCTCAGATCCCATTTGTATAACAAGATCTCCAATGCAGATACATGTGCAACTGGATTGACCTCAGACTTCTCCATCCACGCCCCCCTGACGTCGGTCTTTTCAGCCAGCTCTACACTCGCGTCCCTCTCGATGAAGTAGGCGATGCCGCTTACGGGGTCTAGACCCGTGTTGACCGGCCAGCGCTGTATCTCCTCAAGATAAAAGAGTAGTGGCGTCATCGCAAAGAACTTGCTATAAGCCAAGTCGACGCTCATGAACCTGTTGCCTAGGAAGGCAGGGGCTATCATATTGATATCAGCACCAAATCCCAAACAGAGGTCCATCATATCGCAACGCCCAGTTCTGGCCATGCGCGCAGCGGCGGCGAATATCGGGATATGGTCCGGGCGCCGATATACGAATGGGTAGTCGAGCCTGTGATGAAACTTGCCAAAGCACTCCAGTCCGCCTTGGACATCCGCGCCTCTTCCGATGAGAAGCTCAAGCGCAGGTACTGACCCCATCTCAATAGCTTGTGATAGCGGTGAGCGGAGTGTGGACTTGTCTGCTCCACGGGTTACGCCGTTTGGGTCTCCGCCCTTGTCGATGAGGGCTTCCAGGAGGCTGAGAGATGCCCCTCGGCGCATCAGCGCGACAAGGCTTATCCCATCCTTTGCGCTTGTCAGCAGCGGGTCTGATGCGGATTCCGCATCCATCAGTCTTCGTAGCATGGGCTCACAAGATTGTCTCCTGACAGCCTTGGCAAGATTCTTTCGCTGCGACTTGCCAAGGGAACTGGGATTTGCTCCGAGGTCCAGTAGCGTGAGGAAGGCTTCGTTGTGCTTTCTTTTGGCGGTCAATACCAAAGTAGAGAACTCCTCAACTTCGGGGCCCATTATCATGCGGCTGTGATCTGGGTCCTCGAACAGCTTGGTATCGGAATGGTCCACGGTAATGATGTCGACATCGGCCCCGTGGGACAAGGCTGCACGGATAAGACGTACATCTCCGGTCTTGCAGGCCATTAGCATAGAACGGCTGCAAGCTTCGGGGGACCTGAATAGAGCGTCCAGAGTTCGGTAGGATAGCTGGGTGCTGCATTTCCAGAGGTTCACCAGGTCTGCCACCACCAGATGATCCACGATGGCGTCGAGAAGCTCATTTGGGACCAGCTCAATTGGCGCAGCAGGGGTCAATGAGGCTGCCATGGCTGAGGCGGTGAGTCGCAAAGAATTTAGAATCAGAGCGTTGGCGTTCAGAGAATCAGAGCAGATGCTCACCGCCGTGTTGTGTTGTAGAAAAGATGCTGAGCTGCATGAAACGTGAGTTAACGTGAGGGGTCCGCACTGAGCAGATCTCTGCTTCAGGCACCAGCCAGATCAGGCAGTAAGCACAATGATGACAGTGAGTCACGCAGCGTTACGCTGAAACTAGCCACTGCGATACGTTATGGATATAAATGTTTATAAGTGATATGCCGGGCTCCTATTGAATGCCCTATGATTTTACTAAGGAATAAGAGCTAATTAAATTACATTTGCGCAAGGTAAGCATCCGCATCCAACTCCTTCAACTTTTCAGCCTTCTTCAGGACCTCCTTCTCCATACCCAGCTGGTACTCAACCATCTTATCATAATACTCAGGCATAAATGAACCCAGGATCCGGATGGCGAGGAGGGCGGCATTTGTGGAATTGTTGATTGCCACTGTGGCCGTGGGGATACCTCTCTATAGTGTTTGTTAGCTCTTGGTCCTGGTAGCATCAAAGGCGTGGAAATACGTACGGGCATTGAAACGATTGAGAGCAGGCTGTCCCAACCTTGCATATGGGTAGCCTGAACGGGAACACCGATCACGGGCAAGGAAGTATGGCTTGAAACCATGCCAGGCAAGGCGGCAGCACCACCAGCTGCGGTGATGATCACCTTGATACCACGAGAAGCGGCATCCTTTGCGACCTGTGCCATCTTGTCAGGGGTTCTGTGGGCGCTTGTGATATCCAACTCGTAGGGACAGTCGAATTTCTTGAGAATGTCAACGCCGGCCTTGAGAACCTTGAGGTCTGAGTCCGATCCCATGGTGACGAGGACAAGCGGCTTGCCCTTGGGACGGCCGACAACCTGCTGAGGTGCGGCCTGTTGGGGCCGAAGACCCTGTGCAGACGCGTCGTTGCGCTCTTTCCTCATGCTATCGGCAAGAGCAATAAGAGGTTGGGCGTAAGATTCAAGTTCCGCGATAGAGCAAGATCCAGTCAGTGTGATGTGGCCGATTTTTCTACCTGGCTTGGACTCCTTTCCGTAAAGGTGAGGGTAGACGGAGATCTTTCTCGAAAACATGGACTTGGCTTTCTGAACGAGCTCGAAGTGAGAATCGGGACGCAGACCTCCTAAAATGTTGATCATGATACTTGAGTCCACAGAAGCCTCTAGTTCCTCTGGGAAGGGCTCATCCAGGATGGCAGTAAGCTGCGCCTTGAACTGGGACATATATGGAACAGCCTCAATCGACAAATGGCCGCTGTTGTGAGGTCTGGGGGCGATTTCGTTGACTAGCACGTCGCCCTTCTTAGTCACGAACATCTCGACAGCGAAGACACCTCGTCCCCAAAGCTTGGCCACAACACTGCTGCCCACTTCCCTTGCCTTCTGGGCAACCTCTGGAGCCACACCGCGAGGGGGGTAGAACACCTTTGAGCATACGTTGTCCTCGTGGATGGTCTCCACGACGGGGAAAGGAATGACTCTCTTGGTGTTACCCTCGGCGTCCTCCGTGCGGACAACCATGACAGCAAGCTCGCACTCGAAGGGAACCCACCGCTCGGCATAGCAGGATAGCGAGCCAAAGTCCTTGACGGCAAGTTCGAAATCGGCAGGGCTAGAGATCTTCAGGTTGCCGCGTCCATCATACGAGTCTTTGCGAGATTTGAGCATCCAAGGGAAGCCGAACTTGTCGGAAGCCTCCTTGAGAGAAGACTCCATGATGGCATCAGAGCCGGTCTTGATTGAAATTTGATCCGCAACAGGAATACCTTGGCTAGAAAGGTACTCTTTCTGATCAAACTTGTCCTGAACCAATCTCAAGGTGCGCCATGAAGGGTGGATGGTGACTTTCTTTGTGGTGGCAGCCCCATCAGGGCCAGTGATCTGGACGCCCTCAGCGTCAATTTCTTCCAGAACTTTGGTGTCGATGTGCTCGATCTCCACCGTCAGCACAGACGAGCTCGCGGCTAGCTCTCTAATCTTTGCAGGGTCCTTGAAGGAGCCTGTGACGTTGAGGGGATTGCTGTTAATCTGCTTTGCGGGTGCATTGGCGGCATCGAGAAGTGCAATCTGGACGTCGAGGGGTGAGGCGGCCTCGACGAGCATTCGACCAAGCTGGCCAGCGCCCAGGAGGCCGATAACGGGAGGGGTACTGGGGTTGGCCATGGTGCGTCAAATGGCGACGGGCTTTGCGAAGGCAGAGGGAGCACAGTCAATTCGGAATGTGAGAGGAGAGCGAGAGATGATGGAGGGAACAGACTGTACAAATGGTGACGGGGTGGATATTGATACGGCTTCAATGTTCATTTGCAGGGCGGAGAGAAATTTTTTGGCTTGTACGTGAATTCTCTCAAAGTGTATTTTTCTGGTTTAGGGACTGCGGGGTCGATCTACGCCCCGGCGATAGGCTGAAGCTCACTAAAATCAAACCTTAGTCAGCTGGCCCCTCTTACTCCCGTCGCATCTAATACCAGAGTATTTGTTTTAGCCCTTGTAATTCAGAATATATTTATTATTACAGCAACTCGCGGGCTTCTAACACATAATAAATTCCCCCAATGCTTTACGCCTATATCGTTTAGCTGAATGGATTTGCACTGAACACAATGCTTAGTCTAATTGGTGATGATCGGCAGGTGGTTACTGTGCTATTGGTACCGATGCTCGGTGGTGGAGTCCACTGTGCCTCATTGGAAATCCCCTACGCAGATATGTAAATTGCCAGAGGCTTCAACTTTCTTATAAATTTCACCGCATTTATTACAGCTCTTTATCTACGACTATCTCCAGAATTAAGGCTATATTATCTATCGTAGTAAGCTTTTAATGATAGTAGCTTTTACTAAAGATTCTGGACAAGGTGTTGGTTGCGTTTGTGCTAAACACTGACGATCTTCCAGCCATACGCAAATGAGCCATGCTGAGCTACCCTACACTAAGCCGGGTCTCCTACGCTGAGTTGAGCTGCCAACTCCTCCTAGTAATTTCTGCGCTGGCTCGTGGATTATTGTGAATCTCTAGGGAGATATCATTGAGGAAACATTGAGTGATGGGTCAGAAGGAACCGATTGGGCGCGAATCCTGGAAAGTAGATGATACATCACAGTACGTCAGTTACTTTGAACGGATAAGTATGAGATTCAAATTGTGCAACTCGTGCACTCTCAACATCATGATGGAATAAATCAAAATCAGCGCCCCGCAATTTGGATATCAAGTATATTCATTGTCGCCTGACAGCAGAGCTGGCAGGGGAATTAGATGTGATCAAGGCTGAAAGCGAGCAAGGGTTGCGCTTGGCGCCAGGGCACGTTGGCATCAATTTGCCCAATTTTCGTGATCAAAGAGCTAGTTGCGAAGGCTTATTTTCTGGGTTGGCATTCGTGATCTGTCCCGTTATCCAATTGTCTGCTACCCTAACCACGTACTGCATGCGTTTCATTGAATGCTTCTGATGAGGATATCGACGGGTTAGCAGGTATTGTTGGGGCATGGCGACCCGAGCTAGGAGCATATTTGTCCCCGCTGGGCGGAGTAGGATCTTGAGCTGTAAGGGGCTGAGTTTGGGTTCGGGCTCCGGTCTCGCACGTTACTCTCCATATTTTTCGCGTCATTACGACAAAAGACATGATCTAGAAAAAGGAAGGAATAGAGATAAGCGGCTGAGCATGACTGTCCAAGATTTCGTTGCCGAATGATGGGCGTGTGGACATGGTTTAGTTTGTGTGTCTGATGGGGCAGTTTTCCGCGGTTAACCGTGAGATTCAGCTAACTCAACTTGGTAAGAGCAGCTTGTATGTTCCGATCAAGATTAAAGTCAATTCACACAAGAAGCAATGAAATATCACGATGATAGCCAGGATGTAGTTCGATAACATCTGGATGTATTATCGTTGCTTGCGTATCTACTGAGCGATACTTGGTCTTTGGCGTGCACATTACAGCTTGGGCGAAGCCTCTGGTGAAATCACGAAGTAGAATCCACTCGGAGCGTTGTCCTAATATGTCAAAAAGAGGATCTCCAGGCATCATGCCCACTTACAATGGGTCTAGTCCTACCGCTTACTTTCGGGTTAATTGTACATTCACCCCGTTTCCTCAAAGACAACAACGTGAAATGATGGGGTTTGACTCCGCTATCGATCTGGATCTAATAATAAAATTAATAAATGTCCCCGAGATATTGTCGTTGAGGTCTTTTCATTTTCGTCGTTTGGTTGTTATAATTCCCTTTCCTGCGTTGCGAACCAATCTCGTTTGACGATTGTGTCTTGTCCGGGGACAGACAACTATAATTGTTCTTTTCCAGTCACTAAAACTCGAAAATTAACTATTAAATCATGTCAAAGGCCGTGGGGATTCTATTTAGCCGTGCTCCGATACCGCCCTCTTCCCTGCCTCGGCTCTTTTACCACTGCCAGCATATTCGATCCCGCCAACGACCTCTCATATCCCACATTCGACGACGATACTGCACTGCCAACAACGATGTGAAGCCAAAGAAGACCGAGGATCCGATTCCGGTCCCAAATACGATCCCCAACCTCCCTCTATGGCAGCGGCTCGGCCCTTTGACTGCCGCAGCGTCTGCCTATGGCCGTTCACAACGGCGGCGGCCACACACAACCCAGCTCTGGAGCTGTATTGTTATTTACCTCATATCCGATCTTTCAGCTCAAGGTCTAGACGGTGGCGAATATGATCCGGCTCGCACAATCAGAAGCTTGCTAATCGGAGGTGCTATTGCTATCCCCAGTTACCGATGGTAAGTTACAACACACCCGACCGCCCAACAATGTGATCAAGGCTGATCGTCTCCGATAGGTATCTCTTTCTCTCCCGCCACTTCAATTACTCTTCCCACATTCTCTCTCTCGCCACGAAAATCACCATTAGCCAAATCGTCTACACCCCTCTTTTCAATACTTTCTTTTTCGGCACGCAAGCTCTCCTCTCCGGGTGCACCCCAGCCGAAATAATTGAGCGTGTCAAATATGCTCTGCCTACCAGCTTCATAAACTCTTGCAAGGTGTGGCCCATATTTACGGCATTCAGCTTTACTTTCATCCCAATGGAATATCGAAGTGTGTTCGCAGGCGTTATAAACATTGGCTGGCAGACTTATCTCGCAATGCTCAACCGAATGGCCGAGGTAGAGACGGTGGATGAGGTAAACCACCTTGGGTCGACACAGGTTATTGTGATGGCGGATACCGAATGAGAGAGATTCCAATTATTTCTTACTCATTCTTGGAAAAGAACACCAAGGGCTGGGATTATTTTGAGGAGGTTGCCTTGGCTTGAGGCATTTCGCACACGGCGTTTTAGGGCATGGATAAAGGTAGAAAGAAGCATGTAAAGGCCCTGATCTTGAAGCGAGGAATGCATTGATTGATAATTTTGATTATTCTGCTTATTTTTTTTTATTACTGCTGCTCATTTGTTGATCCCATTACTCACGATCAAGCATCGATGTCGTTAGAAAGCAAGATCCACCCCCTTCGATATCTCAACTCATCTAAGATAGACACTGGGGATAAAAGCTGCGTGGATAGATATGGCAGGTAAGCTGAGAAAGGCGGAAATGAATACAAGCCTTTAGCCTCAAACGTGAGTTGAAGCTTACCAATGCTGTTCCGACGCTTACACGCTGCCCTGTCTTATCTCCGGAAAGGCGGCCATTTTCATTCAGTGGACACCGCCCATTCTTCACCCGGAAAACCTCGGTCGCTTTTCCTTAGGAATTCTGCACCATCACACGTGAGCTTCTGAGCCCCCGACCGTACAATCTTTTGACACGCTGCTGCCTGATATTGAATTCATTGCAAATTGACTGAATTGACAGCAATTTTCACCAAAGATGGTTGGCGTGCCAAATAGCAAAGGTTGCGCATTGTGTCTCAAAAGAAGCATCAAGGTCAGAACCGGGCGTTGTCAGATCGTTCATATGCCCAGCAGAGCTAATGTTTTCCTCCTCTATAGTGTGACGAGGGGCTTCCAAGCTGCTGGCAATGCAAAAGAGGCGGACGCAAATGTCCAGGATATGCTCGAGTGATGAAGTTTGTTGACGAAGGGCCCAAGATGCGTCGACTCACCAAGAAATCGCGGTCTGCGAGGCCCCCGGCGGATGTCCTTATCAACGAAAGCCCCGAAAGACACCAAGAAGCGGGCGGCAGTGTTAATTCCTTCGCTATCGAGCACCGGGAAAGCACTGCGTTGGTTCAGCCGCCGTCAGTGGCATTGGAACGAGAACAGCTCCTGGCCTGTTTCGTTTCCGACATGTTCCCCCTTGGGACTTCTGGCGTACAAAAATCTTTCTTCGGGAGCTGGCTTTGGCACATACCGCCTCGCCTCGGGTGCAGTCCAGTCTTCGATTATGCCGCGATCTCCCTTGCCCTAGCCCACTTCGCGCGGGCCTCGGGAGACCAATTGTCATTCCAGAGGGCTGAGATGTCATATAATATGTCTTTGAAGGCTCTATCTGCAGTGATATCCGATGAAAGACGACAGTTTGACAGTGATGTACTAGGAGCTACTATGCTTTTGGGCAGTTATGAGGTCAGCGAATCTCTCTTACGAAATCACAAACCGCATTTCCTTCAGAGTTACTAACAGCTTCGGTTGCGATGATATAGAAGTTCTTTGGTAGGGGCCATAGCTGGATTAAACATGCAGGTGGAACTGCAAGATTGTTGCAGGCTCGGGGCGCCTCGCGTTGTTACGAGTCTCCGTTTGACTACTCCCTGTTTCTTGCGTGCCGTGGATCGATTGTGAGTATTCTAATCTTGCCCAATGTGCTGAGAATCTACCGCATTTACTAATCCTTTCGCACCTCACAGATCTCTGAAGCGCTCATTCTGAAAAAGCCCTGTTTTTTAGAAGCGGAAGATTGGCGAAAGATTCCTTCTGGGCTAATCGAATTTCCATTATTGCCTAAATCTCCTAAACTCCATCATGAATTCTTCACACATCTTGCCGTTGTCCCAGGCATCATGAGCCGGGTGAACGACGTGGAAATGAGAGCCAATTCCAGTTATACCTCAGAGATCAATCGCTTATTGGTCCTCGCCCAAGCGCAGGCCTTACGAAAAGATTTTAGAGACTGGTACGAGGAGTATGTTGGAAGCGAGGATGGCTTGAGGAAGCCCGTTCTCTCAAAGGTTCCCCTTACAGAGTCAGGCGACCTGTTTGACTCCATCTACATGTACTACGATGTGCCTTCGGCGACTATGATTACGACATATTACGCGTACCTGATACTTGTCAACAGAGAGGTCAACCGCCTCGTACCTAACACGATTCATCCTGACGAAAACTTGAAGTTGGCACAAAAGATTTGCCAGTCCATCAAGTATTGCTCAGAGGCGGGACAATGCGGTATCACGACGATGAGGATCGTGTTACCTATCGTTATTCTAGAACTATCTGGGATGTATCTGCAATGGGCAGAAACCTGGCTACAGAGGATTTCGACATCGACTGACCCTTCCTGCCACAATAAAGAACGCCAGCATCAATATCCCGTTACCGCCTTTGGCTGATAAGCCTCCTCGAGCTTTGCGACATCCTCATCAGTTAAGTCGACCTTTGATGCTAGAACTGCTTCATCAATACGCCCTTTGCTGTTCAGACCAACAATGGGATTGACTCCTTTCTTCATGCACCAAGCCGTGGCAATCACTGCCATTGGAAGGTTCTTCTGCTTAGCCAGTTCTTCAACCGCGCCGACGATAGCTTTATCATTGATATTGTCTCGATCATAAAGTCGTGTTAATGTCTTGTCGTGCAGGCTTCGCACAGACGTGTTCGAATCAACATCGTTCCAAGGACGTGCGAGTACTCCCCTAGCATTGGGCGACCACTGGTCATAGATGTCAGCAATAATGAATGGCTAGAGATCTCCTGAATAAGTCATACAGGAACCAACCCGACTCCGGTATCTTTGCAATATGGGATCATTTCTCGCTCTTCTTCTCGATAGAGAAGGTTATAGTAGTTCTGCATGGAAACAAACTGATGCCAACCGTGAGCTTTGGCGACGTTCTGGAGCGATTGGAATTCCCAAGCGGGCATCTTTGCCTCATAGTGTCAGTAATATTGCTTTTAGAGCCCGACTTGGAAATAGACTTAGGACATACAGAACTGGCTCCGATATATCGAACCCATCCCATTTCGATTACATCATTTAGTGCCCTCATTATTTCCTCTCGAGGCACGTCTCGATCTATACGTTGGATCTGCAACACATCGATGTACGTGCCAAGTCGACGCATGCTAGCTTGGACAGCATCAAATATGTGCTTTCGGGACAATCCAGAACGATTGACTAGTCGGCCATCGTTGACGGTTGCAGTGAATACGTTGAGTTGGGGCTGGTCGGGCTCGCTTGTGGCAAATCGGCATTTGGTCATGATTACTACGCCTTCTCTTGGGAACTTGTATTTCAACAAGGCCTTGCCTATGATCATTTCGGATACCCCGTTCGAATACAAATCGGACTTTGCATGTCAGCTTCCAATGACCACCATTGTGATAATGAGTCGTGCCTTACCGTATCCCAGGTGTTGATACCAACGTTATAGGCATGCTCGAGGAGTGGAAGAGCTTCGGCCTCTTCCAAAACCCATTCCTGCCATTCCTTGCTTCCGTAGGACATGGCACCCAAAATGACTTTGGAGACCTTCAAGCCTGAGTTGCCGAGTCTATTGTAAGCCATGCTTGTTGGAGGCGGCCCAGTGATGAGATCACCAACGTATCCATGTTGAGATGAGGCCATATTGCAGAGCAAGGATCAAAAGCCTGAGTGTTTCGGGCAAGAGCTCAAAGTTTTCGGGGGATGTCTATTGGCGATTGTTTTTACATTCTGAGGGTTTGCCCAAGTTGGGGGTTCGGCTCTCGTGGTATTTATGGGAAATTCAAGACAACAATTTGAGACGGACACTTTGACAACATTCGGCCGGCTGAATAACTCCGTTAATAGTAAATGCCAGTATAGCAGGCACGTCTTACACGGCGATAACACTCTACAGATCCAGTTGGGAGTATTAGACGAAGCTACCTTAGCGAAGTTGTACAGTGTGCTCGCTACTAAGCCCAATCTGGGCTCAAGCTACGAACCTGAAATGGACCGCTGGAAACCGACACTAGGCTTGATGTGGTTCTAAGCCACGAAGTACCATCTAGAAGGGGGCCCTCATCCTTGACAAGCTATCACTACCCAGATCTAAGCACTACCATGACGTGAGTATTCATCGCTGGCCAGATGCGTCAATCTCAACGGTTTAGTCCCAGCCCCCGCCGAAATCCCGTGGGTTCCGACTACGCTGCTTACAGGGCCTGCTTTAGCATTCGCTCTGAGGATGGGACTCCGAGGCAGGGTGATTCGAAATGCCTTGGCCCAATGCCTCGCGATAAGGAATGTTCGGGATAATGAGCGTTCGACTAACATGGTAGATGGCCTGTAGTGTAGTTCGGTTGCAAGCCATGAGGCTGATTATCATCATATGGCACTATTATTGGAGTATCTCGGCCATGGGATTTGATTACCCATTATGGTGGCTATGTAAGCTGTTGGCCCTGCAAATGGTGGGGGCCATACACTAAGGCACCTATCTTCAGGTGTTGCTCATTGAAAAGATGGCATCAATATCCATGATTGGATTCATCCGCCGCTGCAGGTTCTAACTAACTGATTCACTGCATCCACTGGCACGTTGGTAATCCTAGGGAGCAGCGTCATATCTCCTTTCTTGAAATAGTCACTAGACATTTAAGAGAGACTAAAGAGGGATCTGAGAATCAATGCAAGGGGACAAAGGCCCGGAATTGGAGGCGCCTTGAAAGGCGCCTGGTGCACTGCCCGGCCAGGCAGTTTGACCACCTAACGCAACCAACATTTCAATCATCAGCGCATGTGACGAACTACTACATTTGTGACTCGTCTCTTACGCGAGCAAGTTATTCAGCTGAGAAGGACAGCCAAACCAACACGCCCAATATCAAGTCCAGCATTCAACCTCGTTTCCTTCTGGGGCCTCACCCACCAGCGGGCTGGAGAGCCCTCCAAGCTCTCCATGGCTGTCTGACTATTTTACCAGTCTGTTAATTTATATTTGATATCAGTAAATTAAGAGCGATTGTAGGGTAATCAGTCTCTTAAATGAAATTAAATACATCCATGTCTAGACTTTCATACTAGATTGATTGAGGTCCCAATTATGGTGGTACATAATCAGGTATACAACGCATTTTTTGCGCGAAAGCTCCATCTTTCACATTCTACAGCATGTCCTAAAAGTAAGGACTCATGGATAATTGGGAGGACTTATCGTTGAATCTATACCAAGTTACACAACTTGACGCGCATTCAGGTGTTCGGGAAGATGGTATAATGAGGCCCTTAGGCTTCTCTATCGTTGCTCTTCTTTTTTGTAAACTACTCTTCTCTGGGGTTGCCCCTCTATAGTGCTCTTTGAAATCTGTCTTTGATCAGAGACGCGCTTGCATGTGGCTCCTTACTGCGACATGAATGTGTCAAGAATTTCACTGATTTTGTCATATAGTATACCTCGTTTACTTACGACAGAATCTAAGTCCTCGTTCGATAGGTCTTCGCCATCTACCACCTGCAAATTATCAGAAATGATGTGTAGATACCCAAAACTGATCCCATGCTCCTTGGCTGCTTTTGCAACATAGCCGGCTTCGCAGTCTACCCAGCTCGCTTTTGGCGACCACTCCTCGAACCAGTCTCGGGTTTCACAGAGAGGGGTTTTCACAGTGACAATGACCCCTTGAGTTACTTCCTTAGCATGCTGGACTGCTTTTTGTAGAGGGCTTGCCCATCTGATGATTTCACCTTCTAGGAACGCTTCTTCGCCGGTTGCGATCCATTGATTTGCCTCATATTCCAACGGTAAGGAGCCCGCCTTGGCAATGTAGATGGCACATTTGATATCCGATAATTCTTTCAAAACGTGAAGTAAGTGATACCCCGTGTCGCCCCATATTCGCTCCAGGCACCCGAGAAGGATGACTGTTTCATTCCTCGCGTTAACACACTTGCTCCATCGAAAAATGTCGTGGTGGGATGCGCCGGCTCCCTCCCATTGGCCTCTATGGATTTTCTGCAAGTGCTGAACATCACCAAAGATCACTGTATCGACCTTTCCAATCTGTCGAAGATTGGACTCGAAAAGGACGCGCCTGATATGGCTCTGCTCTTGCAAAGTTATCCGCACAATCTCAGGATTCTGGCCAGAAATGGAGCGGTAGGTCGCAGCTAGACTTGCGTAATGGAAGACTAGGTTTTCGCTTGGGAAGCAAGCTAAATGGAAATCTCGTGGTGCGGAAAAAGATCCTTCAGGGCGCCGGGAATCAAGCTGCTCGATTGCAGGGTTGCTTTGGGGTGGATCTCGGCATCGCGATACGGGTGTCACTGTGATCGTCTCGAGCGTCTCCTTCAAGATATCCGGTGGGAGTTTTTGTTTGACATAGCGTTTCAAAGAATTACCCATGACGTGATCCTTGGGGTTTGCTTGCATCGGGGGAGGCATCTTGGCTGGCATGATGGAACTAGGTTGATGATCCAAACTGTGCACCTGCATATGTCATGAGCCACACTTGTGACTCTTTATATACAAAACCCCGGAAAAAGCCTCGCTTACATAATTTTTACCTGTGTAAGGGCTTCTGTAAGGGAGGCCGACATTTGACAAATGGGGTTAGGCCGAGGCATCTGCACTCGTACCCAAATATGCATGTTTCAGTAATCTTATTGGCAGCAACATTGCAATAAGGCTGAGAGCCTTTGTTCTCTGCCTTAAGAAGGCCAACCCCGCCCGGGAGGGGTAAGTGGAAAATTACTATCCTTTGTTGACATCATTCCGGGTACAAGGACATCCAAGCGCAGAAATCAAAGCACAAAATGAGTCATGATTCACCCCCTACTGAAACAATAGAGGATGGCTCCAACATAGCTCTCGCAAGTTTGGAACCGACGCCTGCCAAGACAGAGTCGACCGGGTCGGCGTCACAAGAAGAACGTTTCATACGATACAAGCTGTTCCAGTGAGTTGCTCGCCTTTCTGGTGATTGTGAGCTAACTCGAGGATGATGTGAGCAGGACTGACAAAGACGAGAGCATAAATCCCGAAAAGAAACAGATGATAACCCTCGCACAACAGGACTTTGTCAACCAGCCACAGGTAACACCACTCCCTGTAACTGTATTACTCTAAAAGCATAGGGCATGAGCTAATGTGCCCACCGGACGACTCTATAATAGGAAAACAAACTTCATTTATAGTATGCGCCCTGTACAAAAACGAATTCAAAGGAATGCCATCCCGCCCTAACACTCAATAATAACAGCTTTCTCCCTAATATCAAGAAGGATGAGGATCATGACGGTCCAGGTCTTGTGGAGGACCAGAGAATTTGCGAAAGGCTTACCAACGCCCTTCATTTAGAACCGTTCTTCTTAACGGAGGAGGCATGGGACTCGAATGGCTTTTTTGTTCATAAGAGAATCATTGCCGGGAGCGACAACGCCGTGCAAGGCCATAGTGAGTGTCCTCTATCCCCGGGCTCAATAAGCTGATACTAATCCCTACGAAAGGCTATGCAGCACGCTTTCTGATCAAGTTCCTCGAGCCGGAAAAAGACGAAAATGAAACCGTAGAGGAACAAAAGGCCCCTTACAAATGGCTATTCTTATCATTCAGCGTACTATGGCTCAAAAAGGCAGGCAAAGTCACCTGTGTCGTTGCTTGTTATGATGATTGCGGAAGGCTCCGAGACAAGATCGAGGAAGCGCTAGCAAAATATCCTCTCCGACACCTCCAGTCGAATCCTTTTGCTATATATGATGCCTTCCTACGATTGTATATTTGGCAATACGATGAGGGTATCTGGAAGTTCCGAAAACCTGTGAGAAAAATCGAGAAGGTAGATATTCTTTGACCCAAAACCGTTCGGCCTTGACTTAGTTATGAAAGATCGTTTCAGTGCTAAATATTGGATCAGCAAAGAGAACAGTTTATGAACACAGTAGTGTCACTCAAGTCAACAAAGGGCGCAAACACAACAATTGTCCAAGAGTACCACAAGATGCACGAACTTTCCCGACATGCTATTCATATGAGCGAAACCGTCCAGGTAGCAACCCTGTCTGTGAAGCTAGCTTTGGAGATTATTGAAGCCCAACTCCAATTACTTTCGCTAGCTAATGACAACGAGAAAAATGATGCTAGAAACGTGATTGATGGTATTCGATTTTCTGCTTCATTTATCGCAGCATTAAAGCTCAGATCAGATGCATTTGTTGACAGGATCGAGAATGAAATTAAGATGGTGATTATTTCAAAGCATTTGTAGAGTATTGGTGATTTTTGCTTACCATTTGATAGGCATATAATATTGTCAGTGTGTATCAACTGAGCGAGACTAGGGACGAATCAAAAGAACTTACACAGTTTGTGACTTCTTTATCTCTCTTCTTCCTCCCTTTGACATTCGTTGTGGTAAGTAGAAAAAACTTAGGTGATGAGATTCCAAACAGTTGAGATGTCAATGACTAACCGGCCCCGGGGCTCTAGGGCTTTTGGGGCATGAATTTTGTCGGATTGAATGAAGAGCGAAAGCTCTACGTGTCTAAAGACACCTGGTTGTTTGCATTGACCGGATTTTTTGCGGTCCTTCTCGCTGCGCTTTTCTATCAATGGACAAAATCTTTTAGGGGAATGAAAAGAACGATGAAATTCATCAAGGGCGTGAATTTTAATGTCACATTCTCACAACGTCAGCAAGAGAAGGTTTTGCGTGGTATTGGCAGCCACGGGCCTACAGTGCCAGATGTTGTATGAATGATTCGACATTTGTTGATGGCTGGTTGCAGGCCGGGCTCCACGCTTTGGATGAACAATTATGTTATATTGGAGATAGGATTGTGGGAGATGGTGGCTCTAATGTTAACTTGCTTCTTCTAAATGATATGCCTTTTCAAACCGATTCCCACCTGCTGATGTCTACGTGACCCCCATGTCCGGAAGTTTGAAGTCATCAATTGTATTGACATTCAAGAAAAGAGGAAGTAAAGGGGGTTTAGCTGAATAAGATAGCCTTAATAGTAATACTTCTTGGCCTCTACAATTCCATACTACAAAGTAAAAGGTAATATAATGGGAGCGTTGGAGTCCACATCCTCTCCAGACTGTACACTGCTAACCTTCACAGCCTTATGGCAGTTGTAAGAACCATGTTGAAGTTTGCACTTGGTTGCTTTTTACTGTATGGGGTTGAACCCTCTCTTTTTAAACTTGCATTAGTATTATATTATTATCGCAGTAACTAATTGCTTTTGGACTGATACTTTATATAAAAGAAATAACCTTTCTATAAGCAGCAGACCAAGATTAACCTTTCATAGTATATTAACTAAGTGATATGACTCTCCTTATTTCTATGAGGATTGCCTTTTTAGAGTGCTAATATAACGGCATTAGTTCAAGCACTTGGTCAAATTCCGTGGGTTCCGATCTGGGTTCCGATCTGGGTTCCGACCATGCTGCATTGTGGAGCCGACTGCCAGATTCTAAGCCGCGGGGGAGCCGATTATTATTTCGAGAACAATACCAACAATGTAAATAGCTTCCTCAGATATGCGAAGCACACATGCTTGTAGCTTATCTGTTTATTTGAACTGCATCCCGTGTGGGGGCATTATAATGCTCGTTAATTCAGTAAAGCGCCCCCTTCAACCATACTGATAGTCCCCGTCACAAATTTATTCTTCATAAGCGCCAAATAAGTCTCAGCGACGTCTTCGGGCTTCCCGATAGTTCCCAACAACGATGCAGTCTTCGCAGCCTTTTCCAAAGTCTCCTGGCCCCATTTTCCCCCAGCTTCGTCAAATAATTCTGTCTGAATCGCTCCTAGCGAGACAAGATTCACCCGGATAGGCTTCATACTAACAGCTAGGCCACGTGTCAAGGAATCTTTTGCTCCCCCTATGCCAGCCCAAAGACTCCAGCCATGCGGTGGCTTCTGCGTGCCTGCTCCGCCAGTCATTGTGAAGGAGGAAGTGTCTGCAGGTCTGAGATGCTTCAATGCTAATTTAGCCAGTAGTACATCCCCAATGAAGAGATGTCTACTGGCGCTGACCATATTCTCTAATGTGGCCTCACCTAATGTCATGGTGTTCGGATGGCTTCCAGCAGTGCTGACAACGTGATCAATAAGGTTCGATCCTTTGTCGGTTATAACCTCGAAGAGCTTGGCCAGTTCTGCCTCTACTTCTCCGCCAGCCAGGTCACACACGTATCCTTGGACTCTTTGAATCGCATCCTCGTACGACCGCTTGAGTCTTTCCACAGCCATGTTGACCTTGTCTTGTGACCGACTCACAACCACTACTCTCGCACCCAGCTCGACACATGCCTCAGCGATCGCAAAACCAACGCCAGAGGTTCCGCCCACAATGAGAATGGACTTCCCAGAAAAGCTTTGTCGGCCCATGTTGAATTTTTAGACTTTAGTTGATTGTAAGATGGAGTGTTGGATGGAGGACGTTGTTCAGGATGGACAGTACACAGACGACGATAAAATTTTCGCGAGCAGCGGAGGTGATGGCATTTATGCACCCTGAAACGGGTTACGGTCGAAACGTGTTATAGCATAAAGCTATCGGAACCACGGACACAATCACGGGAAGGAATATCAACCCGAGTCCGAGAGCTGATAAATCCTACCAAAGGCTTTTGTAGCGCACAGGTAACCAACCTACCCGGGCTGGACAAATACCCCACTGCCTCCGCGGACATGGCCCGTGGAAGATTGAAGTTCCAAGTGCTCCAAGAAAGCGTGCACGATAGAAACCATGTCGAAATTTGGACTGTATTGCTCTTTACTGTGTCAGATTAGCCCCCCCCCCCCCCNAATCTTTTTTTTAAAACCTATATTATATTATATAATAGCGGTAGAGGTTTATTACTACTGGGCAGTATTAGTACTTTATATAGAAGAAGAAATCTTTGGAAAAGAAGTAGACAAAGGCTAATCTTTTGTATTATATTAGTTAGGTAATAATATAGCTCTTCTAATTTCTATAAGGGTTACCTTTTCAAGAGTGCTGATACAATATCATATACGAATACCAAGTGTTAATATCATAATGTAACGCTACGCAGAATAAAATAGGTTCCGGGCAAATATGATTCTAACAAAGCATCAAACTTCCACATACATGTCGCTATAATCTCACATTATCACTTTACTCGTTTCCTTCTGATGAATTCCAAGATGAAGGCAGAAGGCTACCCCAATCTTGTGGTAGTCGATAAGTTACCACAACTAATAAGCACCAACTTTAACCTGTGTCAAATACATAGTCTTGCCGCTCTCAAAAACATATTGACTGCTCCGTAGGCTCCGCTCATCTTCTGATAAGGCCGATCCACTACCCAAGTCGAGAGATCCCCGCAAATCCTCAGAGCCTGATAAACTTCTACGTTGCTGGGTTTCAAAAAGGGTGTCCATTGATACCCTCCAAGGACAACCCCCATCCCGATCGTGTATAGTCTTGTCAGCTTCACCTTAACACTCGAGTCCGGAAGAGAAAGAGAATAGAGTTTAATAACAATGAAGCTGCTAGTGCCCGACAACTCAACACAATGAATACGAAAGCTTAAAAATATAGCCTTTCCTAGTCCGCCCAAGATGTAGTCATACGGCAGGAAAATTCTATGAACCTTCGTACGGATGACTCGCTTGCCGTCAGGACAGCGGCTCAGTTTTGTTCCCATATCCATTTCGAATGATATCGTCCCAACAAAGATCCTAATCAAAATCGAAGGGCTTAGAGGTGCTACATCATAGGGTGGGAAATAGAGGAATCTTAACAAGTGACTAAGGGGAAATCAGACCGAGTGTGGACCAAAGAGTCGGCAGGCTTGGCAAATCTCGAACTATGAAAAATAGAGAATATGAATAAATAGGGTTTTCCTTAGTCGAGATGCGATAAATGTCAATCGCAAGATGCTCACCATAGCTCTTCCTACTCCAAAACCAAATCAGGTCGGAAACGCCGACTCCTGAACTCTACCCCAAATGCTCCACTCTCTGGGTTCCTGTTGCCAGGTATTGTTACAAGTGCAGATTAGTGACTCCGACTCTCCATACCCCAACCACTAACTTCACAAAATGAAGATCGAGATAGCATATCTGAAACTAGAGTATGACTCGTCAGATGGAAATGTAGGTGAACCACAAGATCATTATATCAAGATATAGTACCCGCTTATTCCTTACCAGTACTGCTTTGTTATTCCATCATCTATTATGGCGTAATCGATATAGTGTTAGATTATATCTAGTATCAGAGTGTAAGATTAATAAACTTTTATTTCCTACACTCTGAGGGCCGAAGTGGGAGAATCTGTTCCATGCATGATACCATGGATATAGCACTCTCCCAGATGGACGTAATAGCCTGAACGATCGACGCTCTCCCTGACGAGGAACTCCCATGTAGAATAACAACCTTATCACCTTTCATCGCTTTCCCTGGTAGGATACCTACATATCCCTTGTTTGTTGAGGAAGCTTTTGCGTCTGCAAATCTTTCTGCAAATTCTAGCGCGGTTTGGAGATAGGGCCATAACGACTGCCTGAGTTCCTGTGGGTGAAAGAGGAAGTTTTGATCTTCGCCATTGCACGGGCTTGCATGATCTCCATCTTCCAGTCCTTTCCCTGCTCTGCGAGCTGCAGGTATTCTGTAAAAGCTTGGTACGCCACACGGAAGTTGACTCTATCACCGTCTGGAGATATGGGTTCGATAGAGTCGCCAATGGGGATCTTCCATACGAGATCTTCAATTATTTCCCCAGTGGGATAGGTCTTCCGTGATTGAACGAATCTCGACAACTCCTGCAAGTACTCGATGCGGTCACAGGATTGGAACAATTCCTTGCCTACCTCTTTGACTGTGTCGAAGATGTAAGCTTTGGCGATTAAGACTCTATCGTTACTGCGTGGCAATAATCTTATTTGGCTTCCAATGTGAGTGCAGGCTGAGAGCCTCTGCGGCTTACCTGGCCAGGTGGTTATAGTTCGCCGGGGCGTATTTGTGATCCAGTCCGGGATCCATGATAGGAAGCGAGGTGAGGAGGAACCAGCCTGATACAACATCTCCAAGGCGCATCCCCTCTCCACAAATACCGTGGCGTAACTTTCGACGAGGGACAGGTTAAGCAGGTCTGTAGCAATCGCTACTTGTATTAGAAGATAGGTTCAATATATCACAGCAGCAGAGTCCTTGTCTTCTCGACGAAGCTTAGTTTCCCAGGTTTTGCCCTAGTTATCATCAATCGCGATATGAACATGCTGCAATCTCCTCAGGAAGACAAAGTGTTTATGCCTCATGGACTTTAATTCGTGGATCATTTCGTCTTGCTTGAGTTCTTCTTGGATCTGTAGTAAAATCGAGGTGAAGCTAGACCGCCTTTTAGCAGTATTCACTACCCACTCGGGGTTATTGTGACCAACGTATGCAGTCAAACAAGATATCCAAAACTATATACATGACTGCTTAGCATTAGAAATAGACGCAATGAGCTCGCACATTCTTCTACTTCCTCGCGTTGGTGTTGCTCTTCTTTGCGTCGACTTCTATCCTCAAGATCGTGTTCTTAAGCGGCCTTAGACTATGCCTGTAAATTCTCAATTTCTTCCATGGGGGTTATGTCAAGAATTGATTGTCTGTGCGACGAGCAGAATAACCGAAAACCTGCTAGGAGAGTCACGTCATAACGCAGACCCATTAGCGGTTATTGATCAACTTTCATCCCACCGAGCACCAAGCAACGACTCTTTTAGCCACTGTTTCTACCCTCACCTAAGTGCCGGAATGCTATTGTAAGGGAGAAGTAATTTGCATTGGAAGCGGGAGTGAAATATCACAAAAGATGTACAGTACATAAAATAGGGATGGTAGCGATTACGCGCCTAGACCTGCGTATGATTAACGACGTTTTCGTCGGCACGGCAGCGTTCGCGCTACGAATGCTGAATTAGCCAATGTATGCCCAGGTCGGTCGATCCTCATTTTCCGTAAAATGGCATCAGCCCTAGAACTTGGACATCAACCCATTACATGCATCCAGGCTCGGCTGTCACGTTGGTATCTGCGTCCGGGATGTATGAGCGGTAGTATGTAAAGGAGCAACTCCTTGAAGACTGTCTCCTTCACTGGAGCGCCTAAGTTGAGGACTCGAGACCTAGAGCTTGGTCATCAATGTCCATAATCGAGTTTGCTGGAGCCTTCCGAATCAGGTGAAGCTCTTTACATTTCTACCATACAATTTCTTTCTTTGGAAAACAAAGCCTTGTGTTTTCTATAATAAGCTCATCGACGCTAGATGACGAAGATGAGATCTCTGCCTCAGCCACAGCCAGAGCCTCAGGACAAGTCTGGCTTATTACATTCCTCATGTTGCAAAAACGGCATCCCCAAGTGCACGATTGGTCTCCAAGGTGTTTATATAAGCCTCCCTGACCGCTTTGAGTAGTTCCATGCACGGGGCCTGCCTTACTTAGCCCTTCATGCGCGCGAGGTCTCCTCCCGTTCCGATTCCACAGTTTCGATTTCTTGCTTATCCAACTTCACCGCCGAGATGTTTGCCATGTTGAGTTCCGGCTTTGACATTTCCAGCATCGCTTTGCGGTGCTGTTTGCTGAGCACTCCGCGGGTGATGCCCGGGTGGTCGAAAACGTTGTCCAGTGCTTCGAGAGAAAGTCCGGCGGTCTCGGGGAAGAAGAAATATATGACTGGAATAAATGAAAAGTTCAAGACGGCAAAAATGATGTAGGTCCTAAGAAAGCATCTTTGTTAGAGTGACGTATGTCCTGACCTGTCCTTGTGCAGCCACGTACCTCCAGCCAATTTTGGCAGTGCACACGGGTGTGATCATGACCACAAGAAAGGTGAAGATCCAATTACTCATGACAGAGATAGAGACACCTTTACTTCGAGTACGAAGAGTTGTAATCTCGGCAGGGTAGAAGAATGGGATCGCCAAGAAGCCCTGGGCGTAGAAGGTATTAAACAGGAAGAAACATGCCACAGCGACAATTCCCATGGCGTAATTTGCGGCACCGTCGGGTCGCATCGTGACGTACCAAATGGCGCCAGATAGTACTGTCATCGAGACGGTTTGGCCTATGGCGCTTATGAGCAACAGCTTTCTTCGCCCAACCCGTTCAATGGTCCACATTGGAATCATTGATGCCACAAGATACTCAATCCCGTTAATGCCGCCAATTAAAAGCGCAAGCTGCCTGCTGAGACCGACAGAGTTTTGAAGAACATATGAAATGTAATAAGTTAACAGGTTGATTCTGTAAAAATTGTCAATAGGGTTCCCTCTACTGTAGCAGTACAATGGGTGAAATACTTGCCCGCTCAGTTGTTGAACAGCCATCACACCAGCACACAAGATCATCCTCCGTAGGTTTTGGGTCTTCCCTCCATGCAGTAGCTCTTTAAAAGAAAATTCTCCCTCGGCACTGTTTTCCATTTCCCTCGTTGCAATAATCGTCTGATGACAAGCTTCGATTGTGGCGGAGTGTTCAGCATCTGTCGAATCTTTCTGCTTAGGAGTGATCCATTCAAGGACTTCTCGAGCTTCTTGGTCATATCCTTTGCTGATAAGCCATCTTGGCGACTCGGGTAGGACTGTAAGTCGTTAATCGTCAGCACTTTTAGGGGATTATCTCGACCAATTCACAATGTCCCAACTTACACACAACCATGAATGCCATTATTAGACCGAACAACATCTGCAGAGCTGATATCATTGTCAGTATAGTCAGAGCCATTATTGAGTCGAGAACACCCTACCAATTGGAAACCTAAACTGCATGTCGTTCACGTAATTTGCGCAGCCGTAGTCCACCCTGTCTCAGATATCAGTACCCGGTCGTATTAGTATCGAAACCATACGAATATACGAACCAGTAGGCTATGACAACTCCCCAAATGATCAACCAGCCATTATAAGCGGCGACCTTACCTCGTTCATCGTGGCCAGAGATCTCAGAGGCCCATGTAGGGATTGCTGAAAAGTTCAACCCGTTTCCCTATTAGTCCCGATACCAGTCAGCAAATATACCAGGAGTTTTGGTGGCGAGAAGTCTGTCATACCAATCCGGTAATAACACGGCCTGCAATAAGCTGGTCCATGTTTTGAGCTACCGTCTGTAGGGTTGCACCGACAACCATGACAAAGACTCCGCATAGCATGCAAGCACGTCGACTGAAAGTTTCACCCCAGATGAAGGAAAACACAGCACCAGCAAAACACCCAATCTCATATATAGCTGTGATTTTTTTTCGCTTTTATTAGAATTAAGAAGTTCCTTACGCGGTTCTCTTTGAATGTAGGGGAGCTCACCAACCATGAGACCAAGTGTTGTCTCATCCGGGTCTTTGAACGTGTTGCTGAACGGGGTCCCTGCCGAGCCTATAAGGCCTGCCATGACACCTTGGTCATATCCTAGCAGCTTTTGGTTGTAAGCAGAGCGGCTCCTTTAGCTTTATCACATCGCTGTTGCTTACAAGCATACCAAACCCAGCGGCAATGGCCACGAGGATGACAACTGGTTGACCTTGGCCTATGAAGCCGAGGCGACGCGTCCGTAGAAGTCTCATTTCTAACACTGGACAAATTGACTGTGGTGAAGTGAGAGAGAAAATCAGGTTATTGAGAGAACAAGAAGGGAAGTTGTTCGATTCTGTTATGCATTTGGAACCGGATTAAAGCTAGACGTAGCTTGGTTCTTGAACGGTCATTTTATTGACAACGCGGGTAGGCCAGGCAAGTTACACAAAAAAAATTTGGTTGTGCCACTAGTATCAAGCCGCAGAATAAGGTAAAGCTCAAGATAGTCCCTTCTTGGACGGGCAACCCGACGCGGGGAAACAAGTCTAGATGCGGAGACACTCCATACTGTGGGGGAAATTGCGGGAAGAAGCATGAGTCTCGCCCCTCCCCGAGTAAGACTCTAAACGGCCAGATCCGAGTCTCAAACAAAGATTACTGGCAAAACCCAAATAAGCGGACCATGTCCGGGGAGGAAACATTCTTGGCGGAAGTAGTTGTAGCCGCTTGGCTGGATGAGTTGCGCCGGTCAGGCAGTCGGAAGCGCAAGATCAGGCCGGAGGCCTCTTACACTTTAACTTCCAATGGCGCTTGGGACTGCCCTTTAGCTCTGAACCTTGCTGAGACCAGGATGGAGTTATCCTCCCCCCAGCTTCATGCATAAGGCTAAGGCATCAAACTATCTCCGGCTAATCTACAAATCTAGCCCTTTTCCCAAAATGGATCAGCACAGATGGACGTGATTCTCATCATCATTTCCCTGTATCTCTGAGGTTTTATCTATAGACCTTAACCACGATTTCACAGCCTGAGCTACGTACACTACCTAATTTCATTCTAGCCGTGCTTGTCTCAAGACACGATCACTATGGCCGACATTCAGCCATTCACGGTGAGCTCTCACATGTCCCGAGGGACGCGTGGAAAGTATTATATTGATAAAATATATAGATCTCTTTGCCGGAGAGTTTGCTGGAGCAAACCAAAGCTAAGTTGAAACTGGCTCGGGTCGACGAGGGCATGGGCTCTGTAGAGTGGAATGAGCTCGAGATTGGACACCAGTCTTTCAAAGACGTCGTTGAGTTTTGGCGCGACGAGTATGACTGGAGGAAGTTCGAGACACACTTGAACAACAACTTCCACCACTTCAGAACACCAATCAGTGTCAGAGGATTCGAGCCCCTGGACATTCATTTCCTCCACCATAAATCGCCACGTCCAGGTGCTATCCCCTTAATATTCGTTCACGGATGGTAAGTTCTCCTCATGTGCCGCTACCTATCTTTAGCACTGGCTAATCCAGCTGCCAAATAGGCCTGGATCCTTTCTCGAGTCGCTCAAAGTGATTCCTCTATTAACTGAACCTTCTTCGGATCAGCAAGCCTTCCATGTCGTAGCCCCATCAATCCCCGGTTACGGCTTCAGCCAATACTCCAAGAAGAAAGGATTCGGTTTGGAACAACATGCGGCATGCTTTGCCCAACTTATGCAGAAGCTCGGCTATAATAAATACGTTTGCCAGGTGAGCGATAAAAAGAAAATGTCGCAATGGGACAACAATACTAAACAGGTATAAAAGGGCGGAGATTGGGGCTCCTCCATTGTTCGCTACATGGCGCTGGATCACCCTGAAGCTGTCATCGCGATACATATCAACATGTTCCTCGCATTGCCTCCAAACGCTAAAAAGTCACCTGAAAAGTTCGCCAGATATCAGAAAAACGATTACAGCGAGCAGGAATTGAAAAATCTTGATCGGACAAACTGGTTTGCGACTGCAGAAGTGAGTCTAAAAAGGTTCTCTGGTCCCCTTTTTTACCTTGCGTTCCTAATGAAAAAATTAGCGAGCCTACCAGCGCGTTCAGGAAACCAAATGTGTAACCTTTGGATATGCCTTGCACGATTCTCCCATTGGTATGCTGGCTTGGTTCGTAGGTAAGTTGAAGGCTTGGACTGATAATTATCCATGGACCAAGGAAGAACTCATCCACTGGGCCTTCATACATTATCAAGGGAGCCCCAGCGCTGCCATGCAAATTTATGAAGAGTCAGAATCTGTTCTGAATGAGAACCGCAACAGCATGCTCGGGAGATACATATCTCAGCCTGTTGGTGGATCTCTGTTCCCTAAAGAAGTCAGTATTCCCCCAGATGAGGTTCAAGTTGTAATGCCAATGCTGACATCAATAGCTCTGGCTCTATCCCCGTGATTGGCTAGAAGAGACATGTAACATCCGGTTCTGGAAGCAGCATCAAAAGGGTGGTCATTTCATCGCTTGGGAAAGGCCCGACGCGCTCGTCGCAGATGTCGCAGAGTTTTATGGTAAATCGGGACCAGTCTTTGGTGTTGCATCTTGCAGTCTGTAGTCTAGTTCTCCGGCGCCAATACGATAGCAATCTGCAAGTATAGCACTATGAATAATACTAAGCTTCAGAATGGGGCTAAATAATGCTTGAAGTTCTAGTAGCGTGAAGAGTGGAATCAAATGTAAATATTCACCTCAGTAATACGAACAAATACAAGAGGTAATAGCACAAATTCCAGACGACGAGTAGTTACAGTAGCTACATAGACAATATATGGTGGTCATCAAGAAGCCTGGGACGTTGGCTAAACGAGTACGCAGTGAGTTGAATTTCTGTTAGAAGCTCCAGACGCCCTAGTAGACCAGTTCCAACCCTTGCGTGATTCTCCCATTGTTACCAATGGTTCACAAATGCACTGGATATAATATTGTGTTCTTAGATTCTGGAAATAGTGTTGATTTATGCGAGTAGCTATTCTCTGCGAGAGTTCCATTCGCGATCGAAGCGCGTCAAAGACCTCTGGGCGGTTGGCACACAATCTAGAGCCTTGATAGAAATTCTAGGTGGCAGACTCAACATGTAGGACAAGGAATCAGCCAAGTCTTCTGCCAGAAGAGGTTCATATCCCTGAAAAAATTCGTCCATGGCAGCCTGATCGTACTTGACCCGCTGCAGGTGGAAGTGAGTGACTACACAACCGGGCCGCAAGACAAGGACTTTAATGTCCGAGCCTGCAGTTTCCATGCGCAAACTGTTAGTAAATCCTTCCAAGAACGCCTTGCTAGCGTGGTATACAGCCTCTCCGTTGAATGGAGGACATTCTAGACCAGTGACTGAAGAGACGTTGACAATCGTCCCCTTCTTCCGAGGCCACATTGTTTTGTTGAGAATAGAATGAGTGGCAAACATCATTCCGTTGATGTTTGTTCCTGACATTTGCTGAATCTGGTCAATGGAAAGCTCCCAAAATCTGCCCGGGGCACCCAAAGCCAAACCAGCCTTTATGGATATCGTTGGTTAGTGCTTATGCTTAACGTAAGGATATACACAGTAAATGACAGCAAGATAGCTCACATTATTCACAAGAATGTCAATTTGGCCGAGCTCAGCGATGGCCTGATCAACAGCTCGGTCTACATCGGCGAAATTTTGCAGATCAACTGCGTATACTCTGACCTTGACACCGAACTTCTTCCCTTCAATCTTACTCCGGACCGCTTCAAGTTTATCCTGCCGAACCGTCAATATTTGTGCGCAGGCGCAGTACGTTGGCGAGCTTCTTACGTTGCTTCTTGATACTAGGGCCACATTGACACCTTGCTCAGCCAGTTTCAGGGCCATGGCCTCTCCGATACCCATGGAGGCTCCGGTCTGCGAGTGATTTGAATGAGACATGATTCTAGAACTGAATGTGGCTTTTGAAGTTGAAGTCTTACAATAAAGGCTGTTTGACCTTTCAAGGAACTCATTTTGTTGTGTTGTTTTGATGCGCAAATTTATGGTGACTCAGCGTTTGGTATGTTAGAAGATCATGTCGATGAATATCCAAAACCTACACCAAAGCCAAATCTACTACTTATACAGGCTCATCTAAAACTCTATCACAAATCCGCGGAGCTACAAACAACTAGGGTGGGTTCAGAGGGTAATTGTAACCGAAGCACAGCCCTAGCAGCAATCTACCCTAAGAGAAATGCCACGATTTGAACGATGAGTTAGTGGCTTAGGCGGATCGGCTGTTGGGTGGATTTGTGCAGTCTAACTAGGGTCTACTTCACACAGTTACAACAAGCTGCACCGCCGCAAATGTGTTAGTACGGGGTCGGCCGCATAACCGAGCCAATCAACATCAAATTACGAGTCGTTCCGGCATCTGTGCCACATGCAAATATTCCATACTCAGGCATTTCAGACCTTGGGGTGGCTCCTCACCTTGGGGTGGCTCCTCACGCCGACGCGTGCAACTTCCAATCTATACGTTCTCCACTTCGGCTAGTTTTGCTCTTCGAACCAATATGGCAGGCCGAACCGACCTCGAGACAAATGTTCTGACTAATGCCCAGACTTTGAGTTCTCAGCATGTTGGAAGCGATCGAGCTTAAATAGAAGAATGAACGACGGGCCTTACATTGGATAACCAAGTCAGGATCATCAGGATCCCTTGAAGCAATCAACGAAAGAAACAAGCATTTCAAGCATGGTATCGAGCCCTTTATTGGCTTTGCCCGGCTCTCGCCGTCCAATCCCTCAAGTAGGGTTTGGGCTGTGGAAAGTCGCCCCTGAGGCAGCCGCCGAGCTAGTTTATGAAGTAAGCCCCCACCTACCCAGGTCTTCGTTAAATCATCAACCTGCTCATAACTCTTGCATTGCAGGCGGTGAAATCCGGTTATAGGTTATTTGACGGAGCATACGACTATGGAAATGAGAGGGAGGCTGGGGAAGGCATCAGACGTGCGATCAATGAAGGCATTGTGAAGCGCGAGGATATCTTCGTAACGACGAAACTATGGAACACGTGCCACGAGAAGTGAGATTTTCAAAGATGAAAATATATATATACAATGGGATCCGAGAAATTACTGATCAAGCTGCATGGCAGGCAATGTGCGATTTCGACTGCCAAACGACAGGTCGAGGACTGGGGTCTTGGGTACATCGACCTGTACTTGATTCACTTCCCTGTGGCCTTGGAATACAACCCTGAATTCACCCGAGTGAGGAGACATTCCCTCTAAAACAACAGATACTTGGGCCCATGCATACATTGACCAGCAGCTAATTGGGACTAGGGGTGGTACTATGATGGAATCTCAGATGTCCGGCTAGCTCCCGTCCCCATCCGTGAGACATGGGAAGCGCTAGAAGAAATACATTCATCAGGACTGGTCAAGGACATTGGCCTATCAAACTTCAACTCTCAAGCTATTCTTGATATCTTCACGTATGCCAAAGTCAAGCCCTCGATGTTACAGATTGGTAGGTTCTAGATTCCCTTCACCTCCCCATAGTTGTATTATGACAGAAGTACTGACCGCCAATTGTAGAGCACCACCCATATCTGGTGCAGAAGAACTTGGTGGACTTTTGCAAAGATCAAGGGATGCTTGTGACTGGGTATTCCTCGTTCGGACCACAGTCATTCCTGGAACTTCCACCATCCTTTCCCACCAAGGCTGCCTCCACGCTTTCCCTTTTTGAGCAGCCTCTGATCACTCAGCTCTCAAAGAAGTACAGCAAGTCGAAGGCTCAGATTCTGCTCCGGTGGGCCACGCAACGTGGCATCTGCGTCATCCCAAAGAGTAATCGCAAGGAGAGGATGGTTGAGAATCTTGACGTCACAGGCTTCGACTTGGAGCAGGGGGAAGTTGATGAAATTGCTGAGCTAGATATGGGGCTTCACTTTAATGACCCCGGAGTCTATCTTCCAGGCCGTCCCCTTCGCCTCTTTACCTAAGTTGTATGGGTATGTAGTGATAAATAGAGCAGTTAGAGAAATGAATGCAGCAGTGTTCCTTTTGAAATAACTTGCGTGAAGTAGATTCCAACATTTCTTCGCAATACCCAAATTTGAGACATTACAGATCAGTTTTCTTCTTTTCTTAGTTGATGTACGTACGTAAGAGAAAGAGAATGAAGTTCAACAGCAATGGAAGCTGCCAGACCCCACAACTCAACACAACGAATACTAGTCGATGTACAATCTGGAAACTTTTCAGCGCTCTGTGGAGCGTCTGCAGAAAATGCAACAGCAAAGATATAGCCACCACATCTGCCACCAGACAAGAGGTTATGCCAAGCTTAGCACGCTTCCGCATACCTAAAATGATGTCCAACGGGTAAACCATCCACCGAGTTTGTGTCTCGCTGTTTGCTCCACATCCGCTTTCAACTTCCGTGACCACGTACTGTACATATTGTGGGCAGCTGATAACTAGCAAGGATGTCGGTCAGAAAGATCTACCCCAGATCAATGGTTGTGGGAGAACTTGGTTTACAAGTCAAGATTTCTCCTCAATCCCCAGATACGCCGTTGGCTATAAAACCAGGGAAAACTGACTTGCCAATCTCAATGAGTCCTCTCATTGACATGCTACGAGCTATCATCTTTTCATTCTTTGCGATTTTGAGAAACGAATCATGTTTGACAACCTAGCGGGCCCGGCGCTCTATCGCCTCATGAGTGCATCTTGCGGTGCAGCGTTCATGCTCTACGGTTATGATGCTGGTGTTCTTGGCGGCATTCAAACCAGGCCTGAATTTCGGGATGCGATTGGGAACCCCGAAGGCTCTTGGGTGATACCAATCATTGCCTCTATCTTCAATATGGCTGCTGCGGTAATGTCACTGGTTGTCGCAGTATACGGGATGCGCCTTGGCCGCAGATAGACTATTCTTCTCGGCGATTTGCAAGTTTGTATAGGAGGTGCTCTGCAGGCCTCAACCACGTCGGTGGCACAAATCATTATTGGCCGTATCATCTGCGGTTTTGGGATCGGATGTATCGCCAGTGCCGTCCCGACATATATGGCTGAGATGTCGCTAGATGCCAAGGAGAGAGGCCCGGAGATAACCTACCAAGGAGCGCTGTTAAACACAGGAGTGGTATGTTTTCGTAGAGATGCTGGACCTCAAGGGAGCGTTCGCTAACATCAAGCCGTGCCATAGGCTCTTGCTTATTGGATTGACTTAGCATTTATACAAGGCTTGCCATTAAACTCGGCCCTTTAGCGTGTACCGATCGCTTTGCAAATAGCCTTCGCTATTTTCTCCGGGGTCACGCTCTTTTTCCTTCCCGACACACCTCGCTGGTATTACGCACGCGGCCGATTGAACGAAGGCGACAAGGTTCTCTCGAGGCTACATGACCTCCCTATTGAGCATGAGATGGTGTTGGCGCAACGATCGGTGCGAAGACCTTTATTTGGCCTCTCTTGTCGAGCTTCCTCGCTGCGTTGTACGTCTGGTTCTTCTGCCCTGAAACGACCGGCCTTACCCTCGAAGAAGTGGATTACCTATGATGAAAAACAGAGAATGGACAGCCGGAGAGCTTTCGACTCAGAAAAAAAGAATTCAAACGAGTTCCGTGTGGGTTCAATCTCGAGAGCAGATAACAAGCCGCAGTCATTACATCACACAAGTGGGAAAGACGCCGCTGTGGTTAATTCGGCTAACAAAAATGAAGAGGCAACCGTGGTTGATCTAGAGGCAGTAGAGTCTGTGTGATACTATGAGGTTGGTGTCCCATCCTTGTGTGACGTCGGAGCTTACGCTGAGGTGCAGCGTAAGCTGGTAGGGATGATCTGTTCCCCCAGATCAGGGTGTCACTCTCTGGGCAAGCCACAGCTGATGTGAGAGCAGTCTGTTCACTTAGACTACGTGGCTTCTGTCATTCATCGTCAAGAGCCTTGTCCATTAATCTTTCTTTGTTCTCGGGGAGGTCTGACAGCTCTGAGAGGTTAGGCTCCATTGATATTAAGGGCATTCTACTAAATTCCTGATTCAAAATCATGGTTATATAGAAACCTTGAATTAAATAATTCATAGAAGATATATTGAGATGAAAAGATTGACAAGCAATTGAGATCCATTTCCTGAACTCATCCTGACTTGGTTCCGTTGTCCGAGCTAATCCGGATTTGGTTCCAAGCTACGAACCTTCACAATCTCCCGGAATTATTGGCACCCTGTGTGAGCTGACAATATTCAAGCCGTATATCACAGGCTGATTATTCATGGATCTGTACGGAATTTTTCGCAACTAGGAGAATTCTGTAACGCTCGTATACACATGTCCGATAATGTGGCTGCCTAAATCTATATTTCCGAATGATATCTCCACATCTCCTCAGCGCTGATATACATATAAGGGCTGCAACATACCATCTAACACCCTCAAATCATATCATCAAGGTCAATTCGTATAAATATAACACCACAGCGTCAAAGCGGCCCAGCCCTTCGATTTTCCCGAAACATTCATCTCCTTTTAAACCCATAAGGCACCTCGCATCATGGTTTCTCTCACCGAAGGCCAGAAGGCTGCTCTGAGTCCTGAGGCGATCAAGTTTCTCGAGAACATTCACCACCTACCCTTTGCGAGCCTTCTTTCAAACTTCTTCACCATGCCAAGCCGCGTTCCAAGTCTTCGACAAGGCGTGGAAGCGAAAATGGCACCTGGAGAAGCAGACTTGATCGCCAAGCATGGGCTTCAGCTCAAGGAAATCAGTATTGCCAATGTCCCAGTGGTGGTCATCGAACCACCTGTCATTCATCTCGAAAAAGAGAGCAAGATTCTATTCAACATCTTTGGGGGTGCGTTCATCATGGGCAGCCCTCGAGATCGTGCTGCCCTCACTATGGCGGCTGAACTTGGCATCCGTGTCTACTCGGTAAATTACTCCAGGTCTCCAGAAGCAAAATATCCCGTGGCTCGAGATCAATGCCTCTCTGTGTATCGTGCTCTCATTCAGGATGGTCCAACAGGTGGTTTGCCAATTGACCCAGCTGATATCTACACGATGGGGAGTTCATCCGGCGCACAGCTCTTGCTGTCCATGTTCCTCTTAGCCCGTGAAGAGGGCCTGCCAATACCGAGCGCCGGAGTGTATTTGTGCACACCAGCTGTTGACTTGAGCGGCGCCGGTGACTCTATGGTTTTCAATGCCCGTGATCGGGACATCATGCCGTACAGCTTCCTATACAGCATGGTGGCACAAAATTATTTTGATCAGGGAGTGGACTTAAAGGACCCTTTGGTATCGCCAATTTATGCTTCTTATGGTACATGGTTCCCACGAACTGTCATAACGGTTGGAACACGCGACTTTGCTCTTAGCAATGGCATCCGGTTTTACTGGAAGCTAAGGGAGGCGGGTGTTGAAACAGAGTTGCTGGTGTCCGAGGGGATGTGGCATGGGTTCGTTTGGGACCCCGTTGTGCCGGAAGCTCTCACTGCTCGGGCTGCCGTGATCAAGTTCATGCGAAATGAGAACTAAAAAGTTTGGAACTCTTTTAGCCATCGTTTACAATTAACTATACAGTTTCTTTCATTTAAATAACTTCATTTCCATAGAGCAAGAGTAGCGTAGCTATGTATCACATTCTTTCCTCCTGAGCCAAAAAGAAAACAGCGAACATGGCCCTTGTGTTTATTTAGCCCATCATGTTATACGTCTGATATATCAACGCTACAACAAATCTTAAACAAAGTCATGTTCATTCGGTGTACTTGCGCATGGAACACCCTAAGCTGACTTGTCCTTGTCAATAGCGTACTGGCCAGTGACATGGCGAATCTTCTTGCCCCAAAAGTAGACGGGAATACCAAGCAAACCAAAAAACCCTGTCAGAGCGGCGAAAATGCCAAATGCACTCTCATATCCCTGGCTTTCAATGAAAGGAGTGATTCCGTAACTCACACCAAATGAGATTATTCCACGGAAAGCGCAGATGATAATCAACAAAGGGCTAGCTCGTTGGGGGTAACTGTCCAAAAGGTACGTAATGGCGACAATGTTTGCCCCTATGAAGGTGAAATAATAAGCGGCAACGGCCCAGACGTATGTGAACCAGTGATAATCATGAGGCTTTGAAGCTCCTTGCCCGTATAGGACAGCAGTAAAGACACCCACGATGATGGGGAAGATGAGCGGCAAGATGCGAACCTCCGGCTCGTGAATACCATTACGCTTCTTGGCGAACCACTTGATGAGTTTATCTGAGCCCGCCCCAAATACTGGAAGGGCAATTAGAGAGGTAATGATTGTTCCGCAATTAACATAGCTTGCCGATGACTGTGGCCAGTTGTAGGGAGGAGATGTAACAATCGTTCCGTATGTTGTTCCAATGGCAATGTTTACGCCGAGTGTGAGGCCATTCAAACAAAGGGCCCAAAGAACGTTGGGAAAGAGGAGGAGCCCAAAAGATTGCTGCGGCACGGGTCAGTGTCACTTTCAACGATGCGGATCAAGAGACTCACCACCAATGTATCGAATCCCTTACGCCACTCGGGCTTCCCGACCCAGAGGCGTAGGTTGGATCGCCAAGTTCGAGGCTCAAAAGCCAAAGTATCGATATCCGGTCTTTCAGTGCGGATATCAAAGTACTTCCCGTCACTTACTTCTGAGTTTTTGTTATCTTCGTCTTCTCCTAGTCCAGAGGACTCCTGGTAGGAAGATGCTGGACGGTAGTACTTCGTCTCTGGGACGAATAAAATGCCCAATATTAACACCAATCCGGAAAGACATGCCCCAAGGCCATACCACCACCTAGGTGTAATCGCACCAGCGATCGGGCTTGCAAAGAGAACTAGTACCGCTGTAGCAATCGTTTGGACGGCTTGTTGGATCATAAGAAAATTGGCCCGTTCGTGAAGGAAGCATATCTCCTATTACGATGGTTAAAACCGCATTCGATGGGAAGGATGTTGGAGTTTATTAACTTACTTGTGTTATCATGGGAACAAGCGCCTCACTTTGCCCAGCGGCAATGCCTAGAAGCATCCGAGCCCCGCGATGGAAGTCGAAGTTGTCGGCAACGGCGCACATGCAGGCACTAACAAGCATGATCACCGAGGCAGCAAGCAACACGGAGCGTCGGCCGACCGCAATTGCCAATGGCATTCCAATGAGGTTTCCCAATCCCCTGGGATGGTTTGTTAATCAGTGAGGTTGAGAATTTCTTTCACGCCGTCACACACATTGTGAGAGTGGGATAAGTCAAGAGACTGCTGATGTCTGCATAAGTCTTTCCCACTGCGCTGTAGTCGGGGATATAAAAGCCAAGGAGGCCGCCGAAGCCTGACACAAGGGACAGGCCGATTGTAGAGACTACACCAATCAAAGGTTAAGTAGGCATTTCAATTTTGTTTTCAAGAATGGTTGAAACCTACAAAGGGAGATGATTACGATTACCATTCCTTTCTGCCATTGGCTCATGTTCAACGGGTCTAAGATGTAGCTATCAGTGTCCATTTCTCCCACGTATGTGTTTGGAGCTGTGCTATTTACCTTGAGGGTCAGAAGTTGGCGTTGGAATATAAACAGTCTTGCCTGCGGTGAGTTGGACCGTTCCGCTCACATTGAGTTTAGATTTTGTGATTTCGATCTCTTCATGATTCGACTCAACATCTACATCCTCAACGTGGTCGGGGATCTGTGGCTTGCTCATCGTATCTGATTTGTCCGTCATGATTGGGGCTACCAAGGCTATGATGGCAATCAAGGGAACCTGTTCGGCAATGGAATGGTGAGAAGAATTGCTGCTGTCGTCTTCTGTCTGTTGGGTGTAGCACAAGAGGCGTTTCTGGGGTGCATGGAAGAGATTATATGTCTAGATTACAAGGATGAGAACAACCTCCACCCTTCCGACAATGCATGGCTCGGTCAAATCCCAACCGTACTGGCTCTGATTGCATCCTCCCTTAGCTTCTTTTAACCCCTCAATTCGGGACAGCTGAAGTGCTTGGCTGTGAACTAGCACTAATTTCCCCAGACGGATCGGCATGGCGTAGTGCTTGACTGGTACACCGAAGGGACACGCTTCTCCGCATTCCGGTTCGGTTGACATCTTCCCGGGGTTATCACCCAACTAACGACGTGGAAGAGATTGACAGCCCGGAAATGAATAGTATCAAAGGATTCACAACACAGGGCTGGATTTACCGCATACTCACAAGGCATAACAGCCTATGTCCAAGCTGTCCCGTGCACCACGAAGAAAAGAAATGACTTCCTTAGCCATTGGATTGGAAAGCAACGATAGCGACGAATTATAATAGCAAAACAAAAGCAAACGTTCCACAATGATTAAGGGATACGTGAGAGGGAAAACAGAGACTCCATATGGATTGAAGCGTAGGTAGAGCAATGGGCATAAGAGTTATGTCTCTCTTCTCCCTACATTTTTTGGGGGGATCAATAACATCGTGTTCATCTTCTTGACTAGTTAAATATTCACTAGATACATCCTATGGATTATGCCGCAATAGAGCCATCTCGTCGCTGAAAGAATTCAGGTATCTAAGCTTTGAACCAGTCCCTCATTTCATGTTCACTTGACTTAGTACTCCTTTACTCCAGCCAGGCGAAGAACCTGATCCGTGACAACAGGCTTCTCAAAAGGTTCGCTTCTGTACTTGGGGCAAACCTTTCCATTTCTCATTGGTTTATCTTCAGATGGGCGGATATTGCTATTGTCCGAATAGTTAGGTATGCACGTTTAAAAAGCAAAGATGGATAGGTCAATCATACCAATGAGGCCAATGAGTTGTGCCGAGGTAATTCTCAAAGCAGTATTTTTTGGCCTTGAGCGCCTCTTCATCTGCGAACTTGCGAGGGGTCATGCAAATGTACTGCACATGTCTGATTTGGTCTCCCTCGGGGAGTCGTGCGTAATGCATAGTACGTGAGTCCCAGAGAACGAAATCGCCTGGGTCAAGGTTGACCTTGAACAACTCACAGCCGCGGTCTTCAAACCACTTGACATCCTTTTCGCTGAAAATGAAGAGGTCCATGTACTTGATCTCCGGAGGGGGAGCATCTTCATGATCCGCTGACTCACGCTTGTGGGCAAAAAACTCGTTAAAGAGCTTAGAAGATCCCTTCATCAGCATCAGGCCACCATCGTTAGGTCCATTGGGAGCAAAGTTGAGGAGGCCTTGAACAGCTTGCATCCTAATGGAACTCAAATTAGCGGCCCGTTAGCTCACTGATCTCTTTAGAGGTGCCAACTCACCCTTTGCGCTCAGGGTTCTGATCGCAGTGCGGCCAGGGACTCCACGAGATATCTTTGCGCTTCATGGAGACATTGATCCCGTCGAAGGATGAAATAAGCTCGTCAGTACCCCAGAGCTTGGCGAACGTCTCCACGACCTTGGGCTCGGTTCGCGCTTCCCATGCCATCTTTTCGTGTGTCGCCCCGTACCCGAAGTACATGCCCCCCTTGAAGCTGATTGGGAGGTGGTCTTCGTTCCAGGTCTCAGGGTTCTTCTCGTCGAAACCTAGGTCAAAGTTCTTCAGCCACTCAATTTGCTTGTCGCAGTAGTATTGGGCACGCTCTGGGCTGATGACGTTCTTAATTACAACACAGCCGTTCTTATGGAACTCATCGCGCCAGTCACCGTAGACTGCGTTTTCATCAAAGGAAACCAGATCCTTGGTCTCGAAACGAGCCGCGAAGGTGCGGTCACTCTTGGCTTCTATTTGCGTTGTGGTCGACATCTTTTCTTTGAGCCTTGCGCCTATTGACTGTTTGACTTGAAGCAGATGGTGTGGGCAGAATGTTGTATATCTTCTTTTCTTATGCGTATCAGTAGGTGATAAGGATAAGTTAAATCATATATCTGCCTTGAAGAGTATATAGTCCCATGTAAAAATTGAATCACTGGCGAAGATCGCTTAGAGATCGTTCGTTTCGGGTAACCTCGGTTCGGCAGAACAACCGCGCAAAGCCTCGTGGCCTCAATCGATCTTCGGTTCAGGTTATTCATCGCCGAAACGCATATTTCCGGATCGGTTCGTCAATCTCTTACAAACCCTTGAAGCAGTGGATGATCTGAACCGAAATTGAATCACCGAGCTCCTCCCCTGGCAACTTCGTACATACCCTTCGAAAATGGGATTTTCCAATAGTGTCGCCTCTGTAAAAGTCGCTCGTGTTACCTACTATTGAATGGCTCAGTATCACCCAACCTCTTCTATTTTTCCCCATTACAACAGTCTCTCTAAGAAACGAAATCAACAATGCCTATTCCATATCAAGTCGCCTTCAAGCCATTGACGGGACCAGAAATTGGGGTCAATGGCTATGTTGAACCTACTCCAGGCAAGTCAGAAATCCTGAAGAAGGGGGCTGCGCCTTTCAATGCGCGGAAACTTGATTCTGATATCCGCCTTGATCACGATATTGAGATCAAAGTACGAGATGGCTGCCGACTTTACGCAGACATTTATCGCCCGACAGGCGATGAGAAGGTCCCTGTGATAATTTCCTGGTCACCTTACGGCAAGAAGTACTCTGCTCTTGACATGATATTCAACGTGTGTGTTTGGTCTTGCTGTCTCACACATGAAGATGTCAGCGGCCTTGAGAAGTTTGAGGGACTTGATCCTGCTTGGTGGGTGGCGCAGGGCTACGCCATTGCCAGCATCGACTGTCGTGGTGCTGGTAATAGTGATGGCGACACTCCCTGCATGGGGTCTCAAGAGGCCGAGGATGCGCACGACGTCATAGAGCATCTTGCCAAACTGGACTGGTGCAACGGAAATGTTGGAATGGCTGGCAATTCCTACCTTGCTATCATGCAATGGCATGCAGCTGCCCAGCAACCTCCGTCCTTGAAAGCCATCGCGCCATGGGAAGGCTCAGGCGATATTTTCAGAGAACAATTTTGCCGTGGAGGTTGGTTCAACATGAGCAACTATGACCTTATCACATCACTTGTGATAAAGGGCCAACATGGTGTTGAGGACTTCTCCGAAATGTACCGTCGTCATCCTCAAGCTAGTATTTACTGGAATGACAAACGTGTCGACATGAGCAAGATTGAGATACCCTGCTTCATTACAGGCTCCGATTATAGCCAAATTCACACCATGGGCGCGATCCGAGGATGGTTAGAGACCAAATCGGAGAAGAAATGGATCAAATGGAGCGGATACCAAGAATGGTACGAGTTGTATGCGGTGCCAGAGAGCTATAAAGAACTCAAGGTAAGCCGGCAACATATTTACCAGCCAATTTCAGGGATGCTAACTGCCGGTAGGAATTCTTTGACCGATATCTCAAGGGTATCGATAACAACTGGGAAGCAACCCCTAAGGTTCGCTGGGCAACTCTTCCGTTCGGAGACAGCCCCGTGAAGCATGATATTGTGCTTCCCGACTTCCCTGTGCCCAATACCGATTATCGAACACTCTACCTTGGACCGGAATCAACCTTATTGAAAACTATACCAGAACTTGAAGGTACATGCACACATAACTCGGAGGATCGATGGTCAATATCCAAGTTCAAATATACCTTTGATAAGGCATCTCGACTTATTGGACTCCCTAAAGCAGAGTTATTCATGAGCTGTAATGCATTGGATGACATGGTTGTGTTCGTCCAACTACGGAAGCTTGACAAAGTAGGAAAAGAGTTGAGCCAGCTTCAATTCCCATTAAGCCGAGCCCCTGTCAACTCCATTTCCGAAATGTCGGAGAACGAACGTTCGAGCCTGACTTTGCACAACGGCTCGATAGGAATATTACGTGCTTCCCAGCGGAAGATTGGTTCGACTCTGTCCATGCACCCGCAATTTCCATTCCATCCTCATGACGAGGTACAAAAAGTTCCCAATGGTCAAGTTGTAAAGCTGGAGATCGGCATATGGGCAATGGGCGTTGATTATGAAGAGGGGGAAAGCATTCAAGTTGATATTTTGGGGCAGTTTCCTGGCTACACCACTCAGACGGACGCATTCTCTAAGCCAAGGCCAGAATATGAGAAGAATAAGGGTCAGCATGTTGTTCACTTTGGCGGAAAGTATCCCAGTAAGGTGATTCTACCTTTCGTACCGATCTCGAGTTAGCTTTCTAGACGCACTCAAATTTGTCTAAAAATGTAGAGGCAGTCATTCATAAAATTTGCCAATAGGTGACATCTTAAATAATGAAGTCTTAAGGTTCAATACTTTATAGCTTCTGATATCCAATCAACACAGATACTCTGTCTAGTAACGACATATTCGTCGCACAAAATTTTCGTTTGATGTCGCTTGACCCTGAAAGCAAGTAACTACGGTGGTATCCCGACTCGCCTTCGCCTCATGAATGCTCAACGAGGGGAACTTGATTCATATTTAGTATAACATTTATTTTTCAAAACTACATGCTTTCCGAAAGGCGCACTTTTGAGATTCCCGACACGGGAAGAGAGAACCGTTCCGTGTTTGTGCCCCGCAACATCCTTCGGTTCGGCAAACACATCTCCATGGGTCTTATTTCGGTTCGGAATCCCTCTCGTACCTACCTTCAGCACCTAAGAAGACCGGCCGTGTTGTGTCACTAAATCAGTTACCAATTGAAAGAGCACTGGAGCACATCCTAGGCAGGCGGAGACCAACACGTTTATAACGTAACTAGCAGGGCTGTTATAAATTACCAAATTTGTCACTCTTGAGGTCACGAGACAGTCGTCGTTGCGCTGCTTTTGAGTATCGTTTCTTTCCCGACGCATATAACACAAAATGAAGATAGTCATCGTCGGCGGCGGGATCGCTGGTCTATCGGCAGTAAGTCGACATCTTTTCTCTTGTAACAATCAGTGTTGTTGCATGCAGCTTCTTACCTTCAAGTTTAGGCGATTTCGTTGCGGTCACCTCGTCGCAGCATCATTGTTCTAGAGAAATCTCAAATGTTGAAAGAGACCGGAGCTCTCATTTCCCTTCAGCCCAACGCAAGCAAGATTGTTTCCACATGGGGCATCGATTCCTTTTTGGCACCATCCGGTCCCATGGTTGACAAAGCTTTTCGGCTGTTCGACAAGACGGGAAAGCTAGAGCGCGAAATGAAGCTTGATTTCGCAGAGTTTGGCGCCGACCGCATTCTGTATCACCGACAGGATCTTCATACGGCCCTGAAGAATGCGGCCACGAGCCCAGACCTACCTGGGAAACCGGCCGAGATTCGCACTGCAAGCGCAGTCACTGGCTGCGACGCTGACGAGGGTACTGTCACCATTAATGGGAATGAAAAGATCGATGCAGACATCATTATTGGCGCTGATGGTATTCGCTCCGTGGTTCGCAAGTTCCTTGTGGGTGATGGTTTCGACGCAATTCCAACCGGCATCTCTGCGTATAGGATGCTCGTCCCCATCGAGGCTCTCAAGGGTATTCAAATTCCCGAGGGTGCTTTTGAGCCTGCTGAAGCAGTAACCACCATGATTGTGGGCCATGACCGTCGGGTCATAATGGGGCCAGGCCGCAATTCCACAGTGTTTGGAATAGTTGCTTTAGTTCCTGATTCTCTGACCCAGGGGCAGTCGAGCCCTGACTCATGGGTAAACGATGGTAGCATAGGAGCAGTTCTCGATGCCTTCCAAGACTTCCCGTCGTGGCTTCTGGAGATCTTCAAGCGCGCGCCAGAACATGCGCTCTGGCAACTTCGTGATATTGATCCTTTACCTACATGGGTTCAAGGGCGAACTCTGTTGATTGGAGATGCTGCTCACGCGATGCTCCCCACTCAAGGTCAAGGAGCATCCCAAGCTATTGAGGATGCTGAGGCGCTGGATGCCTTTCTCGGGGATCTGCCTGATAAGGCGACAAAAGAAGACGTCAACAAAGTGCTGGTCAGAGTATTCGAGTCCCGATTTGGCCGGGCGAGCTTGATCCAGAGGTATAGCCGCGAGCAAGCCAGACCAGGAACAGATGGCGACTCCAAGAAGGTAAAATTAGACCCTGGAGAATTCATGAAATTCAATTGTGATTACAGCGGTGCAAAGGATTGGATGAACAGGGTGAAGCAAGGCACAGTGAACTTATAAGCAATTGTTAGTAAATCCCAACGGAATCAAATGTTCACTTGTCCTGGTACTTGCCTTGAACTCCGCGGAAGCAAATAAAGGGCATATTAGGAGAATAATAATACACTGCAACTAGTTGTCTAGTTGTCTCTTCAAGGAGCTGAGCGATGCCTGTCAGGCACGGACGCACATTGAAATCAAATACGAGAATCACTTGCATAAATTATGTACCCGGAAACTGGCGATCCAAAATTCCAGAGCGTCATGTAATCTAAAGCATACCCCAAATAAGGGGTATGGCTACTGGCCACCGGCCTCGGTATAATTCACCGCCAGCATTGCTTGCCGCAGGAGTATTATGGTACACTAAGGAACATTGGCAAGATGGCTGGTGGTACGCTATCTACAAAGCATATTTATCATCTCTTCAATGCCATTACACGATTACGATTGAAGAGGTACTCAGTTAGTTCTCTGTCGGAAGATCTTGCTGAAAGAGGTGATTCAATGCCATGCTTAAATTTCCAAACAGGAATCCCTCAATGTTAGTTGATGTGCCATCCCAAATGACCAGACTAGGTAGCCATGCCATTCTTACTTAAGAGTGGTTCCAGTCCTCTGCCAGTGGCTCAACTCCAGTTTGATCCTGTAGTCTTCAGTGACGTCGTGGCATCGGGTGACGGTCGCGGAACAAATTAAATGATCTATACATCACGACTATGAAGCTCGTCATCGCGGGTTCTTCCGGCTTTGTGGCCACCGAACTAATTCGCCAAGCGCTATCGACCCAAACATTACCGAATTAACTGCCCTTGGTCGCCGTGAAAGACTTCCTCCCAATAAGCTTGGGCCGAGCTCCGATGTTACAAAGCTTCAATCTGTCGTATTGGAAGACTTTCTGTCCTACACAGATGAAGTGAAAATATGTCTCGAAGGCGCAGATGCTGTAATATGGTATTGTCGATTCCTTGAAGCATAGAAATTATCCTGTCTAAGTTCATGAAGACGCCTACTACCTCACACTCTTCGTGGATACCAGATCAATCTATTCTAGCTATTGCGTAAGTTGCTTACATTGGATACCAGGACTATAGCAATCAGTCCCTCAAAGCTCAGCACCGTTACGTGGGAGGATGCCTGCATTATTTCACGCGACTATGCCGTCAAGGGGATCGAAACGATCACACAGCTGCCACGCCATGGGAAAACTCAGCCACTACGATTCATTTCTATGAGTGGATCTAATGCGGTGCGAGACCAAACCAAGAAACCGCTGTTGATGGGGGACTATCTTCTCATGCGGGTGTGTGAATCCCCAGTCTTATGATATATCACGGACCCTAGGACACATTTTCCCCCCTAAACACTCCTCCTAAACTCTAGGGCATACCTATCGTATAAATCCTTTCTTACTGATTTTTAGGGAGACGCCGAGACAAAAATCCTCAACTATGCTACAGCATCCAATGGTACCGTCGAGGCACAGGTGACGAAAACCGGCATCATCGAGGATCCAGCGCAGCTGAGCGCCGTATCCAAGTTGGGCAGGGCTTTTTTACGTTCTCTCGTCGGTTTACCCAAGATCAACGTGGAAGCTTATCGCCGCCGCGCTTCTAGACCAGGCTATCAACGGATTTGAAAAGGACACGCTTCTGAATGAGGACCTAGTTCGTATCGGGGAGGCTCGTCTTGCAGCAAGTGCATCAGGCCAAAACCCAGCACCCTCGACAGACGAATAAATATTAGTGGGCTACATCGGTTGAGTCTAAGTGACAGTAAGGGTGGATAGCAGGAAGCAGAATCGAGTGCACCTGCCAAGCTTCTTAGTTGTCCCCATCTACTATCCTAAAGTGCCTCAAAGTACGCCTGCTGTGAATAATACCTCAGGGACACTTAAATCTAGAGACCTAAGGTTGCGCTATGGCCATGATTAGACTTCTCTTTCTAGCAGCATGGCTATTCCGCACCTAGAAAGAACCCTAAAACTGTGCATGAATCGCCGCTCTAGCGCCCTACAAGCACTTGGTCTGGGTATCGTGTCGTATCTCCCCCATCTAAACTCGCCCCTTCTTTGCCCTAAATCATCCAGCCCTTCCTGAAAGGGGATATTTTCCAAGTGCATACCAACATTGCCAGCCGTCCTGTGTGCGGGGGTCATCCAGAGCTCAAAAAGAAGCGACCACGACTCATACATTTTCCCCGCCCGCCGGTCCGGGCTGGGAATAAAACGCGCAACGGTCAAGCTAGAAAACAAACTAGTAAATCTCACGTGGTCATGACAAGAAACATGTCACTAAACATTCAGGAACCGCCAACATCCTTGAGGGGGCAAGCGTGTAGCTTTTGGGGTGGGGACTGGAAACTGGAAAGCTCCGGATCATCCCTGGGAGGAAGGCGAACGGCCGGTCATGGTGTCAAGCTCTAACAAAAAGGATCGGCAAAACATGGGCCAGACTGGAACGCGCACGTTGGTGCGGATAAGGACCGCTTTCGCCTTTTTTTAGGTGTCTGAAACCATGTGGCAGGACACGGACAACCCGGGGAGCACTTCGAATGGAATAAAGACCGAACAAGCTTATCAAGGGCAATTATATTTATAAATTGTAGTCAGTTTCCAGATCTGTCGTCGACAGTATTCCATTTGAGGTAGAATATCCGCTCCTTAACCTCGACACACCACATGAAATCAATACTCTACCGCGGCTACATCCGTTGAAGTGCTTGCATGAGAATATTGACCTCAATGTATGTGGACCAGGCAGAGACTGCAGGCTCCTGTTTGTCACTTCACTGGTTCTTGCCAGCAAAGCCTGCATATGCGTAAGAAAATGTGTCAGCCATTATTAAATCTTTGGTCACATCAGAAGGCACCAGAGAACTGCTTTGGTCAAATTGAGTCACGAATGGGAACATTGTATAATGATATAGTTATTTATTTCTTTATTTTCGTTTTTCATTTCCATTTTCTATCACCTTAGATCATAATTCTATCGTATCCAGCGTAAAAGTACATGATCCAGCCCCTCCATAAGGCAAACTCATCCGAGCCTACCAGTGCTCAAGAGTAGAGTGTCTAAGCCCTCCAGGCCTGGGGCTGGGCGGTGACGGTGACAGTAACGGTGACAGTGGCGGCACTGGCGACCTCGTTGTTGACAGTGCTGTCGGGGATGGTGGTGGTGGCGGTGTTCTGGCCGCCGCCGGTACCATCCTCGAACTCCCAGGTGACCTTGGTGCGGCCAACGGAAAGGTCGGCGATCTGCTGGAAGACGCTGGGGGAGACGTCGATGGAACCGCTGACGCACTCGCCGCCAGGGCACTTGTCCCAGACCTGGGCACGAGCGGTCTTGCCGCTGGCGTGAGTGATCTTTACCCACTTGCCACAGACGGCGGCCTTGTTGGGGTTGGCATCGTTGCCGAAGTCGAGGGCAGAGAGGGCGACGACGGCGTCGGAGTCGGAGTGGACCTGGCCACAAGCTCCCATGCCCTGGTGGAAGTAGGTCATGTCACCGGCAAAGGCGGCGACGGAGCTGGCCGAGACGGCAACAGCGAAGAGGGTCTTGAGAAGAGCAGACATTTTGATTTGAGTGTGAATTGATTTGTGTGAATTGAAGTGTCAAGTGGGTTCCAAACGGGTTGAGAAGTTGCAAGGCTTTCAAAGCTCAGGGTATCGTGTAAGAGAGAGTGAATGGGATTCGCTAGGAATCGTTTGTAGAGAAGGGAATGAATGAAATTGATGCTTTCAAAGCGTGCAGAAGGAGTGTTGCTTGGGTTGAAGATGAGGGATATCGACGACGGGGGGGGAACACCATCGGCCTTTATACTTGGAAATGGGACGACGGATTTCACGATGAGCTAGGCTGATAAGCCACAAAGACGCTGGCAACAAAGCGCAGTTTCAGATGCGCCCAAGTACCCTTGGCAGCGCCATACCATGCCCAGTCCAGAAGCGCCAACTTCTGGTCTTAGGAGGGCGGACTTCATGGGAGAACCCGACAGTGTGCGTGGTCAACGAGAGCGAGGGCCTTCCAGGTACTATGTGTCATTGAAAATGTCTAGATCCGTCTCGCCCGCCACATGGGCTTGGACCCTGACAGGGGGGTCTTTGGGCGACGACGATGATGGGCTGCCTCTGGGCCCTGTGCCGCCGGCCGTGGAACGGGAGTCTCTTGGCGCTCTTGGCTTCACGGACAGTCCAGAGGAAGATGCTCATCCTTGTGGCGGTTGAGCATTCCGTGCCGGGCAATCCCCCATCCCCACTGACTTGCAACAAGGAGGTTCATCCCATATCGACATGATCCTAGATGGAGACTTGTGACAAGGAGATCCCGTGTCTCCTGGCTCATTGTGGCAACCACAGTCTGCGATGGGCCGGCCCAGCTGCTTATCCAGGGATATGCGTATGCCTCTTACACCGACTAACCTCTAAACGAGAGAAAACATGAGGCGGGAATAGCAAAGCGGATGCCCACCACTGCAGGCTCTGGACCGGCTGTATTCTCGTGGCCCACTCCACCCAGGCCGAGGCTTTTTTCCCTTGACTGGCTTGTCGTTTCTTTTTGTCGGGCAGCAAAAAGCCTTGAGTAATGGCTGGAACGTCCCGGTCTCCCAACAGCGTTGGTCGGGATCTTAGTGAGCTGATGGTACCTGAACGGCGCAGAGCTAGCTCGGATCACTTCCCAGACATCCAGCCGGTGATCCAGGGTCTGGATGCGCGAAAAACGCTAGTCCAGGCACTGGATGTCAGCCCATCACCAGGTGTGGTGCGGATGGTGGTCCTATTGGCCGTTGCCAATTCACCGGCTCGGGGCTGACCCAGCGACTATTCACAAGCCTAATTCACTGCTCCGCATGCTGCATGCATCCGAAGTGTTTTCAGGCACGGACAGCAAAAAGTGGCTCGCTGCGTTGTCATGTCATGGCGGTTGGTCCATTGTCCGGGAAGCTCCCGCGACCGAGTGAGAAGACGGGACAATAATTACAACAATATTGAGCCCCCGAGTTTCAGATTCAAGCCACTGCAGTGAGCGTGCACATCATTGGGGGGACACTCGGACATAAGAAATTCAGGATGTGGTAGTGTGAACTGATTGTCCAGTAAGCTGCCACAAGCAGCCAACTACCAAGTAACCCAACAAGGTGGCCGTCAAAGCTCTCTGGGATTGTCTTTGTCTCTTCCTGCTATTCTTGCTCGCTTCCTACTATTTTTGCTCCCTACCTGTGCACGGTGCTACGGCACAGGGGGCAGCGTTCGGTTTGTTGCTTCTGAGTAAGGCCGCTCCACGATTAACTTGAAACAGGGCCATTGAAGCTGGCGGTTCGCCAAGCTCCGACAGTCTCTCCATCCTCCACGTGCACCTGTCTTTTTATGTATTACATACCACACTATTGCGAAGTAGGTGTGGGCGCTTTCGCCCTTCACCGCGAGAACTAAATCAGTACAGAGCATATGCAGGTGTCGTTGTCACGCGCCAAGAAGCGCAGCGAGGTTTTTTTAACCCCGTAGAAAGGCATGAAAAATGCAACAATGGGGACAAGAAGAGGGGCTATCAAGCACCATTCCGTGATATGAATGGCCGGCCTGGATGAGTGAGCAGGGATCCTACCTCCCCTTGATGCATGTGCAAACACTATTTCACTGTGTTGTCTAAAGCCGATCATTGAATCCGATAATTTAAAGCCATGTTTGTGATACCTACCCATCCATCATTGTGACCAAGGTGCCAACAAATAAGCAGGCCGATCATAACCAATGAAGGAGTTAAAAAAAAAATCCTTTTTTGCTTTTGCGGCGTTTTCCGTCCCTCCTCAAACAAACCGCTCCTGCAGATGGATGAGTGAGATGACACGAATTACGCGAAAGCTGCTACTTCCACGATACCCCTGTGCATAGCAGCATTTTTTGAAGAGCGTACACGTTGCCACCACTCGCTTCATACTAATACTATATGCAATACATATACTGCAACAACATAGAGGCGAGGGTATCCTGAGCCCCCATTAAGGAGATCTGCAGGGGAAACATGCTCAGGCTGGGGAGAAAGTGTGAGATTTCCCCGCTGCCGCATTACTGCATCCGCAGTAAACCTACCTTGCCGCATATGTAACAATTATATTACTCCCCTCCCACAAAAGACGAGACGACGATGAACTATGGCTCGAATAAGGATCCAGTCTGATCCGTACGGAGTGCTGGTATACCTAATAGCTCGACGGAGGTACCAGTAAAAATCCATTCATAGCCATCGTGTTCGGAGAGGAATTGAACACGTCATACACACATCCAGAGTCTCTGCCTGCGATGAGCCGAGTAATTTTCCGTCACATGTACCTTTCTTTTCTTTTACATGTATGTGCTGCGCCATCTCACCGTGCCTTTCTCGGCAGGGATTGCCTGGCGTATCATTGGGCAAGAGTGTAATAAGAACGACGTCTCCATTTGTAATATCGCCAAAGCGCGGGGGCTGAGCGAATCTCCCGGTAACACGAAGCACATTATTGAAAGCCTCTTTCCCCTCGTATTACCTTTTGGCGTTGGCGCTCTCGGTTGGCTTTCAGCTCCTGGGTCCTACAGCCGCTCGCTACAGCAAAGCGCCGCAATGACTTGAAAATTTATTCCTGATCCAACTAGCCGAGCGACTCTAAAAAGATAGCCACATCATATATCATTAGCATTAGTTGGTTTCAGGTAGTTTTCACCTTCCTCAGCCCATGTGAGAAGAAGTGCACATTCGGGGCCATGGCGCGGGAGGACTTCGTAATCAGCCCCCAGCCACTTAGAAGGAAGAGGACGTGGTATGGGCTGTATAATAAGCCATATGTAAGATGACTACCACATCCAGACCTCAGCTTATTGTGACGGAACCTTCTTCTCCACTTGCTGAACCACCGATTTCCTGTCCAACAGATGTCCACAGGGAACAGTAGCGGACCAAGTAGTGTGAGATGAAAGTCAATTTTGATGTACCTTTTGCGAAGAAATGCCTAAGCCACCAGACCAATAACAAATTAAATATAGCTGAGACCAATGATGATGGACAAATATTCTATTCTTGACGCCCTTTCCAGCCGATGAGCAGATTCCGATAAAGGGGCATGCGTTAGATGACACTGTGCCTATTCCCTGAGATGTGAAGTGCTAATCTATGCATTCATCGCTGAATAACGTTGCACTATTTCCTTCCGTGCCGTCGATCATACTCAATATCCTAACCTACGGTACTACTACCTGACTGCGCGTACCTTGCTGGGCACTGGTCATCGACTACAAATTCTCGACACACTCCTATATATCCTTGATTAATTAATTCCGGATTTTTTCTAGCTGATTTCCCCTTTCCCTTTTAGATTCTCAGTTCATGTAAGCTACATATGTCTGCTCGAGGTTGATGCAAGTATCTCGGCCGCAGGATTCACTACCCTATAGTCAACTTACACTCCTCAGTCCTCCGCTAATGTGCCGTCCCTTGGATCTGATTTTCACATTTAGACATAATTCAATGGGGGAATTGGTCTGGAAGTCGCCGGAGTGGACCTGTATATCATTTTCTTCATACAGAGGTGTAAAAGCTGAAAAATAGAACTAGCTATTGTCACAGCTAGTAACCTTAATTCAGTGGCTGATTGTTTTTTGTATTGGTTTCATCAAATAGCAAAACGTAAATCTGAGCGACCGGTAACTACTAATTTCTTTCTATGCTGATCCTCCCTTCAAAGCCTTAGGGCTTGAATGACGAGTTGCACGACCTGCAGTAAGCGAATCATACATTGCTCCGTGACTTTCGTTGGCGTATGACAGTCGTTAAACAGTTTGAAAATCTCACACCCGAGAAGTCCCAATGAAAAGTTATAGGCGATGATGATGGGGAAAATGTAATAAACAAGGAAAATCTAGAATTAAAGCTATCACTTCTCTAAAGAGCAGCAGCCTACTTGAAATATGTGGTAAATAATACATGTATATTGCGTTAATCCTTTACAAAACAACGTGCAAATCGTAGATACGATTGCTATTATGATTGAGCACCGGGACACGGCGCGACGATTACATCAAATCGTAGACTCATAGCCCAACTCACCAACACCTTGACGTCAACATCCAACCTTTCCAGTTTGCCACTACACTGACCCTCCGCCCTGCTCGGTCACGAAAGACACTGGTCTGCGGGACCCTGGGTTTTCGATCGGTGGTGCAAGTTTGGGCTGTCGACCTGGGCCTGGTCTGATCTGCCCATGCTGCGAAGGTGGATGTGAAGGTTGCTGGGTAGGGTGGGCTGGGGCGGCACCATTGCTTGCTATGTTGGATACCACTTCCTCGTCTATGATGACAATCATCCATATGCCGATGCTCCCGTTCACTCCCCGGAGAGGTGTGCAGTGGAGCCAGCGTGACCTGCCGCGATCGACCTTGCCCGTGGGATCGTGGCGTGTCGACGACAGCCAGCGAACCTTTGCAGTGACGCCTTGCTCTTCGGCGAGTGCTTGGGCGAGCTGATGGCGAATACGGCCGGATCCGCCAATACGTGACAGGAAAGGACTCTGTAGCATGCCAGGAACTCGCAAGCTTGGGGAGGCAAATAGGATCTGTAGACTTGGAGCAGGGCGGACGAGGAGATAGTGCTCATAGATTCCCGGGAGCCGTCCGTTTGCCTTGGTGTGGAGGCCAGGGAGGGGCGATTCCGCCGGGTACCCGTTTGATGTGTCTGGAAACGAGGCTCTTGGGAGAGGCGATTGCTGAGGCGATGCGCCATCTTCGAGCACCAGGTAGGGTGTATTCCAATTGGCGTCCTGTCTCGATGGTGCATCGTATGAATCCCGCGACTGATGCATGCCTCCGCCGTAGCGCCGGACTGTCTCGAGTTCATGGCGGTTAAACATCTCACTCAGTTCGCGACACGATGTTGTGGCGTCCCTCTTGACTTCCTCATCGACGATTCCATTTGTTCTCTCCGCCCCGGACTCCTCAACCTCATCTTCCTCGGTGTCGGCAATGCGCTTGAAGCCTTCTAGCGCAGTGCATTCCCGAACCAATCCTGAAACATCAATCTGAGCACCCAAGAAGTAACGGACATTGCCTCTGGAGTCTATCAACGGCGCACAGACCAAAAGGTTCATGAAGGGAGACCCGTCACGCCGATAATTCAGAAATGTCTCGAAGTGATCCTGCCCAGCAGCAAGCCGATCTCTGATCCTTTGGATGCTGAATGGATTCGTGCCGGGGCCCTGGAGGAAGCGACAATTGCGGCCAATAACGTAATCCATGCCATATTGTGTGGTGCGATGAAATTCTATACGCACTGGTTAGACACACTCGAGGGTTTGCATTCAACTTTCAATGGTATTACGCACCGTCTGAGGCAAGGATGATGGGATTGTCCTGTCTGGATGGATCTGTCAGGCAGAACACCTCCGCCAATCCCTCTGATGCATTTCGAAGATGCGCCGGCATGATTCCCGTTATTCTTTGCTTGATAGACAGGCTGACGATACCAATATATTTGTGGGTGATGAACATGGGGAGCTCGTCTCTTGTCAGTGCTTCAAGTGCCGCGTCGTGCTTAGCCTGGAGGCCGTTATTCGAGGTATCCTCAGCAATGTCGGCAGTGAACTCATGTCCGTTCAATGCCCCCAGGGATGCCATCACCGAGTTGGCATACCTTATGGCTCTCATTGCCTTTTCACTTTCTAGATAGTATTTCAGAAGAGGAACAGAATCTGGCCTTACGGTGGCAAGAAAGTGAGCAAATTGACCAAGGAGGCGTGAGTCGGCCAATATGGTGGCCATGTGCTCTTTGGAGAAGAGGAGTTCTGAGCGCCTCTCCAGCGAGTACACCGCCTGCTCCTCATGGGACGGAGCGACAATGTCGAAGCTCCTTGGGTCATACTCTTCCTCGTCTAGCGGCCGAAGATCCTCTGCATATGAGCCTGCCTTGGCCTGCAGGGCTGGCAATAGCGAGGTCCCAGTGGTCTCTACAGAATCTGCGTTGGAATCTGCAAAAGAGACATTGGAGGCCCTAGAGGCCATGCTCCGCGGCCCCGGTGAAGAGGAACGCGACAGAGCTTCCATCATCCGGTGGGACATGCCGTCAAACCCGTCGAAATTGAGAGATGGCTCTCGTGCGCTATATGGTGAGTCAGTATCTAGGCTATCTCAAGGGGGTGAAGCTGCATCGCGTGGCCCAGACGAAGGTGACAATGCAGCAACGAAAAGACAGGCGGCAGACGGCTCGTCGCCGGCGGCATCACTAACATCTGATGAGCGCCGCTAGGGGCTCGGGGAAACATATCCTGTCGAGCTATGGGAGACCGAGGAATCTCGGGCGCAGGCGCTACAGGCTGCTGGCTGTAGATTGGGATTGTCGGCTGAGCCATGGTCTATCTAGCTCAATATCTTGGTCGGAATACGATGTAAGGGACAAGTTGTGCACATTTGTCAAGAGGAGCTAGATGTATAAACACTGAAGAAGAAGGATTTCCCGTGGTGTTAGCTCGAGCGGCAAGACGTCACCTTGGGTCGAGGACGATCTGCATCGCCGGTGACATGGAGAGTCATTGAAGTGGCCCGGAACTCCATCACTGGCGCGGCGTAATATCGAATTAGTGGCAGTTTTGCGCTCTAGCACGGCCTGAGCGAGCCCAACTAAGCAAGGTGTGGAAAAAGAAACCATCCTCTGGGCCTGAGCTGATGCTCCTGAGCCCGATTCGCACGTCCGATGAGAACGATGCATCCCGATCAAGCCCTCCGTCTTGGCATCTCGAGATCGGAGCTAGCATCAGGGGAATCATCTAACTTAGTTAGGGTCCCCGGAGAGCAATCTGTCGGCCCGTGTCCCCCTGGACCCAGCTAGCACATTGACAGGCTTTTATATGATGATCCCTGCGGTAGATTGATCGGATAATATAGACCATGCAGCAGAACTAGGCGGTTTCCATGCCATCAAATTTCCAAGCGAAGGGCTAGCGCAGGTGGTTGGAGCAGGATCGGCAGCAGTTCGTGAAGCTAACGAGTCTGCTAATCATCTTGCGCATCCTCCTACCGATGGTTTGGTCATAGACGAGTCCCTTTCTGGGGAAAGACGCGCAGATTGGGTTCAGGTCCTGCGGGCCAGCACAAGTGAGAGTGAATAATTAAACCCAGATTTAAGACGTTGATGGGATACAGCCAGGAGAGTCACGCCCTAAGCAAACGCGTGGCTATAATGGAGTCGTTTCTTTGACTGACACACAGAATTTAGTGCACATGGCCCTCTAATGCACGATGTAAGAGTTAACGGCCACGCTAAACACTCACTTATGATCGCCGATCTTGCATATACTATGCCCCACGAGCTGCTGTATCACCATCCTTTTCAGGTAGTTTTCCAAAACCAACAACCCAAATAAGCCAATTGAACTTTGAATTGACATCGGAGCCCCGTTACGCGTTGAAACACTTCCAAAAAAAAAAAAAAATCCTCCCTACAGAGTTGCCTGCGAGACACTGGGATATCGTTCAGCACTGACCGCCTCTGATCAGCATCAACTCGCGATTCCGAACGAGCCTAAGTTATACATGTTATATCATAATTAAATAATAGTTGATAAGAGATTGAACACAAAGTAAAAATAGCAATGGAAGATACTAGACCCGATATGTCAACACAGTGAATACTAAAGGCAAAACAGTAACGTCTGCTAGCCCAAGGCTACAGCCATCAGCAATTATGTTACGATTACAAAACTTCTCGTAACCTCCCGAGAGGTCTCCCATAGTCCTTGAAGTTTAACTGCAGAAGGCTATATCGAGAACGTCGTATCTAGATATTTATATATTTGACCATGGGATGCCTTTACAGAGATGGTACAGAATAAGTGAAAAAGAGAGACAAGACGAAATAACAAAAGAAGAATAAAACTGTCAACAATCAAAAATGAAAGCTGGAAAGATGTTTGCTCTTTATTACCACCACCACTCATTTCATCGTTCCATCTTTCCTCTATATGCTGCTGCCATTTATTTCATGCATCAATATAGGTCAGCATTCATTTCGTCAGTCTAGCGATCAAACCAACAACCGGACAACCTGAGTTATTGGAGGAATCGATGTCAATAGGGCTGTAGTTGTACCAAAAATACTCTACAAGCTCGACAGCGCAGCTGCTTGCGGATCTGTCTGAAGTAGTAGGGCGGTGACTATAGCGGCCGAGTTCGACCCCAAGGAAACCCCTCTGGTAACGTAGTCGTCTGCGTCAACAAGTTAGCGAATCTCTTTGCAGACGAAATTCGCCCTTTGTAACTCACCTTCCCGGATTATGAGCCAAGTTAAAAACCGTTGCTCCATCAAAACCTCCAGAATCCCACTCATAACGCCTACCGATGCAACCGTATTGACATCTCCCCCAAAATTTTGGGCTGCAGGCAAAGCAATTGCCAACGTAATGCTCCGCGATGCAATGGCAAGAGATCGATGAGGCCCGATCCCAATGGCGAAACACGCCGATGGGTAGGCGAAGAGTGAGCCAACAGACATCAATGCGTTAGGTATCATGATTAAAACGAAGTGCTGTCTGAGCTCGCGCCTTTACTGGTACATCGGCAGAGACAGAGCAACAATACTTGCATCCAAGGCCCTAGAAAGAATGTCCTCGACACCGGGACGACTTAAGGTACCGGGATTTCCCCAGAGGTAGAGGTAGAGGTAGTCGACGCCGGGCTTGAATTGATGAAGCCCTATTTGCAGACTGTCACCGCGGCTAGCTGCTAGAGCCTATATGCCTAGAACCATTATTAAGGCTGATACTATTACGGGGTGTAGGTACTGCCGATAGCGTGGCGGAACTCTCATTGCGACTAGATATGCCAACATGCAGAGGCTAAGATGAACAGGCATGGCATAGCCTTTTATGTAGAAGACTGGGACGGCAAGGAAGATAAGCACCGTACTCCGGATAGTGAAGTTGAGGTTTCTTGTAATTGAGATCGCCCAGATCTGTGCTCTTGGTAATGGAAGAGGGTCAATAGATGGCATTGGGATAGCAATTGCCGTTTGGGAGTTTTCCTCAGCATCATCCGCCTGAGGTGTGTTCCTCGCCAAACCTCCTAGTGAAATCGAAGAGATTAAACGAATTGTGGAAGGGATCGTGAGTGCCATCGGCATACGTGTTAGGCCAGTGACATGTTTAGGTCGAAAGTCTTGGACAGGCGGAACTTCTTAAAGGCTCCTCAATGTCTTCGTCTCTTCGCATTTCAGGAGCTCGCTGAAAGTAGTGAAGAATCCAGCGAAGCCCTTGAGTTAAATTCGCTATTAGAGGTAATCCTGGTGCTTGTTGCTACACTTGCGTACTTGAATCGACTCACAGAATACGGCGATGATCTTCATCACCTCAGAAATGGCAATTGGAGGACTGGTAGGAAACATTATAAATGCAGGAGCGAAGAAATTGTTAATCAATTTCAATGCCCAATCTCCCTAGCAGTGGTTAGCATAACTCGATAGATGAGATTGCCATGGATCTTTTTCAGTTCCAGTACCTTGATAAGCCCCACGACGGCGTTCGTTGGACGCGTACCTAGCAGAGCTTCGGAGCATAGCAGCAGAATGAAGAAGATGATCATACATGCCACGGATGGAGGAAATGATATTCCCACAGTTGAAAAGAATATCCGCATGCCAAAACAGACGGCGAGCATCGACTTGATGAAAAGTTCCCATAACATTAGGGCTCTACCTATAACAATACCCTGTATTCACTCCGCTCCGAACCTCTGAACAACAACATTGCTCACATATTGTTGCTTGGTGGAATACGACCATAGCATTGGGATAAATTCCGCTTGTTTCGTCGCGCAAAAGACTCTAAATTGAGAGCAATCGGAAAGGGCTCTACACATTTATGAATCCCAGGATTGAGGTTCTTAACATCCATCCGCGCAAGTCTGAAGTTTTCTTGCTTCACTCCAGATCTTGACTGAACTAAACGACTTCATGGAACTTGATCTTTAGAATACTAAACTAGTGAATTAGGGATTAAGACGCGCAGTAATTGACCAAGACCAGGTCGATGAAAATGACGGGATAAGATTGCCAAGTTGCGTACAATTACAGTGAGGTTAACAGCCTCAGAGCACCGGTTGGTTCTAGTACCCAAGGTTCCTATTAGTTGGGTTCACGAGATTCCGAAGACGTCCCCCTAGGATGGTGCGATAAATATCCATAGCCTGTAGTTATGAACCAAGAAATGACTCGCTAGGCTTGAACTTGCCTAAAAAGGGGTTGAGATCCGTGTTGGTGGTGAAGGGAAAGCTTAGCCGGCCCATGTAATTGAGCAGGACTAGCCAACCACTGGAGCCAGTCTTTGATTGACGTAATATTGGAGTCGCTGACAAAAGCATGCTTCTGTTTGGTCACCGGCACGTCTGCTGGCAAGACTCCCCGCCCTCCAGCAAGACCCCAGACAGCGAACAAGTCAAGCGGGGTGAAAACCTGGAGAAGGCCTCCGCACGAACCAATCACTAGGCATGGGTGCAACTTCTTACGCAGGAAAATGGATATCTGGTGGTGGGCAGTCACGTCTATGTCAACCGAGACGAGGTTCGGCCCCTCATAGCAATCATATGCCCCAGATCTAGTTTGCCCCCAGCAAGCGAGAAACCAAGCGAGGCGGAGGCCCCCCATTCCCCGATCCTGATGGCTGGATAAATGAGAATCTAGACATGCCCTCCTCGAACCGTGCCCATTATAGATCCCCTCTCCCGAGACCTTCTCCTGATATCCCGCCAACCGAGGGCCTCGCGCCGCAATCGGTTGTCCGCGTTCCCACTAAGCGGACACGATGTCTCTACCCAGCTCCCTACCTAGCGCTTTTGGCTCTGAGATCTCATTCACAACCCTGCTGGGCGCGGAGGGAACCGAGGCCGAGGAATCAATGACCACGCCAGTCCCCAGCCATCGCAAACCCGATCGCCTGTCTGTTGCGTGCAAGCAATGCCGGAAGCGCAAAGTCCGATGCGATGCACAGCAGCCGAAATGCAAAAATTGCCGGGTGAGAAATGAGGTGTGTGAGACCTCCGATCTCCGACGACCAGGCAAGGGGCCGGCTGTCCGCCGACGCGCTGCTCGGTCGACGGGCTCAAGATCTCAGTACGATCAGCAGGACCCTGCTTCACCGGTTGTTCCGTCGCCAAGATCAAACAAATCAGGCCCTCGCAGTGAAGACTTAAGCTCTTTCCAAAACGCTGGCACCAATCATAGCCAAGGAGACATCGAGTCCCCAACGGAGCTTGCATCCTCCGATGTAATTGCGCAAAGTTTCCATGATATCCCGTCATTTTCAGCAACAAGCAAGCAAAGCCGGCCCAGTCGCCCGGCCAAAAATCATATCTCTTGGTTGACTCGCGGATATCAAGCCAGTGCAGCAGCCCAGGTTCAAGAAACTGGATCTGAGCAGGCTGGGCAAGATTCTAGCTCTGAGGTAACCCCTGATGTGGTGGTAAACACTGATGGCACGCCATATAGAGTGAAAGTATGCAATCATCATCTCCTTGACCGAGTGATCTCAAATTTAAATCGGCTAACATCTAATACCTTCTGAAGTTCCAAGGCGGGAGTAGCATACAAAGTCTCTTCACATTCGTTGACCTACACTTGGCCATTCATGGCTTTGATCCTGCTAGTCCCTTGTTCAGACATGGAATGCATCAAAGTGAAGAGATTCCGCTATCTCTAGCCTTAAGGCTACCACCGCTGCCCGATCATCAGAAATTAAATCGGTGCCTTGATGTATTCTTCGACCGGCTCTGGCCATTCTATCCAGTAATCACTCGATCTACTTTCGAGGCAGACATCGATACCATAATTTCTCAGCAGCCGCAGGAAGTATCCGACTTCCAATTCAGCATTCAACACACCCATATACCTTGTTTAGTCGCAGTGTACTGCGTGCTATGTATTGGTATCAACGAACTATCAACCGCAGACTCAGAGCTAAGTATCGAGTATTTAAATGCCGGATATCAACTCTATTCTCACCTCGTTGCGACCCCTTACTTACCCAGCGCCCAATCATTATTCCTTCTAGCACTTGCTCTTCGATCATGGGGCAAGGATGGTCAGGCATGGCATATTGTCGGTCAAGCAATTCGCATTTCGCAGTCACTCGGCCTACATAAACTAGTCATGAGACACTCGCCAGTCAAGGCGCAAGGAACTCCTTATAAACACTCAGATACTCTAGGGGAGAGGTTGTGGTGGTCGTGTTACGCCCTGGAAAAACAGATGCAGCTCGAGTGCGGAAGGCCATCAATCATCGACACTGAGTTTGATAATATTACTTCAACCTGGTCACAAAATCTCACTACCGGTGACTCTTCGCCTTACTTCAAGGCCTGGATTTCACTCGCTGGAATCATGGGTCGCATATCTGACCGAATCTACGCGCATAAGTTCGGCAATGCCGAAGAGATGCTATCTGAGACGATCAAGCTCGACAAGCAATTATTGGAATGGGAAAGCTCACTGCCTGACAGCCTCAGGCCTCGGGACATATTGCTCGAGCACTTGGATGAGGCAAGCAAAATTTGTGCTGGGTTTCTATCTCAACAATACTATCATGTAAGAATTGTTATCCCCCTTTCTCTCGCAGAAGCCGTGGCATAGTAGCTGACAATATCCAGGCTCAAATATCTGCCTTACGAGTATCTCTTATCTTTCCCCAGCATGCGTTTTCAGCGGAGATAAAACGGCACGGCAAAAAGTTATCTCAGACACAGAGATTGTTGGCCGGAGCCTCAATATGTGCACAGGCAGCAAGAGCCGTTGCAACGCAAATCCTTCAATTAGCAGATGAGAACGTGCGATCCCCGAGCTTGGGCATTTCTCAAACATTCCTGGCTTCGGTCGTACTAGCACTGGTCATTCTTCGACAACCAAACAGCAGACTGGCTCGGTCCGATGTCGAGTTGCTCACTTCCGCCACAGAGCATATGGAGGCGTGGTACTACCACTGTGGGTTTAGCCCAGGCTTCATCCAGATATTCGTCGAGATGCGGAATCGAGTCGGTTCGGTCTTCCTCAAGACTAGCGCAAAAGCACTTCGGAAGAGTAGCTCTATTGCAACGTCATTGCCACGAACACAAGACGCGGTTAGTCAAGGTTCGGGGTTAACACCATCGATGGCCGGTAGCTATGGCCACACTGGTACAACCCCGGCTCATGGGAGTAGTGAGAGGTCAGGGATGGGTAACCAAGATACAGGTGATGGATTTGACGACTCGGCACTCAATTTTTTCGGCAATATGGACTTTGAAGAACTATGGAATATGATGGACTCCGATTTCATGTCATATGATACCGATGTTCAGGTCATTCCCTCGTGATACCCCTTTTTCTTGCACATTAGTCAAACGAATAGTTTCAGTCAATGAACACGTCTTTCCATTATTCCACACATCTGCGTTGAAATCGTCGTTCGGCCTGCTTCCTTGATCCCTGTACGGCTAGCCAGGTCGGCGAGTCAGACGTGCGAACCGAACCGAGAGTCAAGGATTAGGCCATGCCCGAACCGAGCAGCCCCCTTCGGCCCACCAAGCATGTTGGTCAGTTCGAAAGGATCTCCCATGCGCTTTCTTATTGTTGAGAGGCTGTTCTATATACTTAAAGTGGCTAAAGGAAGCATGAGCTTGTAAAGCCTTACAAATCACCGCCATCTACTAAGGTATTTCAATCGACTTGACTTGATCACAGGTCCACTTCCAAATTTCAAACGCTCTGCATCGCTTCTTAAAATGCCAGGTGCTATCACTGTTATTCATGAGAGTCCTATCGCCTCTCTAAAAGCAGGCAAGAGACTCAAAGTCGATGGCACCGATCCAAAATTTGGCGACTGGCGTGACGACCTTATCCGCGATGGATATGCTGTTGTCAAGGGTGCGATTCCACAAGACCGCGCATTGAGTTATGCTGATCGCATGCTTTCTCTTCTTGAATCATTGTAAGTGGGAAATCTCTAAACATTGTCGATTCGCATTTACACAACTAATGTCATTCGTCTAGCGGCAAGGGTTACAAACGAGATGACCCTTCTACCGTCCACCCCGACAACCTACCAGTTATCACCGAGAAGGGGATGCTACTGAACTATGGTGCTCCCCATGAAGACTTTGTCTGGGATGTTCGCTCCGAGCCTGGAGTCTATGAAGCCTTCGAGAAGGTATACAGCACAAAAGACATTATTGTCTCATTCGATGCCATCAACTACGGGTTTTCGAACCGCAAGAACTTACCACCCAATAAGCCTTGGCCTCATCAGGACCAGGACCCCGAGCGACCTGGCTTCCGATGCCTTCAGGGTCTCGTGAACTTGCTCCCAAATGGCCCAAATGATGGCGGCTTGATCGTCTGCAAGGGTGCTCATCTTCTGAGCGAGCAGTTCCACGAAGACATGAAAGACGAGGAACGCATTCCTGCGTGGACCAAAGAGTGGTACGGCTTCACTGATCGGGGCATGGCCTGGCTGAAGGATCATGGGTGCGAGTGGATCAAGGTCGAGGCTGAGCCTGGCGACCTCCTCTTGTGTAAGTGTACCAAGCTCCGGTATCCCAATAGACTTACTGACTGAGTTCCAGGGGACTCCCGTGCACCACATTACAATGTCCCTGCATCGGGTACGCAGGACCGTCTTGCTATCTACACATGTTACATGCCTGTAGCCGATGCTTCACAGGAGGACTTAGTCCGGAAGAAGGCTGCATTTGAAGGTATGAATGTGAAAATCCCCAGTTTCTCACACGTATCTAAGCATGAGGTGATCTAGACCGTGTCGGAACTACTCACTGGCCCAATGCTCTTCATACGGGCACGAACAGGGCTAAGCGCAACGGAGAACCTGATTCAATCATTCGAGACAGGCCAATTAACGAGCCGAAACTCAGTGAGAGGGCTTTCAAACTTACTGGCATTCCGTACATCAAGATGTAGTAACCATAGGTAGGTAGTGCTCCCTTGGATTGAGAGAGATTGTATCAGAGAATCGCAGTCTCTAGTATTATGAAACTAAATATGAACGAATTTGTCATTCAGAATTGTAAGGCCAGTCTGATTATCATTGTTTGCTAGTAGGAAGACGTCGTCGCTAAGACGAGGTGGTCTTTTTACCACGTTTCAGCGAGAATGTCTGTAACTGAATAATTCATCCAAAACATGTCAACGTTGAAGTCTATACCTTCGAGATCAACCAGGGGGGGGGACTAAAAGACCCAGTATCCATAAATTTAATAAACTTATTCTATGAAGATAATGATTGCATGTTAAGGTGGTGGCTTCGTTTATTAGCGGAGAGTTGGGCCTGGCTCATCAGTCAGCTCCAATTGCGGGGTATTCCGAATCGGCGATGGAAAGCCACAAAGCTTGCCCTTCAGTATAACATATCACGATGAGACTTATCAATTCTACTGACTTCGAGCCCGCCGAGTTCTTTGGGGATGAGATTCCGCCCTATGCTATCTTGTCACATACATGGGGCTATGGCGAGGTTGAGCTCCGTGACGTGTTAGCAGGATCCTTCCACGACCGTGAGGGCTTTGCGAAACTGCAAGGCTGCTGCGCTCAAGCAGCCAATGATGGCCTCGCCTGGGTCTGGATTGATACGTGCTGCATTGATAAATCATCGAGCGCCGAGCTGTCAGAAGCCATCAACTCGATGTACACGTGGTACCGGAACGCAGAGGTCTGCTATGTGTACCTATTTGACGTTCCAGCTCTGGATCCTTTCTTGGACAAACACAAATTTCAGAAAGCTCGGTGGTTTACCAGAGGCTGGTGCCTCCAAGAGTTGATTGCTCCTCGGGAAGTCGAGTTCTATGCAGAGGATTGGTCTGAATTGGGAACGAAGTGGACTCTACAAGCGACAATATCCGAAATCACTTCAATCCCAGCCTCGGTCCTCCTGCACCAGAAACAACCAGCGCAGTTTCCTGTTGCTCAGAGAATGTCATGGGCATCCATGCGCTCTACAAAGCGAGAGGAAGATATGGCATACTGTCTCTTGGGTATATTTGATATAAACATGCCTTTACTATATGGGGAGGGTAAAAAAGCCTTCATTCGACTCCAGCAGGAGATTTTGAAACGGGAAGTAGACTACAGCATCTTTCTTTGGCGGTCAACTGCTATTCATGATGCCACGGGTCTTCTTTGTGATACACCGCACTGCTTTCCAGTCGAGGGTGTGCCTATTATCTCTGGGGGATCATGTAAATATTCCGAAATCTCTGCATCCGATCTTCCCCTCAAGTCAGGGTCGGAGCGTATTAATCTGCCAGAAGTCACGCCGCGAGGTCTTGAGATGACTCTATATACAAGGGCATACCAAGCAAACACCCTACTGGCTTGGATCTATCTAACCTACAAAGGAGATTTAATTTTCCTCGTCCTAAACAGAAAGAGCCTCGATCACAAGCACTATCGAACTCGCGTCGGCTACATCGAGGTTATGAGAATGGGCCGAGATCCAACGGGCTACATCACAAGTCTAAGCGACTACGAACATGTCACCACCGCGATATTCACGGAGCTTGTCATTCCTCAAATTGAAGTCCGAACACTAGACTTCAAGGTTTGGCTTCAATCCAAGACCACTGAAGAGCTGGATATTGCTGAAGTATACCCCCCTGGATATGACTTGGATTTTCGCGACGGTGTATTTAGTACTGAGCTAAACCCTGTCGACTGTCCTGATATCTTCTTCCTTTTGGTTTCCGTTAAGGGTACCCCGGAAAAGTTCATTGTCGCATTCAACCTTTTTCACACTACTTGGGCTTATAAGATCCGCAAACACACGTCAGATGCGACTCTAGAGTCAGCAGCAAAGGAAAGCTGGGCTGGAGCTGTTGAGGATGACACAGATAGAGCCATATCTCGCCTCTCAAGCGGTAGCTATATCATAGTTTCGGCAAAGACAAGAGCACGCTCTAGTCGAGCGTATTTATACATAACGCTCATCCCTGCAGCATTTGCGACAGACATCTCACTTCCAAGGACAATCGTCCCCCGAATCCAGCAACCCAACTAGAAACGAGGGCCTTATGCATTAAATAGATAATGTCGCTGATCCTCTTCATGCAATAATCAAAGTTCTTGTGCAATAAGTCCCACTAACTAAGCTCTATGAGAAATAAGTCTATGAGAATCAAGAACCATGGCCAGATCAATCGGGTCCAAGGCCACAAAGCAAAGGTAATAACTAGACCGTCTATTCGAATTTTCCACAGCCTGTCAAAGCATAAAGTCCGCCCCAAGTGGCATCAGCTTCTTACCTACGCATTCTCAGGGAGAATCTGTAGGTTGAGCCAAGGGTTTCTTCTTAATGAAGAATCCACTAATGAACGTGACACCGGCAACAGCAGTGTAAAAAGACCACATTATATGCAACGCCTGTATATATGTCTCCTTGTTCACCGCCTGTGTCGAGTCTGAATTTTCCTCTTTCAGAGTAATACTTCCACTGCCGATACTCCGCTGAATCAAGACTGTTCCAATGACAATGGAAATAGAACTGAAAAGACTTCGAAGAAAGTTGAAAGCTGCCATAGCTGGTGCTGTGTCTCGCTGGCGTAGATGGTTTTGCAAGGCAATCATGGGGCTTTGGAACATTGTTCCTGCTCCACTCCCAGCAAGTATCTGAAATATGATAATCTTGGGCCAGTTTCTTGATTCATCCAACAGAATAAAGAGGCCGTTTCCCAAAAACATCAATGCAGATCCAAGAATAATCAGTATGTCGTATCTTCCTGTCCTCCTGATTATATACCCTCCACTCATTGTCATAGCCGAAAGTGGAAGAATCAGCGCAAACAAGGTTATTCCAGAGATCAGTGGCTTCATATCCAAGATAATCTGAAAATATAAGGGCAAGAAGAAATCGAAGGAGATGAAGACAAAAGAATGTAGGCAGGCAACAACAAAAGCAGCAATGTTGGTACCCTTCTGAAATATCCTAGAAGGGATGGTGGGTGATGTAGCAAACTTGGCTTCCCAAACCACAAACAAGACCAAAAGTAGCGCCCCAAAAAGTATGAGACAGATTACTTTGGGCGACTTCCAGGGAGAAAGACCACCGGAGCCGATTTCTAATCCATACAGGAAGGAGATAGTTCCCCCAATGACCAAGATGAAGCCTATCCAATCGATGTCCCGAATCCCTTCGGCGAACTGGCTCTTTCGAGTCTCAACTTTTAGGAAGAAGAAAAGAACAAGAAGTGCTATTCCATCTAGAGGAAGATTTATATAAACTTCAGAACTAGTTAGTTTCACTCAGATAAATTCCTTGGCTCGGAAAAGGGCAACGTACAGCACCACCGCCATCCTATCGACTGGGTGAATATTCCACCCAGGAGGGGTCCAATTGCACTCGAAACGCCCCAAACAGCGCCAGTCATGCCGTAATATTTAGCACGGTCATCCAAACTAAATATATCGCCAATGACGATTGTCACGAGGACCAGAGAGCCTCCGCCTCCTAGGCCCTGGATCACACGTCCCCCAATCAACATATTGCTGGACGATGCAAGCGCACAGACAAGGCTCCCAGCCATGAAAGTGGCAGCTGCGGCCATGATGGTACTTTTGCGACCAAATATATCGGATGCCTTGCTCCATATGAGCATTGAAGCTGTATTTGCAAGGTTATAGCCTCCTCCAATCCAAGCATATTGCTGAGTTGTGGTGCCCAAACTTTTGGCGATACTTGGCAAAGCGGTGGTAACAATCGTGATGTCTAGAGCTCCGAGGAACAGTGTGAGGCAGAGAGAGAACATCACAAGTCGGCGCTGCCAACGTTTCATCGCCGGCGGGGAGAAAGACGTTTTTGTTGATGATGGTCGAAGTCTTTCATCGTGGCAAGTTTCCTTGGATAATACGTCGTGTCGTGGCTTCTCCATCGTCTGGGCAGCTGTGTTCGAGCTCGTAATGCTGGCTGACATGATTCTTCAGCAAAAGTTCAATCCAAAGCCTATCAGTAATCGAGATAGAGATTACTGGATTCTAGCAAGTTGTATCTTGATATTATGATTAAATTGCAGCAGATTTCTTAGGCATATGTGTAAGGCAGACATCGGTTCGGTGTCGGTTCGGGCCCGCCCGCTACATCCTGCCACTCCTATGTGCTAATTCGTCAAATTCGCGACAAATTCCACCGTAGTTTTATGGTAAGACACTCTTTAAAGATAAACTTGACCAAAAATAAATGAAATGAAACAATTTTGGTATTGTACATAGCGACATAGGTACCCGTATAGTCTTCTTCTTTCTCTTCAACCTTCAACACGCCTTATCCATTCAGCTTAAGTGCTGACTAGACATGTTTCCAAGTTCATTTGAAGGTGGAGGAATCACTTGGAAAGCCGTATAACCTCAGCCCTAATCAATGGGATCCTTATGGAGCAATTGATACATAAAGATATCTCGACTCGTGCCACTATAAATCAACTCGCCCCTCGTCCTCATCTGTGTATACAGGTCGCTTTCTTCAAGACCGATTGCTGTAATAGCTTCGAGATGTTTCTTTTGCGCTTTGTTTCTCTTCTGTGTTGGTCTTGAACAAAATTATCGGTTTGGTAGGTGGGGGAGAAGTGCTCGGTGGTTCGGTGTGAAAGTCTTGCCAGGCTGTGAAAATTGTTCTACCCAAGTGCATGGAGATAGTGTGCGACGGTTGCATCTTCAATCCTTAATATAAACACAAAGGGATCTTTCAATGATGATCAAAGGTTCAGTATTTCACTAAACATAAAACCCATCGTTTGTTCATTCACTTGAAATTAAGACTAAGAAGGCCATAGGAGAAGCATATTAATCCCCAGAGGTATCTTAATTCAATTTCTCATAATATTACAAGCATGATATCATTTGGTTGGGCACAGAAAACATCCTATTTCTCGGTTCGGCTCGGGAGGAGAACCCGGGCGGAGGTCCATTTCCCGAGCCCATCCAGTCGAGAATGATCAAAGCAGAAACAACATGTTAAAACTCAAGAGCATCAAAAATATCAATCCTTGAAAAATACAATGACATAGACTATGTAACGGTATATAAGTAAAATCAAGTGCTCTACGCTTTTGCTTTTGCACGCTATGCAGCCCTAGTTAGTTGCTTTCTCTACGACGGTCAGCAACGTGCGTTGTGATAATTCCAGTGGTATGCATCCAAAAGTCCGTAAAAATGCAGACTCGCCCCAACGACCACAAAACAATGAAATATCTGGTGGGAAGTTCCCCAGATGTGGAACCTCTCAGGCCATCTCGACTCCGGAAAGTGCGTCTACCCTCATCAGCAGGGACGTTCTGCAAACTGCGAAATAAGATCAACGATGGGGGGGGAACAGGAGCAGCATACCGCATAAAAGTAGACACCAGAGACCATGGCAACGCCTTCTGCGTAGTAGAACCGCAGTCCAGTCTGTTTGTCCAGCTGCCAGTATGGGAACATGGTAGCCGCATGGATGATGGGCGCGAGAGCAGAGAAGCCTGTGGCGACCAGAGTGAGCAGCCGGAGAAGTCGCCATTTGGTACTATCCAGATCGGTGAGAACATTAACGGCCCCGGAGAAGGTTCCCAGTACTACGATCTAGAGCGGCGTGGGGATTAGCATACCGGAAGGGGGCGTCTGGTTAGCAATGGTGAAGAGTTGGAGCACAAACCATGACCCAATAGGTCTTTTGCAGTGTCGGCTCACAGTAAAAGCCCATGTAAAGTCCCGATACCACGGAACCGATGATCTGGAACACGATTGCAATGAGGTCTAGCCTGACCCAAGCTATGGCATATCCTTCGGAATGACACACAAGCGTGTGGTACACGGAACTTATGCCAAAGCAGAAGATGGTGGTTGTAAGATAGATTTGGAAGATGACTTCATCCTGCCAAATAGCCTTTGGGTAGTTTGATAAGAAGAAGGCATGGAAGAAGAAGCTTGCGGCCAGGGAGACAAGTGCCGGGACCAGGTGAGTGTAAATGTTAACAGTCTCGTTGTGGAGATACGCGAGACTCTGTACGCAGCGGGAGACGGACTGGGTGACAGGCCGGTAGCCGGAACGTACGAAACTGTTGTTGGAGTACCAGGAGGGGATTTCGGTGACGGAGAGAAGACGGGGAGGGTAGGAGTCAAAATAATGTCTCATTCCGTGCTTTCCGGCATTTATTGAGGAGGTACCGGGCATACGGTGTCGAACAGTCATGATTGGAGGTAGATGTAGACAAGAGTATGGAATAAGCACAGAACATATGTCATATCAAAATATGCCAGGCCAAAGAGAGGAGTGCGGGATTAGTATGTACTTGAGAGTATGTAATAATTCAAGTGAGGGGATGGCCTCGTGGGCAGATGATGAGAGGAAGCGGAGCTGACGCATTGGCGCTCTTAGCGCTCAATGGCTAAACGGATCTCTGAGTGGAGGTTTGTCTGAATGATTAGATGCCGTCACTGGTTCAAGTAGCACCGAGGTGGTATCAGGGCCAAATCAAGAGTTGGTCAGGTTAAATCAGCTATTGAGTGGAGGCTGCAGGTTCGCTTCTCTTATCTCGTTGTCTTTCCCCTCGTTGTTCTCGTCGCTTGAGTCTTTCGACATTCCTCTGGTCTCACTTACAAGTCACGTGAGGGGTTGCGTGGGCTTAGGCAAGTTGCTGAGATAAGCACGCATGAATTCCTGGTTGGCACAAGCACCGGAAAAAGAAAGTTCAATCCGGTCGCTCAGCAACCCGGTCGCAGTGATGAGACATGGAGGTGACTCTGGTGAGCAGTTCTGTGGGCGCAAGCGGAAAGAGTCTGATTTCAGAAGCAATTGAAGTCCCAGAACATCAACTCCGGAAAAAGCACGTCGCCCTGGATTGAAACGACAGGGGTCCAAACCCGACACGAAACAATACCAGGTCAAACAATGCAGGTAAGCTAGCTCCAGGCTCAATTCACGTTGGGGGAAGCGCACGACGAAGACAACCTTTGAGGCTAAATACGTTTTCCATTGGAGGCCCTATGGTGGACCTAGTACTATGTAATAATCGACCCCAATCCTCTCCTGTATTATCATGACAAGTGCTTGTCTCATTAAGTGTATCCAAAGTTCCCAGCATTATTCTTTCGTATCGTACCCGTATGTGTCAATTCCGTTTACAGAGCAAGAGCAGCGGCGAGCAGGGCAGCACCAGCGCCGATAGTGAGCTTGCCAACACCACTGCCAGAATCGCTGGTGGCGGAAGCTGAGGCGCTCTCGGTGGAAGAGCCAGTAGCAGAGCCGGAGGCAGAACCGGAGGACTCGCTCTGGGTAGCGGTGGCGGACTCGGAGCCGGAAGAAGAGTCAGTGCCGCTGGCGCTGGCGCTGGTGACGCCGCTGGTGATGGAGTCAGAGCCGCTGGCAGAAGGGGCAACAGAGCCGGTGGAGGAGCCGCTGGGGGCGGTTCCAGTGGCGGAGGCAGAGCCAGAAGCTGAGCCGGAAGCTGAGCCAGATCCAGAAGCAGAGGCTGATCCGGAGGCTGAGCCAGAGGCAGACTGGGAAACACCGTTGGAGACGGATGGGAGGGGGACGACACTGGTCTGCAGGGTGTTCTGGCCAGGCCAGGACAGAGAGATGCCATCCCAAGAAGTGATGAGGATAGGCTGAGCAGGAATCGAGGTGACAACAGCAGGCTGTGAGGTGACGACAGCAGGTTGGGAGGTGACGAGAGCGGGCTGCGAAGTCTCCTGGGCACTGACAATGCCAGCGGCAGCAAGGGCAAAGATGGCGGTCTTCATATTGACGGTTGTTAGGGACTTTTGCGTCTTGTTGGAGGAGAGGCTTGTCTGCTGATTGAGTAGAGCGGGATGAAGAACACCGAAGAGCGGAATGCGGAGGACGAGATTTAAATCTGACGACGGAGAGCTGGTTTAATACTGCAGACGGGCATGGCTGAGGCGGGCGTCGGGGGGGTCTTTCGTGTTATTGTGTCTCAGTGCTTAGACCTATCATCCTGCACGTCCTGCTCGTTGCTTGGCGTGACGTGGATTCACTCCACCCACCAACATCAGGATCAGCAACACCACAAGTGCGCCGGTCCAGCCACCAACTCGGCTGAGCATCCTGTACTCACCTCTTTCCAGTTACTCACGTCCTCCTATCCACCGCCGATCATGTACTTACACGAGTTGGCGAGTGCACAACACGGTACCAGCAACAGCAGACCGACTGCCTGGTGCTTCGTATTGTGGCAATCGGCACACATACCCAGTACCGTGACGGTTGGTACAGGAATAGACGTCGTATTACACCATACCAGCATGGGGTACTCCTCTCAGACCTGGGGTCGGTCACATCATAAGGACCAGGGCAGAGCAAGGCAGCGCGAGTTCAACAAACAGACCCCTGGCTACCTGAACAAGGACCTGTCTTGGCCAGAACCAGTTGGACCGAACTGCCTTTTACCGTACGCACGCACCACGTATCACACAGTGGAGATTGCGATCAGAGGAAGCTGAATGAAAATATTCAGCATGGCGAATTGAATGCGGCGGCAGCGGCCACACACACATTGTCTAATTATGGATATGCACGGGGGAAGTCTGTTTGAGCCGGTTACATACTAACATGCTTTAGGCCGAAAGTATGTCAGGAGGTATGCAGTAATCTGAGAACAGTGCAGGCATGTCTCTGGTGTGTGTGCCCGCTCGGAAATTACCCCCAACGTACTGTGTGAGCTGCCATTCTGCCCACCTCGATGCATCGCAGCCAGCACGCACCTCGTATTATTGCCGCCGGCCCGTCAATAACACATTCATGCGGAGGCGGCAGTGAGCCTTACCCTGGTGCCACTCGGGTGCCATTGGCTAACAAATACAGTGCAGGGAGCGCCCTACAAGGATTGAGATGATTGATGCCAACTACGACAGCTTCTTGTGAAATGGCGAAGTTGCCAGGGTTATGGTGCAAGGTGGTACAATTGATCCGGAGGAGCACTCCTCCTACAGGCTCTGTCCCTGGTCTTTTATTGGGATCGGGCAAGCGTATGTTTATCTTCAAAACCCAGCTCCAACAAACGTCATTGCAGCATGGGATAGAAGCAGGGCTGCTACAACAAATGCCGTTATTTCCCATGGTTCGTTTCCCCTTTTCGATGGTGCTACTGATGGTGCATGACTTTATGTCTGGTCTGACACCAGTGCCAAGACTGATGGCTCGCGTGCCCAAATCTTGCACCAAATTCCAAAGTGTATTGATTAGAAACTGAAAGAATGTCCTTGGGTGCACTGCGAAAAATTCACCAAGTCCTTCCACCATGGAGGCCTCGCACTGACCACTGCCTGAAAAAATTAGGCTTCTGTAATCCGGACTCTTCCCCTCAGGCCACAGTCTCGGGTTAATATTATTCCAGAGATCGACTTACTTGTGCCCCCAATCACTTACCCTAAACCCCCTCTCACAGCACAAGAAAACCATACCGAGTGCTACCACTGCCTTGTTGATTGGTATAAATACACTAAAAGCTAAAAGCACTCTTTATAGATCATTGCAATAATTTAATGCCTGGCTTTGGTCTAGGTTATTGGTGCACTCAACTCGTGTCAAAATGTTCTTTGAAGATACAGCATCACGTTGATTCGCTGTCAGATTAACGGCAAGTGAAGCAGTACACCATGCCCAAGGGTTTTTAATAGAGCAATGCTCAATGAAGAACGCAATATGCAGCTCCAATGCTTTCAGCAAAGACTTTACGCTTATGCAGTGCACATTCAAGGACTGATGGGACTGAAAAATCCCTGACTCATGGTTCATGAGTCAAAGGCACTACTCCGAATCGCGTCCAAACAGATTACCCGAATGGGATAAAATGCTCCGTAACCTTGAGCTTTCCCTAAACTATATGAGTCAATCGTTGTTTGCTAGATACGTTGATATCGCAATCATTGATTACAAATCCCATCATGCTGTAATCGCTTCTTCGTCACGCCCAAATGTGAGCCTGCATCGGCGTGGGTCGCTGAGTGAATCGGTCATTGGTCGCCGAATTTTACGCCTTTGATGATATTCCCGAAGCGTTGTGATAAGGCACCACCCCGGAGCTTTATCCGAGCGAGCTCGCTGTGTGTGGAGCTACTGGATGAACAGTGCAGTTTTTGAACGGTCGATATTTAATCCCCACACGCACGCCATCGGTGAATTTGTCAGAATAGAGTCAAAGCTACCAACTTTTCCTTCGGCGTTGGGCCTTGCTTTGAATTGCAAGTTGCACTGACAATGCAATCCTACCTCCAAAACAAGCGCCTCGGCGGTTTGGTGGAGGGCTATCTTCAACAGGCCCAGAAAGAAGTTGACCGGCGGCAGGTGACGCCAGGGTTGGAAAAAGGAGAGCAGGCGAGAAGCGATGCCACACTGCCGGTTGCCAGCATCCAGGCGCCAATTGACAATGGCGAGGGGCGTCCTGGCCAAAAAGCATGCCCCATTCAGTCATCCCTTGTTAGGGAACTGCGTGGTGTAGTAGAGCAAACTCGATCGTTGGCAGATGGGTCAACCGAACAAATACTACTGGTAGATTGGGAAGGGCCTGATGACCCGATGTGTGCTCGAAATTGGAGTATAAGCAAGCGTGCTTTGGCTACGGCTCAGATCTCGCTCATCGGATTTGCTGTTGGAGCGACTTCTGGAATCGATGCGACTATTATCCCACAAGCTGCAAAGGAATTCGGTGTGAGCCAGGTTGTAGAATCTGTTGCTATAGGTATGTTTTCTATCTGTCACTCCTTCTGAAGCTTATTTGCTGACGTGAGTTAATAACGAAGGGGTATATTTGATAGGGATTGGCACTGGCTCGCTTGTCGCTGGACCTTTCTCTGAAACGTTCGGAAGAAACGCCGTATACGTTGTGTCGATGATTGTATTCATGTGTTGGATCTTAGGCACAGCTCTGGCTCCTAACATTGCCGCCCAGATCGTTTTCCGATTCCTCGCTGGGTGCTCCTCGTCTACTCCGATGGTTTGCTCTGGAGGATCTGTCGCCGATATGTGGAACAGCTTGGAGAAGACTTGGAGTTTCCCCTACTACACAACGCTTTCGTTTGTGGGGCCGATGGTAGGATCGATCATGGGGGCATACATTGGACCGTCTTCCCATATTTTGAGCTGGCGCTGGGCTGAATGGGTGATTCTCATTCTTTCCGGTCTCGTTCTCATCTCTGTTGTGGTGACAATGCCTGAAACCTATGGGCCATTGATTTTAGAGTGGAAGGCTGCCCACTACCGTCGAATTACGGGAGACTCACGTTTCCGCTCTGAGCATGAGATTGAAGACTCAACCTTGTTCAGTCGTTTGAGAGTGAGCATGACCCGGCCGTTTCTCATGATAACGGAACCAATCATCATAGCCATGACGATGTACCTATCTGTTCTCTATATTGTGCTCTTCACATTTTTGGTGGGCTGGCCATATATTTTTGAACGCACTTATGGTATTGATCAAGGTTTGGCACATATCATCTTCATCTCTATGATGATAGGGACTGTGAGCCCCGCACTTTTGGTCCCATTCGTTTACAAGAAGACAGCCAAGGTTATAAAGCAAGCTCAATCACAGGCCGAAGGCGGGAACAAGAATGCGAGATTCCATCCTGAGATTCGTTTGTGGTACGGCATGCTCGGTCCTGCAGTGGCCGTCCCAGTATCCTTATTTTGGATGGGTTGGACTAGCTATTCTGACATCAGTATCTGGTCACCAATCATAGCATCCGGCTTTTTTGGGTTTGGAGTTACGGGAATCTTCATCTGCGCATACATGTACATCATTGACTCTTATGAGAGTTACTCCGCCTCAGCGCTCACTTTTGTGGCATTGACTCGATATGTCATTGCTGGGGGGATGACTGTAGTTGGCATCCCATTTTATGAAAATATGGGCACGCACTACACGCTGACAATCCTGGGTTCGATTTCAGTCCTCCTCATGCCTATTCCCTACTTACTCTACTTCTTTGGACACCGTTTGAGAGAGAAGAGTAAGTACGCGGTTGCGTTGGACTGATCAAGCTTACCGAGCGGACATGAAAGCCGCGATGCTTTGGTAGCTACGCTCACTATTAGCCTGAAATAAAAGGTTTGGTTCAACACCCTTTATTTGGCCTTGTAGGTAATGAAGGAGATGCTCTTCTGTCTGCCGAGTCGGCTTGAAATGCTTGAGCCAATATGCACTTATAGATGTAGTATCAAAATTATGGCCCCCAACAAATAAAAAAAGACTTTCTTAAAGTGAACCATTTATTCCCCTGTTGATACTAGTTGTGCAAGTCTACCAAATTCAGCGAAGGCTCATAGGTTGGAGGCCGTTAGTAGCGTGCTGTGGAGAAGTGTCTGAAAATGTTGATCCCTTCTGATGCCAGTCTGAGAAACGTTTATCAGCGAATGGCCGGCTCCAGCCTCGTATCAATCCTGCGTGATCCGCTAGACGGACTGACTCTGTAGGGCTACTGGTACATATAGCTTTGGGTTTCTATCGGGAGTTAAAGTTGTTATCCTTTAGATTCTAATCCGATAAATCTAGGGATAACATTCGTCCCATTGCTTTGAGAGGTGGCACTCGTGAGAAATGCCCAGAAGAGAATGCTCAAAGACAACCCTTTGTTATTCATGCTCACTGGAGTGTCCATGGCTAGTCGCAACAATAGTCAAAGTTATTTAACCTATGGGCTGCGTCCTTCATTTCCTTTTGACCTTGTCTAATTATATAGTGTGGACGTTGGATATTTTAGCGGCCCACGATGTTGCTCCTCGACACCACTACCAGATCATCTAGCACAACTCAGTGGAGACTCCTCACCTGGTGGTTCCTTGTTCGACTATGGAGGAAGTGTGGGCGACTTTCAAATGAACTCCACTGTGGTTGGATTTGATGATCACCCGTACGAATATGGGCCCTTCACTTGGCTTAGGCAGGCCGGCCGCTGACCCATTGTTGATCATATTCATCTACTATTCCCTGCATGTATTATCGAAATATATTGACATGATTTATTGAGAACATACTCTTCCTGTCCACGTAACTGATGAGGGACGTATCTGGGGTTTATTGGAAACAAATACGCCTCTTTGCCACGAGGTGGCTTTCTAAGAATTCTCCGAAGGCGACTATGCAACGCTATCTCGTTGTACGTGCTCCGATAATTGCGGCTCGTGGCGTCAGGGCCACGTTCTCGATTTCCTCCGGACCGCCTAGATGATGCCTTAGTATCTAAGATTGCAATGGGTGGATATCTTGAAGCGCTAGTTCCTGAGCCAAGGACGATCGGCTGCTGTTAGCTGTTGCTAAAAGGGAACTTAAGGCCCTATACAAGGTCAAGGTACGATGGCTCACCGTCCCTGACTTACTCATGTTTAATGCCGCACAGCTCTTCTTCTTTAAACAGCGCTCACAAACTGGTGTAGGACTGAGTCATGAGTTTGTGCGTATTCCTCTGTTTGCTTTTGGAGCATTGATTCAGCACCTCTGCTGCAGCAACCTTGCATGAATAGCCCGGCAGAAAACATAATGATTGGGTGTGATGATTCATTGGGAGGGAATAACCGGAAATCTGTGCCGGCCGGTAGTTAAGGCCGGGCGGAAGGCGTAAAACCACGTTCTTGAAGGAAGCTTTCCGGCCCTAGGAAGTGAGGCTAAAATATCATCCACGTTGCCCAACAGGGTCTTTTTAGAAGCCTTGAAACAGCCGATCAAACTAGTCCTGCAAGGCACGTAATCGTAGGCCTGCATATTGCGCCGTAGATCAAGAGAAAGGAGGCTTGTTGAAGGTGTGGTATGAGATAATCTGTCTCCTATTCCATCAATGTTGAGCTGAGAGGGGAGTCAATCTTGCTCGCAATTAGTTGTCAAGAGTACCACTCAACAATCTTTTGCCTAGTACGAAGTGAAGTGTATGCTCCCTGGAGTCGCCACCTTGAGCAGCGAGAACGTGGTCAAGGTGATGAACCTAAGCTTCCTGTAGATTAGGCATTGCTCCTACGTTATGCTATTGTTGACGTTAGTGTGAGTTCAAGACAACGGCCGCAGTAGCTCGTCGATTAGCGTGCTAAACTACCCTAATAGTATCTTGTTCTTGGTGCTCACTCACTTTTATGTGCCGTATCTTTGCATTGGAGATCCATGGCTAGAACACTTATGAAATATGAAAGCACTCTCCGGAGAGTGGTGGATATAAAATCAAACCCAGGGTGCTCCTCGCGTGAGCCTCCCTCCTTGACATCGAATTGCAAGCCATATCAGTCAAGTTTGTGCGCTATCACCACTATGCGTTCCTTCGTAGCTTGGGCGCTGCCCCTGCTCCTCCCTCTTGTCACATACCCGGCTCGTACTGAGGCTGTTCCTTTAATCGGGTCCTTGCTCCATCCCCTCGACGCAGTCATCAAGTCTGCTTTTGCCGGCGATGGAGTAAAGGTTGGTGAGCTGGGTGACCTCGGAGGCGTCCCTGGCAAGAACCACACCTTTGACTACATTGTGGTGGGCGGTGGCACAGCTGGAAACACCATCGGATACCGCCTCGCGAAAGCTGGCTTCAGTGTTGCCATTGTTGAAGCCGGTTCATTCTTGGAAATCTCCAAACCCATCCTCGCTACTTCCCCCGGCGGCGTCACTGCCGGCAGCGGCGCCAGTCTGCTCGACTCGAACCCTCTTACCGACTGGAGATTTGTCACTCAGCCCCAGACGAATATTGATAACCGCGAGATTCACTATGCTCGCGGAAAGATCCTCGGCGGCTCCTCGCAACTCAACTTTTTGGTGTACCACCGACCTACCAAGGGCACTATGGCCAAATGGGCCGAGGAAGTTGGGGATGATAGCTACCTGTAAGACTCATTCACTCCTAATTGACCAACCAAAGAAGACGGAAGCTCACAATATCACTGCATAGCTGGGATCAAATGCTTCCTCACTTCAAGAACAGTGCCACCTTCACTGGCCCTGACAACATCAAGCGTGGCGCGAGCGTCATCACCGAGTACGATTCTGACGCTTTCTCAACCGTCGGTGGCCCTCTTCAAGTCAGCTATGCCAACTTCGTCCCTTCCTGGGCTACCGTTGTCGAGAAGGCCCTCAGTTCCTTCGGATTCAAGAGCCTCGATGGCTTCAACAGCGGCAAGCTTCTTGGCTACTCGTATACCACAACCACTGTCAGGCCCGAGGGTGAGATTCGAAGCTCCTCCGCCGATTTCGTCAAGGCCGCCCGCAGTGGGAAGCTCGCCACTCTCAAGGTTTTCACCCAGACTCTCGCTAAGAGGATTATCTTCGATTGCAACAAGAAGGCCCATGGTGTTCAGGTCAGCACCAATGGTGTCGGATACACCCTCAAGGCCAAAAAGGAAGTCATTGTTAGCGGTGGCGCTTTCCAGTCCCCCCAGATTCTCATGGTTTCTGGTGTCGGCCCCAAGGACCAGCTCGAGAAGTTCAACATCGACGTTGTTGCAGACCTCCCAGGCGTCGGCCAGAATTTGTGGGACCACGTCCTCTTCGGTCCTACGTTCGAGATCAACGGCCTCGTAGACACCCTCAGTGGCGCTATCAATGACCCTGCCATCCTCGAAGGCGCTCTTCAGGCCTACATCCAGCAGCAGGCAGGCCCCCTGACATCCAACCAGGTGGAGCTTCTTGGCTGGGAGAAGCTGCCTGACAAGTATCGATCCAAGTTCTCCTCTGAGACCCAGAAGGCTCTCTCCTACTTCCCGAGCGACTGGCCCGAGGTTGAGTTCATCCCCCTCAACGCCTACATCTCAGACTGGATGTTCCCTCTCCTCCAGCAGCCTGTCGACGGCAAGAAATACACCAGTCTCACCGGTGCCCTTGTTGCTCCTCTTTCTCGCGGCAACATCACCCTTCAGTCGGCAGACACATCCGACCACCCTCTGATCAACCCCAACTTCCTAGGTGAGAAGGGCGATCAAGAAGTTGCCATTGCCCTCTACCGCCGTCTCCGAGAGGTCGCTCGAGCGGACGTCTTGAAGACCATTGTCGGCGCAGAGGCCTATCCTGGTGCTGAATACCAAACCGACGAGGAGATCTTATCTGTTCTCCGCAGTGGCATGATGACTGTGTGGCATGCCGCTTGCACTTGCAAGATGGGTAAGCCTACAGACAAGACGGCTGTGATCGATTCCAAGGCCCGCGTCTTCGGTGTCAAAGGCCTACGTGTCGTTGATGCTTCCGCTTTCCCTGTTCTTATTCCTGGACACCCCCAGGGCACTGTCTATGCCTTGGCCGAGAAGATCGCATATGAAATCATCAATGGGAACTAGAGTTCTGACTCTTACTGAATTTTCCTTGTTTGTATGGCAAAAGGATATTCGCCAATTAATTACAATCTTTAATATAACGCTCATAATCAAAAGCGCTGTTTCAATAATTCGTGTTCGATAAACTGCATCTAGGGTATAAAACTGTAAAGAAAACCGCTGAACGATTTGAAACCGCAAAACACCATCAATCATTGGCCTAAGTTCGCAATTAATCGTCGTGCCCAAAGGCCAACACGAAACTGGACGTCAGTTCACTCGCCAGAACCAGCTCGCGGAACAGGAAATCCTCCCCCGTCCCATACTTGAACGTGATGATGGACGTCTTCTTCAGCGCAATCTTGGACTGCACATGGACGAGGGGCTCGAAGCACTCATCGAGCATCTTGCCCGTCTTGGACCCCGGCTGCGGCCACTCGCGCTTCACCTCGCACAGCACCGTCTCGAACTTGCTGGTCCCATTCTTCCAGACGAAGTTACGGCCTCCCCACGTGAATCGCCGTGGTGTCCACAGCACATGCTTGTTGCGATCTGGCTTGTCCACGACCGGGATGGGGGAGGAAGTGTAGTGAGTGAGCTGGCGCCCGATCCCGCCGTCCAGCGAACTGCCCGTGCTCTGCACCGGGTTCACGATTGTCTGGACGCAAGGTGAGGTGAATTCTGTTGCACGCGAGAGCACGGTCTGGCTGACTTGGTAGCGGCGACGTTTCAGCCCCTGGAGGACGTAGAGAGTCTGTCGCTCGTCCGCGTCTTTGACCTTGAAGTAATACCAGCGCCCGGAGGTGAAGACATTCTCTGAGCTGATATACACGTGGAAGACCGTGTCGGGAGCGCTCTTATCGAGTGCAGGGGTGTAGAACGGAATAGAGCGCGTGGCGCCATCTTGACCCAAGGTGACCACATGTTGAATCTCAGGGTTCACGATGTTGGGGTGGGCCTTCGCATTGGCTAGAAATATCGCGATGGTGTTCTTTGGATTTGCCACGACACCCTTTGGCGAGGTGGTTTGTGCTTGGTCGTGAAAGGGCTTCAAGGTCTTGGATAGCAGCACCTCATCCAGACTCAGGCTCGTCCGCCCGTTGACCAGAGCGGCCAAGCTGTCGCGCGCACCGATCGACGAAGGTAGAACGACATCAAGACCTGTCTTTTGGCCGCTCTGGATCTGCTGCATTAGTAGCCGGCGCGAAGTATGATACTTGACTTGCTTGCGCGCTACTCTCTTTCTCTCGCGGTCGAGGAACTTGGCGTCATCAGCGAGCTGGTTTAACGCGACGATGGCTCTGCCATGCTGGTCAAAGGCCTCTTGGAACCGGGAGTAGTGCTCGGCCTCGAAGGCCAGCCGACAAAGCTCGGCTACCTGCTGGTCAGTTTGCTGGGCTGCAGCTTCAGCCATACTAAACCACAAAGAATGTTGGATGCAGAAATTAAATCGTGGGAAATGTAGCGCACAAATGAATAGTTGGTCAGGGGGTTAAAGGTCGCATTCGAGGCCAGGCAGCGATGAGAAGAAGGCGATTTTTGGGGCTGTGCTCAAAATAAGAAAATTACGGTTACTGAGGCCTCCCCATCACAATCAGTTGATCCCTCGGCCAACCTGATCTGGATAAGCTTAAAGAAAATGGGCGGGGTGGTGGCCCTGTTAAACAAGTATACGAAAGATACGAAGACGCCATCACCTGTCATTACGTTCGTTCCATGCTGCTAGCGAGCATTCGAGTTTGATAAGAGAAGGGTCTTTCACTAACATGCCACGTATGGGAATAACTCGAGCGATCTGGGAGACTGCAGAAGGATCAAACGTTTACCAAAGTGATGTGACCACCCCTGCCCCTGTCCGTAGATTCCAACAATGTGGAACGTCCTGCTGACAAACTAATTAAGCTCTGAAATCATGCAAGGGCATTCATATTTCTTTCATTCAAAGACGGGTTTGGAAATGCGGCTAATGACGCTTGCAGGCTGGATACTCGGTTGCAAGATTGAGGGAATTTTTTTACGCCGAAGCAACGGTGGGTTGCAAATTGATTGCATCATATTGCCGTGACACTCGGCTCAACTTATGACGATAGGCAACATGCTGCATTTCTGCAGCTCAGCTTGACCCTTAAGAGCGGGCCGGTCCGGGAATACATTTGACATTATTTCATCGGGTTGGAGAAGAAGCATGTCCTCGAGTAGATAGTATTAATAGGCAAATCACAGCTAAAATCCGGGCAACAATGGCTTCGGTCACCTCCTGCTAAATCCAGGAAGAACTGAAGGGGGAAGAACCTGGGGGCTACAATGCAAGTGGAGATTGTCTGGGGCATTATGCATCAAAGATCCAGTTATCACAGCATCTCCATCTTGATTGCATTGCACACATGCCTGCTGCCTTCATAGTTCAAATGCGGGGAAGCCTGAGAGGTACAGTTGCCGAGTGCTTGCAAGGAATCGGAATAGTCTTTCCAGCTGCCCAAGGCTAAAGAAAGCTGCCTGGACGGGAGCCAAGGGTGCTGATGAGTTGGGTGCATCCATCCATTGCTAAATCACATGTTCTAACCTTGAACTTACTCTTCACCAGTTGGTTCACTCCTAAAAATAAGGTTCGGTGAAAACTAATTTGCTACGTAGGTCACTTTAGGATCATCTTTAGGGTTATGGATTAAGTTATCCGCCCCCGCAGTTTGGTAAATTAATGCATACACCTCTATTGGTTCAAGAGCGCTCTAATCGGAATCGAATTCATGCATCGCGGACTCGGAATTAGGGTGCACACGAGTGATTCCGTTGAGTGTGTAGTAGTAATTGCAACATAGTTTGCTAGGCATTCCGTTGCCAGTTATTACAAAAGACGACATTCTCCATCCTAAGTTGTTTCACAATGTTCGTTTGATATCCTAAAGTGAAGTTTTGCCTGTAGCAAGACAATTGAACAGAACAAGAGCAACTTGGTGCAATTTTCACCATGGCTAGTTCCAATGAGAAGGCACAAGATTCCCACGAGGTTGACCAGTAAGTAAACCAACCCCTTGATATACTAAAAGATTGGTGTTTCTAACAAGTAATTTAATAGGATCGAGATCGCCTCGTCGACACCATACCTTGACCGCAATGAAGAACGCCGTCTATGCCGAAAGATTGACCTTGTCATCATGCCTACAGTCTGCCTGCTGTTCCTTGCATGCGTCATCGACCGTGCTAATATCGGTACTTCTCCCTTATTCAGAAACTACCGTTTACGCTCTCATTTACTCAACTTTGATGGCAGGTAACGCTCGGATTGCAGGCTTCGAAAAGGATTTGGGCATGGCGGGTACTGATTACAACGCCACCCTCTCCCTCTTCTTCGTCTCATACATTGTATTCGAGATCCCTTGCAACATCCTTTGCAAGATTATCGGCCCTGGCTGGTTCCTTCCCGCGATGACTGTCATGTTCGGTATATGCTCTATTTGCAACGGCTTGGTAACAACAAAGGCACAAGCTATGGGGGTTCGCTTCATTCTTGGCCTGTTTGAGGCTGGAATGTTGCCCGGAATTGCGTACTACCTCTCCCGCTGGTATCGCCGCGATGAGCTCTCCTTCCGCCTGGCATGCTACATCGTCATGAGTCCACTAGCGGGTGCAACAGGAGCCTTGCTGGCATCAGCGATCCTAACGCTGGACAACTTTGCTGGGTTTCATACCTGGAGAATGATCTTCATTATCGAAGGGATTGCTACCACTGGAATCGGTTTAATTGCTTTTCTCACGCTGACAGATAGCCCCTCCAGCGCTCGCTGGCTTACACAGAGCCAAAAGGAGCTCGCCGAGGCGCGTCTGCGTTCAGAGCGTGTTGGGCAGACTAAAGTCCTGGATAAAATTGATAAAACTAAGCTGAGGCGGGGTATTCTCAATCCCATCACGCTTACCACATCTGTTGTGTTCTTTCTTGGGAGTATCACAGCTCAGGGTTTCAGCGTGTTCGCTCCCACAGTCGTTCGGAGTATTTTCAGCGACAGAACTGTGGTCCAGCAGCAGCTTCTCACTGCTCCTCCCTACTTCTTTGGGGTTGTATGCACGTTCTTGGTTGGGTTTGTTAGTTGGAAGACAGATCGCAGGCAAATCATCCTGGTGCTCTCCACACCTACTGCTATTATCGGGTACATTATATTCCTCGCGACCGACAACCAGATCGCAAGATACGCAGCAACTTACATTATCGCCTCCCTCATATTCCTCTGCGGAGCTCTTTGCAATGGGCAGATTTCGGCCAACGTGGTGTCCGATACAGCAAGGTCCTCGGCCATTGGGTGGAATGTCATGATCGGCAATATAGGCGGTCTTGTATCGACTTGGTCTTTCTTATCTTGGGACGGGCCCAACTTTCCTATCGGAAATGGTCTCAATTTGGCTTCCAATGTCTGTTTTCTTATCATCACAGTGGGGACACTCTTTTGGATGAAGAAAGATAATAAACGGAGAGATATGGAACAGGAAGCAGGAGAGGCTCAGCTTGAAGGCATGACTGAGCAGGAGATTGAAGACTTGGATTGGAAGCATCCTTCTTTCCGGTGGAAGGTTTAGGTTACCCGCGTTTGTCATTCGAGTTGTAGGAGTGTTTATCTTGAGACCCGTTCTTGTACACCATGAAATCCTAAGATTTATTGAGACTATATAACGTCAGTCTATCGATTTCACCCGAAGTGTTGATAAACACTGAGACTATCATCGATGATCACTTCTCGCATTTTCCTGTGCGATTGAATATCCAATCAACCTACTCTAGATAAACATTAGGCTTGGCTTTCGGCCATACCTCGTTTTGTCTTGAACTGACTAAGTGGCTAGGGTGAACCCAGCAGAGCATATGGAAATACTCCTGGAGCTTGAAGATAATGGAAGGTCATCACTGATTAGTATCCAGAATTTTGTAGCCCTCATTCGTCCGCATGAACACTCCCCACTGGACCTTATCGACATATTAACCAACGACCCGGACATAATGACATCGTTCGAGGCAACGTTGCAATAGGTTCGGTGAGGGGTAAATGGACATTACCCGGAAGTCACTCCCGAAGTGGAATGATGAAGGCCTATGGGAGCGTTCAATTGAAAAGTCAAGGCATATCTACTGACCCATTCCTCCACAAATCCCTTGCTGGGTAGGCATTTTTGGCGATCAATTGCATTGATAATGCACCAATGGCCTAACTAAAATCAAGAAAGGCAGCCGATTGAACCGTCGGCTATTTGAGAATGCGAAAATGTGGGAATACATAAGTTTGGTGTTAAATACATACTTTGTTCAAAGGCCTTGCTGAACAACTCCCATTTCAGCCTCGACCTCTAGACCATTTTGCTTCATTGAACCCACCAAACTGGCCGTCATGAGATCATTTCTGGGGGGCGTTTTGGCTTTAGCTCTCCAGTCCTCAACCGCCTTTGGGAACGATTGTGACGCGAGTAGATCGGCTCGCCTTGATCTCGAAGACTTCTTCAACAACAAAGCTTTCGGTTCTAAACCTGGAGAGGCCGACTTTGACTCGAAAGGTAGCTCGTATCCTGTGCCCGATTTTATTGATTCCTACGACTATAAATCTTCCGTCACGGGTATTCGATTTTCTTTTCCAGGTTATGTTGAGTCCGGTGCCAATGACAACATAATTTGCGATGGGCAGGTGATTAATGTCCCAGAGGGGCATTTTTTCTCTGCATCCTTCCTACTGTCCAATGACAAGGAGCTTGCCACCATTTCTAAAAATGTAACCTTTACGTATGAGGACGGCTCGACATCACTTTACAATCTTCGCACTCTGGCGTGGTTTAACCTTCTCACCATCAATCGCGGTGAGATCATTTTCCCAAAGCGCTTCGCTAGTACGGCTGTCAACTGGAATACTTCTCACATCTTCGAGCGTACTGCTGCGCTGGACCCTGGGAAAAACTTGAAGACAATCACTCTCCCAACCACCACGAATACAACAGAAGGCAGAATGCATGTTTTTGCGATCTCGCTGCACCAAGGTTCTGAAATAGGCATCCAGTCCGTTCGAGCAACCCAGAAGTGGGCTGATGATCAACAATCTCAGCTTATGGAGGTTACAATAAACAATGCTGGCTCTGAATGTATTTCAGGCGATGGCCTCATTGTAAAATTAGAGGGGCATGGCTTTGAGATGAAACATTCCGGTTCAATAAAGCGACTATGCCCAGGAGACCAAAAAGTTGCAACAGTTGCTATCAAACCATCTTCTTCTTTTCTCGGGCAAGTGAGAGACTCTACCGTAAAGGCTACTGTTGAATACAGTGGCAGGGAACAGGGAAAGGTCTTCAAGGGAGTTAAGGTTGGACTTCGAGAGTGGACATCCGATCTCGACAATTTGGCGGAGCATGAAGCGCCAGACTGGTTCAAGGATAATAAATTCGGCATTATGATTCATTGTCAGTATATCCCGGCTTCTTCCCAGCTTCTAAAGTCACCCAGCCTAAACCGGTTTCAGGGGGTCCTTATTCTGTTCCTGGATGGGGGAATAGTAGCGAGTTTGAGAGCTACTCAGAGTGGTTCTGGTGGTGAGTGCGCCCACATTGACTGCATAGAGGATCAACTAAGAAGTCGTTTACAAAGGTACTCAACAAACCCGCTGGGAGACAGATCCAATTTCCGCGGATATCGTCTAGAGACTTTTGGCGAAGACTGGGCCTATGACGACTCATTTGAAGAGTTTACCGCAGAGAAATTCGACAGCAAGGAATGGGTGGACCTTTTTGATGATGCAGGGGCGAAATATTTTGTCATTACAACCAAACACCACGGTCAGTAACAAATTCTTTAAGTCAATCGCTGAGATTCGGTAGCATACCTATTTTCGGGGATAGGTATTAAATCACTGATCCTTTGGGCTTGTTACTAAGGCATTTCAATGACGCAGATGGGTTTGCCCTTTGGGACACGAAGGAAACAAGCAACAGATCGGCCCTACACTATGGTCCTCAACGAGACGTTCTTAGGGAACTCTTCGATGCCGCAGCTACGTATCACCCAAACATGAAGCGAGGCACTTATTTCAGTCTCCCCGAATGGTTCAACCCAGATTATGGCGTCTATGGATTTGACCAATTCAACAAAACAGAGAACCCGGGAACTGTGAGTTGGCCGGGAGATTTGGCGACAAATCCGTACACGGGGGAGAAGGAGACATACACTGGACACATCCCCGTGGGTGACTTTATACAAGATCTTATGGTTCCACAAATGGAGCAGCTTGCATATGACTACGGCGCCGACATCATGTGGTGCGACTGCGGCGCCGCCAATGGAACCGCCGAATTTGCCGCGAAATGGTTCAACGAGGTGCGCCAACAGAATCGTCACGTAGCTATCAATAGCCGGTGTGGACTTCCCCAGGCTGCAGATTTTGACACGCCGGAATATCAGACCTTCTCCTCCGCTCAACATCACAAATGGGAGAGCAGCCAAGGAATGGACCCTTATAGTTACGGGTACAACCGTGCCACTCCAGATGAGGCATATATGAATGCCAGCACTATCATCAAAAACCTCGTGGATATGGTCTCCAAGAATGGTAACTTTTTGCTGGATATTGGCCCAAGGGCTGATGGAACTATTGTGGAACAAGCTGCGGACAATCTCAGAGAGGCCGGTAAATGGATAAAGCGTCATCAAGAGGCGATCTTCAACACGACTTACTGGTTTATACAAAGCGAGCTTGAGGGGTCAACTGAAGCCAGGTTCACACAGACAGATGATGCCTTCTACATTCTCTTCTTGGATAAGCCTATAATCCAAGGTGGATTTGTTGTTATCCAAGCTCCAATCCCTGTGCTGATTGGAGATGATATAACTCTACTTGGTGGAGACGATGCTGTATCACTGGACTATGACATTTCAGGTGATGGAAGCGAGAAGTCTCTAACAATTGAAATAGGGGAGAAAGAGTTGGAAAGGGAGGAATTCTGTTGGGTCTTCAAGATCCAATACAAGAGATAGACTAAACTATCTCCAGCTAGGTGCCACGAGATTGGCAACGCAAAAAAAGGGCAAACAGAGTTAGAACCCCGTGGTATACATATTTTAGCTCTATTTAGAGGGCGCTAAAGAAGATCATATATCTCTAGCTATCTCTTATTAGAGTCTTTAGAGATACTATTGCTTATAGCTATATTAATAAAGATAGTTATAAAGTAATTATGCTATGTATTATATAAACCTTTCTAATAGAGGAATTCTAGAGATACTCAAAACTTTACTCTATTATAAACGGAAAAGGAGTAGAGTTCATATCCTTATATTATTAAACTATCTAAAAAGGTAGGAGAAGTATTCTACCATAGAAAGCTATTTTACGTTGGGGAAAAGAGAGTTATGCGTCTGCCCAGGAGCTCGCCACATTGTACCCGACCCTCGTACATGGCGTAGCGCGATTAGGAAGTCGATAGGAAAATTGCTGGGTTTAAGAAGCTCTGGTAGTGCCGAGGATGGATTCCGAATAATGTTCTCTGCCTGCTCCTAGGGTATCTCATGCAGGGTGACCTTTTTGCCCGAGTGCGAGCGGAGGAGATCTGCGACCTCGGCGATACTAATGAAATCACCACTGAAGGCCAAGAATCTGTTTTCTGAAATCTCTGGACGACAAATCGAGGCGATAAGGTACGCCGCAGTAGTCTTCATAGACGTATAGTCCATTTTAGCATTGGCATCGCCAACTGCGTACATATTATACTCCGTTGCGTTGGGGTCCTCCCATGGGCAAAGCAATCGTTCTCCGGGGCGTCGAAACTATCGGAACAGCCTATGACAGTGTACGTCATTCTCCCGCTCATAACGGCAGGGTGTTTCATAGCTTCATCGAAGCATTTCATTTTTTGAGCCCAAGTCTATCCAGAAGTATTAACCACAATGGCTCAAGATCCGGATATACAAAGCGCGAGCTTTCTCTCGTTCCGACTGGGAAGGTTCTACCCACTGGATGTATCAAGGTAGCTTCCTCCGTCCTCATTCTCAGGAAGGAGTGCATACCGAACTCGCTTGGATAAAACCTTGGAACACCTGCTATGGCAGCAGCATCTTGAAGGACATTTTGTCGCGATAGCAGCTCCGTCCCGACGGCGCTCAAGACCACGTCCGCGCCGTGGAAGTAGGGCGCTAGTGAATTCGCGGTCACCTTGGAGATATCTATATCATGAGCGGTGACGTTCTTCTGAGGCTCCCGACAATTGAGTTGTGAATTAGGGCGTATGAAAGCCAAGACATGAAAGCGTGCCTCACGTGAAGCAAGTAATTCATGGAGAATGAAATTACCAATTTGACCATCAGCACCGATTAAGGCAACAGTGAGAGATTGCATGTTGAAGTACGGGAAGGAAAAGCATGAAGAAAGACTTGATAGCCAGACTCGCTATTCATGCTCAGGATCTGTCAATACCCTTATAATGCGACGGAGGCTTTCGAGCAGCAACCTCTTTAGGTATTTGGAGGCCTCAGTGGGAGCTTTGGATCATCAAAGCCCCCAGGCAATGCTCCGGATTAGGGCTCCCTTAAGCAATCCTTTGTATGATTTTCATCAATCAGGCCGTGGCGCGTGTGGTGGTAATTTAAAACGTTCACGATCTCAGGTGCCTAACGTCCGGCACTGGCATAAGGATTCCTCAATGCGAAGTTGAACTGGTACATTCCTGTCGAGGAGGATACCACTGCTGACCTGAAACACGGAGTAATTTCGCAATGTGGTGGTCTGATGACTCAAGGTCAGTTGCTGGAATGCGGCTGGCAGCTACTCGAGGCGAGAAATAGACAAGCACATATGATAGTTCAACTGCAAGAAGGCCTAGTGACGTCTATGGTATGTGATGTAGAGCCGGTATGCGGGTTTTAGATGCTATCTGGAGTAAGGACTTGAGGTGGTCTCATGCTAGACGCTTTCTAAGAATTCATAGATCCTGGTGCCGCCTATCTTGTCCATGCCAGCATGGTGATGATTCTTTGCCGTTTATCCCACATTAGTAACCCTTCCAACGCAATACTGTAAGTCCGTCAGACGAGGTAGCGATGGAGTCAGTCAACAATGCCAAGGCACCACCAGGTGCTTCAGGCCGTCGATTGCTGCCACATGTTGTCGACGAGATAGCGGCCAAGGAGCCCGATCGAATCATTTATTCCTTTACTCGATCTAAGGACCCAAAACATGGCTTCCAAAATGTCACCGCCCAAGAGTTAGCGCGTGCTATAAATCGCTGCGCGTGGTACATGGTCCAAGAGCTCGGAACACCTGGCCAAGGCTTTCCAACCATTGCGTACATGGGGCCTCAAGATATCGTATACGCGATCCTCATCCTAGCTTCAGTCAAAGCCGGGTACAAAACGCTCCTGTCATCCGTTCGCAATACTTTCGAAGCCCACCTCCACCTTCTGGAAGAGACAGACTGCCAGATATTTGCAAAGCCAGCGAGTTTCCCCCTGCCTACAATTGACCAGATCGTGGACATTCGGCCAATGAAAATCATTAGCATTCCGGGACTAGAATATTGGCTTGGCCGTAACAATGAATACGATACCCATGGACACTTCGCTTATACAAAAACCTACGCTTCGGCACGGTTGGAACCCCTTTGCGTCTTACACACTTCTGGTTCAACGGGCATGCCGAAGCCCATCATTCACACACACGGCTGCGCTTCAGCAATAGACGCTTACTCCTCCCTATCGTCTATTGGCCTGCAACCCGTCTACCCTGGCACATGTAAGGGCCGTCGTGTGTACCTGGGGTTTCCGCTCTTCCACGTCGCTGGTATAGCGAACTTCATCTCTGGCCCTCTCTTCGTCGGCTATACTGTTGTTCTTGGCCCGTATCCACCATCGCCAGAGGTCATAAACGGCATCCATGTCTTTGGAGATGTTCAAGAAGCTTGCCTGCCACCAGCAACACTGTGCGACTTGTCTGAAAACCCAGAGTATCTACGAAACCTATCTCTGCTTGATCGCGTCGTGACGGGTGGCGGTCCATTGCCGAGGCAAACCGGGGACCTCTTGGCAGCAAAGACAAACTTGTTAAATTGCATCGGGACGACAGAATGTGGTGGCTTGCCAGTGCAGGACTGCTTTGAAGATTGGCAGTATATTAAGCTAAGCCCGTGTCTTGGACAAGAGTACCGACACTTTTCAGGTGATTTGTTCGAACAAGTTATTGTCCGAAGAGATGATCTAGAAGCATATCAAGGAGTCTTTTCAACGTTCCCTGACCTTCAGGAATGGCATATGAAAGATTTATATTCGCCACACCCTAGCAAGGAGGGCCTTTGGTTATATAGGGGCAGAACGGACGACATCATCACGTTTTCAACAGGTGAGAAGCTGAACCCACTGGAAATGGAAGGTATAATCCAGTATCATCCATCTGTTAAGGCCTGCCTTGTGTGCGGAGTCGGTCGGTTCCAGGCTTCGCTGCTTGTCGAAGCAGTTAAACCACCAAACAACGATGAAGAAGAGAGACAGCTTATAGACGACATTTGGTCTCAGATCCAAAAGGCCAACACTTCGAGTCCATCCTATGCCCGTATACACCGTCATATGGTTTTGGTGCCACCACCTGAGAAGCCATTTGCCAGGGCTGGGAAGGGAACGATCAAGCGCACAACAACGATTGATTCATTCAAAGACGAGCTTAACGCACTCTACGCGGCAGGTCGGGGGCAAAGTCCAAGGCAAGGCGTAGACAAGGCTCCCCCGGAAAACGAGTCCCCTCGTGCTCTGCATCATGATTTTGAGATCGAGACCATTGAAGGGCTAATTCACGATGTTCTTGCTAAATCAACGGACATCGACGTCAGCAAGCTTGACCCACATCAAGATTTCTTCAACCTAGGGCTAGACTCACTCCAAGCGACAGAGATAACTCGATGCATCAATCAATACCTATCTAGCCGGAACGCAAAGCCTGAAATCACGACTCAAACGGTATACTCCAATCCAAGCCTGTCTGGCCTATCATCATCAATCTCATCTCATTACGGGAAGCAGCAAAGCCCGCTGCCAGCTGTGGATAGGACTGAAAAGATGGAAAAGCTGTATAGGGACATCACAAGAGAGGTATCCACCTCGAACAGGACATTCGAAAGTCCGGATGCTGCATACATATCCATCCTTTTGACCGGGGCCACTGGACAACTCGGGTCGTATGTTCTCGACTGTCTTCAAAAGGAAACTCGGGTGTCTCATATTTACTGCCTCAATCGCGGCGCCGACGGGGCTCAACGTCAAAGTAGCGGCCAAGAGTCTCGCGGTCTCGGGCAGTTGGACCCTTCGAGAGTCTCACATTTAACCGCCAACCTGGCGCAGCCCTACCTCGGTCTAAAGCTAGAAGACTACAGCCACCTCACTAAACAGATCACTCATCTTGTTCACGTTGCTTGGAAGGTTGATTTCAACCTTGCGCTAGAATCCTTCCTCGAGCATATTGTCGGTGTTCAACGCTTATTGGAATTCTGTTCAAACACGCGATTCGGGGCTCACCTATTCTTTGTTTCAAGCATCAGCGCCGTGGGTGGCCTGACAGGGAACATTTCCGAGAAGATATACAAGGAATGGCATGCACCTATTCCGACTGGGTACGGACAATCAAAATTTCTTGCAGAAAGAATGATTGATACTATATCGACAAGAGTCGGGATCCCAGCTACTATTTGCAGGGTTGGCCAAATCGCCGGTCCGACAAGCGTGGCTGGGATGTGGCCCAAGCAAGAATGGCTACCCTCTCTTCTCGCGACATCCAAAGAGTTAGGTGTTTTGCCAGAGTCGCTCGGGAACAACAATGGTTTAGACTGGATACCGGTAGACATTGTTGGCCAAATAATTTCTGATTCAGTGGCCAAAACAGCTCGCCACCAGGATGGGAGGACCAGAGTCCTTCACGTCTCTAACCCAACTACTGTAGACTGGAGCGATCTCGTAAACATTATCTCTGCTAAATTCAAGCCTGAGATGAAGATTGTTACACTACAGATCTGGGTAAATAAACTACACGAATGCCTCACACGCGGTGACAATGCGGCGCAAGTGCCAGCAGTGAAGCTCTATGACTTCTTCTTAGGGTTGCTTGACTCTGGACACACTGCAACTCACTTGGAGGTTGGGGGTCAGTTGAAGCCATGGGAGGACTTGCTCAGCTCGAAGGCTGTGCAGAGAAGCTGGATGGAAAATTGGATAAGGCAGTGGGGTTACTGACGAGCCTATCAGTTCTCTTGGGGGTCATACTTATTTTCACTTGTCATCTTTTGATTCTCATGCTCCGATAAGCCAAGCAAGAACCCAAACTTTTCATTATTCGAAAGCTCGCTTGATATTAGATTCCTCGCTTTGCTATCCTGATACGCCGCGGAAGCAGTTTGGTTTCACTTGAGTTATGAACATGTATACATGCGCAAGCAAATGATCCATTTTCCACTTTGGGGCCTAATGGTATATCAAGGCGTTTGCAGGCATGGTCGTGCTTTCGGCGTCATATGCTCACAAAAAATCCCATTCACTCAAATTTGTGGAGAATGCAACTTCAAGAACGGTCCAGCTCTCCATTACTCTGTGTCGAATCAACCTTCTGAACCAGACATTTTTGGTGTCCTAATATCCACGAACTAAATTTTTGCCCTCTGCCATCGGTGCCCTGTCACTTGGCACAACATGTACTACGGCCGGTGACTATAACTTACTTACGACAAACTTGCTTGTGTTCTAAGGCTCGGCTGACAGAGGCTCAGGCGATATGATAATCGCATCTGTACCTGTTGGTGTCGCCACCAACAGCTTCCAGATTCACAGGTAAAAGGGATAAATTGAGACTGTTGCTTCTAACTAGTAATTACAGAGGGGATCCGCAGCCCTTATATCCCTGAGAATCCCTCGATCGTATTCTCATGCGAGCAGCCCGGTCTCGGGCTCGTAAGGTCATTCCGATATCCCTCTGGCTAGTAATAACTAGGGATATTCATATCCGGATGACCTCGGTCATCCTCTTCCTTCGAGCCGTGTGTTCAATAGGATCAGAACGCTCTTCGAGGCATCGGCTCTGCGCCGATCTCTCG